CTCTGGATATCCCGCTGCCAGTGTCAAACCTCCAATTACGCGAGCGGTCGGACCTGCCATCGCGCAATCCGTTCCTCAACGCCGACCACCTGGTGCCGCTGTTCCCGCTGCCTAACCCTGCCAGTAGTGGCTACGACGAGCTGGTGATTGACCGCTACCGGTACATTGACCCTGAAGGGCTGGACGCCATTGATGGAGGCCAACCAGTGCTGTGGGACGTAATGGGCGTGGCTGACGACGATAGCGGTTCCGTGGTGAGTGACTATAGTTCACGGTCTCCCAGTACCCGTGGGTCTAAAGGTAAAGGCCCGCTGATGGCGCTGCTGGCACCTTACCCAATCGACGTTGACGAAAGCCAGCTGTTTGAAACCCTGCTGCAACTGGCTTCGCCGCCACCATCTTCTTTAGCGTCACCACCAAAGCTACGCCAATCACCGGTGCTCGCCACTCCGTTCTCCAAACCACCACCTCCTCATACGGGGAGCGCATCGCTGGGCAGTCCGGCGCAATCACGTACCCTCAGCTACCGCAGTGCTACCCCTAAAAACATGTTTAGAGGTCCGCTGATGTCCCAACAGCTTGAACACGTGATCTCCCACCCGATAGCCAATCCATTGACGCTGTCGTCACCGACAGTAGGGTCGCCACGCCACAACCACCACCGCCAACTGCTGCTGATTTCGCTGTTATTCTCGTCAAGTTCATACCGACCGGTAAACTTGGCGACAATCAAGAAAAACATTAATTTGCGCCCCGGTGAAGGCGAACGGCTGAACTACGTTAACCGGGTACGGCGCACTCACGGTACTGCCTATAACGAGACGGAACCAGGCAAATGGAAGCTCCCCATCGGGATTATGCCTGTGGACAAGTCGGCACTCGCCAAGAACGCTAACGGCAAGTACATGAGACTTGCTGGTCCTCAGGCCAATTTACGTAAGGCTAAGACTCTGGGAGTGGAACTCAAACACGGTCACTTGAAGCAGAAGTTGCTTGCCGGTGAAATCGACGAAAGAGATTTGGAACTGCCGACAATGGTGATTGGTGGACCCCAAGCGACACAGCCGAGAGTCGAAGGCGTGAAACTGCTGGGTCTGCTGATTTCCACTCTCAAACGATCAGAGACAATGATGCTGACGGTTACCAGTGGTACCAGCCACAGTTTGGACACGGGCTCGTCGGCGTTGTCGGTATCGCTGGGATCGCTGGGCTCCTTACAAGAAGAGTTCGATAAAGGATACTACCAGCACCCAGCGTACGACGAAGACGATGAAGACGAAGACGGTCCTTCTACTGGCCATAAGGGCTTGGTCTTGGCTAACCCTGACACCGACAGCGACTAAATCACATAACGACAACACTCCTGGAATACCATATCCAGGTTGACGATATCATATCCCCGTGGCCTCTCTTAATATCTATAATACACCGGTCACGTTAGACAAAGCAGTAATCTCCTATCAACAATATTTTGAATTTAGGCGAAAATGTCCCTATCGTTTGAAACTATGTTACACTGAAGCTACTTCGATCGATTTCTATCAGTTTTTCGGTTTGCTTTGCGAAATTGGAAAATCAGCAAATGTGGGGAAAATAGAATACGATTATATTATCAATCAATTACTTAAAGCCTTTTACTCAACCAGTAATTAAGATTAAATCAATCCTTTATTCATTATACTGTATTTTCGTACATCGTCGGTGTTGTCTACCACACACGATTACCTAATCTCACACTCTCACCGACACCCCACCACCGCCGTGCCCCATTGATGCCGTGATGCCCCGGCTCCGACACCTCGAGCGCATTCGTCTATACAACGTATGGACAGAAAATGTGCCCAAACAAGCCCTCGACCCGCTGGCCCGACGACGGCTGCTGGTGACGAAGCCTGGTCCCGACGAAATGCCCGAGTCCTTACAACAGCGCCTCGTGTGTGTCAACAGCCACGAGTTAGTTGACGCCTTCTACGTGATCAGAATCAGGGGGAAAGTGATATATGTCAGCGAAACGATTCTGGGATCGGCCCTGCCCGAGTTTGCCCCCATACTGCTACCGACGCTCCCATTATCAGTGGCTAACTCGCTGAATTTAGCCATTGGCGTCTACGTACGAGTGGCAGGAGAACACTGGCAGTATTTGCTTCGGTATACCGTGAACTTAAATTCCTTGGTGTACACGGGACCGCCGCGAGAGTCGATTTTTAGGACTAATGCCGTGGCACTAATGGTGAATGGGTTATGGTACAGTCTGGCGCCTTTCCTCAAAGCGGTGACGCTTCCTTCATTACCACTGCCTCGCCAACCACCAATTCCTTCCTATACATTCGATACCATCCGTACTCTCCTCAATTTGACGAAATCGTTACTGGAGGTGCTTGAGGTGAAAACAACGCTTCTGGAGAAAGTGAATGGAGAACTCAAACAGCACCCGTTACCACTGAGGACAGCAGAACAATTAGAAGCCGGCATTGCCACGTTAGACGATGCCATTGCTAAGATTAAAGGAGATAACGATCGCTTACAACACCGGATTTTGGCCCAACAAATGAGCATCACTCAAATCAGGGGGTTCCATCTAAACAGCAAAGGGGCTAATGGTGATGTTAACAATGCTCCCGATGAGGAAATGATGGCCCTCACCACTCCTCAGATTAATCAAGAGATCACACGTTTAGTTTCAATTGTTAATGATGCTTTACCCACCGCTGCTGAGCATATTGCCTATCTCCCCTTTCCTCAATCTACAGCCGATATCCTAGAAGTGTGCTACTATAACCGGGACTTAATTACCGTTACTCACGAGGTGGCAGAGCTGCCTCAAGGACAATGGCAAGCGAAGATTGACCAGATCAATGCCGGCTTATCCGCTATAGCCAAGTGGGTTGATGATGTCAGCACTATAATGGAGTCCAAGCTTCTCTACCCGTTGGAAATAGCCGGCGACCACTATTGCATTGTTGACGCCATGACTAATGCCACGCCAACAAAATACTCCCTCCACTACGATGCTGACAACACCACGACATTGGACAAGTTCGATAAGCGTCTCACCAACCCTCCGTTCGAGCAGGCTCTTGCGCTCTTGGTGAAGACGATCGTGGCATTGGTCACAGCGGTAACTGGTGAACGACCACCTCCACAATCCCATGATAACGTGGTGTGGATGATCCACTATTTGGGCTTATACCTAACCGGTCTCGACACTAGCTAGCTCCATCCCTAAACCTGTATTAATTACTATTTATTACAACAACACCATCGCCACAGCCCCCAACACGGCACCCACGGGCGCCACAAACGACCCGGCAATGTTGCGCGAGTTCTCGAGGTTCCGCGACTGGAGGTAACCGTCAATATCATTGAACACCAGCGTGAGCCCCGTGTTGGGGTTCTTGTCGCCCTTAGTCTTGGTCGTCTTCGTCTTGGTGGTCTTGGCAGCGCCGCCGCCGGCGTTGGTCTCCTTGGTATTGTCTGTAGTCTTTTTGGTATTCTTATCGGTGGTCGCCTGGGTATTGCCGGAAGTGGCTTCACTAGTGGTTTCAGCCGTGGTCTGATCAGTGGTGGTGGCCTGAGCACTGTTGTCGGCGGCGCCAGCACCACCTTGTTGGTCGAGTCTCAGGGCCCACGGCAACTTCGACGCGAACGACCTGAGCTCGCCCACGTTGACGTTGTTGGCGTCGAGAAGCGTCGTGTACAGGTCGTCGGTGTATGTTTGCACCTGGAGGGCAAGCGAGGTCAACTCCGGCGGCGGGTTCGCCGTGGCTAAGAAGTCGAAGTAGGACCGGGGCAGCGCCTTGAAATCGGTGACGAGGGCGGTGAGGAATTCCACGTCGGAGGCGTCGGCAGCAGCGGCCAAGGGGGCAGCGATGGCCAACAACAACGGGAGCTTCATGACGGGGACGGGTTTGGCAGCATTTCGGGGTGTATTTAGTTTATATATCTAGGGCTAGCCTCACTTTTATCCCGATTAGGCAACTATGCTGTTAACGGTAATGCCGTCAAAATCGGAGACTCCGCCAGCCGCATAAGCCCTAAGTGAAACGACACACCAGTGGAATGGCGGTGGTTACATTGTATGTCTATTCGGAAGCGTATTCATCCTAAAGCATCGAATTTTCTGTGATCTACTCTGCTCTGATGGCTACTGTTTACGGCAGGCTAAACAGATCGCACTTTTTCTTCTGAGAAAGTATTTCTCCCGGACTCGCAATCAGATTTCTCCACAACTGGCTAAACGCTGTTGACCATGATGGTATATCGCGGCTGTCATCCGTCACGTGATCGTTACGATAATGTCATTGAAGTTATAATTAGTATTAGTGTACTTAAGGTAAACTACTTCATGGTGTTCACAACAACAACAACCCCATGGCAGCGACGAGACCACCGGTGAGACCTTGGGCCACGGCACCGTTCTTGGTGGCATCGGACGAGGCCGACTTGGCGGCGGATTCAGTGGCAGAAGCCAAGTTCTCGGTCAACGACTTGGCCGACTCGACAATCGACTTCGAGGCAGCTTCGGCAGCAGACTCACCCGATTTGGCACCGGCAGAGGCTTCCGACGATTGCTTGGACAACAGCGATTCCGCCAGCAGCGACGCCGACGACAACGACGACGCAGCCGAGGCCGACGCGGCCTGTTCGGACGACTTGGCGTTGTTGTCCTCGGTGGTGGTGGTCTCGGTGACGGAGGAGGCAGCGGTGGCAATGGCAGCGAGGTAGAGAACGGAAACGGCCTTCATAGTTGGGGGGAGTTTGGTGGTGGGCAATAGGTGCCAGTCGCCGCCGCTTATATAGTGAATTTCTTCGGGTATGCCCTCCGTCTATGCACGAGGCCAGGGTTGCTGCCGTGCCCCACCCAGAGCCAAACAGAAATTCACTTTTTGGGGGTCAGTTTGGCCTTTGGTGGGGGATCAATATAGGGGTATGTTGGCCAACTACCAGTCTCGATGAATTGAGATCGCTACCACTAAAATTGTGCTAATGGGGATCATGAGCCTCTACCCCAACTCTAGCCACACGTATAGTAACTGGCCGTCTCAAGGCCTAATAGCAGTAGTTACCCTTTAGTTGCTAGTGCGTTGCTCCATCACTTACCATGCATGAAAACCTGGCGGAAATTTCGCCTCGAGATTGACTGCCTCCAAACGAAGACGACGTCACTTTTGACAATTTCCTAATTATACAGTGCCTGACGCAGCCGGACTGCCCAAATTATCACAAAACGATATCATCGGCTCGGGCTCGCGATTTTGGCAGTGGTAGATAAACCTATAGTCCTAGTAAATTTAACGGCCGATGAGCAATTTAATTCTAGCAAGGCGGTGTCTTGTTGCCTGGAGGTCGATTCGAGGATTGTGGGGATGCCATGTCGTAATTCTGCCTCTTTGGCAACGTTGCATGTCAAAAAGCAACCAATATATTGAGGGGTCAGGCTATTGCGCCGCGCCAAAATGCCCACGTTGAGTGGGGAATTGGGGGTAATACCCTCCAACCACGCCAATTGTGTGATTGAGCCTAGCAGAAGTTCGGATTTCCATTGCCTTAGTGTTGTTTTATCAGCATTAGTCGACGTTTTGTTGGCCGTAACCAAAAGTGCAGACAAATGCGGTGAGCGCAGTGCCAGGGCAATCATAACATATGGTTTGCCCACAACGCAAGTTTCTCCCCGGCAATTTGCGGCGAAAACCGCCTTGAAAATCGAAATTTTTTTCCCTATTGTTCAACACTAACGACGTATAATTGAACTATATTGCGAAGGTTTCGACTAGGTTTCGAGCACATCATACCACAATAAGAGGTTTTACGAAGCGGCTGTTGCAAATAGGAGACTGTAATTAGCGCATTCAGCCTCTCGAGCGCAAAAAAACAAGGTTGCATTGAACTTCCTCGAGACTAGATACCGCAATGGAAATCTTCCCCACACTAATGACGTCATCGGATATAGGCTTCTGAGACACTGTCTTTACCCCTAATACTACTTGGCGCTTACTCATAAAAGTTCCATTTACTATATTAGTACTATTACACACTGTCCACACACTCTCATCCCATAAACGCCCCGCCCGCCAAACAGAGGTTGCGTCGAGTAAAGTGGACCTTGTACACGGGGGTCTTCTTAGTGAAGTACGCCGTCATGTGGTCGCTGGAGGCGATGATCTCCTTTCTGTTTTTATCCTGGCCCTTGCTTCGAGTATCGGCGCCATCGGTGAACGCCTCGGGCTCGGGACCGGCGTCGTTGGTATTCTTCTTCACGTCCCACACCCGCACGGTGTTGTCGGCGCCGCCACTGACAAGTACCAGCCCATCGCGCGAGAACGCCAACGAGTAGATCAGCTGGCGCCCGTGGCCCTTCATCGTCTTGAGGCGGCGGCCCAGACCGCAGTCCCAGATGTTGATCACCAGGTCTTCCCCGGCCGACGCCAACCACCGGCCATCCGGCAGCACCGCCATACAGTTGACCGGCTGGGTGTGGCCCATAAACACCCGCACACAGTTACCCGTTTGCACGTCCCACATCCGACACAGTCTGTCCAGCGACCCTGTGAACACGTAGTTAGAGTTGGGGTGGAAATCGACACAGTCGACGTCGTTGATGTGCCCGGCGAAGATCCGGAGCGGGTAGATGTGGTCGGTGGCCCACAATCTCGCCGTCTGGTCGTGGGAACCAGTGACAAAGTAGTGGCCCATCGGCAGGAACTTGACGTCCCAGATCGGCAGCAAGTGACCCTTGTAGCTCACTAACGCCTGGTAGGCATCAAGCGACCATAAACGGACGGTCTTATCTTGCGACGCCAGCACTAAGAACCGGTTGTCAGGAGAGAACAGCACCCCGTATACGGGGCCCAGGTGACCCACCAATTTACGCAGGTTATCGTTGTTGTGAGGGTCCCGCTTCATCACCAGTTTGAGCGGCTTGCCGTCCAACAGCCACAACTTGACGTACAGGTCCTGGAACCCCCCAGCAATCAAATTCAGGTCTTCGTTGAAATTGAGACAAGTCAAGTCGTTGTTGGTGTTGTGGAAAGTGTACATACACACCAGGGGTGCTGCTGCTTGCACTGCCCCCAATTTAATCTTCTGCCGCAGGTCTTCCACCAGGAGAATAATCCGCTTGATGTCGTTAGCATCACGCAATGGGAGAGGCAACAGTTCTCGCGCAGGAGCGTCGGCGTCAGGCTTGGTCATCTCGGCGAATTCGTCAGTAAGCAGCTTGCCGTTGACTAAATCGACGGTTTCATCTTTAACCTTGATTTCCGCTTCCACTTCCTTTTGCACTTCGGGGTCAAGTGGGAGTTTACCGAGTTTCACTGGTTGTTGGTTAAATTGGTCAACTTCGTTACCCTGAGTGGTAAACTCGGAAATACCCTCATCGGGGTTAGCTTCACCTTCACCAGCAACTTTATCCGGGTTAGTGGTGGCAATTTCGGGGTCGAGGTACTGGTTGATGATGCGAATGAGAATAGCACCCCCGACGGCTTCGTTCTCGTGCAAGAAGTATAATAAGAGATTGAGCGACGTCTTCAGCACCATGATGCGGTAGCGGTGGGTACGAAACGCTTGGGCAACTTCGTTTTCGGCAAGGTGGTCCGGTAACGAGATCCCCGCCAATTGGCCGATTTCCGTACCGTGCATCACGGTGTGGTCGCTCTTGTACTTGTCGAAGAACTCCTTAGCTTGAGCAGGATAGTTCTTGGACACAAGCTCCAAAAAACACTGGACAAACAAAGGATAAAGCATCCGCAGCAATTCGGGCTTATACAAATCTAACGACGTGTTCACCCACCGCCGAAGCATCAGGTACGCAGTATCGTAGACATCGGGGTCGTCGTCGCGCTTACGCTCCTCTAATCTCTGTAAATCCCGTAACTCTTTCTCCTTAACCAATTGGTGTTCCCGGTCGCGGGTCTCGGCGAGTTCGCGTTCCACCTGGTTCTGGCGCTCCTTTAGCTGACTGATTTCACGCTCCGTTCGGGTGACCTTATTTCTAAGATCACGTTCCAGGTCGCCACCAATCTCCTGAGGACCGGCTAGTCTCAGCGTGGCGGGAGTAACCGGCGCTGGCGCCGGGGTCGGTTGCGAGGCACTCTCGGAGCGAAACATCATCTCGGTGCGGTAGTACCCCTTTTTCAGGAGGTACTCGAGAACGATCTTGTTGAGGTCGGCCTGCGACTGTCCCAGCAGAGTGCCCACCGGTGCCCGCTGCCCCTGGGAGCCCGGGGGCGCTTGCCCTTGGTTGGAAGACATGAGGGTGAGGTCTGGATGAGCCGCGAAAAACGCGACCGTTCATGATAAATTGGAGGACAGTGAACAGGTCTTAGAATAGAAAACTAAGGAGAGTTGGCATGAACATGAGTTGTTATGTAGTTAATATTGATCACCAAATTGATATACACGCATGAGTTCTTGCAGCGGGTCAATCTCTCTTGATAGTCACAGAGGTGCGGGATCTCGTATTCTCACAAGCTGTAGCAGATAAGACTTTGACCCTATAAACATATCAAGATATCCAATCTCTAGAAGCATTAAGATTGTCATCCCTTTCACGTCCTGTATCTTAGGTTTAGTATACATATTTCTGATCCAGAACTTTGCACTGATATTTAGGGACGTTGATGCTTGATACGCGGTGATAGCGAGCATACCATCAGACTGAATTTTCATAATTTTCATGCACCAGCAGTCTCGAGTCATTTACAGTACGTAGAACCAAAATTTAAGATTCCAATATTTGCTATATCATCCCACAAAGCATGTGCTAAGTCCGCTCAAGTTAGCGGATTTAGCTCAGTTGGGAGAGCGCCAGACTGAAGTAAACTTCGGTCACTGAAATCTGGAGGTCTTGTGTTCGATCCACAAAATTCGCATTCTTTTTGACTCTATTTCAACTTGAAGACGTCTACAAGTCAATTGACTTGTTCCTGAGTTACGTATTGCCGCTCAACAGCAGCGGATTTAGCTCAGTTGGGAGAGCGCCAGACTGAAGTCAACTTCGGTCCTGAAATCTGGAGGTCTTGTGTTCGATCCACAAAATTCGCATGTTCATTATCTTTTTATGTTTTTGAAGGTCGACCGATTTGTTTTTCGTGACATTGTTTTCAATTTAGGTGGTTCTCACTTAGTTCTGTTGGTTTTCTTGTTATTAACTATATACGTTCTAAGATTGCCACGGTCTCCACATGCTTAGTTTGGGGAAACAAGTCAAACCCCACCACACTCAGAACTTTATACTTAACCCCATCCGATTCCTTGCCAATGCGTTCAAGCATTGCCAAGTCACGCGCCTGAGTCATCACATTACAACTCACGTACACTACCACCTTAGGACCAAATTCATACAACTGTTGCATGAATTGAGGAGTCAGACCCTTTCTAGAAGGATCCATGACCACCACAGTATCGTCACCGGAAAGATTCAACTCCTTGAACTCTACGCGGTCAAACATGTTTGTGGCATCACCCTGAACAAACGTGACTTTCTCGCCCATGCCGTTGAGCTTAGCGTTATGAGTAGCATATTTGATCAGCTCTTTATCAATTTCAATGCCAAATGTCTTTTCAGCATCGGTTCCTTTAGCCAAAGCCACTGAGAAATAGCCCAGTCCACAATAGGCATCAATAACATATTTGTATTGATAACCCTCGAGAAAGTGCTTGATATAATCAATTATATCGGGCATGATGAAACTGTTGTTCTGAAAAAACAGCGCCAGATTAAATTGGAAAAGGTTTTTACCCACTTTCTGAGTGATGATTTTGTTAGGACCCTCCAAACACACCTGGCGATGGTTGCCGTTGGCTTCAACGTGTAAGCTATCTCTCAAGAGAAGAGTGTACTCCCGAGGACTTTGTTCAGACATCGCCTCTCGAGCTTGCCTACGAACAAATGGCAACGCCTTATTGATGGCAGGCGTGGCGATAGGACAATGGTCAACGTCCACCGTCCCCAGTCTCACATCCAACATCCCTATCGGCACCTCATCATAGTCAATGGTATCCTTCCTGAGTTTATAATGAGGCGTGAGCTTGTTGCGATACAGGTATTGCAATGGCGACTCTACCACAAAGCCAAACCCCTCGTCCTGAGCGAGAGCTGGGTAAAAGTAACGGTAAGCCCGCTGGATAAACAGCTGCTTCGTTTGTAATTGGTCTTCATATGATACCATTTGAAATGTACACCCTGAGCATCGATCAAATTTGTTGCACACGATAAGATTATCATCTCGCCGCGGTGACGGCTCCAACACCTTCACCAAGTCAGCTTCAGTGTGAGTTTGATGATGGACAGTAAGCTTTGCTCGCACACGATCACCCACAACACATTTGGGCACGTACACTGCGGTGAGGGCACCGCTAGGAATATCAGATGCTGTGAGGCCATTGGCGTAAGACTTCGGGACAAACCCAAACCCACCGCCCTCAGTCAGTTGAAAGACAATATCAACGTCCACCTCAACAAACGGCCGATGACGAGCAACATAAAATGCTTCCATCAAGTCAACCGGATTCGCTATAGTATCAACTTTAGCTTGAGGATGGACTTGTCGTAACGCTTCTTGAACCTCGTAGAATAGAACATTGGAGCGGCTGGTGATATCCTTGGAATCACGCAGCTTAGCTTTACCGAGTCGCTTAAGCCATCGAGCCAGTTGTTTTGTTTGACGGGCGGAGGTACTGGCCCATCGAGTGTATATCATTGTATAGATACCATTGATTGTATGCAGGTGCGAGATGCCTTCCCCAGACCTTACGGATACATATCAATGTTAATAATTACAGGTCACGAAGTAGAAGCTTTTACTGATTGATAGAGCTGTGTATTTGTGTATTTCTTATATTAGAGTACCCTATATACTTATATAGTTCTACTACACGCCGTACGGGAGTTAACCTGACCGTTCCGAGCTCTACTGGATACTACTTAAGCTACATGTGATGAATTTTTAACATTGTGGTCACTTGGTTAAAATTTAGCATCATTGGCTTGTCAACATTCAACATCAAAATGGCTTTCCCTAAAAATTCAAATTGGGCGTACTCCTTCGTTGTGGGTGACAATCAAGCGTCGTTACAGGCGTCTTTCCGTCTCATCAACTCAGCGGCATCTTCGAAATGTGATAGAGAGTATGGGGGCCAAGTAGTGATAGGAGAATGGGGTTTCCACTCCAACCTTCACTTCTTTGGGAGCACGGCTTTGTCAAATGAGCTGGCGAAATAGTACACCTGACCCCAGAACAAGACTCAAACCGCAATATTTAGCGACACGCCGATTGTAACTATCCAAGGTTCTTGTATTCTTCAGCAAAAGTTGTTAGTGAGCATCGGTCTCCATCAAAGTTCAGCGTGAGCATCGGTACTCTCTTTCGAATATCCTTCTTTCAATCGATTTCAGCATCAATCCTTTTTCATCATCTCCCCTACCACTTCTTCCAGTGTTAAAGCAGCGCTCTCACCACCACCACGTCCTCCTTCTACACTTTCACAACCTCCTTCACCACTTCCTTCTTCCAAATCTCTGTTCCACCACCTCCACCTCCAATGCGTTTGATCCTCAACCTCTTCCTTCTTCTTCACCAACACCACCTTCAACGTCTTCGATCCACCACCACCGTAGCCAACTCGCTCCACGTTATCACCGATTCACCACCTTCCAAACCCCATCACTAGTTTCTACCGACGGCAAACGTGTATGAGTTGCCCTCGGGGTTTTCGTCGGTAGAACAATTTTCACAGCAAAGCGTCAAATCCTCGTTGCTAAATGACTCCTCTCGCCGGAGCTCAAGTAGCGTGTGTTGAGGGGACCAGTGGCAATCAAAATCAAGGATTAGTCGCCAATATGAGTTAATTTGAAGGACCAGTGGCTTCCAGCAGTACGGGAATTCAGCCACGATTCCAAAGTCAGCGTAAGTTATAGACCCAATCAGCAGATATTGAATAGGATCAGTGGTGTGCAGCAGTAGTTAGTGGCCTGCAGCAATTATAGAAGGTCTAGTGGCCACCGACAATTGAAAGTGGCCATCAACCACTTATGCAAAGGGTTAGGCGGCCACTAGACTTAGTTCAATTGGGCCAGCGGCCACCGACAACAGTGTAAACGGGCTAATGGCCATCAAAATTGGTTTCAATGGATCATTAGCCGCCAACCCGTCCACCTATATCGTTAATACCCATTGCCCGCAATAGATGACCACAAACGACAACTGTATAGCCGTAGCTTTAGCCAATAGTAAAGTGTCTCCCGTGGGGTGTGAGAGCAGGCGGGTTGCCGCTGACAACTTGATCACCCCGTGGGGATGTTTCAGCGGGGGAACCCCCTGGTCACACGTCGACGTCCAGTCGCCAGTAAAACCTGCAGAGCAGACGGGTTGTCCCTGTTAACGTGATCATCCGGTGAGGGATGTTACAGAGAGCTAAACCGCTGGTGGAGGGCGTGGTCAGTTTCCCCTTTTTTTTTTTTTTAAAAAAAAAGGGGGCTTCCACCCGGTTTCTGGAAACTAACATGCCATGATTTGGAACCCACAGTATTTCATCGACGTTAATCGGCTACGTACTGGGGACCGGCATGCTGTCTAAGGGGCACAATACCAGCCTAAAGTTGGGCTAAACAGCGTTAGGATCATGTCTATAGAGTCTTTCCAACACCCACTATATGTCAGTAGCCGTACGGATGCATCCCCGCGGTGTCATTTTGTATAATGACTACCCGAGGCCAGCACAATTCCGAGCGTGAGCAAGCACCCACGAGTACCACCTTTGAAGTCCTTGGGAGAGAAAGGGCTCCAGGATGGCTCGCGCCTTCGTGGTGATCGAGCCGGTAGAAGTCGCTAATGCGTTAAACTGTTGGCGGCGACCACCCTTCCAGCCGGGGTGTCAAAAGACACCACTGGAGCTTTGGGGCAAGATGGTTCAACAAATTAGAAACAGCATGTTCAACAACGTCAATTTGAGGTCACAAATATTGGGTAGTGGTATCAACAACAACAGCAGCAGCATACTTTTTGACCCGCGAGATGAGTAAGGCAGGCAGCCGAAGCTCTAATGGTGGGTTGAAGGGAAGTCAAAAAGCAGCTTCAATCCAAGCCACTTAGGAGTTGTGGTTTCTGGCAATAGGTGGGCCAAGCCAGGCTACGTGAGAGTAGCGGTTTCTGGCGTTGGCAGGCCAAGCAACGCCACCTAAGGGTGGTGGTCGTGGCTTGGGCGGGTCACAAGTTCAAAGGGACAGAGAAGGACCATACACGGAGCCGTCAATAATGCGATACTCCTGGATGAGCTTCTTGGCGTGGGCAATGTTCTCTGCTGGCTCAAAGGGGGAGCCATAGAGTCGTACCAAGAGATCGCGGTATAGAATGTTCAAATCCATCTCGTCCACAAGCGTCAGGTAACGCTTGTCGCATATTCGTACGGCGTCGTTGATTCGGGCACGTTCACACTCCGGCTCATAGGGAATTTCGGCGTAAATACGATCGAGAACATTGCGGTAAGACAGTCCTTTGAACCCGTAGTATGGGAGAATGCCATAGTGACGCAAAAGAAAGTTAGTAAAGGCATCTCCATCCAATCTGATCCCGTATCGGGCAAAATTGGAAGTGGCAATTTCGTTGCGCTGAGAAGGGTTGTCCCCATTAACGTAGGCATCAAACAATACATCAACCATGTCCGTCCCCCAGTGAGTCAAACCCCATCCACTGGAGGAGGTATGGTATGGGGCCGGGCTTTGAACCATCGGCACTAACAGAGGTGATTGTGGTTGAGATTGCGTCATTGTAATAATTGATTTGTTAATGGGGGGAAATGGGTAGTAATATAGGCGGAGACTGTATACAGGTCAAGTTAGACGAACCCCCTTTGCCCCCACTAACTCTCTCCGCCACCCCTTATCTCATCGTCGTGTCGTCTGCGACATTATATCACGGGTTGCATTTTAGTCAGATCCTTTTAGGCTGTAAATCGGGGACACAAAAGTAGCAGCACTCTAGATGAGTAAATGGGTCGCTGCCAACTTCGCCGGTGTAAATATCTCAAAAACTGATGTCGATCTAGTCATTTTGTGGTCTAGGGGGGCTCAGGGGACTCAACAATTTATTGGGAATGCCGTCTATAAGGAGGGGACGGTTGCCGAGACGACACTGGAATGCTGGCTCCAACGCGGTCAAAACAGCGTAGGTGGAGGAAACTTAAATTGACCACGTATCACATTGGTGAGAGAGTATACTCAAGGTATCATTGCTGAACGCATGGGTCCTAAACTGGTCCAAAAACGTGGGTAGAGATCGTTCCGCTGGATTCGTTTCTCGCGCGCCAGTGTTGATTGTCTCCGTGTCATGTTGACGAGAGCGACGCAATGGTCTGACTCCGATGACATAAGCGGCTTTACCAACAGCCGGGTGCTGAGTTCTCCCTGACCAGCCCGCGAAGCTAACTCTTGTAGCTAATGAACATTTTGAGTAGGAGAACCTATTTGTTTTACATGATGCTGATTGTATTTATGATTGCTTCGTCGCCTCTTCCTTATGGCCGACGTTGAAATTTACAAGAGTCGCGCTTCAGTACGTTTAGCCGTCAGTGAGACAGCCATTAGGTTTACCATAGAATGATAACGACTATATCGAAAAATAAAGTCAGATTCAAATCAGTATTGATTACAACATATTTACGCCATTACGTAAACTCGCAATTGCCACCTATTTACAGCGGCTCTTATTACCCCCATGATATACGTTATCTCCATACTCGGACCAGCCGATTAGGCGGGGACGGTCAGCCGTATCGATGGCCCGTAGCCTCGCGGGTCGGTGTCAAACTCCAGGGTATAGTTATTGTATCGAGAACGTCCATACCTGGGAGCGAACGCCTCCAGCTGGTAGCGAGGGTCGCGGCGAGAGTAATTGTGGTTGATTTGGTTATGATGGCGGAACCCGTCCCGCAGCGTGTAGATGGTAGGGACGTCAGTAGGGACAAGCAGGTCGCGGTCAAACACCAGCTGCAGCACTGAAGCAGCGTCGATCGGGTTCAATTGTCTCATGTTGCGTTGCATTTGCTTACGGCGTTCCTCTTCGCCATCGCGCTGAGCCCACGCCATCTTCTCCACTTCCCGTTCCCGGCGGTGGCGTTCACGCTTATCACGAAGACGGCGTCGAAAGCGGCGAAATTCGTCACGTCGACGGTCCAAGGGAGACGTCAAAAGGCGGCGGTCGTCACCACGAGGAATCTCGCGGTGGCGCCTCATTGAGGAGTCGTACTCCATCATCAGCGGGTCGTACTCTCTGCCTCGGCCTAGGCCCAGCATTAGACCTGGTGCTCCGCCTCGAGCTAGCCCTCCAGCGGCTGTAGACATGCCATAACCAGACTGAGGATAGTAAGGGTAACGCCGACTCATGCGGTGCATTATGGCAAGCGCAGCGACAATAACGACAACAAAGATGATTTCCGACGAGCTGACGCCGTCGCCAAGAAGACCGGGCTTTTCCACCTCCTTAAAGTAGTGGGTCTGACGATCGTTAGAGTCAAACATGGGGTGGGGACGATTCGAGCGCGGAGGGAGAAAAATTGGCTGCCCTTATAATCTGCCGCACTGACGTCATCAGTCGCAACCGACAGGCGATACGAGTGTTGCCAGGCCCACCGGTGGTTGCGGCTAACACTCTGCGGGGAGAATGACGAAAAGCGTTTGCTCCTGCTTCGACTATGCTGGAATTTCGACGCCAGCAACCGTTGGAAAACGCCATGTTTACCCTGTTGGCAGTTGACGCGCGGCTGGGGATCGATCGTCGGTAGGCGCTGTCCCCTGACAGCCCACTGCTTCGAGCACAGTAGAGCGCGTGAAACAGGTCACGTGGATTATGGTACCCCGTCGCACTAAAATTTAGCAAAGACGAAGCTGTGAAAATCCCTCTCCCTCTCGTGAAGTGAGGGTCACGTGCGTTCGAGACCACGGTCAAGACCACAAAGTCACCGCCACCCACCCACCCACTCAAAGGCGGAATCTGACAGTAAAGTGAACGTTTAATTTAGTCCATTGATTATACTTGTGTGGACTGAGTATATCCTATCAAACACTAAAGTAAACCCGTTATCTTGGCTATTGTGCCTTCGGTGTGTCTCTTCACCGTGAGTCTCACCACCACTTAGTGCGCAACCCCATACCTCCCTTTCAACCGCAAACCCATGGCCCTGGAGGCAATTGCCGAGCTCAGTCGGGTGTTTCCCGGGTACCGGTTTGACAGCGATTTCCTTACGAGTGGCGTTGATGTCGCTGACGCCATTGATAGCGGCGATTGGGACCATTTGGCGCAAGTGGCCCGCGGGTGTATCTCCACTAAACCAGGCAATAATGACCCTATGCTCATTGACGAAGTGGCTCCCTGGGTTGAGAAAGTGCTAAAGCTTCCCAATACCGATTATACTGTGGTATATCTCGAGGTATTGGTCCAGTTGGTGCGTACTCTGTACCGTCTCCAAACGGGGCTTGACCACGCCAAATTCCAACAGAAAATATGCCAATGGCTTCTTCTCGATAATGTTGAAGCTGTAGACCACCAGTTGGCCTCATTATTACGCTTGTTTTATCCTTATGGCGCCCTGGCTGCCACGATCCACGATATCGTTAAACCCGCACTTGTGGCCCCAGATAAAGCTAATGTCAACCGCCTTTACCACGTGCTTAGCGGACCAGCTACGCCGCTGGAGTTTATCGTGTTTGCTCAGCCCACTACCTTCCCCATTGCCTCAATGCCACCTATGAGAGGGCTCGCGGTACACATGTGGCTCCGTCTCGCCGACTCGTTAAACCCAGTCAATCGATTACAGCTATTTCGATTAAGTGGCAATGGTGCTGCTGAATTGGGTGTTTACTTAGACGACAGTCAAATCAAAGCCGAAGTGGTTACCGACTCCGATACAACATTAATGTACCCGTTCAATCAGCACGTCGACGACCTTGGCGTTGGCGCAGGCAACTGGCTCCACGTGGTGTTGACCTACGACGACTACGGCAATCTTAATTTATTTCTTCAGGGCGAGTACCTGGAGCTGATGCCGTGCCCTGAACTTCAACTGCTACTCCAAGGGTTCACTAAAGTGGTATTGGGTCTGCCGGGAGCGGAGTTTGTGGTGCTGACAGTGCTGATACTCAGTTGCAGTCTCACTAGTGAGTGGGTGCTGTTCCTATATGCTTTAGGTCCAGCGTTCACTTGGCTGGTGAAAGAGGCTCTGACAGATACGCTTATGGCTACCGTCAGTCGGCTAAACCAGCGCCAGCTTATTGAGCTTGGCTACAAGCTCAAACTGATTGGTCAGCGACGAGACGAACCATTTAGCACAGTGTCGAAGCAAGTCATCATCAGCCAATTGGCTCGTCTTTCTGGTGACCGCGTCGTATTCGATATGAACGACTACTACCGTGCCTGTCACGACCGCAACGCTCAATTCCGCAACTCAAGCTACCATTTCCACACTGTCACCACTGTCCACGCCCTGCTAGCGATCGTTGGTGGACCACAACTATTAGTGGCCATTCTCGAACGGTGCCTAGAACAGCATCTGCCGGAGCTCATAGAGAGAGCCCTTACCACGTTGTTTGCCGTAATCAATGCTGACTGGCGGTTCCGCGATGAATTTGAGAATAATCATGGCTATGGTATGGTGCTGATTTTACTCACAAAGCACCGGCAATGGGTCAGTCCCACCGCGTTAACCGAGATCTTGAAACATTGTGGTTACGACCCTGATGACAAACAACACCTGCTCATTGTTAACAAGCAATGTTATCGCTTCATCGTGCTTGCTAACAACTTTGACCTCTGGGCCCGCCCTAATATCGATTCCTTAATGGAGCACTTTGATGTGTTATTGCATAATAAGTATCGTGCGTACAATCAGTTGGAACTCCGCAAGATGAAACTTCTCAAGCGACTCGCCCAGTTCCTCAAGGGGTACCCTGAAGCTGGCCAAGGGATGGAGAAGTTCCTAGTGACTTTACTACGCATAGACCCGCTGGTGGAGCTGATACGCATGCTCCTGATGCTGGTGGTACTGGGAAACTCGGCCGCCACCATCGTGCTGGCGCTTGCGCAGGTGCTCTGTGATAAACTGAGTCTGATCAAGACCATCAAAAAGTTTAGTCGACTGATATCTATCCACTGGCTATTGCTTTTATTCGAAGATCATTCTAATCCGCCTCAGGTAATCATTGATGGCATCAGGCTTCTTTGTCGCTTGTTGAAGCTGCTTGGTCCTCACGTTATTCGTCGCTTCTTTACCCTGAATCACGGTGCCGAAGTGCTTGTTCACTTCCTCCGACAATGGTGGCAGCAACCGCAAATGCTCGGTCAGCTTGTGCTTGCAGCTTTTGGAAGTGATAGCACTGGCGCCGATACGATGACGCAAGCGACGAAACGAGTGGATCCACAAACGCCGCTATTAGTGCCAGAATTCCTCGTGGTGGTATCGGGAGTGGTGGAGTATAGTCTCCATACGCTTTTGGTCAAGAGAGGACGCCACCTCTCACTGCCCACACGCCAACATTTCGCTGAAGATAGACTCGCAATTTCCGTACTTGACGTGGTGGAAGAGTATACGCAGATGCTCACCACTGGCTTTGAGCGAGTCAATGCTTTGCGTAACTTTTTCGTCACCAAAGAGTGGCTTGAGCCAGCTATGCAGATTGTTGGCTACCTACACACTATTGGAACGTGGAACACCGAGGAACTGATAATCTTCCACCAGGCCCAAATCAGGTTGTGTCATGCTCTCGGCGACATTATCGTGCGCAAGATACAAGCTAACCAATTCCAAATGACGGGGCTAGATGAGTTCATTGAGAAGACGTTAGTCGAGCTTGTGTTGCCTCATGTGTTTACCGAAGTGACGCAGTTTTTGACCAAGTCCAATTTTATCCACAATGAAAAGCAGCTACTTACAGGGATGCTGGTGGTAGTTTCTGCCTATCAACGCCATCTTGATCAAAACTACCGCGTGTCCGATGCTGATCTTCTGGCCTACCTTGAGTGTGTGGTGGCTCTTGCCGAAATCGAGGGTAATCTGCTCCCGGTGAAAAGTCAACTTGGACAACTATTGTACAATAAGCTTTGCCACGACTCCCTCAAAGTTGATACGCTCAAGTTCATGATGTACCGCCAAATGGTGGTGTTCCAACGCGAAGTCTTAAATGAGCAGTTGCTTGGGAAAGTGGTCGCGGTGATTCTTGGGTTTTGGGTCGAAAGTGCCGCAGATGATGCTTTGTTCGGTAACTTCTTGCGCACGGCCTACATCATGAACCAAACGCAGTGGCGCCAAGTGCTTTCGCTGGTATTTTCAGCGGAGTACGTGGATCCATTGGTGCTGTTTTTTGATTTGTTAGCGTCGCAAAACGACGACGATGCTTTGAAATGGTTGAAGCGGCGCGATGTCGTGTGTCGCCAGGTGGTGAAAGTGGCGCTGGCGCTTACTTCCGACGGTGACACCCGCGTTAAGATGAGCGATATGATCGTGATGAACTTCACCAATAACGGTGCCAGCCTGGACTCGGTGCACATCAGCCAATACGTGCGTGATTGTGCTAGTCTCCGCAAGCAAATCATTCACAATGAACGAGTACGGCACAACCGCTGGCTTCAGGATCATAAGGAGAATGTGGCCTACTTTGTCAGCCACTATAATGGCGTCAAAGGTGACGTCCTCAGGTGGATGGGTGCCAGCGATGATACCAACGCCACCTTTACCTTGGATGCCATTGATAATGCTAACTTAATGCGCCAGCGATTTATCTTAGCGGACCAGTTACTGGAACTGGAACGCCTTAGTTACCATGTGGATGTGCCTGTTCTCCGTGAAGACCTGCCCGAACCATTGGAGGAGCTGTTCCTTGTACTTGACATCGAAGACGCTAACGAGTCAACTCCCCTGGCTGAAGCCGACTTTGACGAAGATAAAAACCGTAAGGTGTTGCGTCTGTTGTTTATGGGGGACCAAATCCTTGCCATATGGAATATCAGTCAAATCAATGGTCTCGCTCTGATTGAGCTGGTGATGATTCTTGGCACGCTGCACTTATACATGATTGAAAACTATTACTGTACCCGTGATGGTAATATCGTTGATATTGAGGATGTGGCGGCAGAGGACCGTGACCCCATTGTGGCGTTGCTTGACCAGCCGCAATCATCGGGAGCTCGTGAACACCGTACCCGCCACTGGCCCCTCACCCGCCTTGCTAACGTGCTGAAGCGTCCGTTCCTCCTCCGAGACGTCGCCTTGGAGCTCTTCTCCACCGATGGCGCTCTGATCTTAATTACCTGTCGCCTGACTCGTGATCGTGATGCCGTGTACAGTAAGCTCAGCAGCTACGCGTCGCCCGCTCGCCTTGACCCGGATTTGCTGGTGCTGCTTAGCTACGCGTCTGTGGTCACCAACGGCGGTGGCGTTAACGTCACCCTGCGACTCGTGCTGGCATTCTCGGGTGCGGCGCTGGCGCTGGCCCAGTTTGCCAACATCACCAAGAAATGGCGCCAGGGCCGGTTGTCGAACTTCTACTATCTCATGTTGGTCAATATTGTGGCTGGGCGTACGTATAACGACTTGCTGCAGTATCCCGTGTTCCCCTGGGTGCTTGCGGACTATACGCTGCCAACCCTTGATTTATCGGACCCTAAGGTTTTCCGTGATCTTAGCAAGCCCATGGGAGCCCAGCTGGGCGGGCGTATGCGCCAGTTTGTCGAGAGATACCACGCTCTCGCTAGTCTTGGTGACTCTGAGCTGGTACCTTTCCATTATGGTACCCACTACTCGCTGGCGATGATCGTGCTGCTGTTCCTCATCCGTTGCCAGCCATTTGTCCAGCTGTACTTGTTGCTTCAGGGAGGTCGATTTGACCATGCTGACCGCTTATTCCTGCTGGTAGAGCGAGCCTGGCAACTGGCAGCGGTGGACAATACCACCGATGTCCGCGAGCTTATCCCTGAATTCTTTTACATGCCCGAGTTCTTGGTCAATACCAACCACTTTGACTTTGGCACCACTCAGCTGGGACAATCAGTGAACGACGTGGCTTTGCCTCCTTGGGCTCACGGCGACCCTCAAGTGTTTATTGCTAAGAACCGAGAAGCCTTGGAACTGCCATACGTTCTGGCGCATTTGCACGAGTGGATTGACCTTGTGTTTGGCTATAAGCAAACGGGGGATGCTGCGGTAGATAGTGTCAATGTTTTCCACCACACGAGTTACCTGGGAGGCACCAATTTGGATGATATTAGCGACGACACTCAGAAGAGAGCTGTCATTGGGATGATCAACAACTTTGGTCAAACGCCGGTGAGAGTGTTTCCTAAGCCTCACCCGCCACGGGAAGTACTTAATTGGCCCAACCGCTACCTCAACTTGGTGGATCATCAACGGCTCAAGTTAGTGTTCCAATCCAAGCTCAAACTGCCTATTGTAAGACTTGAACTCAAGAAGAAACGCCGACTTGGTGGGGGTATGCTGAGCTTGTGGGTGGGACGTCCGCAATGTGTGATATCTGATGGCTATTTGGTCCGCAAGACTCGCCAAGGGTTCCTGCGCCTGCTTAACGTCGACTCGCTGACATTTTTGGATGTCCACGATAGCAACATTACTGCCATGGCCTCCTTGGGTGTGAACGGATTCGTCACTGGTGATGCTGGAGGTCTTTTGAAAGTGTGGAAATTTTCTCAAGATAACCACTCTTTGGAGGCTAAAGGCACATTGAGAGGCCATGCTGCTGCTATCGTCCACGTATGTTATAGCCCTAGTTTCCTGCTTGGGGTATCTCTCGATGCTGATGGGGTGGTGATGGTCTGGGATATGATTCGTCTCAAGTTCATCCGCCAATTCAAATTTGACGATGCCACAGGGAAGATCTTCGTGCTGATCTCGCATGACACCGGTAACATGGGGTTTGTTTACATGAAGGAGCTGAAGCTTGTTCTTCGCATGCTTTCCATCAACGGACACGAATTGGTGACGCACGAGTTCCCTCTGCCGGCTCCTCGTGAAGTGACGGCGATTAACTTTGGTCGCGTGGGCAATATGAACGAAGAAAGCGACCGCCATATATATTGGAGCTCGGAAATCTTGGGCATTGCCATGGGCAAAGAACTCAAGGTGTACGAGATTACCACTCCGCCCTCGGTTAACGAGATTGATCTGATCTTATTGCCGCAAGTGGAGGCTGCCATCACTGCGTTTGAGTTGATTAAAGCCAGTGAGGTGGACATGGACGAGCGACTTGTGCGCGGTCATTTAGAGGTGGTGTTAGGCGATTACAAAGGTAACGTCTATGCTTGATATAAAGCTTAATAAACGAAATTCAATGGCTAATTGGCCCTCATCCGTCTTTGACATCGGGAACGACAGAAAAAAAGGATCCGTCAGCTACAGGACTCGAACCTGTGCGCTCAGAGAGCATTTGATGCCTCGAAGGGGATTCGAGTCAAACTCCTTAACCACTCGGACAAACTGACACTTGAAAATTTTTCGAAACACGCTTTTTCAGGTGATACTCGACTTACTTGAAAGTGCTAGAATGGTGCTGTACCAATTTAATTTCCACCAACAAAATTGCGAGTTCAAAGTGAACCATGTGGTGGTACTCAATTGCCACGTGTGGTCCCCAATTGAAAGTTATCCACTGAAAACTTTTAGATCGCATACGATGATTGCTGCTTTGTTTTGCTTTTTATGTAGGGCGCGCACCGAGTATTTTTTTTTTCACCTATTTTTAAACGTGAGTGTCTGCCTCTAGGACAAGCCTCCAAATGAGATCGTTCGTCGTTATCGCCATCTTTTTATCTAATTCTTGTTTGTCTCCACTGTGCAAGCATTCACCAAGATCCCACCACCATGTCCATGATTTCACCATACCTAAAAACCTTTTGATTGCTCCCCTCCTCTGCACTTCCACCTTGAACTTATGTAAGCGTCGACACGCGTCTCCCCACAGCCCCATCGCTCCTACCGTCGTTCCCTAGTCGTTCCCGTGCACCCCGTATAAGTCAACCGCGCACTTATTATTGTGACCGATCGCCAGACACTAAAATTTATCAACACTATGACCGAGAAGTCTAAAGGTCCCAAGCCTGGGTTTTTGGCCAAGGAAGACATCGAATGGGAGTTCGGCGGGCCTGCCGGTGCCCTCGGCATGATGGTGGGCTTCCCCTTGCTCATGTGGTACATGTGGCTCCTGGCGCAATTCTTCGACGGCCAGGCCGCGTGGCCGGCTCCCGGCCAATCGTGGCTGGATTTTGGTCACCAGTTGTGGACGTTGTTCGTTGACTACGGGTTGCCCACGTGGAAGGTCGTCGCTGGCTTTGCTGGCTTCATCATTGTCCAGGGGTTCTTCTACCTCACTTTACCCGGGGTGTGGACTAAAGGTCAGCCCCTCGCTCACCAAGGCGGCAAGCAATTGCCTTACTACTGCAATGCCATCTGGTCGTTCTACACGTCGGTGGTGTTGGCGCTCATCTTCAACTACACCGGGGTGTTTAAGCTCACTTACCTCATCGACTACTTCGGCCAGATCATGACCACCGCCATCGTCTTTGGCTGGATCATCTCGTTGGTGATCTACATCTGGCACTACCGCAAGGGCGACTACCAGCGGATGACGGGCAACCATCTCTACGACATCTTCCTCGGCGCTCCCTTGAACCCGAGAATCGGCAAGTACTTGGACTTGAAGATGTTTTTCGAGGTGCGTATCCCCTGGTTCATCCTCTTCTTCTTGTCGTTGTCGCTCTGCTTCCGTCAGTACGAGGAGTACGGTAAGGTGTCGCCGCAAGCGTTGTTCTTGTTGTACGCCCACTGGTTGTACGCCAATGCCTGTGCCAAGGGTGAAGAGCTCATCGTCCCCACCTGGGACATGGCCTACGAGAAGTTTGGGTTCATGTTGATCTTCTGGAACATCGCCGGCGTCCCCTTCACCTACTGCCACTGCACGTTGTACTTGGCGTACCACGACCCCAAGGAGTACCTGTGGTCGACCACCTACAACATGGTGCTCTACTTCACTCTCACCATTGCTTACTACTTCTTCGACACCGGCAACCGTCAGAAGAACTCGTTCCGTCGCGCCATGGCCGGCAACACCAACTTGCGCAAGACCTTCCCCTACTTGCCTTACTCTGACATCGAAAACCCCAAGTACATCACCACTGCCGACGGCTCGAAGTTGTTGACTGACGGCTGGTACGTGTACGCGCGGAAGATGCACTACACCGCCGACTACACTCAGGCGTTGACGTGGGGGTTGATCTGTGGTTTTGCCCTGCCCTTCCCCTGGTTCTTCCCCGTGTTCTTCTTCATCGTGTTGGTGCACCGTGGTTTCCGTGACCAGCGCAAGTGTGAAAAGAAGTACGGCAAGGACTGGGACCGCTACTTGGAGGCCTGTCCGTACATGTTCATTCCGTATGTGTTCTAGTCGTATATATAGTCCCTTTGAGAGAGAAAATGAACAAACACTTCTTTGTGATCTTAAGTAGATGACCAGTTGAGATTGAACCGCCCCGAAGGAACTTTAAACTGTTCTAATTGTTCAAACATCTCGTCGACAGAATTGGCCTTGATGATGATTTTGGAGTTAGCTTCACTGACAAACCCGGCGTCGACGGTAGTCTCGATAAATTTGAGGAACGGGTCCCAGAACCCGTTGATGTTGAGCACCACGATCGGCTTCGAGTGGATCAGAAGCTGCGACCACGTCGTCACCTCCATGAGCTCTTCCAAGGTGCCGAAGCCGCCGGGCAACGCCACGAAGGCGTCGCTTTCCTCACCCATCTTCCGCTTGCGTGTGTGCATGTCGTCGACCAACGTCGTCCTCCCGTACTCGTTCTCGTCGGGGACGACGGTGGTGCCGTCGTGCTCCGTGCTCAGCCCGCGGCGTTCGCGAGTCACTAACGCCTTAGGGATGATACCGTGGACGTCGCCTCCGTTCAGCGCACACCCTTTGGCGACGGCGCCCATGAGGCCAGTGTTACCGCCGCCGTAAACAAGGCCGACGCCCCGCCTGGCCATCTGCTCGCCAAGCTCGGTGGCGGTGTCGATGTAGCTGGCATTGGTGCCTGCCAGCGACCCACAAAACACACAGATCTTCATATTCAATTGGGTGGTTGGTTGGGTGTGTGGGAAAAGGAATTCAGCTCGTGGTCACTTCTCGCATTTTGTCACCTATATTCAGCGGTGACCGACATCCGCACCGTGGGCCCCCCGTGTGTCATCAAGAATAACGGGAATAGTCAATAAGAGTTAAGTGATTATTAATCGTCGTGATTGGTGATAGGAGTTTCAATGTGTCATGTTGCTTACAACGTCAGTGACGCCATAGTGGCCAGTTGACGTACACGCTTTCTGTACAAACACGCTTTTTGACATGTTCTTTGAGCGCTTTCTTTTTTCCCTTAGCGCAGACGCAATTTGTCTCGATGGGGTGCGCTCCGGGCTCAGACGCACCATCCCTCCATAGTGCCTTCCCCCCTTGTCGCCCAAACCCGCAAACTAGTTCACCCCTCCCCTGCGCCGATATTAAATTGAGGGGCGCCTTCGAACCAGTAGCTTATGAAACGGTAGACGGTGATGGTGCCTGGCAGGGGGCGACATGAGCGTCTGCTCGATTGAGCCCGATTGTCGGCGATTTAGGTTACGGGGAGCGGTTTAGCGCCGCCACAAGACCGGATTAGGGCGGCGTCTAAATAACGGGTGCGCTGCCCGACGATAACGCGCCGGTGGCTGAGGCGCGCAGCAGCGCCGAGACGTGCGCCCCGCATGAATTTTGTCGTATCTGGCGCCGGTATGGCCTTAGACGATATATAGCATAATTCTCCGCCAGCGCCGATAAATCCTTATCCTACCATGAGGGGCCCCGAACGCCGCCAGCAATTGTTCCAGCAGCTCGACCTGCTCGATTTCGACTTGCTGCTGACCGACGACGACGTCTTCGACGAGTGCGATGTCACTACTACCAGCAGTACCAGCAGCATCTCCAGCAACGACGGTCATACTAGCGCTAAAAATGAACCACAACTGAATCACCATGAGTTTAGACGAAGACTCTACCGCCAGTTGGATGAGAAAAACGCTAATTTGGCTAATATGTTGGAAGTTTTGGGAGAGGTGGCTCGCGAAGAGACTGATAACTGGATAGCGCAATTACTTGAGGTGTGTAACGACATTCGTCTGCTGCCAGCCTACCATACTGAGTCGGTACCGTTATGGTTTGCCCCTAGGCCAAAGTCAAGAAAACTGAAAACAACTGAAGCAAAGGTGTTGCCAAGATTCGAAAATATCATACCCAATGATGAGCAGAAGACAAAGTCAAAGGAAATCAAGAAACAGCCACTGAAACCTTCACTGAATACTCCTTTGAAGTCCCAAACGAAAACCGCAATGTTATCGAAGACTACACTGGTGGAGCCAACTCAACACAAACTTAATACTACCACACTGATACCGAAAGACACTACGCAAAAAACCAATCAAACCGCGTCGAAAACCACGCTGAAACCCAAAGATGTCACACCTAAGGATACCAAACTGAAGCCAAAGGAAACCTTATCGAAACCCAAAGGTACTACTCTGGTACTCAAAGACAACTTCATTACCCCCAAAGATACCCCTCAACTGGCACAAACAAAACCCAAACCAAAGATTGTCACTGGGGCGTCAGTTAAGAATCAGCTACAACAATTTGAAAAGTTCAAGGAACCGAAACGTCCGCCTCCCCGAGCCCTCTGTGTTGATGGTACTAAGCAGTCCACTTCCGCCTCTACAAACAATGTGGTAGAGTCCCACACATCCAAGTTTACGGTCCCGAAGACGCCCACTTTACCCTCACCAGCGGCTACTAGGCTGAGCGTGGCGCCACTGAAATCGAGTGATTCTCCTCGACCCATTAAGGGAAGCAAGATCAATGCCATGGCCCAGTTTTTCGAGAACTTGGAATAACCACCAGTCTGTCAGCACTTTCATTCTCAAGAGGCAGGATCCTCTTTGATCTACATGTAGTAATACCATATCGCTTTAATGATTAAATCTATTTCTCCTAGCTATATTGGTGAGATCACGACCTCAAAATCATCCGTTCAAAGTTAGGTGCAATACCGTGACCTTTGGACTTCCTCGACTTGTTTTCATCCGCAAGACTACCTTCCCGCGGTTCAAGTTGAAGAGAGATTTGATACTGTTCGGCGATGGTGGGGCACTTCTCATACCACACGTCCAAAAACATCTGGATCTCCTTCACCGTCTGGAAGTTGTAGCCGGTGGTCTTGAACCGATCAATGCCTCCGAGTATCTCACACGTCTTGGCGCGTTTAGCGAAGTTGATCAAGCGCAGGCGGTTCATCAAATTGTCGGGGTTGCCGTGATAAACGAATGTAAGGTCCAGAAGATACACCCCGAAGAACGGCACGCAGGGCTCCAGCCCAATGAACTTCAACACGTCACGGTACTCGTTGAAGTTACGCAGCAGATTCATCAACTTGTTCATGTTATGCAAATGGTTCAGCGTCTCTCCACTCAAAAACTTCCATGTCTTCTTGAGCCGGTGGATCGGCAGTGAATACAACGCCAGAATAATTGCCGTCATCAGCGAGAAGTTGTTGTACTGACGACACTTCTCCGCCACCTGTACCCAGTACCGAATTATGTGTACCCGTTTGCGAGGGTCCAGCTTGCGCAAAATCAGGTAGGCGACAAAGTTGGTAAGTTGGTTCAGCGCCTTGATGAAAGCGGTGATTTCGTCGTACAGCTCACTGAGCCCCAGCTTCTTACCCCACACTTTGGCTAAACAGGCAAACTTCAGGATTCTCAGGTACATGGCAAACTCTCTGATAGTCAATTGACGAGCAAGTTCCATATAGTCGATATCGGTTAATTTGGCTCTCTTGACGTGGATCAGACCTTTAGTGATAGGGTTAGGCGCTTTGCCTGGGAGTATCATCGGCACTCGGTCGAAGCAAACTCTTTCCCCGGCTAAAAGTTTAGTTAAGTCCACGGCTAATTGCTTGCCAATCAGGAACTGTTGTACCGGTTTCAGCTGAGCAAACACAAGCCAGCGGCGAAGCACCAGCTCATTGTAGTACAGATCAGTCCAGTGCTTTTCCACGATCAACTTCATGATATTCATCACTCTCAACCGCATCGGGTTGCGCTTTTTCGTCGACCACAAGTTGTACTCTTCAAAGGAGAGTCCATCAGGAGCATCCATATGGAACCGATTGATGAGCAAAGCCAAAAGCTCACCCAACGATAACATCGTCGGGAACGTAAGCAAAAAGGCCGCGTTGAAAGCCAGGTCAAAGAGGTCGTGGTGGGTTAAGTGAGCCACTAAAGCCTCCTTGGTACCACCCTTGACGTTACCCTTAATGTCCAAGATGAGATCAAACTCTTCATCGCCCTCCAAAAACCAGGGAGCATCGGCCAGAGAGTTTGACGATCCGCGGGCGCTTTTCTTCATCGCTGCCGCAGCAATGTTCAGAGTGATATCACCGCCGACGCCCAGGGTCACTGCTGCCACCGACAGGTTCAGATGCAGCGGCCCCGACTTCTCCGACATCAACGTGTTGTTACGCTCAATGACGAGAAGTTGGACGTTCAAGTCATCGTGGAGCACACGAGTGGCATAGTTGAGAATGGTTTCCCGCTCTTCGATAAGTTGTTGAAGGATTTTCTGAATCAGATTAAGGAACTTCATCAGGTCACTAAGATGTTCAGAAAGCACCACATCGGGGTTAGTGGAAATGGCACCATCGCGATGGTGATTAGCGTGTTCAAGTAAAATGTGAGCAAGTACTGCTGCCGACTTCTCCTGAGGGTCTTTCATCTGATCCTTATCATAGATGAGCTGGTCTTCCTCCCTAAGCCCCTTGAACACATCGGGGTCTTCCAACGTCAATGCCTGAGTGCCCATAATCACCGACATGATTAAGTCATGGAACTTCTGTTTGAGCTGGAAGAACTCGAGTACAATGGGATAATCAAAGGCAAGGTTCGACTGGAACTCCAGGGCATCGATCTCGGGTTCTTTACGCAGTTGGCGGCGGCTGGAGGGAGGCCGTTTGCGGATTTCGTCGTCGCCGTCATCGTCATTGTCGCCATCATAGCCCGGTATGTGGCTGTCGTCCGACTCGCCAGGAGTCGCTTTCTTCACAAGACAGAACACGGTAAAGTCCAACAGCTCGATGACGTCAATAAGCAGCGACGCGTGGAACAAGTATTTGTACACAAGCCGCAATATCTGAGTGTTTCTCTCCTGCTTGAGGGTGTCGTTGTAGAACTCTTGTTGCCTTTCCGGAGTGAGGAACGCAAGTGTCAGTTGCAGAAGTTCACGCATTTTGTCCAGGATGCCCACCACCTGGTCGTACATTTGTTGGTCAATGACGATTTTGGAATGGTAGCGGTTTTTGAGGTCATCACCCAGTACGTTGAGCACTGGGTTTTGCGACATGAAAAACGGGTTACACCAGTTGCCGCCGTTGAACTCGTCGGTGAAGAACCGAGGGTACACTTGGGGAAGCCGGCCCAGACGGTCAGCACCAGTCATATCGTCATCTGACTCGGCCTCGGTATCGCTCAGATCGTAATGGCGGCGGTAAACACGTTTACCTTCGGTGACCTTGTTGAAGATGCGAACAATACCTCTAATAATGTGTTTGAGCTCGACCACTTCCTTCTCAAATTGAGCCAAATAAGCGGCGTCAGACTTCAGCGCCATCAGGTTTTCCAGCAGCGGCGGGCCAACGCTATCAATCCCTGACAGCAGCACCAGCACTTGGTTCAGCGGGCTCTGCTTGTTTAAGTGGCGGATATCGTTTTGGAGCACCGGTCCGGCTTCGTTAAGCGACCCCAGATAATGAGTTAACAGCAAGTATAAGAGACCATTAATGTATAATTGGGAAAACAGGGCGGTGAGGCGTTTTAACCGGCGCCGTACCAGCTTCTCGAAGCGAGTGCCGTTGAAGTCGTCCTGAGTGAGTCTCAGAGCAAGAATGCAAAGGGCAATGATGCGTTGTACCCGGTCCATATGGGTGGTGAACAACGGCTTGTTCTGGTCGCGGACGGCGATCAGCGTGTACTCTAAGATCTGGTCCATCGCCGGCGGCACCTGGTCCCACTGCTGAAGATCGCCCAGTTGCGGGTAGAACAAGTCGTCCAAGTAAAAGAATGATTGAGTAAAGTGGTGGTATAGCAGTTGCAGTCCTTGGGAGATCAGCAGCGACGCGTTACTATCACGTTTAAACACCAGTCCGCCCAGGTCAAAAGTCGGAGCGGTAGAAAGTTTCAGTGGTTGGCGAGGCATTTCGGCATCGGCATCAACCATTTTGCTCAGGTTCTTTAACAGTTCGAACAGCGGTGCCTCAATGGGGGCGGGAATGGTTAAATTGGAGGCGGTGAAATTGGTCATAGGTACCACTTCGCAGTAGACCTCAAGCTGAGGCAGGAAGAACGAGAAATCGCCGCCAATAGTGCACCGCGGAATCCAAGTTACGCCGCGGCCCCATTCGGCCACATAGTCATCAGCTAGCCGCTCGGCTTCAGTCTCCAGGACGTATACCGGCAGCGGGCTGCGTTCCTCAGGTGCAGGGTCGCCGACCAGCGGCAGTTCCACCTGCAGAGGTTGTTCGTCCAGCCCTAGAGTGATGGTGGTGGCCACCAGGGGGTTATGGGTAGTTGCCCCCAGAGGCGGTGGCGCCTGTGATTGTTTCTGAGAAGTTTCGTGGGAGCTCTGAGTGTCTTCGCTGGCAAACAGCACCACCGAGTTTTTTCGCGTGGTGTCCTGGGAGGTCAGGCGTTCCGAGTAGTCGGCGAGGTTCTTTTGGAGCAAGCTGGTGAACGAGGGAATAAGCACGTTGGCGGCGGTGTTTGCCGCGGTGATGGAGTCGAGCTCCTTGTTGCTTTTGAGCTTGTTGAGCACCGGCTGGACGTAATTGACCGAGCGGACGTAGTTGTGGGGGATCCACCCGCGCTGGAGATCGCCGCTGGCGCCGATGACGACGCCGTCCCACCACCCGTTGGCGGCCTTGGCCAATATGTACACGGTGTCGCCGAGGCGGAGGGGCAAGTGCAGCGGCTGGGTGGCGGCGAAGTCGTAGAGGGCGATGACGGTGTCCAACGGCCTGAGCGGCTCGTCGCCCGGGTGGGTGCCGTCGTGAGGGGTCACGAAATCCGGAGGGATCTCGTCGGGGTAGGACATGGGGAGTCAATCGCCGCTGGCGCCGTAAGAATGCTCAGAAGAGGGAGGCGACCAGAGGGGACACGGGGCGGGTGAAGGTGGAAGCTAGAGGCTAACGGCGAGGTTCAGGGAAAAGTTCGCATGGGGACACATTAAATTTCCTGGTTGCGGGCCCGGGCGTGTGGGGACCTGGCTTAAGAAAAAAAAAAAGCAGCGGGACCAGATGGTCCCTGGCAAGCTAGGGGAACTTTATGACCAAATTGAGCCCACCAAGAATTGACCTAAAAATTAGAATTGGTGGGCTTAATAGGCGATAGTAGACTCAATTCTGAAGTGGTAGCTGAGTGAGCTCTGCTGATGTCGCTGGGTCTAGACCCCATCCCCAACCTGCGTAATGTCTCCACCCTGCAGACATTCATGCCCGGCATCGATGCGGCCCGGCGGCGGCTGGCTTTCGGAGCGCTACGGCACTGGGTCAGATTTTGTGCTGGGCGCCCTTAATGATTGTCGTTTCTGTTGGCGCCATGTGGTATTTGTCGGTATTTGTCACTACTCAATTGGTTGAGTATAGTGCGACGATCGCCAATCACCAATTTCGGCCTTAACTAGCAATATCCTACGTCAGATTCATTTAGCGATGTTGTTTGTAAATGGGTGTTTAGGGGAAGCGCCATGGGACCGCCGGCAAACGCTTGTGATTCGTGCCGAACCCCCAATGGTGACTACCCCTGGTGGGGTGAGGCTGGAGCGTGCGCACCACGAGAAATCACCACCTGCCCAACGGTTTTCCAACGGAAATTCCCATGTTTGGACGAAGCAAATAAATTTAATTTTGATTGACACGGGAACGGTCATCCGCTTTTACCCCTCTTCCTACTAAGAAAAAAAAGGTTGAAAACGAGCTAGGTTGCAGGCGGTAGCCACCAAGGAAATGCCTCGTTTGCCCCTATCTTGATGGGGAATACCGTATTCCCGGCTACATGTGTCATCGGCATCAACCATCGGCGTGTGCATTTAGCCCACGCTGGATACGCTGGATGGGCGGTTGGCATGTGACTTTGCCGCTGGTGCTCATGTGACGATAATAGTAATCTCCCTTGGCCCGAAAGCCACTAGCTAGGGGCTGATATCTTAGGAGGATGTAACCCGCACACGTTTAATTCCCCTTTCGGCACCTCCCTGACGGATACGGGTGTGGGGATTTTTCGACTAAGCGGGGGCCATCATTACCATGTGAATTACTGACAAGGAGCAATTTATAGTTTATCATAATCAGCGGATGCTAAATCAATTATCATTGTTGTCAGAATCTCCTTCTATTGGCTCAATCATAATTCATCTCTATTCTGATTCATTGTCCCTCAGTCTTTTTTCTCTCGAACGTAAGCTGAGTCAGCACGGTGGCGCGCCTCACGTAATCGGTCCCACCGGCAACCGTGTCCACGTCCCATGTCCCTCTTCTTCAAGTCGCCATTGGACATCGAAATCCGCCTTGACGACGATGGCCACCGTCAGTATACCGAGATCAAAAGCTCAGTAAGCGGCCGTGTCGACAAACTCCCCGTGTACAAGGACGGCGAGCTGGTTAAAGGCACCGTCACCATCAGAACTCGAGAGGGGCGCCGAGTGGAGCACACGGGGGTCAAAGTGCAACTCATGGGCTCCATCGAGATCAACACCGACGGCGTCAGTACCCTGGACTTTTTAACCATGGGTAAAGAGCTCGCCGTGCCCGGTATTATCGACCACGAAGTGCTGTACCCATTTGAGTTCAAAAACGTTGAGAAACAGTATGAAAGCTATCGGGGAAAGAATGCTAAGCTTAGGTATTACGTCAAGGTTGTGGTGCTGAGAAAGCTGAGCCAGGAATTGACCCGAGAAAAGGAATTATGGGTATTCCAGTACCTTCAACCGCCGCCGCCGACCGATGACCGGGCGTTGACGTCGGTGAAGATGGATGTGGGGATTGAAGAGTGTTTGCATATTGAGTTTGAGTACTCTAAACTGCGGTTTAACCTTAAGGATGTCATCCACGGTCGCATTTACTTCCAACTTGTTCGCCTTAAAATCCGCCACATGGAGCTCCGTTTAGTCCGTCGAGAAGAAGTGGGCACCGCTCCTAATCAAATCACCGATATCGAAACCCTCGTGCGGTATGAGATTATGGACGGGGCGCCAGTCAAGGGTGAAACCATCCCTATTCGTTTGTACTTATCCGGGTTTGACTTGAGTCCGACCTACAGCGACGTCAATAAGCGCTTCAGTTCTCGTACATTTTTGTCATTAGTGTTGATCGACGAAGATGCTCGTCGTTACTTCAAACAAAGTGAAATCATCTTGTATCGAGACTAGCGCTGGTTCGCACCATATACTTGACCTCTATAGAAATACCACAGCACCGCTAAACCCATGAAAAATCTGACCAGGAAACAAATGTTGGATGATTCAATAAAAAGATGAGACTACTTAGACAGTATCTAAAAAAGATTCGTCAGCTACAGGACTCGAACCTGTGCGCTCAGAGAGCATTTGATGCCTCGAAGGGAATTCGAGTCAAACTCCTTAACCACTCGGACAAACTGACATTTTCGAAATTTTCAGATTTCCGCTTTTTGGTACTTGAGCTCGCCTAGCGTGGACTCTGGGTATGTCACTAAATGCTCACAGCTGGTGGATTTCATCAGTGTATCAATACTAACATCCGAGAATAAATTTTTTTGATGGCAAATTGTTGAAATTATGAATTTTGAGGGCATAGCATGCTTTTCCCGTGTGCGCAATTTTGATATCCAATACAATTGACCAACTAGAAGTTTGCAACGCGAAGATTCTGGTGTAGCGCTTTTAACACTGCCATGGGTGGAATTAAGGTTGGAAATTCTGTGAAAGTAGGTTGCTGGCTCTTTAATTAATCCAACAAAACCTTTTCACTCAAGCGGTTCAGCTGAAGGGTGGCGATTAAATCTGTGTCACCTCATCCAAAGCGTTCCCAAATCACGGGCTAGCTCGTCGTTTGTTACCATATTTGGTCCAAATGGAGTGTATCTTGTGCATAGGCTACAGGGTTTCACACAAAACTGAACATGAAATTAAGGTCATTTGATTGGTGATTTCTTTATTGATATATACACTGCTCAGCTTCAAAACTCAACACTTAACACTCTTGGCTCAATCACCCTTGAGCAGATGCGGATTTTTTCAAACTCGACTTTCATAGCTCATGGTCAGAGTATTTCAGTATTCAATTTCACAATCACCAGCCGGCTTCAAATTTATTGACAGCAGGACTTGCACCCGCACTGGCAACTGGCACCAGCGCAAGGCAGACAAGAGCAGGCCTTAGCACACCCAGTGGTGCACTTGCAACCTTTAGCGCAGTCAGAAGTGCATTGACACTTGTCACCACAGTTGTTAGTGCAAGAGGAGTCGCACGCGTAGTTAACCAATTCAGTTCTCATTGTTGTCGATGATATTTGTGAAGAAACGTAATCTGGGGTGGGACATGATGCTTATATACTTTTTGCGTTGTTTGCGCCGTCTGTGCGGTGATTCTGCCGTGCGCAGTTTGTGCCGCCTGCATTCAAATTACATTTGCGTGCATTGTGCCGAACGCAGATTTTGCGGAGATGGAAACCTCTAAACCTTGGCACTCAGACAATATTGAAAACGTGACCAAAAAAAGTAGCAAATGATTCGATTTTGTTTCGGCTTCTTCCGTTGTATGATGAAATTCATATGTTTGCAAATCAGAGTAGTACCTTCAAAATGCTCGCCAGTTGCAGTAAGCGAGTATTGATTTGACTTTAATGCATTCATTGGCTGTGACGAAAGTATGTCATCATCTGCGTGTTGTGTAGAAGCAGGATATGCTGGCGTTGTCAAAAACTGTAAGCTCTATTGCTCGCTTATCATTAATCTTTCCCAGAATCTGCACTTGCAGTAATAATGGTAATTGAGCTGACCCCATGCAAAGGGCACACATTCTAGAAGCACCATTTCGGCTTTCCTTGAGTCATTTGTACTTTTCTGCACGCGCAGCAGTACGAAGTCTCGCCTTTCACTATAAGCCTTGAGGTCCTCTGCAATTGGCACTTGGAATCACGCAGTCTTGAATACCACCGCTACTCCCATTTCAATCGAACCCAAACCCGCCACGGGTGCTTGCATCAAACTTGTTACTCCAAAAACATCAGAATTGTTTGGTCTCACGTTTGATTCAGCATAGTAAATGAAATGCTCATTCAAATATTTCGTGCGCGTTATAGAGTTATCGTAACCGTTGTCGTCGTAATATCAAGATTGATGGCACACTAACGTCACCAATGATATAACAACCCAGATTTGCAAAAAGAATGTCAAGCTCCAGGCTTAAACAAAAATGATTCTGCCCGGGCTCGATCCGGGGACCTCATGCGTGTGAAGCATGCGTCATAACCAACTAGACTACAGAACCGTAATTGGCTTTTGTAGTATTATTTGAGTATAAGTGTGAGTGTCTTAAAATTGGTTCGAAAAAATTTCGAGCAGGATATCAAGAGGAACGGTGTACTCGCGTAAACCGGTCTTGGTTGCTTAGTTGTTAACTTATCCGTCTTGATATCCTGCCCAGGTAGTTATACCTTTGGGTTTAAGGATCGTTAATTAATTCACTTCATCATTGGCTTCGGTACTAGGTGATGAGCACTATTTGAATCTATGTTACGTCCAGTTGAATTGTCTCTGTGTTGTCGTTCAAATATTAGCTGTTTTGCATTCATGAATGGTGGGTATCGTTAACGTATATAATACATTCATGATAATTTACTTACGACACCAACAGGGATCATAGTCATTCTCCATTTGAATCATCACATCCAACTTTTGCTTTTCAAACAATCGTTGCACTTGACTTTTGATGTTATTCATGCTTTCGCCACGATAGATTTGAATATGGATGTAACCTTGGATTGACAGTGTCAGATTTGGCCAAAACCGTGGAGTGGTAAACAGCTTGACCCCCTTGATTGCCAAGACTTCTTGAAGTACTTGACGAATTGATTGTTCATGGTTATTCAGCAACTGAAGTAAAAGTTGTGATGCTGTCAGCTTGATCAAAGGGATTGCGCTGAGGAAAATAAGTACGGCAATGACGATGGACGCCAAGGGGTCAAATACCTGGTGGTTGAATATCTTTGTAAGGATAGTTGAGCTCACTACCCCTACCAGTCCAAGAGTATCGGCCAAAATATGAAGAAAAATGCCGTGCATGTTTTCGTTCATGCCTGTCAGGTTAGCCTCAGTTCCACTGTGGTCATCAGCCTTGAACGGGTATTCGTGTTCATGAGCGTCATCATGAGAATGTTTGTGTGAGTGGCCATGTGAATGTCCGTGGGAGTGGCCGTGAGAGTGGCCATGAGAGTGACCGTGACCGTGGCCGTGGTCATGGCCATGATTGAAGGCAAATATACCCACCAAATTGACAAGTAACCCAAGGAAGGATACTATGATGAGCTCGGTGGTCTTTTCAAGTGATACGGGGTGGACAATGCGTCCTAATGCCTCAAAGATAATGGAACCACTGATACCCACAAGCAATGCACCGTTGGTAAACCCTGCTACCACCTCAAAGTTCTTAAGGCCAAATGGGTACTTGGAGTTGGCATCGTTAGGTTGTTTCGCTAACACCCCCGCCACCAACCCGAGGGCAAGCGACGTACAGTCAAGGGCCATATGGAGCGAGTCACTTAAAAGCCCGAGTGATTTTGAGCGGAACGAGTAAAGCAACTGAACCACCATAAACGTCGAATTCAAAAGCAAGAAATTGAATATAGCTTTGGTGTCCTGATGGCTCATCAAATGCAGCAATATCAGTGGCGAGATGGAGATAGCGTCCACCTCCATGGTTTCTTTCTCGTCATCAGAGGCAAACCGAGTGTCGACGGCAATCAGAAGTGGTAAAAACATCTGGATGATCTCGACCACCGATACTGTCACCTCATTCAATATTACCCCAAACACCACCGAGAAGAACGCCACTGCCAGCACCACCATGGGACTGGCCACCAGCAGTTCGGCCGCGGTGATCACAAGCACCCCCACCACGATGGCATTAGCCAATATCATGGTCACTGGGAGCGCCCCAGCATACACGAGCCATCCTGCCCCCACTACGGCTGCCACAGCATAGACGTAGACAGGGAGCCGACGAGACGCATGTCGAAGAATCACGTAGCCAAGTGCCACCAAAAAGTACCCAATTAGCACGTCTAGCGACCGAGTAGCCGCGAAGTCGACTAAGCAGGCAAACACAAAGTATAGGTTCCACTGACTCAACACCAACCCCATGATCAACGGCGCTAGCCGAGCCGGAGACACAAAGTTTGTCGCAAGATACACGAACGCCACGGCGGTGATATCTCGCGAGTAAGTAATCAACTTGTAGTGGGCGAGTCCTCGGAGCACCGCCAGTGCCACCACCCCGTACACCGCCGCCACTGCCGCCCGCTGGAGAGGCGTGGCATGGACCACCGAAATCTGGTACAGGAATATGGCACAGGGAAGTGCCACGAGTACCGGTAACGTGGCGAACACTCGCTGGAACTCCATGCCCATACCGCGATCGATCGGCGCGCGTGGCTTTACCGGCGTTGGAGGGCCAGCCGCGACCGTCGTCGGTCTTATTAAGGATAGTATGATCTATGCGGAAAAGTGATGAGAGATAAAAGAGTTGAATACATTGATTGCATACATGGTGAATTTGCTACCAATTGACTACGTGCACGCGTGACAAGACTAATCATGCGTCGTTAAAATTGTATTTGCGGTTGCGAGGTCGACTGAAGCTCAGGAAGCATGATTGGGTAAAGTTGACGTCGTGTTTATTTGTACTCGGGGCTCAAGTGTCACAAAATGTTCAGCCAGGTTTGGTCAATGGTAGTTTTTTGTATATAAGGCGAACGAGTGACTCCATACATATATTGACACTTCAAACCAGGTGAGACATAATAAGCTGTTGAACACCAGTCACTTCCACCTGATGGAGCAGTTACTGGTCAAGTAGTAAAGAAGACAGATCCTCTTAACAACCAACGACAATGGGTCCGTGTAAGGGGCTGATAACCACTTTCGCACCCAGCCCCCCGATCTATGGGAATCAAGCCATGAATACTTTCCAATTTAGGTCTTCCATTTGATTCAATCCTCATACAGTCACATTAGTCTTAATAACCCCGCGTAATTATGAATCTAGGCTTAGCCCGAGATCGGGATCCTCGACGCTAAATATATGACCTGCTTGACGCAGGCGATAACTCCGTCAATTATATATATGAACTAACGACATCCCCCTCCTCAGCAAAGTTTAGCAAAGATAATGGAAAAAGAATATGCCTGTGAGTATACCCGAGTACACACATTTGGACTGGTGCTGTTGTTTCGCTGGAAACACATGAGTTATCGGCATATGGCGATGACGATGGGAGCACTGTCGGAGAACCGATGCGCCGGAAACTCGCCGCTAAGCCGACTTATGCTTGAAAAATATAACGTTGGGCTATGATATTACATATGTATGCTATGGAAGCAATTTGGTGTTGAGGATTTCAAAGGCCATGCGACGACGGATCGTCTTCATGTCCTTTTGGCTGTAGGTCAACTTTGAACCCAGGGCGAGCATGCGGGAGTTGGTGCAGGTGAAGACACCGCAGTCATAGCCGTTTAGCTGCTGAGGCGACCCTCCGTGAGGAATGATATCGTAAGTGACTGCTGGCTTCCCTAGACGATTAGCTTCACCGTTCATATACTCTTGAAGCTGTACGCAAATCAGGCGACTACCAGACTTGTCAAGGGAATCGTAGTAGGTGATGGTCCGCTTGTCGTTATCAATCACTGTCACCGCCCAGTGCGTGTTGTTGATGTTGATGGGCACGATCACTCGATCCTTAGTGAACAAATCAAGCTTTTTCCGGCGGGCCCAGCGCGCCACCCCCAGATAGCCCTTAGCGGCTAAGGTGGTGTAGAAATGAGTCGTCCACACCCACACCTTAGGGTTAGCCTCCATCACCAAGTTATTATAGTAGTCGATGACGTTATCGTTGAGCCATTGCCTATCGGCTAGCGTGCGAAGGTCATTAGGGGTGATGTCGATGTTGAATGCAGACGCCACCGGCTCCGCCAGCCTCAGTTGCCACGCCTGCGTCACCTGTTGTAACTGTGAGTCCGTCAACGGCTTAACTCCGGTGGGTTTCGAGGCGGCCACTCGGCGCCGATCAACCTCGCGAAGGAAGTCGTCGTCAGCGAAGTGGTCGTTAAACGAGTAGGCAGGAACATCTTCTAGCGAGTAATCAAGGATATTGACGGGAGGGGCAAAGTTCTTGTAGTACTGCTCCACAGATTTGATGTAGGTGTCATTGGCAACGGAGTCATTGACTTCAATGTCTTCGTAGGCATCGATCTCCATCAAATCATCATCGTCGTCATCATAATCTTTAGGGACGCCACCAAAGAAAAGGCTAGTCCCATATACTGGTGCTTGATTGCGGGGGATGAGCTGGTTAGGCGGTTGTTGAGGTTCGGGGGTCAGGACCTGTGGCGGCGAAATTGAGGCCGGCTGAGAGATCTCATCAGCATCTAATGGTGTCAGACTGCGTATAAACTGAGACGGAACATGGACCAATCCTTGTGATAATGGCAGAGGCAGCGGTGGCGTCGGCAGCGGCAGCGGGGACGGCTGTTGCGCGGGGTGGAGGTAGCCAGCTACCACACTCACCACGCGATCCCACAATGATTGCCGCTGGGGAGGCTGGTGTTGTGCTAAAGACAGAGCATTGCCACCCTCCTCATGTTCCCAATCGATCTCGTTCAACGGCGGCCCGCTGACGAGGACGGCCAGTGACGGCATGGCGATGGGTGTGCGGTGCGAAGCGAAATGCGACGCCTCTAGTATACACTGTTAGAGAATAATACACCCCAAAATAATTTTAAGAATGAAGTATTATTTATGAGATTTTGAATGGTGTCGAATGGGGTAAAGAGATAATTCAATATGTTTTCATGAAGAATACAACAGAGTCATATCGGAGTCAAATGGTTGTTATAAACCGTCGTCGTTCCTGATAAGTAGTGCAATTTAAATGAAAATTAGTATTAGCCGTAAATGGAGAGAGTTAGTTTCTGATTGTAATCTCATTCATAAGACATTTATGGCTTAGAGACTAGTAATCTCTCAGTGGGTGCCTCGGCACGACACAATAACTCCTTTTATGTTTGTGGCTATTGAGTGCTGGCTGGTCGGGTGCCGACACTAAAAGCGTGTCGTCGTCTCGGATACAGGAAGACAATAGCCCCACGAGTGGGCCGCTGCACGCCCGGGGTTATCGTCCTATATCCACCAGTGACATTTCGCAGGCTGGTATCTTTGTGCATGGGTAATAAGCCTCGAAAGGCTGCCGACGTGCCTTACTCCCTCGCCGTAAAACCGCTACAATAATGGGATTTTACGTACGATCACCAACACAGCATGCTCAATAAATTAGCACTTCTCCCAGACTCACTTTACCCATCGTTTTAGCCATTATTTCCCTCGGTATCAACTCACGGCTTTAGCACTGGCTGGACGCCGTGTGTCGCGGACGCGGCCCCCTCGGCAGCTGGGCCTATTTTTGTCACCCCTCCCACAATGCAACGACAACGAAGCCCCGGGACAATAATACATTGCTGCCACGAAAAAATTCTGACCAAGTTGACCCTCGAAGTAGTTTTTATATTCTCCAACTCATCGCTAAACTTATTCACGGTAGTCTCCACAAAAACCCTCGAGAGGGGCGCCTTTTCTGCCCGCAGCCTCGTTTTCCCCCACGTGGGTTGCTTCCAATATGTACTTTTGTAGGCGAGCATAATAGGTCTGCGGATCGCTGTCGGGGACGAATATATTTACCATGCCCGACCTGCCTCAAGCCCCCGCTGCCGACAGTGACAAGGCAATGTTGTTTTCCAGCAAGTTGGAGCACGAGACCTATGCTCCGTGGAAGGAGTACTACATGAACTACAACCACCTTAAGAAGCTACTTAAGGAAGGCGTCATCCTCAAAAACAACTGGACCGAGCAGGACGAGCAGAATTTCGTCCTGGCCCTCGACTCCGACTTGGACAAAGTGTTCCTGTTCCAAGCGAAAAAGTTCGACGAGCTCAACGACCAGCTTAACGTGTTGCAACGCCAGACGACCCTGGCCGACAAAAAGTTCGATGTCGACCAATTCTCCACGAAATTAGAGGACATTCTCCACCAAGCACAGGAGCTCGAACACTTCCAGCGGATCAATTACACTGGTTTCACCAAGATCGTCAAGAAACACGACCGTATCCACCTGGACTACTCGGTGAAGCCGTTGCTCAATGTGCGGCTCAAGAACTTACCTTTCCACTCCGAAGACTACTCGCCGTTGTTGTACAAGATCGGGACGTTGTTCCAGTACCTTCGTGATAACTATGGGGTGTCGGAATCGTTGACTAAGCTCTCCAGTTTCAACGATGCTCTGAACACTGACTTCCAATCGTTCAAGTTTTGGGTGCACAAGGATAACTTGATGGAAGTGAAGACGATGATCTTGCGTCACTTGCCGGTGTTGGTTTACGGTAACCAGCACGGTGACAACGCCGAAGATGACGACTCCGGCGACGACGACGACAGCGCCTCCAACTCCAACTCCAACGACTTGACCATCAACTGTCTCTACTTTGACAACGACAACTTTGAGTTGTACAACTCAAAGCTCACTAAGATCAACAACCTGCGCACGTTGCGGATCAAGTGGATCGGTAAGCTTCAGGATAAGCCCAAGATCGTCATGGAAAAGAAGCAGTTCGATGCCAACGCCCACTTCTCCATCGACGAGAAGATCTCGTTGAAGCAAAAGTACATCAACCAATTCGTCATCAACCACCAAATCCCTCCTAAGCTCGAAAAGATCAATGACCCGGCCCAAGTGAGAGACATCGCCGAATTTATCCAAGAGAATAACTTACAGCCGATGCTTAGAACTGTGTACAAGCGGACGGCGTTCCAAATTCCTGGTGACGACAAAATCAGAATCGTGCTTGACCTGGATATCACTTTCATTCGTGAGGATGCTTTCGACCCGCAATTGCCCATTCGTGACCCTCACCAATGGCACCGTACCGATATTGACCTGAAGCTGGCCAACCCCCTCCAATACTTGCGTAAGGGTGAATACTCTCAATTCCCTTACACCACTATGGAGATCAAGATCAAGAAGCTGGTGATGAACAAGTCGAAGTCGATCAACTGGATCAATGACTTGATCCACAACCTGCACTTGGTGAAGGAGATTCCCAACTTCTCCAAGTTCATCCACGGTACTGCTCTGCTTTACACGGAAGACGATAAGCTTGATAACATCCCCTTGTGGTTCAACGAAATGGAAAACGACTTGACGTTCAACCCTGAGGCTTACGTCCCCATCAAAGCCCTCACTGAAGACACCCCCGAGTCACAAATTGAAGTCATCAACGATGATGACAATATCCTCAAGTTCAAGGAAATGGTCAACAAGACTAAAGACCTGTACCAACCGCGTTCGCTGAGTTTCTCGGGGCTGTTGTTGCTCGGAGGTGATGACAACTACGACGGGCCCAAGACCCGCATTCCTCGGATCCAGGAGATCACTGAGGATGAAGAAGAACAACCCACTACCGGCGCCGAGTTATTGACTGATGAATTGTCGTCGTCCGACGACGACGATGATGACGACTACGACAACAAACGTCGGGGTCCGCTTTCTAAGCTTTTGCAGCTCCCGTCGCAGTTCTCTAAGCTCATTGATGTTGATCTGGAAGATGAGGAAATCGAATTACCCGCTGGGGTGTCCAAGCCTGATCTGTGGATCAAGAATGCCGGCCCCATTAAGGTTGAACCTAAGGTGTGGCTTGCTAACGAGCGTACTTTCAACCGGTGGTTGACGGTTACCCTGATGCTTACCACGCTTACGTTTGTCGTCTACAACTCCACCGATAAGCTGAACTTCTCCAAATTGCTGTTAGTGCTTGCCGACGTCTACTTCTGCCTTACCCTTTTCGCCTGTGGCTGGGGCTACTACATCTACATGAAACGTCGCCAAATCATTTTGGAACGTCTGTCGAAGCATTTGGATAATGTCATCGGCCCGTTGGTGGTGGCGGTTGGTTTGATGGGGGCGTTGTTGATCAACTTCATCGGTGGGTGGCGTCTGTTGTCGGGAACCGTCGACTTGGAGCTGGCCTTTTACGATGCCAACCCCTTCCACAAGTCGGTGCAATCGTATGTCATCGACATGGTGAACTAGCTGTTGAACGAAAAAGAATATCAGTATATAATAACAAACTAATTTATTGTAAGTCTAGTCTGGCCCTCTGTAGAATTGGCAATGTGATAATACAAAAGTATCTTGCAAAGCTATAGGAAAAACTTGTGTCGCGTTGCTTCTATACTATACTGTAAGCTGTTTCGAATTCATTTGCAAATGAATATGCAACCCCATCATCTCAGCCTCTCATGATGGCCATCCTAAATGTGGATCGTACCCTCCCCAAATCGATAGTAAGCCTTGAAGAGAACAAATTTTGTAGTACTACCATAAAATTATTGGACATAGGAACGACCTGATCCTCAATTCAAATCCCGATTCCAATTTTAGTCTATTTTTTCCTCGTGGTCGAGTTACAACCATTTGTAGTGGGCGACACGCTGACACGTTCGCACGGGTCAATTTTCGCAAACGGCCACGCCATACCCTCCACCATTCATGTCGGCAAACATCCTGCTTTACCAGGTGACACTGGTGCTTCTTCTCGATAACGAAGGACACCGGTTGTTTGCCAAATACTACCACGACGAAGATCACGCCTCGCTCGCCCAGCAACGGAAGTTTGAGCAAACGCTCTTCCCCAAGATCAACAAGGTCAACGAGGATATTTTGTTATACGACAACCACTTGGTGGCTTACAAACAAGTGAACGATGTGCTTGTGGTTGTGGTGGCCAAGATCAACGAGAACGAATCCCTCATCTACTCGGTGTGTGCCAACTTGACTGAGGCCCTCACCATCTTGTTGGACAACTCGTTAGACAAGAACACGGTGGTGGAAAAGTACGACATGGTCAGTTTGGCCATTGACGAAACTGTCGACGATGGTATTATCATCGAGATCGACCCCGCCATCATTGTGTCGCGGGTCACCAACCCTCCTGTGGCCAACGCTGTTGATAACATCAAGATTGACATTTCCGAAAGAGGCTTGTTCAATGCGTTTTCGTTTGCTACGAAAAAGATTGGCGAGAGATTGCAACAAGGTATCTAGGCACCCGGTGTGGCTGTGTATAATAGACATATAGTGACGATAAAAGTCACCACGAGAAACGTGCAAAGTGTAGTTAACTATATTGGAAAGTATCGAAGACCAATTTACAGTCAATTGTGGATTTTCCGCCAGCTAAGTCTTCAAAATTGTGACTGTTTTAGGTCTGGCATGATTTGAAACAAAACAAATTTGAGGGTAAGGTTCTATAAAACCCTATATATATTTTCTTATTGCCATAGATCTCTACAAAGTCGAATTCAAACCAGGGACGTTATTTCCACAACGAATCCATTTGCCTGAGACGTGAGTTGTATGGTGCCATCAATTAAAATCACCACTTAAGGCCGCATAGAAAAACTGTGATGATTTCTTCGAGTATTGATATCTAATTTAATCATTACATCTATTGGTTTGCTGCATTTTTATTTCCGGATCGCTGTCCATCACGACCACGGTGACCATAGTCTACGCGCATCGCTAGCGATGTCGGAACGACGGCTCCGCAGCAAGGACGAACGCACTGGGCTGGCCCGAGTGCTTGATTTTGAGGCCCAGAACCCATGGATATACAAGAATAAACCCATCAAAATTTCGCGTGGTTCTACCGTCGCCAACCCTTACCGATACCCCATTGAAGAACTGCTGGCAACAGCGCCGGCACCCCGACCCCAGACGATCACACCAGCCAAACTTGAGCCGCCTGAAGTCACCTACGATCCATTGACTGATGGAAACTACGAGAAATTTCACCGAAAGATGATGCTTTTCGAGAAGGTACGAAATAATGAGGACCGGCTGCGCATGCTTAATGAGTTCCTGATTCTCGAGGAACAGCTCACTCAATTGCTTCGAGAAGATTGGGGGCGACACATCCACGATATTGTCTACATACATAATCGCTCCGATGCCAATGAGGTAGCGTTCAAGCGAGATTTGGCCATTAGAGAGGTGATGCGCCTTCTCGGCAAGTTCTCCCACTGGAAGCACCGAATGAGTCGTGTAACTAGTGAAGTAAAAACTGGTGAAGGGTGGCCAGGGAGTTTTATTCATGATGATAACTATCAACGCAGTCGGGACGAAATCAGAAGCTTACAAACGCGTCGCTGGGCGGAAGAATTTGGTAGCCGGTTTCGCTTGGTGCTTGACAGGAATCATACGGTGATTATCGATCCCGTTAAGCCTCCGGTGATTGTTAATCGAGCTGATCAAGTCGTGGGACCAACGAAACGCCGATTCCATGAATTTAGTTGGACTCCCTCACCAGCACCCGTGGCCACCCCTAAAACTAAACGCGTGAAAATCCATACTCCTAGTCGCCTGGTAAGAAAGAAAACAACAGTGGCGAGCACGCAGCTTGTGCTTACCAATGGCACTACTCCATTGGCGATACTATCGCGACCAGCTACATACTTTGTCACTCTCCCGGTGTGTCTGCCAATCCCGATCAAAGAGCTCGCCAGTCCGATAACTGGGTGGGATTCATTGAAAGTGTATGCTTCCAGTTTTCTGCTTCCTCCAGCCGTCAACCAATGGCGTCTTCAACACCATAACGATGGCAAAAAGAGTATACTCCGAAGGAACCGGCTAGTCAAAAAATAGAAACAATGTCCAATAGCATATTGCATAATACCTTTACCTCTTGCTGACATCATGATTACAAAAACCTATCCTTTCTTTTATTACTATGGTACAAATGAAAACAATTCCCCGTTTACTTCTTGACGCCCGATCTCATGTATCTGCCGACGACGATACAATGGTCTCTTTCATAAGGTTCCAAAGTCAACTGTTCGAGCGGCTTGATTCTTTCTTCTCTCAACTTTTGCACTTCACGAGCGAACACGGTTTCGGCATCGACGGTCGAGTCGATACAGTTGGCCTTGATGGAGATGATGACAAGACCACCGTCCTTCAAGAACATGTGCGAGTTCAAAGCGATGATTCTCGCTTGATCGGGTTGGGCGACATCGGCGAACACGGCGTCAACCATACCCACGAGCATACGGTACTTTTGCGGGTGTCTGGCGTCATCAACAATGGGGATGACGTTAGGTCTCTTCTTGGCCATACCAATCAACTCTCTACCGGGACGGTGGGAGAATTCCACAGCGTACACCAAACCTTCAGGGCCGACAACGTCAGCGACGTGCGACACCGAGGTACCGGAGGCGGCACCCAAGTACAACACCTTCTTGCCGGGGGCAATGCCCAATTCGTCAATACCACCCATGATACCGGCGGCAAGCTTCGATCTGAAAGGGTTCCACACACGGTATTCGATCTTGGTGGCGGGCTCATCGCCGGCACCGGGTTCTTCGACGGTTATTCTCTTTTCCCCGTACACGGATTCACCGGGAGCAATGTTCTTGGTGACAAGCAAATCTTCCTTACCACGGGCAATGAAAACGCCGGCGTGACGGTGCTATAATAGTTAGTCTCTCATCTCATCGCGAAATTGGTTGTGGGCACAGAAAAGTCTGTCCCCGTTGAATGTACTTACAGGTTCGATGACCACCTTGGCACCACCTCTGGCACCACCTCTGGCACCACCACGGCCGCCTCTGGCGCCGCCTCTGCCGCCTCTGGCACCACCTCTGGCACCACCGCGGGCACCACCTCTGCCGCCGCCAAAGCCGCCTCTGGCGCCGCCACGGCCACCACGACCACCGCCAAAGCCACCTCTGGCACCACCGCGAGCACCACCGCGACCGCCTCTGCTAGAACCTCTGGAGAATGCCATGTTTATCTTGTTGTTGGTCTCAAGAGTGAGTAGGACTTGAGATGGGACAGAAATTTTCAGTGGTGCGATGAGGTTTGCGGGTGTGCATATAATTGAAAAAGGGTCCCTCTACCACCGTATAGCAGTCGCCGGAAGCTTGGAAGAGATAGATTTAGTGATGGTTGTGATTAACATTATCATCATTACTTGACTCAAATATGCTCTAGAAATTTGGACCTTGTGTTAAGGGTCACGTGGGGTCAGCACCTGGCCGATAACGAGCTGGCAGCACGTTACTGCTTACCAGCGCACACCCCTATCGCGTGGATCCGTTACCTGTTCGAGTTCGGTGCGTGCCAATAATAATTTTCGGGCCCTTTCATCACGAACACGGCCCGTGGCCCCCAGAGTTCGCGCCGTGTCGCCGCACGTCACCTCTTCCCCTCACCCATTGCGACAGTGGTAAACAATGGCCCATTGTCGCTGATTCCTTTCTTTCCTCGTAAAAATTGTCTGTACACTGATTCGTCTGTCCTGATCCGGAAGTGGTTTGGTGTCATTTTACGCCTGGTCTGCAAAAGCAGGCCCTACCAGCACCACGTCGCCCTAACTCCGTATCGTCACGCACTAACCGCTAGCGCGATATTTACACTTGCCCCCACCACCTCAATAAACCCTCGACTTCCGACGCCAATGGCAGCTAACTACATCTGGTTCATTGTCGCGGGGACCCTCGTGTGTGGTGCCGCCAACTCGCTCTTTACCAAGTACCAGGACAACCAATGTGTCCGCGACTGTGACACCGACCACCCCAAATTGTTCGAGCAGCCGGCGATCCAGACGCTCCAGATGTTCGTCGGCGAGTTGCTGGTGATTGTGGTGTACTGGCTTGTCTATACTCGCAACGGTAACACCGATCCTCATACAAAACTCACGGTGTTTGACAACACCCGGCTATCGATCCCCGCCATTTGCGACTTGTGTGCCACCACTTTGCTTAACGTGGGCCTTGTCTTCACTCCCGTGAGTATCTACCAGATGACGCGTGGTGCCCTCGTTTTATTCGTGGCGCTCTTATCGGTATTGTTCCTTAAACGGCGCGTTACTAAGCTTGAGTGGATCTCGTTGCTGTTGGTGACGATGGGGATTGCCCTTGTCGGGTTTGCTGGGTCTAGTAACGGTAAGGGCCAAGGTTTTAGTGGAGGGGTAGTGTTTGGCATTGGTCTCGTGGTGTTGGCGACCCTCGTCCAATCTTTCCAGTTCGTGGTTGAAGAACAAATCCTCAGCGACCACCCCGTGGTCCCGCTTCAATTAGTCTACTGCGAAGGCTTTTACGGCCTGGTGATCATCATTGCCCTCATGGCGATCCTCCACGTGATCATGGCGATGGTGTTGCCTCCCAGCCAATTCCTTGACTCTCCGTTTAACATCGGTGAGCTGGTGCTGGAGTTAGTCGGCAATCGCAACGTCCTCTTGCTGCTGGTGCTTATTATGATCTCGATTGCCGCGTTTAACTACTGTGGCATCACTCTCACCCACAAGATCAGTGCCACCACCCGCCTGACGGTGGACACTTGTCGTACGCTTTTGGTGTGGTTCTGTGCCCTCGCTGTAGGCTGGGAACAATTCAAATGGCTTCAAGCGGTGGGGTTCGTCGTGCTTGTCTTCGGCACCTTATGCTACAATAAGGTGTTGCAGCCCGAACAATGGAACTGGGTGCCGCTGTCGCTTAAGGAGCCGGTGCTGTTGGACCCTACTAATGAGTACTTGGAGGAACGAGAGGTTTTGTAGCTTAATTAAATTATAAGGTCTATTTGGAGTCCTTCTTCACCCCGACCAGAAGCCCTTCACGTATACGGCGTTCCGTCAACGCGGCGATCACCGCCGCCCCCACACCGGAACCGTCTTCAGCGTGGGTAATAGTAATGGGGTCTTCCTTCAGTTCCCATTGGAAGATATCCCGCAACGCTTGCGCTGCTCTTTGCGGGAAGTGAGGGTACTTTTGGTACAACGAACCATCGGCAGCACAGTGGGCCGAAGTATAGCCACGCTTCTTACAGGCAGCAGCAATGCCACACACCGACAACCGGGCCAGACGAATGCCGATGAGCTCAGATAATTTGCGGATAGCTTTTCTTTCTTCCAAAGTGGTGGAGATACCCAATTCGGACTTGAAAAGACGTTCGACTTCAGTCAAATCGGCAGTGTCGTCTTCTTCGACCAGGGCGGGGAAACTGGTGTCCATGACAAACTTCTTGTCGAGCTTGGCGGTGTCTTGGCCCTGGAAAATAGCACCCCTTTCCATCATTTCCAAAAGCACCAATCTCAAGATTTCCCCAAGATAGTAACCGGAAATCATCTTCTCAAACGCCTGTTGACCGGGACGAGGCGACTCGTCATCAACAGTGATGTCAAAGCGGGTACGGGGAAGGACAAGGTGTTCATTGTCGAAGGAGCCGTACTCGCAGTTGATGGCCATCAAAGTGTCCGGAGAGATGTCGTCTTCAAGACGCCCTTCGAGTTTGCCGACGTCACAACATCTTTCGTAGTAAGCACCGTTACACCCAGTACCGTAGATGAGCCCCATTTTCGTCTCGGGGTCTGTGTAGGCGGAAGCCACCATCGTCCCCGTAGTGTCGTTAATCACCGCGACAATATCGATGGGGATATTGCGCTTAGTGATTTCGGCTTGAAGCATAGGAACCACGTCGTGGCCTTCAACACCATCGATGTCCCAGCCTTTAGTCCATCTTTGCAAAATGCCTTCTCTGATCAGGTATTGAGTGGCAGGGTAGGAGAAGGTGAACCCAAGGGGCAAGTCGTGGTCGACGCCGTTAGGGAAATGTTGCTTGACAAAGGCATCAAGCGAGTCGGCAATGTTGGTCCACAATTCCTCCTTGGTGGCAGTTCTGATGTTTTCAGGGAGAGCGTACTTGTGTTGTTCGGTGGTGAAGGTGCGGTCGCCGTTAAGGCGAACGAGCACCACCCGCAAATTGGTGCCGCCGAGGTCGATGGCGAGGTAGTCACCCTTCTCCTTACCGGTGGGGAAGTCCAACACCCAGGTCGGGTTCATGGGGATGTTGCCCCCGGCCTTGGTGAGGCCCTTGGCGAGCTCGGTAATGAAATGGGCGGTGATCTGCTGTAACTTCTCCGCCAGCACCGTGAAAAGCTGCTGGTATTCTTGCAACGCCTGGTCAAGCGACTGCTTGCCGGTGGGGGTCGATTGGCTCATATGGTGGTAGCAATGCGGGGCATCGTTGCTGGTTATATGTGCCGGTAAAGATTGTGCAGGGTCCCTACCCGGAAAAACTTTCGCAGGAAAACGTCAGTTTCTGTACTCGCATGAGTTATGATCGACAGGGCTGAAACTAAGTAAATTGAGCAAGTGCAAAATAGGCGCGACGAGAAATTGAGGCACGGGTGATGGATTCGATTAATTTGATGATGGAAAGTGAAATTTTAGTTGGCGGTAGTCGTAGGGAGTTGTAAAACCGGCGGACCAACGCACTCCGGATTTTTTAATGCAAGCGCTGATGTCCGTTGACCGGCGGCACGCTGACATAGCGGCGGTGCTACTTAGGATCTCGCGGGCTTTAAAATTTAACAATATCCCTCAACGGTTATCTCGCTCTACTAGGGCCAATCACGGTGGGCTTCATTGTAGTTTGTCCATTACACTATATACAAACGGGCGCGGGTAGCGGCGGGGACTTGGCCATTACTTGAATTGCTTCGCGATGAAGTGGTAGATGATGGGGGTGGCCCAGATGAGCCCGGCGATGATCCCGGCGTTCTTGAGGGTGTCGTAGGCGTATTGCTCTTGCAACTTCTTTTGTTCTTCCGAGGGTTGGCCACCGTACATTGTGTGAAAGGTTGAAGATGGCGGTTGCCGATCGATGAAAAGCTTTTGGTGCGCGCACCGTGATTGGCGCTACCATTCGAACTTCGGAGACATAGTTGAGGAGGGGGTAGTCATGACGCTGATCGAACCGTTCCAGATTGAGGATCTTCTCGATGCTAACTCGGTCAACTTGGACCCGCTCACCGAGAATTTCAATCTCCTGTTTTATATGGAGTACCTCAACGAGTGGCCGGGGCTCTTCTTCAAAGCCACTGAACCTTACAGTCTGTTTGGCCATCTGAAGGAATTGGCGGGCTACATGATGGGGAAAACTGAAGGGCAACTTGCTCGTAAAGAATGGCACACTCATATTACTGCGGTTACCGTTCAGGATACTTACCGTCGTATCGGGTTGGCGCTGGAATTGTGTCTCCAATTAGAGCGCATCACCGCTGGACCGCCGCATAATACTTTGTTTGTCGACTTATTCGTTAAAGTGACCAATGAGTTGGCTCGTAAGATGTATGAGAAGCTTGGCTACAGTGTTTATCGACGGGTCGTGGGGTACTATGGTGGGAAACTATCAGAAGATCGCACCGCTATCAATGATGAAATCGACGCGTTCGATATGAGAAAGTCACTACCATGTGACGAGAAGAACGAAACGGTTCGTGAACATGGCGAGAAGTTCTATGTGTTGCCGCAAGAAGTAATCTTTTAGTCCTATACTATAAGTAACGACAGTCATGATATAGAAATTGCATAAGTAAATTACAAGGCACGTACTTGTCGTGAGTCGCGCTGCTTCCAGAAATAAACTACAATTTATGGGATATTTGCACAACGTGGGTTAAAATTGAACCAAGTACAATAAATGTAGACCACGTATGACCATCCGAATTATGTACCTAAGTTTTATTACGGATGGTTTCATTCAAATATGATGACGTCGACCTTATACAACTACGTGGAGCAAGCCGCGTGAGGCACCTAGAGTCAATGATCATGGTTGAAAAAATCAAGTGAACCAGCTGAGACCATCCCAACACATCTAATCATCATATTGTACAGAGTTATGACGATATTGTCCCGTGTTGTCCAACTATTCCTTTTGGTTATTATGATTTCATGACCTCAACTTGGTCACGTGCGATAGGGTTGTCAGACCTAGCTCACCCTGCGCGAGCCCTTCGAAAAGACCAAGCGAAAAATTCGCTAGCTTACATACTCAACCGTCAATATGGAAAACGACAAGGGTCAATTGGTATGTGTCCTCAAACCTCCGTCAGGCGGTCCTATACGCTCCCCAAACGATATGCTAACATAATAGGTCGAACTTTACGTCCCCAGAAAGTGCTCCGCCACTAACAGAATCATCAAGGCTAAGGACCACGCCGCCGTGCAAATCAACATCGCCAACGTTGACGAAGAAGGCAGAGCCATCCAAGGTTCCAACACCACCTACGCTCTTTGCGGTTACATCAGATCGAGAGGTGAAGCTGACGACTCGTTGAACAGATTGGCCCAAGAAGATGGCTTGTTGAAGAACGTCTGGTCTTACTCTCGTTAAGACTTTTGTATCATAATAAAAGGTAATAGAAAGCGGAATGTTTAACGACTTTTGAATTTTTTATTGTAATTTTTACTAATAGAGATATATCTGGATATTTGGGTTTTTTGTGTACCAGGTGAGATGGGACTGTTCAGCTGGCCAAACAGCGTACTCGGGGACTGTATAAGTAGGCTAGCAACCAAAAGGTCTGCTGCACCGAACAAAATTATATTAGTGCTGCACCATCAGCCCAGCAATGCCGTAGCCTTCCCATTCGGGGACCACCGTCCCGCTTCATGCGGTTGTGGGCCCAGTTCAGTTACTCAACAACAACAGAAGACGCTTATCTACGAGTGACGATCGTCAGCTATCATGACCCCCCGTGTGGCGCTTGTTCGAGATAAACAATAGACCAGTGAATCGAACCCCACACCGCTTGCTTGCCCTCGAGGCTGCATCGTAGGTCGGCCCTCCACTTCACAACCTCTTGTTATATTTACCCCTCGTGGGTCTCACACACGGTTTTATCCTCAGAACTTTCCTCTCTGTGAAACACTCCCCCGCCTCAGCGCAATGCGGCCATCTATCTGCGGCAACCCCAATTTGTTTACTTTTGTTTCCCGACCACTCCAGACAACACAAGACCGTTATTAACTGTTAGTGCCGGCATCGAACAAGTTTGACCACTGCCTCCAGATGAACCCGCCGCCCCGACTTGCGGTGTTTACCCTTTTATTTAACCCAAGCTATTTGCCGGGAGCCACGGTATTGGCGCTAGCCGTCCGTCACCAAGTGCAAGCCCGCCAGTGGGCTCAACCGCCGACCATTGGCGTGTTGGTGGATACGCTGAAGTTCTTACCCCACCAATTGGATGTGTTGCAGGCTCTCTTTGACGAGGTGATTACTATAGACTCCATCGTCCTGACACAAACAGACAAATTATGGGGCGACCTCGGCCGCCCCGAATTGGCAGCGACGTTTTCGAAGGTTTGGTTATGGCAACTCACCCAGTACGACAAAGTGCTCTATTTGGACGCCGACACCCTTCCGTTGAACGCCGGTGACGCCCTGGTGGTGGACCTTTTGACTAAAGTCGACGTCCCCCCTCACTCAATCGCGGCAGCTCCCGACTCTGGCTTCCCCGACGTGTTTAACCTGGGGGTGTTGTTACTTACTCCTAACTTACACGACTTCTCTGGGTTAGTGGCGGCGACCAAAATTCCCGACCTGCTGTTTGATGGTGCCGACCAAGGTTTACTTAACCAATACTTTAACCCTCAACCTGACTGGGTCACCGAGACCAACAGCTCCAACTGGATTCGTCTTCCCTTTGTCTACAATTGCACTCCGCTGGCTCAATACCAATACTCGCCAGCCGTTAAGTACGTGTCGCAACCTGAAGTGCCTGACTTGGCTGGTGCTGCCATCCCCGATCACCAGGCTAGTGTCGATGACTCATTAGTTGACCAGTTAGCAAACTACCATCAGGCGGCGCTTACTTACATCCGTCATAATCTGGGGATCAAGCTTATGCATTTCATTGGCCCCAACAAGCCGTGGTACCACAAGGAAGCCTCGGTGTATGCTCCTTGGTGGCAGGCTTGGGAACTGGCCTTCGGCAACTTGAGTGTACACGGTCTTACTCGCGACCACATCACACCCCAAGTGGTCGACCGCGTGGGCGAAGTGTACTCTAGGCCGGCTGAGCATGACAAACATATTTCCGAATCTAAGCCGACTGAGACGCACCAAAGTCACGAGGAATCAGTTCAAGATGACCACTTACCCGCGTATCAAGATTTGTTAGTGAACCCCCACCTGTACGACGCGTTCGGAACGGCACCGGAAACATCGGCCCATGAGTGGAATGCGGCAAAAGAGGCACCCCCGCCTCAACCTAGAAATACCCAAACACACGACTTCACCTTGCTTGAACAAGGCATGAGACTGTTCCAAAATGAATGGGACAGAAACCCTGCCATTGACCAAGTTGAAGAAGATTATGCCGAGCTTGACGCTCAAAGACCGCCTCCCCCGCAACAGTTTGAGCCTTACAAAGAAACCCACGCTCCTCCTCTTAGTCTGGCGTTAGAATATAACTACGTCCCGCCCGAAAGAGTATTCGAGGGCGATGACTACTTCCCCGTGCACCGTTTACCTAAACCTAAGCCTGCCCGCAAGCCTCAAACAGAAGAGGTTGTAGCTGATGACGAGCAATCCGACGAAGCCCTCGAGGAGATCGCTGAAGAAAACTTGTTGGACCTGGACCTCGAAGAAGATGTCACGGTGCAAGAAGACATCGTCGAGGTGGAAACGGAAGTTTTGCAACCGGAAAGATCGAAGTTGTTCCCGTGGGAATACAAGTCAGATGTGGAAGGGGTTACTGCTGAACGCGTCTTTGACTAATAACTTAAATTAATTGAAAATTTCCATAATTATCACGATCATCATCGTGCGATAAAAGTAATTGCTAATCAAACCTTATTGGTGACACGCGACATTTGCCATCTCAAATACTCCTGAATGGTCTCGGTCACACTAATTGCCTTGTAGCGATATTCTTTGCGCACGGCTGCCGCAGTGCGCATTCCAGAATTCGATGCGTTTCCGTCAATTGAGCAAACGCGTCCACGAGGAATCAACCTTAATGATCCTCATCACGAGTGGCAAAGCCTGCGTGACTTAACGGCTGATTCAAGTATTTTGGCTAAGCGTACTTTTACCATGCAAACGTCATCTTTATAGGTTATTGAGGGACGCCATCGGAGTTCGCCGAATTGTTGAGACCGCGATGAGCTGCCCAACAAAATGATATTCAAACAAGCAACTGATTCATGTCAGTTATATGGGTTCAAACAGATAAAAATTTGCTGGCTTTTCTCGTTCGAATTGAGCTGGCAAGGTTGTTATATAGTTATTACCCCCTTAGCCTCCTGCACTTAACCTAATCATCTCTCACCTGCACATATTGATGTACACGTGACCTTTACAATGGCAAACGAAAAATTCTCACTCCCATTAAAACCACCCGCAAATAGTTTATCCTTAAAAAACTATCCATCATGTCTGCTGAAGGCCTTACTGAAATCGACGGTCAAATCGAAACCAACTACGACACTGTTGTCTACAAGTTCGATGACTTGAACTTGAAGCCCGCTATCGTCAGAGGTATCTTCGGTTACGGTTACGAAGTATGTATTCGATCCGGCATCGCTGCCCCAAAATTTATTGTCTTTCCAAGCACCATATACTAACAATTTTAGTCGCCCTCGGCTATTCAACAAAGAGCTATCTTGCCCATCACTGAAGGTAGAGATGTCTTGGCCCAAGCTCAATCGGGTACCGGTAAGACTGCCACCTTCACCATCTCGGCTTTGCAAAGAATTGACGAAAACGAAAGATCGACCCAAGCTCTTATCCTTGCCCCCACCAGAGAATTGGCGTTGCAAATCAAGAACGTCATCACCTCGATTGGTTTGTACTTGAACGTCACCGTCCACGCCTCGATTGGTGGTACCAACTTGGCTGACGACATCGACGCTTTCAAGTCGGGCGCTCAAATTGTTGTCGGTACTCCTGGTAGAGTCTACGACATGATTGAACGTAGATTCTTCAAGACCGACAAGGTCAAGATGTTCATTCTTGACGAAGCCGATGAAATGTTGTCGTCGGGTTTCAAGGAACAAATCTACAACATCTTCAGATTGTTGCCCGAAACCACCCAAGTGGTGTTGTTGTCGGCCACCATGCCCCAAGATGTGTTGGAAGTCACCACCAAGTTCATGAACAAGCCGGTGAGAATCTTGGTCAAGAAGGACGAATTGACCTTGGAAGGTATTAAGCAATTCTACATCAACGTCGAATTGGAAGACTACAAGTTCGACTGTTTGTGCGACTTGTACGACTCGATCTCGGTCACCCAAGCCGTCATCTTCTGCAACACCAGAGCTAAGGTCGAAATGTTGACCACCAAGTTGAAGGCGGAAAACTTTACCGTGTCTGCCATCCACGCCGACTTGCCCCAAGCCGACAGAGACACCATCATGAAGGAATTCAGATCGGGTTCGCTGAGAATCTTGATCTCGACCGACTTGTTGGCCAGAGGTATCGACGTCCAACAAGTGTCGTTGGTCATCAACTACGACTTGCCCTCGAACAAGGAAAACTACATCCACAGAATCGGTAGAGGTGGTCGTTTCGGTAGAAAGGGTGTGGCGATCAACTTCGTCACCGAAAGAGACGTCGGCATGATGAGAGAAATCGAAAAGTTCTACTCGACTCAAATCGAAGAAATGCCCGCGGACATTGGTTCGTTGTTCAACTAGGTTTAATGGTTAATAGAAATGTGACTGGTTACTAAGTAATAGTATTGAACTGTAGAATTTGGTGTCGGGGGCGTCGCCTGGACAACGTGGCACGATAGTTGCCGTAACAGGTTTCACAAGTTTCCCGTAACGCGTATATGCAGGACGCACCCATCCTCGTTAAAAGACTAGCAGCCACGCCTCACACCCCTCCGAAGCTCATGGCGCTGCCCCTCGCCCAGCTACGGCTATCCAACGCGGGTGCCCCTCGCAAACGAGTCAAGGCACCGGCGGATGCTCTCGAGGAGCACCAGCGGCTGAAGTCGCCGCCATCTCGCCCCAAGCTGCCGCCGATTGTCGCCCCTGAACGCCACGCTCAGGACGACTTTGAGCTTGACATGACAATTCCTACTTCTGTCAGTAGCGATTTTGAGAACCTGGTGGACCACACCCTTGCCAGTTCGTCCTCTCTGCCGGCAGAAGACGAAGAAGTGGGTGACTTTTCTGTCACTGACTTCAAAAAGGCCAACGAGCTCGCCACCCTTTTCCTCGACACCCGCAAGATTCTCCGCGCCGATTGCAATATTGTCGACCCACTTTCGGCCGAGTCCCATACTCATCTGGGTCTGGGGCCGACCAAGCTGACGATATCGGTACTGAGACAGACTCATTTGCGGGCAGAAAAGGTGAAACTGATGATCGCCGTCAAGTACATGTACATCCAGAGACAATACGATTTGAAGGAAACCAAGGCGCATATACGGTATCCAGGTGTTGAAGGAGTTTACAATCCATTGCAGATCATCCGCAACCGCAAGATCAGAGCCAAGTACCACGAGTACCCGGGCCAATTATCGATCAAGACGCTTTCGTTGGCGTGTAATGTGTTCTCCAAGCATAACAACCACAGCCACTCAAAGCGTCCGTGGAAAATGATCTGGCTGGTAGAACTTAATGAGTTCCTAAGTGACCCCGGTTGGCGTCATCATCATTGGCATGAACTCGTTAATGGTAAGGGCGAATTGTGGTTCCCCGAACCGGTCGAGAATACACAAAAACGGCAAGCATTATACGACAAGTTGTTTGAAGAGACCAGCAGCGAGGACGATCGCAACCACCACCAGCTGTGGCGTAAACTGCGTCATCGGGGCTCTAATGGTACCGACAATGAACGCGGCCAGCGTCGTCGTCGTCGTCTGAAGTCACCAATGAAGCTTCGGGACCGCATGTCACGTAACTTGCAACGGCGTCATAGCTCCCAACTATTAGGTTCGCTGGACGAATTCGATCTGAGTCCGAGCTCGGCGCCGCCGGCGGAAGAGGACGATGACGGTGGTCTTATCATTAGCGTTCCTCATCAAGGGCAGGTGCCGATGATCACGGTCGAAGACGCCACGGGCGTCAATGACGTCCACTTTAATCATGTCACTAAAGAGGTCGACTCTAAGCCGGTTGAGGGGGACCTGACGGTCAACTCAAAGGCGCCCTCGATACTTGGTGAGCTTGAGCGCAGTAAAGGGCAAACAATTGACACGATTGAGAAGGAGCTCACGGTGATTCGCAAGGACTTTGCGTATCTTGGTGCGGTGACAAAGCTTCGGCTTAATTATTTGTTAAATGTGTACCCCGAGTACACTCACCGGGTGGACGATAAGCTTAACCAGTTGATGAAACAAGACATAAGTCAGCTTTTGGCCACGGTGGTGACGATTAACGACAATCAGTTACAAATTTTCGAGCGGTTGTTTACCGCTTATTCCAAAGAGGTGCTGCTGGTGTTGCATTTGGCTCATGATAAACATAGTATTGAGATTGATCACTTACTCAGTGCTCTGGACCGGCTGATCTCGGAGATTAATACGCTGATGTCGTTGGAGTCGCGTAAGCTTAGCGAACGGCTCGACCGTCTCTCAGCCAAGGTGGCTGACTCGTGTGGGGTGACTGAACGTTGGGGTGCTACCAAGGCCCACTTGCCCACGATCAGTGAAGGGGGTTACCGGTGGGTGTATTTCATTTTAGAGACATTAATTGTCATGTTGTTGTGGTTGGTGTGGGTGGTGGTGAATGTGTATAGAGCGGTGGCATATGTCATTGGTTTGGTTATACGGGTTATTAGGTTTGTTTTGTTAGGTTAATGAATAGACTCAGGGAAAGGAAATAATTTGATGTGGTTGGTGGCAGGTTTGCCTTCATTTCTTCAGCAATAGTGAATTAAGTAGTATTCAAAAACAATCGCAATTCTAAGACCCTCAAAAGTATAAGGTTCCTACTTCAATCCACTTGTAAAAGATCATATACGAACTAATCTTTAAGGATCAATGACACGGGAAACTCATAACATTGATGAAGATTCCACTCGAAGCAAGGAACCCAGAGCATCTTGGAACTTATTATTTCAATTTTTCGTAACCTCGACTCTCATTTCTCCATACCTGTTGGCGGATTTTTCGCTTACCAAAGACTTAAGCGCGGGATCGAAAAACTTCTTCATCGCCATGCCGTTCCGGTTCCCCGTGAAGTTTGAGGTGCCCAAGCACTGCTACGTGAACGCCCGGGTGCTTCGGGACCAGTTCAAGCGGTTGCAGTTCGAGGAGCACGAGGTCACCCGCAAAGCCCTCAAATACATCCTGCGCAACACCGAGTTGCCGCTGAAGGTGCGGTTGGAAGCTCAGTTGCAGTTGACCCTGATGCCCAAATACACCCTGTACAACCAGATCCGCGACCGGTGTGTGGCCACTGGTAACGCCAAGTCGGTGATCACCGACTTCAAGTTGAACAGAACCGCGTTCAGAGAGAGGGCCCGCGCCGGGGTGCTTCCGGGGGTGCAAAAGGCGTCGTGGTAGACGACCATGTATATAGCTATTACTTTGAGGGAATATATTTAACGAACGATGAACTAATTAATCTTCCAACTTAGGTGAGTGAGTCACGCGTTCGTGGCCCAGCCCCGTGATGTGAACTTTCTTGGTGGTGTCGCCTTTCTCCAAAAGCCGCTGTTTGCGGACCAGGGTATCGTCCAGTGCGTAGAGATCGTCGTCCAGCTCGTGGACGAACTCCGGTTCGGCACCGCTACCGCTGGAGGTCTCCAGCTCCGGATCCAGCTCCAGATCGGCGCCGGTCTCGACGCGGTACCGTTCAATTTGCGACGCCACCGACGTCATCCGCTCCCGTGCCAGCTCTACCAGCGCCTCAAATTGCTGGCGACCTTCAGCGACAAGCTGGTGGAACTGTTCCAGTCCTACCAATGGCAGCAGGCGGCGTTTGCGGTAGAATAAAAGGTAGGCAGCACCGGTAATCATCAGCTGAGGGTCGGCTAATGGCGACACTTGCGAATCGTTGTAATTGTACCACTTACCGTCACGGTTGTTCTTGACACAGGCGGTGTAGTGGCCGCCACCAAGCCCCCCGTAGTGGTTATCGACGCCAATGAGATCGTAAACCTGCTCGTCGCCAGGACCAGCGATATAGGGCAGGAGGTCCAACCCTTCGATGGGGAAGTCGACCACCATCTCGATCTTATCGGCAAACGCCCGCGCCGACGAGAACCGCTTGAGGTGGATGGTGACAATGTCGCCACACCGCCACAACTGGATCAGCTTTGTCGCCTGCTTGTGCTCCTTACAGTTGGGGCAGTACCACAAGTCGTGTTCGCCAAGCACTTCCGGCTTCAGGAACTGGGCTAAACAGTCGTTGAGGGAGATCTTCGCCTGTCTTTGTCGCAAGTATGCCCGTTTCAGCAGCTCAAGCAGCGGGTTGTGCATTCGAGGTATGGGGACGTCAAACATGAACTCTGCCCACGGCCCCCGACGCCATTCACACTGGAGCTGAGTGTAGCGAGTGATGAGAGGGCCACGAGGAGCGTCTTCCCACGCGATCGGAGTTGTGCTAGGAGTAATGCTTTCCAGCGACGCGAGCTCATCAAGCTTGTTATCGCTGTTGACTTCGTCCAGGGTCCCTATTTCCAGCGGTAACGCCCCCGTGATTGGTTCAGGAGGGTCTTGGTCGTCGTCGAGGAGGGTGCCGCCAAGCTGAGGCTCCAGCGAGCTCTCGTCGTCGTCCAGCGGACCCACGCTCATGAGCACCGGTACCTCAGGGGTGTTCACCACTACGTACTCGTCGTTGGCGAGGGCTTTGTGGTAGTAGAAGCGACGCTTAGCAGCAGGGAGAGCCGCCAGAAGTGGCGAGAACAGCCCGAGGTAGCCGCCATAGGGGACGAAAATGCGCCGATTATCCGCCAGCGCCATCTTGGTGTTGGTGACGTGGTAATTGATAGTGAAAAGCTCATCAGGGTTCACCAGCGGGTCGGCAAGCGACACGTCAGAGTCGTTACCGTCACCGCCGAAATCCTCACTAGTAAAGCGACGATCACCCCGTTCTTCGTAGTAGTCGTGGTGAGGGAGACGTTCTGAGGTGAAAATCTGTTCCAATTCCCACATCTTCGAGATGATGGTGCCAAAGCTATCGGCTTCTTCAGGGGTGAATTTGGCAAACAAGGGGATGGCCACCGGGGTCAGCAGCTTGTACGACGTGTCTTCAGACTCCAACAGCGTTTGTACGGGAACAATGATGTCAGTTTCATCATGAGGGATGTAGTAGATGACCACCTTGTCGTCCAGCGAGATTTGTTGCAGCACCGGTGTGAACCGGGTTTCCGACGAGTTGCTCTGGTAATCCTTATACACCTGGTTCTGGAAGATGTCGTAAATGAACAAGTCTTTGGCATCGACGCTGAGTTGGTTGGCGACGTATTTGCGCAACTCCTCCACCGACAGCGTCTTGGTAAGCTCGACTTCGTACTCAAACATCCTCAGCTCGCCGTCTCCTTTGAATAAGGTACCGTCGCCTAAATCTACCACGGTAAAGGTATGGTACCATTTCTTTTCAATAGGTAACGGAAGGGTGATGTCGTTAAAGGGATCGAAAGTAATCAGAGTCTTGTCGCATGAAGGGCATACGAGGGTCAGCTGGTAGAGACCCGTGAACAAGTCGGTGATGACACTAGAGTTACGCTGCTTGTACTGTTCCCAACACTTGTCAGCGAGTTCAATGATGGCTTCGCGGTTACCCACATCTTTATCGTCCAATTCAGGCTTCTCCAGGTATGGCTTCTCGATGATCCGGTTCAAGTCTTCGTGCAACGCGTCCAAAAGCCACAGAAGAAGTTCCTGCGAGTCCTGTTGCATGTAACCGTAGAACATTTGCGAGTAGCGGCCAATGGTCAGCTTAAATTCACGAGGAGCCAACGAGCCGCTGACCCCAGTGTCGTAAGTTTGTTGAAGCAACAGTCCGAATGCTTGTGCAACATCACCGTGGTAACCTAAAGGGTTCTCCTTGTTCAATTCACGGTAGTGGAGGTCAAAGAGGAAGTAGAGACACAACTCGGGGATGTGCAAAAGACACTGTAACGCCAGGTTCATGTAGCAAGTATTGCCCAAATTGCTAAGCCCCAACGTGCCGCCATGGGAAAGAGTGTGTTCGGCGTCAGGTGCCAGAATTTGCGTGAGGTAAGTGTCAAGAGGGAAGTGGCCCTGTTGTAAGGATTCCACCACCACGTGATATTCTTGTCCTGGTATGATACCTTGAGATGCTAATGGCTGGTCGTAAAGCGACGGAAGCACTAATTTGGGCAGGTACTGACGGATAAATTGAGGCACCAGAATATTGGTAGGAATACGGCCAGTGGTAGGGATAACCCAAAGCCGCAGACTAGCCGACGATACGCCGCCAATCTCATCAAGTAATGCTCCAAACGTCTTCGTCAGCAGGAACGGTACCAGTTTTGGTTCGCGGTTATAGTAGCCCCTTTTCTGAGTAGTGGCACTGAGCTTATGGACGATAAACACGGGGATGCGGTCCTCAAGCTTTACATTGTGAGGTGGCTTATCGTCGGATACACTGACAATGTAACGGGTAACTGGGGCACTGTGAGGGTTACTAACGCCAAAGCACAGGGTAAGTTTCGAGTACGCTTCCGGCAGTACCGCCCAGGTATCAGCGACAAGCAGTCCCTGAGGGTCAATAACCGTGTGGGAGTCGACGGTACCAACATCAGCCGCCAATGAGTCGAGATCGGTGTGTTCCAGGGTGGCGATCGCTTCGAGATATGTCCACGGCACCACGTACCAGCACTCGCCCGGGGCGGGTCGAGCCAGCTCCATCACCCGAGCCACGTACAGCTTGATCTCCTCGGCCAGAGGTGTGGCTGGTGGGTTGGCGGTGCCGTGCCCGCCGGCGTCAGCAGTGGGATCAGCCATGGTGGCAGCAACGACCCGGTGCGCGCTTGTGTGAGCGTGGCTCCAGCGGGGGGGCCATCGCGAGATGAGGTGGGGGAAATGGGTGGTATGAACGCCTAAAGAGATTTATTAAAGGTGATCTGAGTAAAGAATTGTGTTAGGAGTCGAATGGTATACAATTGTGTTGGTTCATTTGAGGTTTTGGCTAGTTTACCGGGGAATTGTTGACCGCACTAAAGGAATACGATGGCGATGATGAGGGTGGAATCAGAAGGTGAATCTAGAGAAATTGCCATAATTAAAGACTACCAATAGGTTCTAAATTTGTATAAGTTGTGGAGTAAATCTGTAGGACTTTTTCTCCTAGTAATTATCTCACAATACGGCGGTTACGTCTCGCCCTCGCTAAGCGAGTGGGTTTCCGAGGGGGCGGGGGCGTTCGGATTCCCAACGCGTGTGCTCACGAGAATTGGCGTGTTTAAGCTCTTAATTTTAACACCTCCGCGATTTTTTTTTTGGATTAGTCTAAAAGGGGCTCGCAACCCCGGCAAGGCAACCGTCATCGGCATGGGAAATGTCCCATGCTTGCCACCCGCCACCCCGCCACCACGGGTCCTGCGCGTTTATCTAGAGAGATTTGCATCTATTTTCCACTCGGTGGCGTAGCCTTAAAGAATAAGGATAACGACTCATGTCAACAGTAAAGGTATACGTCTACGACCTTAGCCACGGGCTCGCCCGAGTGTATGCCCCGATGATGCTTGGGATCAGCCTCGATGCCATTTACCACACTTCAGTAGTGGTTTACGGAAAAGAATATTATATCGACCAAGGGGTCAAGGTGGCTCTGACACCAGGGACTACCAAATACGGTACTCCCGTGGAAGTGATTGATATGGGAGAAACTGAAGTGCCCGAGGAGTTATTTGATGATTATTTGGAAGAACACAGAAATGCTGGCAAATATCATCCTGCTACCTACGATTTGTTTGACAATAACTGCAACCATTTCACTGATGATTCACTCCAGTTTTTGGTGGGGCAACCGCTTGTTGAAAGAATATTGACGTTACCTCAACAGGTGCTCGCCACTCCCGCCGGACAATCGCTCCGAGGCATGCTTGGAGCCCAATTATATTAAATAACTTGTGGTTATATAGTTCTAATGACGTCAACGTACAATTTTGGGATATTTAAAGTAGATTGTTATTGTTAAAGTAAACACTCTTAACTCTCATCAGCGCATCATCTCAGTGCGGGACGATGTCCTTCAAGCTTAACCTCAAAAGAGGAGGTGCCAAAGGTCGTCGAAAAGCTAATGGAGGCAAAGTCGATTTCAGTGATGGTACTAAAGATGGCCCAGCCAAAGTGACGATCGACAGCTACGATGATCAGGGTGCTAAAAGCAACGATGTCGCCGTGGATGCGGTAACTCCACTAGTGATAAAGCCCCAACAACACGTCACCAGTTTGATCCAGGCCAAACGGACTCGACGAGTGGTTGAAGCAGAAGAAACTGCTGAGGATAAAAACATGGCTCGGCTATTACTGGACACTAATCCCAATAAGGAACAAAACCAACCACGTATCGAGGCTAAGGGACTCACCATCAGTGTTACAGAAGACAATGCCACTTCAGATAACTCTGACGATGATTATAACCAGGTCCCCGTCGAGGATTTTGGTGCTGCCATGCTTCGAGGCATGGGGTATACCGAAGATGAGGAAGATAAACAAACAGAGACTCCCGCGTCCAAATTGGCTCAAATCCTCAAAAAGCGTCAACGAGGCCAAGTATTAGGTATTGGTGCTAAGCCGTTAGACGCTGATCTCCATCGGAACGTGTTTGGTGAACGGGGAGATAAGCTTGAAGTGGCATTAGTCAAGCGACCGAAAAAGGATACTACGTCGTCATAAAGGCCCTGGCTGGCCCATGACAGACCCCTATTTTTTTCCGATTAAGTTATATTTCGTAAGTCATTATATATATGTACAGGTACATCATGTCGATGCATCGATTTTAATTAGCGGGGGGAGGCGTTGGGTTACACCATCACCCCAAGTCCCAACAATACAAGCTGCAGTGCCAACGAGTGCGACCACATCAGGCTCCGTTGCGACAAAATGCGTTGTTCCTTTACCTTCACCAACTTGAGAAGCTCGTCATACACGTCACCGACGATGGCGTCCCACATCGGGGTGTGGGTGAGGTCCAGCACGTTATACAAGTCGTCCACCTTCAGGATGGCGGTGGTCTTGACGACGATCGGGTTGGGCGGCGTGCCACCTTCGCCGTTGACACACAGAATAAGCGCCCGGAGGTTCTGAAGCAGCACAAACGGGGCTCCCAGAGCTGCCAGCGGCAAGTATTTGGGGACACTGGCCTTGATATCGTGGAACTTCACCGTGACGTTGACGACGACGTACGGCACCATTGCCAGCGTTTCCGGCACCGGCTTGGAGAAAGTGTGGTATAACGCCGTCAACGCTCCCTTTAAGAGCGTCAGCGGGTGTTGGGTATCGGTGGTGGTCGTCGTGTCGTCGTCAGAGGTGTGGCCGCCAATGTGGTTGATCATCAGATCAAACACCAGGGGAAGCGACGCCGTGGCAGCGTCGTCAAGTGGCGGGAAGGTGATATCGGCGGAGATTTCCGCGCGTCCGTTCACCATCCAGTTGAATTTGGATTGAGGGTCGGCGCGAGCCAACAGTCCCAAATTAATGCCGTCAAGCTTAAACCGAATGAGCTTGCTGTCAGCAGCGCCGTCGGGAGTCTGGCGCTTGTGGATGGTGAACATCGAGTTGTTAATGGCGCCCAGGACGTTATTGGCGCCAAAGAAGTCCATAAGAAGGCGGTCGCCGTGGACGTTGACCATATCGGCAGAGAATACCGAGATCTTAAGGGGAGTGGGGTCGTCAATGGACGAGTATACACGACATACCAGGTCGTGGACCTTAACCAGGTCAAATACGTAACTGGCATCGACAAGCGATTGGTCGTAGTTACGATACAATTTGCCGTTGAGCCCAAAGATTTCCATTGCTTGGATAAGTCCGCGGCCTTCGGACCATTTACCAAACAGTAACGTGATGTCCATGTGTTCCACTCTTCCGGAAAGAGCTGGTTGGCCGTCGACAGTGGCGTCGCTGACTAATTTGAAGTCCAGAAGACGCAACTTGCCGTCTTTATACAGAGGAAGACTTTTGCCAAGCTGAACATTAACCCCAAGCCCCACAGACATCACCTGACTCGCCATTTGCCGGAGCATCAGCGGTTTAGGGTCATCTTCATCACTGATGAGTCCGTCAAAGTAGTAAAGACCAGACATCAATGCGAGGCCGAAAGTGGTTGTCCCCAAGATAATCCAAAGTAAATTGCCCATCACTAACCCGGAAAGCACGGCAGATATGGTCTCGCCGGTAGACACTTTGCGGGTGTCTCGCACCAAGAGCTCGCGGAGCTTAGCCACCACCAGCTTTGTCAGCGCTGACGAGGGAGTCGGGGGAAGGTTGTCGGTGGAGTAGAATCTGATAGCGGAGGTAAAAACTGGGGCTTTATAGGCTCGGGGCAAGAGTGCCACCGACGGATATAACGCCCCGATGGCTAACGCCGTCGCCCGCCGCCCGCCAGCGCCCATCGCCGGCGACCGTAGCACACTCACACGGGTTGAGCCGTGTCGCGAAACTAGACGTCCAAACATGAGTTGAGACGAATGGTAGTTTTGCAGCTAAAAAGTGGAGGGAGATTGAAAGATTAGTAGCAGTGGTAATTGGCTGCACTTAGCTTTTTTTTCTATATCGCTTGTGTCCCCGGGCTCCTACGCGCGGCGGTTAGGAACCAATAGAAAAAAAGCAAGCTCCATCTGGCGTCAGCCAGACATTTCAGGGAGTAACCGCAAGCTGTGGCGGGTAGAGATTATTGGTTTGAAGGTGCCGACTTGTGCAAGTTTCATATGTAGGGGTTTTTGTCATCATCTAGCTTAGTGACTGACCATCTCGGAAAATGGTGAAGCGACGGTTGCTTCGGTTTTTAGCGGCGTCATCGCTACCTCAACTCTAATTGCTTTTGCGGGGGTGGCGCGTCGCGACAAAGCCCGGTCGTCAAGAAGGTTGCAAACGCCACGGTCCGAGGAACTACCCTTGTCTCATTATCTGTGGAGTGTGGGGTGACCACTCTAAACTCCTATATAAGTAACGTGAGAGTTGGGAAGATTAGTATCAATCTACAGAAAAACGACTACTAACTCTACTTGCCTAATCAAGGCTAATTGCCAGCCCCTCAAGTTTTTCACCCATGCAAATGGTCAGTAGATATCAAAAAATCTGCCATCGTCAAACACCCTCACTCAAAATCATTAATTTTACTTTGGCTAGGTTCATATCTCAAGACTATTTGATCAACCTTTGTTCCTTGTTATCTCATCGCAGTGTGTCAGTGCTGATCGCTCAGCGGCTTAGGGTGCGAAAAACCAAATCATCTCATCTCATCGCCTCATCCCCTCGTGCCCATCACTAATATATACAACCGACCATGGGAGCTCCCACTGCGATTAAAACGCCGCCGGCGGCGGAAAAGCCGGTCCAACCCCTGGCCGAAGCTGACGACGAAATGATGGTCGACACCACCCTGGTGCCCCAACAAGAACAAAAAGAACAGGACGAAGACACCGCCGAGCCCGAGCCTCAGCTGGTAGTCGTCGACGAAAACGGCATGCCCAAGTTTGCTCCTGCCAACAAGCTCAAGATGAAGGTGAAACTCGAACAAAGAAAAGTGCCCATCCCCCCTCACCGGATGTCGCCTTTAAAGAACTGCTGGCCCAAGATATACCCCCCTATCGTCAACCACTTGAAGCTTAACATCCGTATGAACGTGCGTACCAAAACCGTCGAGCTTCGAACGGGTCCTCAAACCACTGACGAAGGCGCCCTCCAAAAGGGGGCCGATTTCATCAGAGCATTCACTTACGGGTTCGACGTCGACGACGCCATCGCCTTGTTGAGATTGGACGACTTGTACATTGAAACCTTCGAAATCAAGGATGTCAAGACCTTGCAAGGTGACCACTTGAGCCGTGCCATTGGTCGTATTGCTGGTAAGGACGGTAAGACTAAGTTTGCCATTGAAAACGCTACCCGGACGCGTATTGTCCTCGCCGACTCCAAGATCCACATCTTGGGTGGGTTCACTCACATCCGTATGGCGCGAGAAGCCGTCGTGCTGTTGATTTTGGGTGCCCCTCCGGGCAAGGTCTACGGCAACATGCGGACGGTGGCTCTGCGGATGAAGGAACGGTATTAGAGGGCTTTAGGCATTCGGGCATATGTACATTAGGAAACGTTAGAATACACAGCATCAAACGATATATCACGCGAGTAAGTCCAGGGTCAAGTCGTCCACGGGGGCATGCTGGGCCTTCAGCGGCAAGAGATCGTCCAACACCAAGTCGAGACGCATGGCGTAGGCATCTTCGCCGTCTTGGTAGTACCCCTTTTCGATCAGAGTCACCAGGAACGCCAACAGATCACGGTATAAGTGCAACGCGGCCCGGTTCAGTTTCCGCACGTGCAACGACACGTACTTGGCGCCAAACAGCTCACACATGGCGTACAACAGCTGTCTCATCAATTTTTCAGCGAGACCCATCCGTCTGTACGTCCGCATCACCAGCAAACTGGTGATGTGCCCGTGAGGAGTCTTGTCGTCGGCTTCCGGGTCGTCTTCCATCTTCCCCAACACGTAGCCAACAATCTTTTCCCCTTTACCAATGTAAGCAGTGTCACCTTTGGCGTCTACCGGTATTATGGGAGCGGCAAGGTCGCCGTCTTCGGCACCATCGTCGGCTTCGACATCATCGTAGGTAGTGGCGACAAATGAAGCTTGAGGCCATGACAAAATGTGGTACATGTAGTATTTCAACTGGTAGTTTTCGGGAAGATTGTGGAGATTGGCATTTTGCATCGCCTGGATGTCCTCTATCGTCGCCTGACGAATGGTGAACCCCATGGTGGTGAGTTTTTCGCGCCGCTCTCGATGGTAGTCAAAAAGGTACAAATAGAATCAAGGGATGAATAAAAAAATGAGGCTGGAAAATTGGACATTTATGTTCAATAGCCAATCCAAATTCAAGTGGTAGTGATTAATTTAGTTTTCATGGGATCTACGTGCTTCGGTAACGTGAAATGCGGTTATTGTATCAAACAAAACTTCAAACCGGTTATCACGATGTGAGGAAGTTAGTGGATCTAGTGTACTTACAGTTATCAGAGCTCGCTGCTGTGAATATGGTTTCTAGTAGGTTTTACTCCATTAGTTGGTTGTACGCAATGATTGCTTGGACATTGAACTGTTAAAAGAATTAAACCCACAATTGTAGTCTTAATGTTGGTTTAATCAGTGACTTAGGTGCATACTTAACGCATGAAAGCCAAATGATACAGTCTATTCTCACTTGTCTACAAGCAGATACGAACCATTAGATTATCATTAACGTTACAGGTAGAGTTGCTCTCGAGTCAACACAGCCTCATTGAACTTAATCAAAAACACTGTGCGTAAAGGTGCTTCATCAATAGGGACCAGATGGGCGGTGACATTAGCATAAAACCCTGCCAGGTCTAACGCGCCTTCAATGATGCCGGCAATAAATGCCCCGCAGTTCAAGTTGCCGTAATCTTTGGGGATACTCACAAACCGATTCACCACTGGTTCGTTATCGATAATCATGTATTCATCATTCTGATCCTGACTCTTTTCGAGGTCATTAGCAGGTTTATCAAAGATGAATTTCCAAAATGTCCCATGAATGAATTGCAAGATCTCCAATATCTTCACTTCACGCTTAGAATTCTTCACCCCCTCTCGAAGCTTTATAAGCTCCAAGAACCGTTGGCCAATCAGGTAGCCCAACCCGTTGAGCCTCGTCTCCAAGTCTTGAATACCTTTGGCATTTTTAAGCAGCCAGTTCACCATTTCACAGAACAAAAACAGCATCAGCAGCAAGTTGATATCGTTGGGCTTCTTTGTGGTGATATTGCGATCATAGATCAGGTTGTGGGATGTGGGCGTAAGCACAATCGTCTTTTTGCTCATGAGAATCTGACTGGTCTCCGCCCCTATGGCATTGGAACTGGGACCTATGCTTGGGTTATATCCAAACCCCAGTTTCAGCCCATCGGATATGGTAAGCGTGTGCAACAGGGGCACGCTGGGGATGACGATGTTATCGTTCATGCCGTCACCGTGGAATTTAAGGATTTGATCACCGCGCGGATCAAAGTCTACGCATACGCTAACAAATAGGCACCATGGCTCGTGTACGGGCACCAAGGCGTAAGTGATAATTGATTCAATCAATGCTTTCATATTGGGTTGCTAACGATTGATAGGCTCTAAAACGAGTTGTACTGGGGATATATTGACGGGTCTAGCCTCTCCTAAGTCGTCGGCGCAGTTAGCACTCGAGACGATATTCAACCATGGCGCACCAACCAAATCCCAAGCTAAGCCAAAGAAAGTGACTAGAGTGAATTCTCTGAAAGCTCCGACTGAAATCCCTACATTCGCTCTGTTTATCGATCAATCAACTCCACAAAAGTGTGCCCCCGTAGTGGTGCCAGCTGCTGAAGTGGTTGACGACGATATGCTCTGGTCTCTGCCTCATAAACTGGCCGGCATTCCTTCTAAGAGTCCCTTCAATCCGCCACTAAACCTAAATCGACCGCAAGATGTCGGTCTGGTGCAATTGAAAGCTCCAATCAAAGTGCACACAAAGACCCAAACTGATAAAGTTACAAGAGTTAGTATTGATACTCAAACGCCTATTATCAAGTGGGCAGAGGCCAAAACACAAACTCATCGGCGTATTGCCGTTGACTCTCATACTCAGACCTCCAAACCATCACAAACCAACTTTCTGGCCCAAGTGTCACCGTCGGTAATCAGTGTGCCTACTCAAACAGATCCATTACCCCAACCGCCACCACAAGCCAATGTTTCAACGCAAACTGAAGATCGCTTGAAGACAAACCAAGCGGTACAAACCACCTTTCTCGACTACAAACACCAGTTTCTCGAACAGAAGCGTCGGGCGGATGCGTTGGAACGACAACTTGAAAAAGAGAAAATGAATCCTCAGTTTAATCCTCCCATGGCTGTTCCCATGTGGGCTCATTCACTAGCTCAGCCGATGGCTCAACCCATGGTCCAGCCAATGGCTCAACCATCGATGATGTTTCCTCAGTATTATCCCCAATGGGCTGCTCCTCCTCCTCCTCAATTTCTTGATTGCACTACGAGACGGCATCGAAAACGTCGCTCATCATCCTGTAGCTCTTGTGTTAGTGAATCTCCACCCCGCTCTCGTCAACGCCATCGCCACCGAAAACACCAATCACCTCCCACTCCGCTCATTCATCATGCTTCGCCTCCTCATCAAAATCCTCCTGTTCCTCTCGCCCCTCCAGCTCCTAGTACTGTAATACCTGCTCCCGTCGAAAACACCACTTACTATCAGGACTACTACACTCCCTATCCCTTGGACGAATTTGACGGAGACCCCCAGCTCCCACTCTCTCCTCTAGAACCGCTGCTAGTAGAGACCACCCTTGCCTCGCCTCCTCGTCGCAAACCGCTATATCCTCGCGATGAGTTCTTACTCGTATAGTAGTAAATGGTTATGGTCATTAGTTTAGATGCAGCCCTACATAAAGTCGTCGTCACCGAAGTCGTCAAACTGGGCGTCGTCCATGTCGTCGAAACCGTCCTTCTTGAACCCGCCGCTGACGTTGGGACGGACCGCAGGCTTCGCCTTCTTCTTACCCGCACCCCCGGTGGCAGTGCCGCCAGTCTTCTTCAATCTCGCTTGTCTCTCCGCCCGCTCCTTATCCTTCACCATCACGTTAAGCGTCAGCTGCAACTTTCTGGTGTTCTCCAACGACAACGGCTGGGCGATGTCCCGGATCAAGTCGATGGCAAGACTCAGGGCGTACAACATGGCGTTGTCCTCCAGCATCTGGACAAGCGACGCCGCCAACGCCTTTCTCAACCGCTCGTATTCTTGCTTGGTGGCGGGTTGGAACAACGGGTGTTCTTCCAATGGGGTATCTTTGGTCAACACCTTGCCCGCGCGCTTGGCCTGGGCAGCTTCAATTTGTTCCTTGGTGATACGTTCTCTGGGGTGGGCATTGATGTCTTCGGCAACCCCCAAGCCGGAGAACAAGTCGGCGGCGTTGTTCAAATCGGCGTTAAGTTCGGCCTGCTTGAGCAAATCCTTACGAGTTTGCTCGTCGAGGTCGTCTAATTCAGCAAGAGTCTTGTCCGACAACAAACCCTTCTTTTTGAGCTTTTGTTCCTCTTGCTTCTTCTTCAACGCAGCCTTTTCGGCGGCCTTCTTAGCCTCAGCTTCCTTCTTTTGCTTTTCAACTTCATCGGGGTCGACGTCCCACGAGTCCAAAAGAGCCTCGTCGTCGCCCTCTTCTTCCCAAGAGGCGGCAGCGTTGTTGGAGGCGGAAACCTCAAAGTCGTCGTCGTCCCAAGACATGATGTTTAAACCGGTATAAGAGAAGAGATTGTCGTTCCAGCGAAAAAAAAAAATGTTCCCGTGGTGGGGCTAGTGCGAAGAAATTGCAACCGTTCTACGTCCCGACAATCACGACACCGGCGGTGTCGTTACCTTGCTAGCCATCGGAAACGAAACGGTAAAAGTTTTCTTCGATGTTCAAAACTACAAAGCGGGGAACGTTTGCACATGGATTAGGTGAAATTCCTTTGCTAAAAATATCTCGCTTCCACAAGCCGTGCCTGTGATTGAGCAGTGCCACCTCGCATGGCTCAGCTAGGAAGCTTATCTAGAGGCGGGCCTAGCCTTTCTTACAGCATATACGTGTCTCTCGACATTCCCATACATTTTAGGCTGGTGTCGCAGTCTTAACGTGGCGTTTTTTTCCCTGTAGGTGAAGGATCGCTGACGTGGGGTTGAAAAGTGGCAACTAGTACAGTACACAAGCATAGGAGTTTGGGTCTCGGCCCGTGGCGGTGAGCGACAATACCGAGTGCTGGACGTCACCTGGCGACGACCGTGAGCGAATTCAGTGTTATCAATCGATAATTCGCCCCCTATGGACACGTGAGACGCTATCGTATAATCGGTACGAGTCCGCCCGGACGCACATTGCTCTCGTGACATTGCGGTAATACCAGCTCGCTCCTCCGCCCTTCGCCCTGCCTTTGATCTGCACACTGCAGGCTGCAAAAGCCATAAACCTAACTGGAGAAAAAAAAAAAAAAACTTAACCGACAGTCATTTGCTGGAAAAGGCCACAGTTATCGTTTTTGCCGTTTGGGAGATTGCTGACGGTGTATCAAAATGACTAGCACCATCGTTCCCGGCACCGTTATCCCGGGGGTGGCCGCTGCCCGCCTCGACGAGTGGATCAAAGATAACGGCATCGTCCTCCACCCTCGCCTCCACATCGGTGCCAGCGACCTCGGGGGCATCGGGCTCGTGTTTGACAATGCTGACGGTGAGGTTAATGCCGAAGACGACTTTGAAGTGCTACGGATACCGGCGAAGATGGGGTTGGACTATATGTCTCTTCTCGAAGTGATGGACGCGATGAAGCTCCGCGATGGAGACGTGGAGGCCGAGATTGTCGAGTCACAATTGGTGGTGGAAGTACTTAAGCTTATGCTGCCAAAGACCGAGACTGAGATCATCATGGCGTATATCGTGGCGTTCGAGATCCTTCGCCAGGTTAACGTTAATAGCGATTATTGGCGCGATAGTCCCCTTCGCAAGTTTGATGTTTATCTTGACGTGTTAACCCATACTGCCACTCCTAGCTACCCGCAAATCAAGTCATCACCTGACCCTTTCATCAATAAACTCATTGCTAGCGCTAATGCCGTCAAGCTTGAGTACGATCTGTTTATTGGTGAATTGGCGCAGGAATACAAATCGCTTCAGGTTGACAAGTTGATGCCATTCGCTAAATACTACCAGATCTACCAGCTGATTAAGCTGCGGAGTCTCGAAATCCCCCACGCCAGCATTGACACTGACTTCAGCAAGCTTAGCTTAGATCTGGACTCGCTGAAACCAAACGAATCAGACGACACCGATTTCTACATCAACGTGACGTTGGTGCCCATCCTCGACTTTGCCAATCACCGTCACAATAATAATGCCTATTTTGACGTTGATTTGGAGACGAGCGATGTGGTGCTTAAATTGAAGAATGACGCCACCATCGACCCAGCCAAGTTTGAGGTGACCATTTCCTATCTGCCTCATGAACTGGTACAGCATTTTATCCAAACTTATGGCTTTATTCCTCAGCTGACTGATTTCCAACTCTTCGAACTCAAATTGCCGCCCATGGATCAAGTGGTGAAAGACGGAACATTAAAGAGCAAGTGGATGAGAATCCTACCTCAAATACAAATTGTGGGCCGAAAAGACGAGGTTTACCTCAACTTCTTCGATAACAATCTCCCCCTCTTATTCATTGACGACTTCAACTACAATCCCAATTGGAGTGACGACGCCATCAGCGACTTCCGTAAATATAACGATTTTGCTGACGACGACGAGCTCGACGAAGTTGAGATCTTGAACGTGTTAAAGCACCAAGAGGAGTGCTACGACGTGATCAACGGGATTGGTCCTCTGGGGATCACGTTCAAGGGAGAGAAAGTCGACCACTTACAACTGGTGATTCGGGCGGTGGCTCAGGACGACAGCGGCTACTCGTTTGATGACTTGATCCAGCGTACTATCACTTTCATTCGTGACCACGCCAAAACTCAATTGGCAGCTCCCCCGCTCGTTGACGACGACGACAACAACGACAATGACGGGTTCACTCAATTGGTTAGTCAGTACCAAACGTACCAAAAACGTCTCTTGCAACGGCTCGTGGACTACGCGGGATCTATAGACGACCTCATCCTCCCTGAAGAGCTAGCCCACCCGGACTGGGAAACCAATTTCCGCTCGCTTCCCCGAGAACTCGTGCTTGGAGACGATTAATCATTAAATAGCATGCATCGTATTTCTCATTCAAAAGCAGGTCCGGGGACCGTCCCTCGTCGCGCTTAGTAATTGAGGCTGGTCTGGAACTCGCCCCATATATACTAATTAACTCCACCTAAGACGCGGGTGACAAATACATTAGTCTAAATACCCTCGACCTACATACACTGGTCACGTTGCTGCCACGGCTAATGCCTACGTAGGGTTTGTAAGCAGCAAAGGTCGTCACTGTGCCGGCTTCGAGAAAAAAAATACCCAGCCCGTGGGTTCTGCGACGCCGCCGTTTTTTTCGTTCGTTTGCCGTTCTCGGACGGCAGTATAAATTGCGATTCGCGCCCCATCAACTGCCTCTGATCCCAAAGCTCTTTTCACAATGGTTTCTCAAGTTCACACTAAGGAAGAATTTGACTCTGCTTTGCAACACCTGGGTCTCGTCGTCGTCGACTTCTTCGCCACCTGGTGTGGTCCCTGCAAGATGATTGCCCCTATGTTGGACAAGTTCGCCGCCGAATACTCGTCGGCCAAGTTCGTCAAGGTTGACGTCGATGAGCTCGGGCAACTCGCTCAGCAATACGAAGTGTCGTCGATGCCCACCATCTTGTTGTTCAAGAACGGCCAAGTCGTCGACAAGGTCATTGGTGCCAACCCCGCTGCCATCAAGGCCAAGATCGCCGGCAACGCCTAAATAGACTCCTAATATACTGATAAACGAATGATATTTTGAAAGTGATAAATGAAGAATTGGATAATTCTTTCAATTCAGACAGTGATGCAGAGTACTTTGAGTTGGACAGCGTGAGTAAAGCGGGAAACGGCTTTAGTGTCTAAGCCCCAGAACTAAATGGAAATCTCGTGAGACATCACCAGAATGTCACATTCTGTAATGATACATTAGTTCTCACCACGTAAGCTACATTGGAGAATAATGGACGTTTACCAACCCTCATTAAACCGATAACTATCACCATAAATTGTAGACTGTCTTCCACTTGGTCTAGAACTGGAATAATTTCGGTTTAAACTCATAACCGGTGGACCTTCCCCCGCCCTCGCGAGTTGCCTCAGGGTTGTGGTAGGGATCGCCCACAACACCCCTGCGCGCGAAATTATATCACTAGGCCACGTCGATAATGGTGGATTCTGCTGGATACGCCAACAGTCGGTGGAGAGCGAAAAAGGGAGAGCTCCCGTTGTACAAAGACAAACCGTCGGCAAACACACTTCAGTCGCGCATTAACATCAAGATGTTGTTCAAGTGGTTTGTGGGGTCGCTTCTCGTGTGGTACGGCTACCAGTTCGTCAGCCACCGCGGGTTTAGCTTCCTCAGCACTAAGCCCAACTGGGCCCAGCGCCAGCAGCTGGTGAAGAAAGCAATGTTGGACTCGTGGCACCACTATGAGAACCACGGTTATGGTTATGACGAGTTCCACCCGATCGCCGAGACGGGTCGGAATATGGGTCCCAAGCCTCTCGGGTGGATGATCGTCGACCTGATTGACACGCTTATGATCATGGGCGCCGACGACGAGGTGGCTCGGGCCAAAGCTTGGATCAGAGACGAATTGGACTACCACTTTGACTACAACGTCAACACCTTCGAAACGACTATCCGCATGTTAGGTGGCTTAATCTCCGCCTACGAGTTGAGCAAAGATGACGTCTACCTCGATCGGGCCGTGGACTTGGCCAATGCCTTGGTGGGCGCGTTTGACCTGCCTACGGGTATCCCTTACGCCCTGGTCAACCTTGAATCAGGTAAGGGCATCCCCTCACACGTCGACGCCGGCGCGTCGCTGACGGCGGAAGTCGCCACCCTCCAACTTGAACTTAAGTACCTCGCCAAACTCACCGGTGAAGTGTTATTCTGGGAAAAGGCTGAACGAGTGATGCAAGTGCTCGAAGCCAATAAGGCCAAAGACGGCTTGGTTCCCATCTATGTACAACCGGATACGGGCAAGTTCCATGGCCAGCTTATCAGACTTGGTCTGCGCGGGGACTCCTACTACGAGTACTTGCTCAAACAATACTTGCAGACCAACGAAAGCGAACCGGTGTACTGGGACATGTACCGCGAGTCAGTGCAAGGTGTCAAGGACCACATGGTGGCCCGTTCCAACCCTCTGGGTCTCACGTATATTGGTGAGCTTGAACGGGGCGTCGGTGGCCCTCTCACCCCGAAGATGGACCATCTCGTGTGCTTCTACGGTGGATTACTTGCTTTAGGTGCCACCAAGGGTAAGACGGTTGCTGAAGCCAAACGCTCAGGCCAATGGACGGAAGAAGCGGCGCTGGACTTCCAGTTGGGCGCCGACTTGACCTACCTGTGCTACCGGATGTACCACGACATGGACACGGGACTCTCGCCCGAGATTGCCATGTTCAACGATGGTGAGCGCCAACAGGATATCTGGGTGAAGCCTCGTGACAAGCACAACTTGCAACGCCCCGAAACGGTGGAGCTGTTGTTCTACTTGTACCGCCTCACTGGCGACGACACCTACCGGCAATGGGGGTGGGAGATCTTCCAGTCGTTCTTGAAGCACACTCAGATCCGTAAGCCCAACGGCGAGATCTGCTTCTCGCTGATTGACGACGTCACCGACGCCAAAAACCCCAAGTTACGCGACAACACCGAGTCGTTCTGGTGGGCCGAAACCCTCAAGTACTTGTACTTGTTGTTCGACGACACCAACCAGTTGCCGCTTGACGAGTACGTGTTCAACACCGAAGCCCACCCGTTCAAGCGGTTCGACATGGGCAGCATGTTTAAGACGGGGTGGAGACGTAAGATCCCTGAAGACAAGGAGCCCGCGATGCAAGAGCCGGCGGTGAAGATCGATAAGAAGAAGCCGCCAGTAGCTCAACCGGTGAACAAGCTGCCTCAAGAACAGGCTAAAGAGGCGGTGAAGGCGGACCCGGCCTTGGTGGAAAACAACAAGGAGAAGATCAAGGAAGAGTTCAACCAAGCGATCAAGGAGAATCCCGAGATTGTCGAGGAGCAGTAGGGGCTCTACGTACGTATAATGACACACCATAACTGGGAGAAAGACATAAAATTTCTTCCCTCATTTCCACCAACATTCCGATCAACAATTAAATAATACCAGTAATGACGTCATCTCACCACCCACCATTCAACCCTCCTTACTTAGCTTAGATAAGCATAACGGGTATGGGGTTTTTGTGGACCTTCGGTTGCCGGACTATCCCCAGCGAACAACGAACCTTCCCCTTACTTGTGTACCCCAGGGCATCCATCCACCGTCCCGCGAACCCGCACCCTTCGTAACTTCTGCTAGCTAAGCCACGTCTCCACAAATTCTGTAGCTGGTAGAAATGTAGGGGGAAGTTTCACACTGACGTCTAATTGTCTTTAACATTGCCTCATGTGAGGTAGCCACACCCGTTACTTGACAACAGGGCCGAGGGTCCCAAGTAATCCGAATGAGAAATAATAATAGGGAGAAAAGTGTCATTACACTTATTATCGGGATCAAACCGTTGTGTCACCGACACCGTATATTACAAAGCCTGAGACTAGCGACGCTAGTTTGCGAGATTCGGTGCTACTAGTATTAGTGGGTGTAGGTCATCGCGGTCGTAGTCGCCACTAGATTTGATCGGTAGTGTGGGCTGGTAGTGCAAATGCGCTCACAGGGATCGGCCGGGGTATGAGGCGGAGCCGGTATGGAGGCTACACTTGCAGTGCTGAGAATGGAGAAAACCGAACAACAATAACCCTATATAAGCGTATTATTAGGCGGAAGTTTACGGGTATAGCTGTTGGTGGATAAGAAAAACTATATCATTACTAAACGTAGTGTAATTCGGGGAATGAAGTGGCAGCTTACGGGGGGGAAGCGGGGACGGTGACGCCCGTACTTTATTAGGTCGTGGGGTCGGCCAACCGCCATCGCTTAAAAAAAAAAAAAGGCGTCCCAGGCGTCGCGGTACTGTTGCTCTCACGTGATTTGCTCATGACGTCACGAGGATTTTACGTTGGGACAAATTAAACAGCTTGCACTGCCCTTGATTCCCCTCAGCCATGTCAGGAGAAGTAAGTATATATGGCAAACGATTGGTTTTGGTGGTATCTCGTCGCCAGCGATCGCGGCGACGCCAAGATTGTTCGCTTGGTGTCGGCGATTCGCTATGACCTCACCATTACGTCACCTTGACCCGCTCAAATACTAACCCTCGCCCCAGCTGAAGACGTCATCGTTCGACCTCGAGCCCAACCCATTTGAACGGCTGTTTGCCCCGTCTAAAGACGAGAAGCAGCCCGCCAACCAAGGGCAGCCCTCGCCGTCAGCGCCCAACTCGCAAGCGCAACCGCCCCAGGGCGCCGATGGCAACAAGCTGAACAAGCACAACCTCCGTATCCTGAACTTGGGGAACATCCCCGCCAACTCCAAGCTCCCGGGGATTACGCCTCCGGTGTTCACTCCCGGCGGGCGCAAGTTGCCACCGCTAGGCTTGTCTCCTGGTGGCAATCCCGAGACCCCCGGCCACATGTGGCTGTCGCTTTTAAACGCCACCAATGGCAGCAACCAGGACCGCAACAAAACCGGGTTAACGCCCAACGAGCTGAATTTGCGTCTGGGCCTCACTCCCGGCGTGATGAACCAGAATGGCGCAGGGTTCCCCTTCCCTCCGGGGATGACGACGCCACTGGGGATGATCAACAACCCGATGACCCCGGGGCTTCTGCTGTTGCTTGGCCTCCCGACGGGGATGCCACCGGCGCCGGAAGAGAAAGCGGAGAGCCATCTGAGCGACACCCCAGCGAAGTCAGAGCTGGATCAGCAACAAGAAAACGATAAGAAGCGGGCGGCGCCGCAGCTGCTGACAGAGACGAAGAAGAAGCCGCGGAAGCAGAAGAAGCAACTGGAAGAACCTAAGGATAAAATGGAAGGTAACGACGACGATGAGAAACGGCGCAACTTTTTAGAGAGAAATCGTGTGGCGGCGCTGAAGTGTCGCCAACGTAAGAAGCAGTTGATCCAAAAGATGGAAGATGAGCTCACGTTCTACTCCACCGGATACCGTGAGCTCTCAGCGCAAGTGACCCAGCTACGAGAACAGTTGATTAAGGTGAACCAGGTGTTGGCAGCACATAAAGACTGCCAGCTACTCGCACAACAAGTCGGGGGGTTTGACCATTTGAACCAGTTGCTCACTCAGAGTCAGTATGTCACCCAATTAGCCGCAGGCAATCAGGGCAATGTCACTCTGATTCCACTGACAATCCCCACTACTTTGAATAGCGTGCCCATGGCTGGCGCCCAAGCGGCGACTCAGACCAGCGCCGCAAACACAATGACGGCAGTGCCGCCGCCGCCACCCAACGCTCAACCTCAATACCAGCCGGGGATGCCCGGGATGATGGAACTGGGTGTGCCTCGCCTGGCAGTGATGGCGGCAGCGACCGACAACCAGCAGACCGTCACCAGCCACGGCTCGATGACCGATTTGCAGGCCGTCGGCAACGAACAAGGCGACTTGCGCAACATCCAGCTGATGCTGAACTTGCAGCGAGCCGGGGAGTTGGAAGGGTTGACGTTGGACATGGGTATGGTGCAGCCCAACAATTAGAGCAATAGCTTTCACATATACCCCCCTTCCTCGCGAACACTCCGTGATGATTTATATAATGATCCCAAAAAATTTCTGTAGTGGTTTCTCAATACAAACCTGATTTGATGAATCGTTGAATGCTCTGGTTTTGGAGTAGACATTGGTGACGACATTGGTGTTCTTGTTATTGTTGATTGTTGTTGTGACAAAGCCTTCTTCATGTTTCGAAGCTTTGTTTATATATAGCTATAGTTTCATATCATGTAACCGAACGATGCGCTACCACTTAAATCAACCGACTACCGACACTGCGGAACGGTGCCGACGCGGTCGGACACGTCTGCCACTGTGCTCTATATGCACTGCGGCGCGACAGATCATCTCCTATGGTGCCAGTGTCGTTTGTCTACCCCTGATAATCCTGCACACAAACTTTTTCTCAAAGGTCGTTGGGTGTGAATTGTGTGTGAATCGGTGCGTAGTATACGTGCGATTATTTTTAATTCGCGAGGGTTTTGGGTACAGGGCTCATAATTGTCGGTAGTCGCGAATTTTGGCACGAAAACGCGCAGTTGTCACGCTGACCTCAAATCGACCCTTTTCTTCTCCCACGATCCCCGGCCCCTAAGTGCGTTCTTTGTCTCGCCATCATCTGGACTATCCGCCATGGCCCACAACCAGTCTGTGGAGTTGCCACCGTTGCCCCGGGCTCCGCCCCTGGGAGCGATCCCGGCATCGCAGTTCACCCGCAAACGTCTCAAGGTGTTACTCCATCAGATCACCGGCGAACTCAAGCTGAGGGGGACGAAAACGCCTCACATTTTCTTACCGTTTCGGCTGAGGATCGACGACAGCAAGCTTGACAGTTTCTTGCGCAAATGCTTCCCTGACGGCGAAGTGGCCGGCGAAAACGACATCATCGCCGCCGTGCGCAAAGCCGACGAGTTTACGTTGATCTGTGCCCTCAAATACCTCTGGTGCCGTCTCCCCAACGCTGAGGTTATTGGCTGGGACGTGTACTTGGAGTACCGCCGTAAGGAGAAGGACGCCGGCTACCCTAAAGATGCTTTTCTTACCATCATGCCCAAATGCCTTCTGCTGCCGGCCCACGCGCTGATCGTGTACGATTTCTTGGATTTGCTTATTGGCATAGCCCTGAACTCGCAGTATAATTACCTTTCGGGGCGAAAGATCGCCAAGATGCTGTCGCTTTGGGCGTTTAATGCTCCCAGTAGTGCCGCTGCTTCCGAGCTGGCGTTCTACGATGCTACTGTAACACGCGAGTATAACTTCATCCAAGGGCTCGAAGTGTGGAAAACCACTCTGGATGCGTTATTCCATCTCCTATTACTGTTCTTACGAGCGATGCTTCCTGATAACGATATGGACACTTTGAAGCTTCCCAAGACGCTCCAGTCGCTTCTCATCACCAACCTGTACCCCCCAGCCATGACCGACTCCATCAAGCTGATGATCACTATCCCCTGTGTCCTTATAAAGCTGACTAAAGTGCTGTCTAATCCTTACGAACTCATATCCAAAGTGCGACATACATTACTGTTTGAGAAGAAAAACTCATTTCTTTCCATTGAGAACTATACCATCTTAAAAAACATATTCCAAAAGGGTCTGACTCTGGAGATCATCAGCACATTGACGGAAGAGCTGCGACGAGTGTTAACGCGAATAACCAAAGACCCCATCCAACTGAAATACCAATTATACCCCGGGTGGACGTCTCAGGTACCGGAAACCGATCCCGATATCCCCTTGTACTCGCAAATCACTATTCACGACGTCACCCTCCAAGACTACTATATTTGGACATGGCTCCTGACACTTGGGCTGGACCAAACATCACGCATGAAGAGTCTTTTCGGCCGGTCATTGGTGGTGGAAGCAGGCCTAAAGGGGTTCCAAAAATGGTTGATCATCTCTGAGGAGACGATGACCACCGACGAATACTTGCTGATATTTAAAACTAAGCCGCCAAAGGAGGAGCCGCGACAGCAGCAGCAACAGGTACAGGATAAAAACGACTCTCGTCGCCAACCGTCGCGAAGTCGGGTAAGCAAAAAGTATATTCAGTCGAAGGAGGTACCCCCTCTTCCTGATACCGCTCCGGCGATTCCTCAGCCGAAGACTCAGCTGATGTCACCGGAACTAGAGGCGGTACGCATGGCGATTGAAGACTACGATTTCATGCTGGAAAACGAGGACATATCGCTGGATTACAAGACCTACCTCCAGTCATTACTGGACTTTAATGAGGACGACGTGGCTCTGAGTGTGGAAAATAAGCTGTATTTTAGCCGCCAGCTGCCATCTGCCACTACCCAGAGGCCGCAAAATGCTCTGTCACTGCTGGTAGATGACAAACCGTCGGCACCCGTGGTATCAAATGGAGGAAAGCTTTCTCCACCAAAGCTGCGACCAGTCAAAGATACCTCATCACGCGACTACCCTCACAAGCAAGCTACCCCTTATAATGACCTTTACGAGGACTTCAATGAGCCACAAAAGTCACACAAGCCTCAGCGACTCCCACTGGAGCCATTTGAACGCTACCAGATTGATCCTCCTAAACCTAGAGAAGATACCCGTCGCCCGATTAAACCGGTGGAGGAGATTCGTGAATTGATGGAGCGAGATGTTGAGGAGCAGCAGCAGCAGTTGACAGAACAACAATTGCTACAGGAACAGCGCCAGCTTCATGAACAGCGCCATTTGCACGAGCAACGTCAACGCCAGCTGCCCAGTCGTCGCCCGCCCCCTCAAGGAATCGCTCAAAACGATCACTATGATAATAACCAGCATAAGCAGTGGCGGCGTCCGCCTGACCTTGCCCCGCCTCCCCAACAGGCGCTGCCGTTCCCCACCTCCAAGCCCGGATCACCTCAGCTTCAGCCACAGCCACGCCAGAAACAACAACTGCCGGATACCCATATGGACTTGTTTTCCCATGCACAAAAGCGCAGTCTGTTTATTGAAATGGCGCCACAAAAGCTGGATGAGCGCCGTCCTCATCGTCGTCCAGCACCTAATGGGCTTGGTGAGTACGAGCAGATGTATCCCCTGGGACAAGCACCTATGGCAAACGATTTGAAGGCACGTCATCGTGCCGTGGTGGAGAAGGATGAGCTTCCTCCACTTCCCGAAAAGCCTCGTCATCACCGGCCTCCTCCTCAGGACTATGATCCGAACCGACCTCCCACACCACCGGAGAAGCCTCACGATGAGCCTCAGCCGGAACTGAAACGGCCTACCCAAGTACCCTACGTGGAAAAGATTCCTGCACCGGTACTTAGCCCGCCTCGCCAGCCACAACAACGTACGGGTAGTCCCAAAGATTCTCAGGCTAAGCAGGCCGGTGGGTACCGTCAAGTCACTCCGATATCAGGCAAGAACGCCCACCCGCCTAAACCTATACGAGCTCCTCAGCCAAAGAAACCGCTGACGGCTAATTATCAGGCGTTTGCCAAACCTCAAGTTGCACCGATGGCAATCCCCCAACCCAAGTCCAAGTCGCTGGCAGCTGCCGGTTCTCATCCATACGGTACTCCGCCTAAGGGGCAACAGTTTACCTATGGTTTTGGGGGGATGCCTCAGTATTACTACGGACAGCAACCAGGCTATCCTCCACAAATGGGACACCCTATGCAAATGGGGATGCCCGGGATGCCTGGGATGCCTGGGATGTCTATGCCGCAAGGAATGCCGGGTATGCCTCGAGGGTACGCTCCACCGTATGGCTATCCTCAGGGGATGATGCCTCAGCAACGGTACTACATGCCTCCCCACGGCCACCACCCTGGCCTGCATCACCATGCTGCCGCCCAAGTTGCTCAGGCATACAATCAGCCTCCTCAAGGGTACGGCGAGCCGGTAGCCCCACCGCCTCAGCAGCAACAGCGTCAACACCCAAGCTCTCATGATGCGATGATGGCCCAGTTGCCGCAAGCAGGGAAGCATAACAAGAACCAGGCGGCCGACAAGGCTCAAATCAGAGCAGCGCTTAACGATATGGCCTAAGTCAATCATGCGGGGTATCGTTTTGTGTATATATAGACCACGAACACAGATTAGACATACCATTTAATGAACACAACCATTAGCCTTCCAAGTAGTTAGTAAAATGCATCATATATCAAAATAAATAAATAAATAAATAGGGTAAATAAATAAGTGAATAAATAAGTAAGATGATCCTCCTAGTATTCAGACAAACGCAACTTCTTTCCAATTTCCCGATTGGAGAACGAAGAGTTTTGCCGGTTCAAGAACGGAGGTTCAGGGATGTGACCCTGCGACTTAATGTCGTCGTCGCCCATGTCAAAGTACCCGTACCCACCAAGCAACGTCGACAAGTTGATCGACTTCGACCGCACAAGCAGCGGCTTGCGCTGCGCCGCCTTCATCGCGGTGTCCTCAAGCTTAACTTGCTTCCACATGTTGAGGATCTCGTTGAAGTACAGCTCAAGCGTCACCAAGAACCGTTCGGTTTGGCGGTGCTTCAGCGACACACAAATCGAGATCGAGTCTTCCTTGATAATGTAGCCAATACCAAACCCATTGGCACTGACGGGACCAAAGCCGAACAAACGCAACGACGGGTTACCACAGTTGGAGGTGGAGATGACGGTGGTGTTAAGCTTGTCCCAGCCCAAGTCAGCGAAGATTTCGGGGAGCTCAGTGATTTGAGGAGCGCTCTTTTCGTCAATGCCGCCACCAACAATGGTTTCGTTCAGCAGACCTTCGTCTCCATCGTCATCGTTGGCGTGGTCGTCCATGTAACGTTTCCAGATGCAGAACAAACCGTAAAGGTGACGGTCGACCCCTCTACCCGAGCTAGCACGCTTGGTTTGCGCCGAGTGGGCAGTACAGGCGTCGCTGAGGAATTGAAGCTTGTCCTTGTTGGTAACTTCAGCATCAAAGAACTTACGAACAAAGTAGTTCAGTTCTTCCGACACGGTTCTGATGGCTTCAGTACGGCCGTGGAAGAAGTTCTTGGTCATCGCCGGTTCGTAAGTGCATTCAACTTTACCGTACAAGGCGTAGTAAGTAGCCTGGAACGCCATCTGGACGAAGGCATCGGGAGAGTATTTCATCTTCTTGATCTGGTTCAGCCCGTAGTTGGTGAACTCGAGGTGCTTGAATTCGTTTTGGTTGATCAAGTCCGAGAGACGAGTCTCACCGAAACGAAGAGCAAGCAGAAGATCAGGAGTCAATTCCCATTCAAGCTTTCTGGGGATGGTGACCAAGTTCTGGCGCGACACGTCTTCGCCCAGAGCCTTGAGTTCCTTCCACAACAGCGGGGCGTTGCCGTTGATCGAGTGGGCAAACAGCAAGATCAGGTCGGTGTAGATGTCCGATACGAATCTGAGCACGGTGTGGCCGTCGATACCGGTGTGTTCAAAGTTGATCCCCGCCTTACCGTTCTTAGTAATGATGATTTGCAACTTGTCGTACCAGCGGTTGGTGCACGTACCCACCTGGATACCTTTATCCAAAATCAGCAACCCACACAACATGTTCTTGGACAACACCGACAAATCGTTGATTTCCAAGTCGTCGAGGCAGAGCACAAAGAGCGCCAGGTCGATGATTTGTAAGATCTCACTGTTGGTGGCGTTATTGGCAATTTGGTGCATACGAGCGTGAGCCCACGCCCGACGGTTTTCAGTGGTAAGCACACCAAACAGTTGGCGAGCCACTTCGGCGGGGGGAGCCGCTTGCGAGTCGTGGATGATCAGAGTGAAGTTGACCATGAGTTCCAGGTCCAGCAAAATAATATTGTTGTCGTGGTCCAAGACGTCGAACCAGTAGATCTGCAGTCTCAGCATGACGATGATGTGGTTCAGGCTCGGGTCCAGTTGCATCACGCACCCGTCGGCGGTGGGGATTCTTGCGGCACCAAACAATTTTTGGTACTGGTACATACAAAGAGGTTTGCCTCTGATGGTGTCGGGGGTCAACGTCTCGTTCTTCAACGCCTGGATAAACTTAAGCGCCAGCACCGTCAACGTCGTCGCCCGCTTCACCTGAGGGTTCAGCGACAGCTCGTTGTTGAAAGGGTCGTCTTCAAGCAAAAAGAACGGGTTGAGGTTGAGCACCACCGGCAGGTCGTAGTTCAAGTAGGAGTCATACCAGAATTGTTCGATGTACAGGGGACGGTTCTCGGCGTATTTGCGCAATTCCAGGTCCAAGTAAGGGCCGACGCCGTTCAAAAACTTGGCCACGGCGACCTTAGTGTCTTCGTGTTCCTTCTCCGTCTGGAGCGGCTTGAGCACTTTGAGATACTGTTTGCAGGTGTCCTCAAGGTCAGGGATAGGGAGCTTCTCGAGCTGGTCCTGGAGAGAGTACGTCGCCATGGTGGGTAGGTGGGTGGGGGGCGATGTGGACGTTATATAGATTTCGGACCTCGCCGGAGTTTCTTAGTGCGCGTAGGAGGTGGCCCCAGGTCGTGTCCCGGCCCAAACTCTGGGGTAAGGCGCATAGGCCCGCTGTAATCAGCGACTCCGATTGGCTGCGGGCTCGGAGTATGATAGCGGCTGCCCCACACACTTCTGCCGCTCGCTGGGTAAAAGTGGGGCAAGATCGAGTGGGGCATCGCCAATGGTTATGAGGGCGTCATATCTCGAAGCTTATATACTTGGGTGACACCTTCTCGAAGCTATTTTATCCTAAAACCCCTGCCTACTGAAACTAACCGTTTGTCATCCAAACGTTATCAAAAGGCGGGCTGCGCCTGTGTTTTTGATGCATTGTTAGTCTCCACGCCGAAAAAAAAAGACTCGGGACCTGCACAGTTTTCTCGGACTTTGGCACGGACGAATCCCGGGACCATCGGGTGCGTCGATGGGGGAGGCGAGCGCATTCTTAATTGTAAACTAGAATTACCACCTCCAGAAACATTCCATTGAATACGATATAGTTTCAGGTCTACCGGGTAAGCGGCACCAAGCGGTACCGCTAATGTACCTCTGGCGATGTGTCCTGCAAGCGCCGACCACTCATGTGTCGGACATTAACTATCGACCTATCATATAACTTATGCGCCCTACCCCCTGATGTCTCAGTCATTGCAACGATGCGGGCCCTGCTAACTAATTTGATATACCCCTTTTGCTTGGTCGAGTAATTTATTGTCTAAAGTATCGTGTCTTTGCTGGGTTAAGAGCGATGCATTTCCTCGACCTTCTTCGGCCTCGGAGTTAGCTTAAGACCAGAGAGCCTCAGTGGGGGCTCATCGCCGAGCTCAAAAGGGATATTGTAGTGACTTGCGGCGATTAGCCCACCATTTCATAAGTCCTTATGACCTTGATGGTATTTAGACTCAGCCACGACGGTCGAAATTGATATCCCCGGATCAAGTCTCGTGCAATTATTATGGCTCGGTCGGCAAGGCGGTCGAGCGGTTGAGTCATTATACGTCAGTAACGCGCTTGCACCTACACGATTTTGTGAAGAAATAACCTCTTGGCTACGCCACAAAATTAATGAAACCTTGACAGCTGATTAATCTGTGTGGTTTCTCTGATAATCCGATAGAATCTGACCATTATCTTCACTGGAATACATGTCAATATTCCAAAAAAAAATCTTCTAGGGTCTTGACCAATTGTGGCTTCGGAATAATTGGGTTTTTTCGTCACACTACGTCCAATTGTTGAACACGTTTTCGATTCGCTTTGTTTTCATCATTTTGCGAATGTTTCCGCAAAGCCGAAAAAAAAACCTGATTGATGGGAAAGTCGACATATTGCCGAAATTCTCGGTTGAAATTACTTGAGTATGTTTAGCCATGACAAAGAATGCAATAAATGAGATTTTTGAGCGCATTTAAGCGCAGGGGCACTATCCAGGATTACCTATGAGGTACTATAAAGCGAGACTAATTTTTTGCCGTAACCTCTCGATAGCTTAGCTGGTAGAGCGTGAGACTGTAATGGAATTGTCATCTCAAGGTCGCGTGTTCGACTCACGCTCGGGAGATTCTTTTTTTCAATCCTCTGTAAAGGAAGTCGTCAGAAACCCGTCCAATCAACTGGTATAGATTATTCCACGCATCAGATATCTCACAGAGTCTGAATTTTTCATTTTCTTAGCTGGATCGCTCCACAATTTATCACCCCATATTTTGGCCCCCGCACCATTAAGATTCCCGAGGTCGCATCTCATCGCTGCATGGAGAACCACCAATTGGACGAGCAACCAGATGAACCCGCAACAGCATATCCGCCTCCTAAAGATGAGGAGTTCATCTCCAATATCCTTCCGTCTTACCATATGTTTCAACTGACCATCCTGAAACATCTCCGCCCGCTGAACGAAAACTTTTCGGATGAGCCTCCCGTATACGAGGATCTGGTGCCTCTGCTGGCAGTCACCACGCCAGGACCATCAACACCCTTTTCGTTACTGACGGTGGTGCTGCCCCTGGATTACCCGCAACAGGTGGACGATCTGTTTTTCCCGATTCACGATACTGATGAGCAGTCTCAAGGGTACGAAAATACGATCCTCGCCAATATCCACAAGCTCCCTAACTTGAGTAAAAGGGATATGCACGTGCTGAATTCGCTTGAGATCAATATCACGGTGACCCAGAACGTTTGTCAGATCGGCCAGAAACCAACAATCATCAACCCTCTGGACTATGAATACTCACAAGGTGATTTCATCCACGGATACGTCACCATCTTAAATAAGCTGGACACGCCGATCCCATTTGATATGGTGTACGTTTGCTTTGAAGGAAGTATCGTTGTGTTGGAAAACAAGCGCGGTTTAATCGACACTGAGACTCCTCACACAGTATTTAAGTTTCTCAGTACCCTTGATCTTTTCGCTCTGTGGACGTTTGCCAATATCGACCGTTTAGCTACTGATAAAGGTGATCCTCATGATTGGTGTTACGGCGAAATTGACCCTCAGGACGGTACTTATTTAAGTATTGATGCTAAGCGTCTACTTCTTCCTGGTCTCACATATAAACGGATGTTCTCATTCCGTATACCCGAAAAGCTTCTTGATGATGCATGTGACCCTCATGGGTTTGCTCTCCACACCGAGTTACCATCTACCCTCGGCGTTCCTCGTCATCTGATCCCTCCCTCAGTGCTTTTGGCGGCTAAAGAACTGCTGGTGCGCGATTTCAGCTTTGCCGACACTTCAGTGAACTACTCGGTTGACTGTCGGATTATCGGTAAAGCGCTGGAGTACCAGTTTGCTGTGTCAGGCCAGGATCAGTACGTGGTGGCCCAGGAGAAGCTGTTACCGGTGAGAGTGGTACCCCACACAAATCTTGAAATCGTGTACATGCGCAAAACCCTTGAGGATGAGGCTAGAGTGTTCTATAAAGCACTTTGTGATCTTGTACGAGAGAAAGTGAACATGGGCCAGGACCTCTTGAAATTACCGCAAAAACGTCGTTTAGCGTGGCTTAACCGGGCCACAGCGTCAGCTAAGATTCAACAATTATATGAAGTGACAGGATCACAAAACAAACGGCCCCTCGATAACGAGAAAGCCGCCGAGAACTTATATCGGCACTTGAGCCCTTACAAAAAGAAGCTGTTGACGGGGCTGTCAAAACTATTAGGGATCATCGCATTGACGACCCCGAAACAGGCTTATACCATTGAATACATACCCCCTTTGAAGCATCGCAAAAAAGGAGCCAACTACGAAACCATCGTCACCGTGCCCGTGGAACTCTGCTTCTATCCTGAGGAACAGGGAAAATCGCCTCCGGAGGTGAAACTGACGCTGTGCGAGCTTATGGTGCTCACCGTTCGACTGAAGCGCCACCCGTTTCCGTTTGAAATCGTCCACGATATGTGTTTCCACTCAGAAGAAGTCGACACCAAACGCCGCGAAGCAGACACGTTTGACGACATCGTTATCAAGCCGTTTACCGAGTACTCCCAGCAACTCTCCCAGCTCATCAAGAGTGTGGGCAACGACACGTTTCGGCTCGAGTCTCAAGTATACCGCGACGTCAAGCTGGTAGCCACCGCGACGTCAAAGACGGTGACGCTACTGGTGCGAGACCTGGCGGTACAGGTGATACAGAGAAGCGCCAGCCTGTGTGGTGTTCACACCGCCCCTCAGCTCATCGCATGGCTGGACCATGGAGACTACAAGAGCAAGTCGTTTGCCCTTAGAGTTGATCTTGGAGAGTTATACATCAAGGGAAGTGATAAGCAGCTGGAGCAGATCACGTTGGTGCCGAGTTCTCAGCTGTGTTTGGTGGCACGGGTATACTACTTGAGAGTGGTAGTGAAGTTGACGCTGGGAGAACTGCCGTTCGTCCACGTACCGGTGTACATAGAAAAGCGGGCCCCGCAATTATAGGTTATATTTATAGATATTTATCGGAATCGCATCAATATTCATTTCTAACACAATTGGAACATCGTGTTGACTATCATAAGTGTAAAGCAATTTAAATGAAAGCTTTTCTCAAAAACTGTTGGTTTGAGACGGCATTTGCTCCACAAATAACAACGTTATTGGCTACGGTGAATGGCAACAAGGATGATGATGATGTGGCGAACACCACATCTAATTGAAGACTTCGATTCGGTATTTGAGCCATCTCTAATTGATGCCTTAAATCTCGTAGGCTATTTCACATCCCAATTGTTAGTAGCGCTAGGTGCCGCTTTGGTCACGTACCCATAAACTGAATATTACTTAGATTCAATATTAGAAAATTGGGTGAGTTTCTCTTTAGATCAGTATGTTTTAGGATTGCGTGCAATGGTTGTGAGACATTACAGAGAAGCTTACCAACGGGTCACCTAGGAGATTCTGGTGCAGACGGAAGAAACTTCCGAGACAGTCTACGCCAATTGAGGGAAAAACTAAAGGTGTTTGCATAGTATAAAGCCGCGCTTGGTTGCAAAGTCGGTTTTATCGTGTGCCATTCGGAATATATATCTTTATTGCACGAGCCTCAACCGAACATGGTTTTTTTAAGTGACTTTAAATGACATCAATAAAATCATCGAGAGGTATTTTCGAGGCACCGATGCCTGACATCGGTATTGGTCACTGATGGCAGTGGTGGTGACCAAGCTTTTCATTCAGCCGCGACCGAACCCCACTATTTACCTCAAGCCGGGCCGAGCCTTATCGCGTTTGACGTCACTGCACTGCTATCATTCCCCAAACGTCAACCATCACCGGAGCGAGTGCCGTGGATAAGTCTCAAAACTTTGCATATTGCCGTCATAACAACTAGAAGGTTACAACCAAATAGTACTTCACGACTGGTGTTAGTTTTGTAGGCTCTCCACGTGTGTCCCCACACTGGGGTTGCCTGCCACAAAACCCTTGGTGGTCACCCCTCATACAGACATATTTTTTCGGGGTGCAGTTCCGAGCAACTCCTCATTTGTTGACGGCGAGGCCATCAAGCAAACCCTGCTCTAGACATCATCGCTAGAGATTCGCGGTGAACTTGGCTGGCTAGCCAACGTAGAATTTAGCCTAAAATGACGACAATTACTCCTACAAAACACGATACAATCGCCTTATAATGACTACAAGTCTTCAAGTCCACCAACACACCTTCATTTATCGCTTAAATCCATCTAAAAACTCTATCTTCGTGGGGAGTTGTTTCTTTATGGGGATGATGGTGGAGTAACCTCACATAACACAATTTTTTTTTTTTTTTTCGTGTGGGGTAGGCCGCTTGCCGCTAGTTTTCCGTTACTTACCCTCGGGTCGCATATGGGGAAATCGGGCCTCGGCACATCACATGCACGAGTATTTAATATGAATAAGGCTCCCCGCGCATCAATTAATCGAGATTGTCGTGGTTGTGGCTTACTAGAACACAGCGATTATGACGACGTTGACTCCTCTTGAGAAAGCCGCGTCGGGGGCGTTGGCCCTGGCCATCGCCAACACCGTGGTCTACCCGCTTGACCTTTCCAAAACCATCATCCAGACCCAGGTGAAGCAACCGCCCCCGAAGCCGAAGACCGACGACAAGTCGCAGACGCTGCTGGAACTGGAGCTGGACGCCGACCTGGTGTTCCGTCAGAAATACGACAAAAAGCACCACGACCTCAAGTACAAGAACACCGTCGACGTGCTCAAAAAGATCTACCAGAAGAAGGGGATCTTGGGGTGGTACCACGGGCTTTTGACCACGATCTTCGGGTCGGCAGTGCAAAACTTCGCCTACTTCTACTGGTACACCATTGTTCGGAGAGTCTACCACAACTTATACAAGACCGCCGCCCCGCTGACAATTACCGAGTTGGGCTTAGGGGCGCTTGCGGCGGCGATTTCCCAGCTCTTCACCATGCCCATTGGCGTGGTGACCACCGCTCAACAGACGTCCAAGGAACACAAGAGCGTGTGGCAAATCGCCCGTGAAATCGTCGAAAACGACGGCATCACTGGGTTGTGGCGCGGGTTGAAGGTGTCGTTGGTGTTGTGCATCAACCCCAGTATCACCTACGGGTCGTACGAACGGCTCAAGCAGGTGTTGTTCCCCGGGCGCCTGATCATCAAGCCCCAGGAGGCGTTCTTTTTGGGGATGTGCGCTAAGTCGTTGGCGACGTTGGCCACCCAGCCGCTTATCGTGCTGAAGGCGATGTTGCAGAAGAAGCGTGACGTGAAGAAGGTGGGCAACAAGGTGATCAAGGGCACCGACGACACCTACTTCGAAACTTTCCCGCAAGCCCTTCAACACTTGTGGGCCACCGAACGGGTTAAGGGGTTGTACAAGGGTGTTGCCCCTCAATTGGTGAAGGGGGTGTTCGTTCAAGGGTTGTTATTTATGTTCAAGGACCAGATTGACATGTTGTTTATGTTCTTGCTCCAGGCGCTCAAGGGCAAGAAGTAAGCCTATTGACTAGGCGAATTTATATTATAGACCAAATGCGGAAACAATGCATAACTGATTTTATGGAAAACCCCCCAATGTTTTGATTGTAGTCGATAAACGTGCGTGGCGGTGTCTCGCTTCAATATGTCACATGCGTTATCTCCGGTGTGGCTGCGAAAATGGCAGTTTGAAAGCGCAAATGATATCGAGGTGTGGGTAGCCCTGAAAAGCGTGAGCAACGTATAGCTCTAACTATCACGAGCACGATAATGGGCATGTGATGACAAAAGCTCGTACCGCTATCTGTGACTGTTTAGAATATGTAACAGATAGAGTCGATAACACGGGTCTAGTCGATCAACATTTCACCAAATTTTACCATATTTCGCTAAATCTAGATTGTCGACACTCGGTGACAATACAAGATGGGATGGAAACCCCACATTTTAAGACCTGGTTCGAAAAGTACATCGTGGCCATGGGTGTATAAACTAGAAGTTGATCAAGATATCATTGAAGAAAGTACCTTGAAAGGTTGAATACTGAAAACCCTAAAACGTGTCCAAGTCTAAAGACCCACAGAGAAATTATGATCACTTTCATTGAAGTGGCATACGTTACCCACCTCAACTGGCACCTGGCATCTCATCTAGTTCAAGCCACACGACTGTCGCGGTTCCGCAAAAGCAATTTGAGTTGAATCCTTGGAAAGATCACACGCTACGGAACAATAAAGGAGAGTAGCAGTTTGTCAATACAGTAGTTTGCTGGTTATGATAACTTTTCAACAACTTTTACTAAGTTTCCCGTTGGTTTTAATGTCGATTTGTGTGAAATGATTTTGACCACGTGATTAGGGTTACACCCTAACATTTCTATGCACACCGAGGGCCCGCACACAACCACGAAAAACACTTCTGCGAAAAATTCTTCAGTAACCAACCAAGTCAATATGGGTAAGGGTAAGCCTAGAGGGCTTAACGCTGCTAGAGCCTTGAGAACTTCGAGACGTGACAACAGATGGGCTGACCAACAATACAAGGCCAGACTTTTGGGTACCGCCTACAAGTCGTCGCCCTTCGGTGGCACCTCGCACGCCAAGGGGATTGTCCTCGAAAAGATTGGTGTTGAAGCCAAGCAACCCAACTCCGCTATCAGAAAGTGTGTCAGAGTTCAATTGATCAAGAACGGTAAGAGAGTCACCGCCTTCGTCCCCAATGACGGTTGTCTTAACTACGTCGACGAAAACGACGAAGTCTTGCTCGCCGGTTTCGGTAGAAGAGGTAAGGCTAAGGGTGATATCCCCGGTGTCCGTTTCAAGGTCGTCAAGGTCTCGGGTGTGTCGCTTTTGGCTTTGTGGAAGGAAAAGAAGGAAAAGCCCAGATCGTAATCTTCCTTCTTCCAAAGCATAATTAGTATAATAGATATAAAAAGGTTCGGATAAACTATCAGTAGTCATCAGGAGGCGGTGATGTATGCCGTCAACTCGTAAGAGAAATTCTGGTACATTAAAATTTTCCATTTGAAAAAAAAAAATCGTGGATTGCCGCACTACGAAGGGCTTATGGCCTGATCTAGGAGAATTTTATATTAAAACCCAAAATTATAACCCATTATAAATAACTTTATATTACATTAAACCATTTGCGCCAAAGCCTTGACAAGCTTAGGCGTGTTTTCAATAGCTTCGGTGGGTAAATCGTATTCGTCACCCAGCTCGACAATCACCCCAGCCACGGTGGGGTGCACCAGCATGATGTGGCGAAGCTTGGTTTCCACCAGTTCGTACTCGGCGTTACCCAAGCTACCAACATCGATCATGACGGGACGATCGCCCACTTTAGCTAAAATCTCGTCGATTTGCAGGAAGCACATCTTGGTGACGTTGACGACAACGAAAGTGTCTTCGTTACCAGTGGTGCCCATAACCGCGACAAGCCCTTGCTTGGTGATGTTCATAAAGTGGTGAGGGTTCTTTGATGCCAGCATCGAGTCAAAACACAGTTGGAGCTTGTGGTTGTAGGTGATTTCAGAGTAGAGGGTATCATCGTCATGGCAGGCAAAGCCGACGGGGAACTGGATGCCCAGAGCGATTTCGCGGTGGAGCTGCAGTTCACAAAGCAGCAGCAGTACTAGCAGCATGCTGAAGATGTCGTCGAAGTAGTGATGCAGCAACAAGTCCTGAGTCTGACCGACGAGGGGGAGCCTCAGGGCCATCTCGAGGAGCAACTCACGCGTCAGAGGAAGACCGTGGCCCACTTCAAACAGAGCGCTAGTACCATTGTATTTCAGGGAAAAATTGGTTCTCATACAGAGTTGGATGTTCTCGCAAGCCATCGTCGGGATCCATCTCGAACACTCTTGCGCCTGGTAAGGGTCACGGATCCGCCGGGGACCCACCACTACTAACAAGTCACCCTTACCGTGAATACGATCCAGCACCCGGTGACGGTGATTGAGGATTTCTTCCGCAAGCTTAGCATCAATGGGGAGCATATACTTTTGCATCAAGTCGGGCGCGGGGACGTGGATGAGCGGTTCGCCCAGGAATCTGATAGGAGGCTGGTATTGTTCTTCTTCCTCTTCAGCTTCATCACACAGTAAAAGCTCTTCGTAGGCGTCTTCCTCTTCGCCGTCGCTATCACTGATACGATCAAGCTTCAGGCCCACGGTGGAGAGGTGGGTGGTGCTACCCAAGGTGGCCAAACTGTATAACAGCAGCAACGACTGGTTTGTTGATTTGACCATGGTGCTTGTTCAGGGGGGGCTTCAAGTGAAAGATGTACTCTCAGGCAATGGACTTTTATCTGTTCTAGGTGAGTCACTGCATATGCTGAAAAAGAAAAAAAAACGCTCCAAATGCGGCTAAGAATGCTCCGGTTTATAATGGCAATTATTGTCGATGGAGAAAGGGTAGTGGGATTATGGTTCGATTTATGATGTTCGAATTATCAATTTGATCAACATACCAGAGAAAGTCGTGGTTGTTTTAGTAAGATCAAACTAGTATCAGGAGATATACGCTTATGAGCGGCTTTTGGCGGGTGGTTTTGGTGTGCACACGACAATGCGACCGATCGAGCAAAACGGTCAGAATAAGGCTGATATACACTTCAAGGCTAGCTGCTTCCCCACTGTGTCCAGCCTTCAATGAAGCCTCAATCCATAACCTTGCTTAAGAAGATTGACAGCGATGTTGAACAGATACTCAATACATTTTTGAACATTTTTGAGATCCTGCACAGCGCCGACAAGAACCGTGAACAGCTCGCCGTCGAACTGTTGACTATTGAACTGGATGCTCTCAATATCATCAGATTATGTGAAGATCTACTTAATATATCACGTGGTCTCAAAGAACAGTGGGTGTTGGGATCGATGAAGGTTGACGCAGCCCCGTCAGCTGATGACGTTGACACTGACAAAGTGTTTTGTCAGTTTAATGCATTGACCGAAGCGATCAGTAAGTTTGCCAAACCCGAAGAGGCATAAACGCTGTGATAATACTTGCCATTAGTCTTTAACTTCTTGGTAACCGAATGAGTAAGTGCAATTTGTTGGGAGACTGCTATTATGCTACCAAAGATTCAGTCACCCTTAACATAAACAACTTACTGTTTCGAGTATTGTTGACTTACAAGGAAATAATGCAATCGAAACTTTTTGAGTCGGACTAGGTAAGGCGACAAGAGAATACATTCTCATTACCTCATACAAATTGCATACTATGAGATCGTGATGTCGAGCGCGATCAAACTCAATCAGTCGATGAAGACACACACGGGGGACAGAAATATAGATACACGAATAGATTTAACCATAATCACGAATCATCAATAATATAAAACCTTACGACTATTAATTCTCCCATCTCCTCATGCTTTTTTGCATTCACCTCCACTATCAAATTCATCGGGTGCGAATTTTTCATCACGCCAAATGCTTAGATCGACGTTGTCGTTGGCCCGGGCCCACGGGCTCCGCAGCTCGCGGGTGTTCTATTCGACCAAGCCGGTGTCGTTGACGGCACAGGTGATGCCTTTGGACAAGGAACTGGTGCTGGAAGCCGATGTCGACGAGTGGTTGTCTGCGGTGCAAAAGCTTAAGAAGGGCAAAGTGCAAGTGGAAACCCCTACTGAGGTCTACCTCTCGCAAATGACCCACCCGGAAACGTTTTTGGAACAAAAGAATGAGCCTACGGAAGCTCAGCTCGCCGAAGTGGCCCAATACGAAGGTACTCCCATCCCTGCCAGGGAAGACCCAGTGGTTAAGGCGTTGACCAATATGATTATGCGTGACGGTCGTAAGGCTAAGGCGGAAAAGGTTGTTCAAAGAGCTCTTTACATGGTGTACCTCCGGACCCGTCAAAACCCCGTACAATTATTAACTACTACTCTCGATAAGTTGGCACCTGTGGTGACTACGCGGGTGGAAAAGACTGGTTTTGCTAAGAATAAGGTTGTCCCCGTGCCCTTGACCAAGAAGCAACGTAACCGTATGGCTATCACCTGGATCTTGGACGGTGCTTCCAAGAAGAAGTCTAACGATGGTGCCGTGCGGTTAGCTGAGGAGATCGTCGCTGCCTACGAAGGTAAGCTGCTGGGCTACGAGAAGTTGGCGCAAATGCACCGTACCGCCATGCAACAAAGAGCCTACATCAAGTTTTAGAGCATTTGTACATAGATATTTGGCATTTATAGCCAAACCCCCCAATACGATATAATGAGAGAAACGCGTAGGCTTGTAGGACTTCTAAGCCTTACATGGTTCTACTGGTCGTCGTATGGTAAATTTTTAACAAAGTAAAATCTTATCTGGCTGGAACTTTGCAATCCTTGAAGAGACACTATGAAAGCTAATCATTACGAGCCCTGCCCAAGATATATTCCAATCGTTAATTTTAAGTAGTGTGCGACTTTCCGGTGTAGTTCCGAGCCTCGATATTGTACATAGACTCATTTAAAATGATGAAATACACGCCATTGAAGTCACCAGAACTGGGGCAACGCTAGTAAAATCTGTAATTGATGCAATTGTGATTGACAATTGACTTAAGCCATTAGTAACCACCCCCTACTTCACGTGACACAATCACCTCACTGGCAACTTCCGGGTATGCCTATAGCTCCGCTCTCATTGGCTGCGCGCCAGCCACTACCCGCTCGAATTTTTCACTACAGATTTCTCAATTGAACCCCCAATCTACCACACGCCAATGATCCGTGGGACTACTGTTCGCTCCGCTGCCAAGCTTGCCGCTCCTCGCCGGATGCTCCTGACCGCCACCGGCGTCACCAAGTTCACCACCCTCTCCAACGGGGTCACCGTGGCCACTGAAACCAACCCCCACGCCACCGCCGCCTCCGTCGGGTTGTACTACGGCGCCGGGCTGAGATCGGAACACACCTTCTCCAACGGGATCTCGGCGTTGACCAACAACATCTTGGCGTCGAAGGCCACCCCCGGCGTCTCGTTGGCGGCGTTGAACGCTCGCGAATACAACGGGGTCATTGCCCAGGTCACCAACGACAACGTCGCCCTCGCCGCCGAAACCCTTTCGGAAATCATCAACCACGCCCCCGAAGTTGTCGCTCAAGCCAACTTCGGTGCCGAAAAGGCTAAGTTGACCGCCGAAGCCGCCGCCGTCGAAAACGACCCCAACGCCAAGGTCGCTTCCCACCTCGTCGCTACCGCCTACCAGGGCTACTCGCTCGGGTTGCCCATCCACGGTACCCCCGAATCGATCCCCGGTTTGCAAGTGGAAGACGCCCAACGCGTGCTCGACAAGCAATTGGTCTCGGCCAACACCGTTGTCGCCGCCGCCGGTAACATCAACCACGACCAGCTTGTGGAATCGTTGGAAAGAAACCTCAAGATCTCGCAAGGCCTCAAGCCCGCCACCCAGCCCGCCACCTTCTTGGGCTCGGAAGTGAGAATGAGAGACGACACCATGCCCAAGGCTTACATCTCGATCGGTGTCAACGGTGAAGCCCTCAACTCGCCCGAATACTACGTGGCCAAGGTTGCCGCCAATGTGTTCAACCTGTTCAACCAAGACTCGACCGTCGCCCACTACACCTCGCCCAAGTTGGCCTCGATCGTGCAAGAATACCACATCGTCGACAAGTACACCCACTTCTCGCACTCGTTCGCCGACGCCGGGTTGTGGGGTTTCCAAGCGGAAATCTCCAACGTCGGCTCCATCGACGACTTCGTCCACTTCACCTTGAAGCAATGGAACAGATTGTCGACCACCATCGGTGACGCCGAAATCGCCAGAGCCAAGAACCAAACCAAGGTGGAAATCTTGGCCGCTTTGAACACCCCCAACGCCGTCGCCAACGACATCGCCTCGAAGATCTTGTTGGCTGGCTACAGAAACTCCGTCCACGAAGCTTTGGAACAAATCGACGCCATCAACACCGAAAAGGTCAAGCAATGGGGTAGAAAGAAGTTGTGGGACAAGGACATCGTCATCTCGGGTACTGGCCAAATCGAAGACTTGTTCGACTACAACAGAAACAGAAACGAAATGGCTGCCCTCAGATTCTAAGCAGTCTCATTGCATCGAGAAAAACATATATATATTTAATTGTATGAAGATAAGACTTCGTGTATTAATTTCTATCTACGGGTCGCGGGCCATCTTCTTGGCCCGAGCTTGGTACTGGTTCTGGAGTCTCCAATCTCCCCCTCGTCCTAATTCAACCAATTTCTCTGACCGCTTCTTCATTGCTAGCGTCTTAGCATCAGTCTCCCCAAAGTAGTGAGGGGCCGCTTGCACGAGCCATTTGGGATTAACTTCGGTAACCACTTGCATGTACTCTCTTGTGGTGAGTAAAAGCAGGTGGTAGACAACGTATTCGGGACGCTTAGTATAGAGACACGACAGCGGGTGGATGGCAACGGGAGTGTCGGTGGATAGTGTCTTATACCCTTCAACGCGATCTCTCCGAGCCAGGTGTTTGAAGAAACCTGCCGCTATCACCTGGCGTACCCGGTCAAGATTCAGTCCACACGACACTATCAGTTGGTCACTGCGGTTCATGATTGTGGCCAATTGTTTCCGTACTTCGAGTGCCCGCTTCATACTCCGCTCTTGGATATAATTATCCCGACACCACTTCCCACTCCGATTGCTTAACTCCCACCCGCGATACACGTTGAGCAAAGTCAAATGGTCCAGTTGCAGGTGGTGGAAACGTTGCTTTCTTCTGTCAGCGTCAGCTTCGTGCTCCTTAGGCCGATACCAAATCGACTGCACGGAGAGCATAGCGATAATCAGCATTACTTCTTGAGAGCACAGGAACGGTTCTTGAGACAGTAAAATAAGCGTTTTAGCAAGCATAGGGTCCATAGGAAATTCAGCCATTGATCTCCCTAAAGGAGTAAGGAAACCCTCATCATTTAACGCCCCTAAAGTGTAGAGATCCCTCAACGCCACCAACATTGCCAGCTTGGGCGGCGGATCCATGAAATCGAATCCTAGTAAATCGTTTATCCCCATCGCTTTAAGCATCAAAATGGTGTGACTGAGGTTCTGTCGTTGGATCTCAGGGGTAGTGGTGGCCTTCATCTCACGCTCGTAAGCCTTTTCAGTGTATAGTCTGTAGCACTTACCCGGAGCGGTACGACCAGCACGACCCGACCGTTGATTAGCCTGTGCCTGAGAGATTGGCACCACTTTAAGGGTGTCCATACCGAGACGAGCGTCGTAGGCATTCAATTTAACGAACCCAGAGTCTACCACATACCGGATACCATCAATGGTAATTGAGGTTTCAGCGATATTTGTCGCCACAACCACTTTTCGAGTACCTTTGGGAGCAGCCTCAAACACTTTCCGTTGCATCTCTGGAGGCAATGCTGCGTACATAGGAAGCACGATGAGGGGAGACACCAGATCGCCTAGAACTTTAACCCGCTCGAAGAGAGCCAGACAACAGGCGTCAATCTCGTCTTGACCGGTGAGAAATACGAGAATGTCCCCTCCCAACGGCTCCAGTAAATGGATTTGCATCACGGAGTCAAGTACCAGGGCCACGTAATCAACCTCAGGCTGAGCGGTGTACATCGTTTCCACCGGGAAAGTACGCCCAGGGATGTTAAGTACGGGGCAGTCGCCAAAGTAATGCAGAAACTTAGCCAGATCAAGGGTGGCCGAGGTACAAATAACGCGTAAATTGGGATTGGCCTTGGCGGCTTGTTTGACAAGGGCAAAAAGGATATCGGTAGCCACTGTACGCTCGTGGGCTTCATCCAACATGATCACCAGGTATTTCGACATGGTTGCGTCCAGCAATGCTTCTCGTTGAAGCATACCATCCGTCATATACTTGATGCGGGTACGGGAGCTAGTGACGTCCTCAAACCGCACGTAGTACCCGACTTCTTCTCCCAATTTAACCCCCATTTCTTCAGCAACACGAGCGGCCACCGTCGAAGCTGCTACTCGCCGGGGCTGTGTAATACCAATCATACGGTTAGCTCCCGCCATACCTTCTTCATAAAGATACTGAACGATCTGAGTGGTTTTACCTGACCCAGTCTCCCCTACCACCACCACAAACTGGTTGTCTCGAATAGTATCGACGATTTGCTGGCGCATCGCATATACCGGAAGCTGCTTCCTGGCCTCCGCCATGGATAAAAGCGCCGGTTTAGCATAATTTATCTCTGTTTGTTGTTTGCGCCACTGACTGATGACATCGGCAGCTTTATCTTTATTTTGTTCCCGGTATTCCTGAGCGAATTTAGAGCCAGTGGCAGCCACTTGGGCAAGAGTACCCTCAGGCTGGGACTTTTGTACAGAAGGTACAACCACAGTTTCGATATTTTGGTTCTCCAAAAACTTGGGAATATCCTCCTTGATATGAACGTCAATTTCAGGTTCGTCAACAGCTTCATCAGCAACATCGGGATCATCAAGTTCAGGGTAGTCCTTAGCCAGCGCCACCCCCGCTGCAATCAACTGTCTGATTTCCCACCGTTCTGGTGACGTTAGCCGGCGACGTTTCGGTTCAGGTGTATGGGTGGTGTCTCGTCCTCTATCCTCCTCCAATTCCTCAATACCAGTGACTTGGTCAATGTTCTTCATCAGAAGGCTGATCTTGGGGGACATAGCCAAAATCTTAACAAACACCTGTTGGCCAGTCTTGACTACCAACTCAGGAGAAGAGATACGTCGAACACTTAGCTGTGAGATGTGGGCTAAGCCTGATTTCTTTCCGTCAAGTTTCACAAAGGCGCCATACGGAACGATATTAGAGACAACTCCCTGTACAATTGATCCAGCACGAAGTTCTGGTTTCCGGTCACGTTCCCTATTGCGGTCTCCATTCTGTGATGGTTTAGTCAAGGCCTTGAGAGCCGCCGGTGGTCGCGTATTAGGTAGTGATAGACTGGAAGCTGGCGCATATAGTGAGTAACACCCACTAATAAACTCTTGCGGGAAATCCTCGCCACCGTTAGCTGCTGCCAACTTTTTGAACAGCTCTAGACTCAGCAGCTGTGAAAGAAGCAGATGGATAAACCCCGATAGAGTGCCATCATCATCGACTCCGAGATGTTTGGCGATGAGGGGCTTAAGTGCAGCAGGGTCCATCAACGGAAGATCAAATCGTTCGGAGATGTCAGGACAGAACTTAGACTTGAAGGGGAATCGTCAGATAATGATAAACAGATTGCTGCGTAAATGCACTGGATTTTGGGATGTGGTCTCAAGGTAATGCAGTCATTGATAGTGCGACTACTTCGGATTATGCATTTGGTCTTCACTTATGGTAGTACAAATAACTTGAAATCAACAGTGAGTAATCGTAGTTTTGGGTTATTATAGTCAAGAAATAGGAACCTCTTGTGCTGTCAAGAAGTATTCACAGTCGGAAGACCTGTTGATCACGAACCTTATATCAAATTCCAGAGACAATGGGAATATTACGACGAGCAGAATAGTGAGTGATGCTATTTACATTCGGTAAAGAGCTCATAGGCCGGACGTTTCATTATTCTAGTGGAGTCATATGATCTCAACATACTCAAATATGTCTGCCTCAAAGCAGTGAGCGGCGCCGGGACAGCCTCACTTGACAAAAGGTTTGCCACCAGTGCGCACCCACCACCATGTCCAGAGAAGACCCTATCAAGGCGGAAAAGGACCTTCTGGCCCTCCTCGACAAGCAATTCCCCGAAATCGAGAAGCTTCCTTACAAGGAAGGGGTGGAAAAGCTTCTTCAGCTCGAGAAGCAGACGCGACAAGCGCTGGACGTGCTTTCGTCGAAGCGGGTGCTTAAACAAATCGCCACCATCCTCATCGACAACAACGACTGGGACTACTTGGATGAGCTCATCGTGTCGCTTTCAAAGAAACATGGTCAGCTCAAGCTGTCGATCCAGGAGTTCATCCAGACCATCATTGCCCGTTTGTCGGAATTGGACGACACGAACAAGAAGCAAGTGGAAACTAAGATCAAGGTGATTGAAACTATCCGCACTGTCACCGACAAGAAGATCTTCGTTGAAGTGGAGCGGGCTCAGGTTCTGCGTATCTTGGCCGAGATCTACCTCAACCAATTCAAGGACTTGGACAAAGCGGTCGACATCTTATGCGACTTGCAAGTGGAAACTTACTCGATGATGAACTTCTCGGACAAGATCGAATACATCTTGGAGCAGATTGATTTGACTCTTCAAAAGGGTGACTACGCTCAAGCTAAGGTGTTGCTGCGTAAGATCATGCTTAAGCTGCTTAAGCTGTACCCTGAGTTCAAGAAGACTTACTTGCAGTACTTGATCCGCATACTGACTCACGAATACGACTACTTGAGCACCGTCCAACATGCTCTCATGTTGCTTGACCTTGAAGCGCTGCCGGAGTTGGCTGTGCTGGTGGTCTACTACATCATTCTTGCTAAACACAACCCTGAACAGCATGACTTGATTCTCAAGATCAAGCTCAACCCTCACGTTACCAAACTGGTGTCGCTGCACGTGTTCCACTTACTCGAGCTTTTCACCACCGATGAATTGATTCACTGGCACGACATTAACCGCGACTACGCTGACGAGTTTGCCAAGCTGGAAATTTTCAAGGATGAAACCAACTTCAAGAATTTGCAAAAGCGGATCATTGAACACAACTTGCGTACCATCAACAAATACTACACCCAAATTCAATTGCCGCGGTTGGCAGAGTTATTGCAATTACTGGTGGACGATCTGGAACAATACGTCCTGGAATTGGTGAACCTGGGCATGATTAGCGCCAAGATCAACCGCCCCGAGGGCATCATCCGCTTCAGCGCCCCTGGCACTTCGCTGAAGGCTCTGGACCTGAGCCGCATCAATGATACCTTGAATAGCTGGTGTCACAATGTTGACAAGTTGTTGGAGGAGATTGACTCCATTGGTCACTTGATCAACAAGGAAGAAATGATGCATGGCATCAAGCAAAAGGCCTAGTCCACTAATGAATAGTAAGAAACGACAAATTAACATCTAAGGCAATTGAATTCAATGATGTAGACTCAAATTAATTGCAAACGACACGTATAATCTTGGTCTTTGTTATGATAGATTTTTAGCACTGTTCATGGTTATGTGAACACAGACGCGGTGGTGAGTGCTAATATTCTCGACGAATCTAGGCTCTAAAAATCGTGATGAAACTAGATAGTCAATTAATGAAATCAATATACTGCAACCCAAAAAAGAATACTTTGATATGGAAAGTTTTTATCTCTACTGTCTGTTAATCGTTTCATGGTGTTTTTTTCCGACACGTTCGCTGGAGCGGGTCGCCGCGCCAAATCGACACGTAATTTTCAGTCTCACCAACGAGCACCTGGAGTATGAGTGGGTACACCCTAGTTTATGAGCCCAACTCGGCGACCAAGACGCTGGTGCATGAGTTCAAGCAGTTGTTGGAGAAGGGGAAGGATGACGTCAAGATCGACACGATGAAGCGCATCCTTGTCGCCATCATCAACGGTGACCCCATGCCCGACTTGTTGATGCACATCATCCGATTTGTCATGCCCCTGAAGAACAAGGAGCTCAAGAAGCTCTTGTACTTCTACTGGGAAGTGTGTCCCAAGATGGACGAACACGGCAAGATGCGCCACGAAATGATCTTGGTGTGCAATGCTATCCAACGCGATTTGCAACACCCTAACGAATACATCCGCGGGAATACTTTGCGCTACCTTAACAAATTGAAGGAACCCGAGTTGTTGGAAACGTTGGTGCCTAACGTCAGACAGTGCCTCGACCACCGCCACGCCTACGTGCGCAAGAACGCCGTGTTTGCGTTGTACCTGATCTACAAGGTGCTGGACCATCTCTGTCCCGATGCCGACGAAGTCATCTACCAATTCTTGGCTGACGAATTCGACTCGGTGTGCAAGCGTAACGCGTTTGTTTGCCTTGGTGACCTCAACCGGGAGATGGCTCTCGCCTACATTCAAGCTAACATTGGTGTCATTGAAACCCTAGACCCTTTGATCCAATTGGCGTTCATTGAGTTCATCAAGCGAGACGCCTTGGCTAACCCCAGTCTCAAGACTCAATACACTCAGCTCGTCGAAGAAATGGTGGAACTGCTGCCGCTGAACGTGGTGGTGTACGAAGCTTCCACCACTCTCTCGCAATTGACGTCGCTGCCGCTGGCGGTGTTGTTGTCTGCCACTAAGTTTGTCGAATTGGCCACTAAGGAAGCCGACAACAACGTCAAGATCATTCTGTTGCTGCGCATTGACGATCTTAATCGCGAGTACCCTGGCGTCATCAACGAATTGGCGCTTGAAATCTTGCGCGTGTTGCTGACTCAGGACATTGATGTCCGTCGTCAAGCTCTTGACGTCGCTCTTAAGTTGGTCACCCTGAGAAACGTCGAAGACATCGTCAAGCTCCTCAAGAAGGAATTGGAAAAGCTGTCGGTGGCTACCGAAGACAAGACCGCCGAATACCGCCAACTTTTGATCAACGCCATCCATCAATTGGCCATCAAGTTCGTTGAAGTGGCTACTAACGTCATTGACTTGTTGTTGGATCTGATGAGCGATCTTAACACCGCCGCTGCTTACGAAGTTATCGTCTTTGTTAAAGAAGTCGTTGAAAAGTTCCCCAACTTGCGTCAAGGCATTGTTCACCGCTTGATCCAAACGTTGCCCTCGGTGAAGCTGGGTAAGGTGTTGCGCGGGTCATTGTGGATCATCGGTGAATACACTTTGGAAGAAAAGCTCGTTCAAGAAGCGTGGAAGTTCATCCGTGGCCTGGTAGGCGAAGTTCCCATTTTGGCGTCGTTCCGCAAGCATAAGGAAGAAGATGAGAACAAGAATGACGACCAAGAGGAAGGTGCTACTCCCAAACCCACTAAGAAGCCCGTTGTGCTTCCTGATGGTACTTACGCCACCGAACTGGCATTCCTGGCGGAAACTAAAGACGTCAACGAGGACCAAGATGCTCACCGTATTCGTCACCTTATTCTCAAGGGCGACTATCACCTTGCCGCGGTGTTATCGCTGACTCTCGTCAAGCTTGTGCTTAGACTTGAGCAATTGGGCACCAAGGAACCGGTGCTCAATGGTCTCATCGCTGAAGCGCTTTTGATCATGGTCCTGATCGTTCGTGTCGGTGAGAGCCCTCACGTGGAAAAGCGGATCGACGAAGACTCCGCCGACCGCATCTTGCTGTATGTGCGCATTTTGACTGACGATGACGCTCGCGACCAAAAGATTCTCGAAGAAACTTTCTTAAACGACACTCGCGATGCTTACGCCGGTCAAGTTCAAGAGCAGGAGATCAAGAAGGCGGCTGCTGTGGCACAAGACTTACAAGATAATGCTGAACAAGTTGATGATGCTATTACCTTCAGACAATTTGTTTCCAACGGCAAGCGGAACCAAGGCTTGCTGGACGACTTAGCATTGAATCTGTCGTCGCTGGCAAAGAAGGATGACTTGAGCTCGCGTCTTAACAAGATCATCCCCTTGACCGGTTACTCTGACCCTATTTACGCTGAAGCGTACATCAAGGTGCACCAATACGACGTGGTGCTCGAAGTGTTGTTGGTGAACCAAACTACCAACACTTTGCGCAATTTGCTGGTTGAACTTGCCACCTTGGGTGACCTCAAGGTGGTGGACAAGCCGGTGACGGCGAACATTGGTCCCCATGGGTTCTACAAAATGCTGGCCACCGTCAAGGTGACGCTGGCGGACACGGGTATTTTGTTCGGGAACATCGTCTACGACGGGCTGCACTCGGACGACTCGACGATCGTCATTTTGAACGATATCCACATCGACATTATGGACTACATCAAGCCTGCCACTTGTTCGGAACTGCAGTTCCGCAAGATGTGGAACGAGTTCGAATGGGAAAACAAGATCACCATCAAGCTGCCGATCAAGTCGCTCAAGGAATACTTGGAAAAGTTAATGTCCGGCACCAATATGAACTGTCTCACTCCTGGGGCGGTGATTGGCGAAGAGTGCCAATTCTTGCTGGCGAACTTGTACCTGCGGTCCACCTTTGGTGAAGACGCGTTGGCCAACGTGTGCATTGAGATGAAGGATAACGGTCCCATCATTGGGCATGTCCGGATCCGGGCCAAGGGTCAAGGGCTTGCCTTGTCCTTGGGTGACCGTGTGAACGCCATCTCCAAGGGTACCCACTCGGGCGATGCTGTGGCGTAGTGATGATATAAAATTTGTATGAATATAAACTTAGTTATTGTATTCGGGCAATGCGCTAGGCGAGGGGCTACTATCAGTGGTTGGTCCTGTACGAGGCCCATTGAAGGAACTAATCTCGTAATTTCCCGTATGAATAGATCAATCAAAACAATTCAACTGATTACAAAATGCTTTCGTGGCTTTATTCTTCAAATATAGCTCACCTTAATGGTATGGATGTGTACTGCTTCCCCTCTTCGCGCTCGCTTCCCCACTTGACGCGTGCCAACATCTCTATGCACTGATACCAATCGCCTGAGGCTGCTAGTCCTGCCAACGCGGGACCCGGCTTGAGCCTTAATATGTAAACCCTGTGGCGAGTTTCCACTGGCGAGTATAAAGTTTGAACGCGTACAAGAACGTGAAGAGTGGATAAAGAGAAAATATTTCGGTACTTTCACCTAAAATAACAATCACAAATTAATATCTTGCCCAACATAATACAAATGTCGTGATTATTATCTCAGAGCTGGTCGTCCACCGGGTTTCGGGGTCTCAAGCCCGTTGAGCAGTGGTGGTTCCTTCATCGCCCGGGACAGGTCCCCACGCGCTCGGCCATTAACTGCCGCTGACACCCACTCTGGATGTTTGCCACCCGCCCCCACCATCGATTCCACGACGATAGAAACCAGATAATCGGCTACTTGAATAGCTGATCAATTGTTCACCCTAAATCCCAGTCACCGTAGCTATTTGCCTAATGTTTTTAATTCCCATCCCATCCCACCCCACCGGGAGTTGCCGCCGCACGCTGCCACCCGTGCAGGCCATGGACAATTCTTTCCCGAGAGGGGTTTTTCACATATATATCAACCACTGTCACTAAACGCTCTGTGCCCTGTGACAAATTTCCAGACTCTGGCCGTGGGGAATTGATACAAACGACTGGTATACTTCGCAACACAGAGGATGCTTAGAGTGATTCGTGCACCGCAAGTTATGGCACCCCGGGCCCGGGTGGTTGCTCAGTCGTTAAGATTGTCCTTCAGAGGCTACGCCAACTGGCCCGAACACACCGTGATCAACATGCCGGCGTTATCGCCCACCATGACCCAGGGGGGGATCGCTCTGTGGCTGGTGAAGCCCGGCGACGAATTGCAACCCGGGCAACTGATTGCTGAAATCGAAACCGACAAGGCCACCATGGACTTTGAATTCCAAGAAGAAGGGTACATGGCCCAGATCTTGCTTGGCGACGGGACCAAGGACATCCCCGTGGGTAAGCCTATTGCTGTCTACGTCGAAAACAAGGACGACGTCGACGCGTTCAAGGACTTTAAGCCCGAAGACGCTGCCGATGCCGACCAGCTGGCCGCTGAAGCTGGCAACGCCGCTCCTAAGGAAGAACCTAAGCAAGAAGAACAACCTAAGCAACAAGAAGCTCCCGCCAAGAAGCTGACTTCGTCGAAGAAGCTGCCCACTTTGGCTTCGGGCGACCGCATCAGAGCGTCGCCTTTGGCTAAGCTGATTGCCCTCGAAAAGGGTATTGCTTTGGCTGGCGTCAAGGGTTCCGGCCCCGACGGCAGAATTTTGGCTAAGGACCTTGAAGGCTTGGCCAAGAAGGCTCCTGCTGCTGGTGGCGCCGCTGCTGCCACCGGTGCTCCCGCCGCTAACGACTACGAAGACATCGAAATCACCTCGATGAGAAAGACTATCGGTCTGAGACTTCTCGCTTCGACCCAAAACGCTCCTACCTACATTGTGTCGTCGACCATCTCCGTCAACAAGCTCCTCAAGTTGCGTGCTCTGTTGAACGCGTCGGCTTCCGACCGTTACAAGTTGCTGGTAAACGACTTGTTGATTAAGGCCGTGGCCGTGGCTGCCACTAGAGTCCCCGACGTCAACGCCTCGTGGTTGGGTGACCAAGGCGTCATCCGTCGTTACAAGAACGCCGACGTGCTGGTGGCGGTGGCTACTCCTACTGGTCTCATCACCCCCATTGTCTTTGGCGCCAACCAAATCGGGTTGTCGGAAATCTCCCACAAGATGAAGGACTTGGGTAAGCGGGCCAAGGACGGCAAGTTGCAACCTCAAGAATTCCAAGGTGGTACTATTTGCATCTCTAACTTGGGTATGAACCACGCCGTGACCATGTTCACCTCGATCATCAACCCTCCCCAACTGGCCATTCTTGCCATTGGTACCACCGAAAAGAAGGCGGTGCCCTCGAGTGCCAGTGAACACGGCTTCATCTTCGATGACGTCATGACCATCACCGGTACCTTCGACCACCGTGTCATCGACGGTGCTCTTGGTGGTGAATACATGAAGGAATTGAAGAGAGTTGTGGAAAACCCCTTGGAAATGTTGGTTTAGTGTAATAGATGTAATGAATGACTGGACGACGACAACAACAATTGATAATTCAACTTTATGATTGAAAATGGTTCTCACTCACCATCACGTAACCTCGCTTCAGAGAACTAAAAATAAGTCATGGGCACACATCGCGCGTGTTAACTCCCAGATCTACCATTTGCTAAAGTCACCAATATCAGTTTTCATTTGATCAGTTTTATGATCCAGCCGCTTTCTCCACGCAAAAGTTTGTTTTCTTTTTTTCTAAATTTCACCTTATTGTTTTCTGAATGGCTGGGCACATATCCTATGGCTTGAGGCATATTTCCTCCCGGAGAACCCTCGGATAAAGGGAATATTGACGCTCAAGTGAGCACCTCTAAGCATTGCCTCAGTGCAATCTTTTTCGCGGTATCTTAGAAACGGAAGTAATCCAGCGATTGGTCTACGACAACGGAACACCGCAAAAGCAATGCAGGATTCTCCTCACCCACGTGAAAATGGTACATAGCGTAAACGGTACCACCCGACATTTATCGATATACCCCAGATGATAATGACGTACCCCGGACTGGGTGGTTTTGGTTTGTAGCGGCTTATCCCCTTCGGCGTTTAGACCTCTGGGTGCGATCCGCACCATTTTTGACAACAGAGTCATTCTCATGCATTTCGGTAGGCTGCATAATCACCCCCTCCTCTGCAATTACCGCCTCCCCCCCACCCGCACTTGCCGCTTAACCCCATGGAGATCCGACGTAGGGCTCTTGGCTCGCCACCTTTATTGCCTGTAGTCGAGTTATGCTTTTGTGGAATTTCGCCCTTAGAACCAGTGCAGGCCTGCTTTCCATGCATCGAACTAATCCCCGTCGAATTTGTGGCCTCACGCACAACATGTAATTTCGGAGGTCGACTCCGTGTTTTGTTAGCCGCCTCACGACATCTTGTGTATCTCCACAAACGCAAACGTGGAGGGTCGAGCGCATGATGGAAGCTACCCCGGCTAGCGTTGCCTGGGTGACTCCGGCGTAGCAGCGAAGACGTCTTTAATTCTCGCTTCGCGTGCTTGCGGCGATTGCGACGGAGACGCACTTCCGATTTAGGTCGATGTAAGTTATGTACCGAGGGTGTGTAGCCGAATTATAGGTCCATGTTTTCGTAGTCTATATGATAGTTTATTGTAGATAACTTCTAAAAGTGGTGGGGGGAGCCGTCAGTGGTGTAAACTTAGGTGTCCCCGGAACACCGGTTATGCCGTGATTAGTTGCCTAGAGGGGGTTTGAGGGGACTATCTGCCCTGCACACAGGAATACATCTATGATTACACACTAAAAGGTCTTCACCCCCCACACTCGTATGTGTATATAGCTTAACCCCGAACCAAACTTTTCTGCTCATTTGGGACCCTATTTGTCCACTCGCAAGTTCCATGGAATCAGGCACCCTGATGTTACTGCCACTCACTCGCCCCCGGTCCCAGCTGCTGGTGCTCCCGACTTTCTCCCCGCCCCCGCCGCCCGCCGCTAACGATCATCAGCATAACCCTGCCTCCCCCAAGCTGGGGTCAGTCTCCCATGACCCCCAGTCGAGACTGCTGCTTGCCGAGCTTAAGGTGTTAGCCGATGGCCAGGTGATGAAAGTACAAAAGAGCCGCCAGCGACGGATCCACCTGTGTGTCTACTGCCACTCGAAGAAGATCAAGTGTCTGCGGGACCAGCCCGTGTGCCGCAAATGTGAACAGATCGGCATCGAGTGCAAGTATTTTATCAATGAACGCGTCAGCCGGGGCGGCAAGAAGAGTGCCCGGCGCCAGCTGGCGGTGTCCGACGGCCTGGGTCTGGAGCTGGCTCCCTCGGTCCAGCTGTCGGTGGCGGTGCCCTCGGCCCAGCAGGCCCACCCCGACATGCCGCTGGACCTGGTGTCGTCGATTCCGAGCGACGCAGGCGTCACTCTGGACGGGTCGGCTTTGGCGAAGCTGCCGACGATGAAACAGGAAGACCACCATTTCGCCAAGGAGCCGCTGCCGCCAATCTCGGAACTTCCGTTCTTCTCGTTTATGGCCACCCCTGAACTGAGCGGTCCCGCGTCAAACCCCGCTAACGGCGTCGATAAACGTGGTGTCATCGGTACCCCGCAGATGACGACGTTACAGATCCCCATCATGAACCAACTGCTGAATAATATGACTAATAACTACTTCAAGACCAACTACTCCCAGGCTCCCAACGAAGAAGGTTTTGCGTTTAATCTCGCCTCGTTTGCGTTCCTGGGCGAGTTCAATCTGCCTCTGGAGGCGCAGGCGCCACCAGCGCCCCAGCCACCAACGCTGGCCCCTACTCTGAATCCACAACCGTCGTCGAAGCTGTCAGGTACTAATAAGGACTCGCTGTACTTTAATCGCGGTGTCAACAACTTCTTTGACCTGGCTCCGGGTACGGTGGCTCAAGTGCCTCAGGCAGCAGCTCCATCAGCACCGTTGCTGAGCTCATTGAACCCTTATCTGCTGAACCCAGCGACCCTGGTTAACTACCTTTACGGTTCCAATACTAATTACCGCAACGATAACTTGGTGGATGAACTCAATGACTACCTCCCCATCCTGGCGGAGCGGCTGCGAGAGCTTGTTGATCGTTACGTGAACCTGGTCCATATCTTGCTTCCGATTGTTGCCAACCTTGACGCCTTTTGCCAGGAGCACGAGCGTTATTGGCGGCTTCAAGCGAGAAATACGCGGAGTCTGCGGGCGCTGCTGCTGGTGGGACTGCTGCCGGGAGACAGCGACGAGTTCAACTACCTTGAATTCTACTCGCTCTACTTCCCCATCATGTACGCGCTGACGATCCTGGAGTTTGAAGAGTATGACAATTTGTTGCTCAACCAGGACATCGACAAATACCTCAAAGCGTTCAACAAGGTGTGTCAATATTATAACTACCCTCACGGGCTCAAGACGATCGGATTGCTCCTTGGTAATGTCATCATTCAACTGACCCTGCCTAACCCTCTGACAATGGAAATGCTGCAAATCATCCGGTACGCTAAGTTCTTGCAGTTGCACAAAGACCCTGAAATTACCCTTCGCATCGGTAATCCAGAAGTAGTTAAGTTCCGTCGTTTGCTCTGGTGGGTTATCTTTGGTCTCGATGCTCTTACATCACATAATTTCTGTCTCCCTCCCGTTTGCCGTATGGATGATTTTAATGTGAGAATGCCTGAGGATGAGGAAGAATCGATTAACGCTCTCGGCATTAAGGAAAAGCGGCTCAACCTCGGTATACTTCTGATGAATGTTAAATTTACCTATGATCGTATATTGCTGGAACTTGTCTACCATTTGCACAATGGGCTTTCATCAAACATTACCCTGTCACAAGTGAATGACATCAAGGACATGATTTTGAGCCTTTTTCGTCACATCCACAATCTGGTATACCGCATGAATCAGTCTATTAAGCTCCACCCTCCTGAAACCGTCCATGAAATGAACTTGATCAATTTCTTAACCAATCACCTGTGGCTGTTTGTTGATAGAGCTACTATGTTGCTTCATAAGAAGATTCTTATGGGTGATGTCCAGAAACGTGATTATGCTGGAGGTCTCTTCGCTGACCTGCCTCAATCCCTTGTGGGTGGAGGTGCAAACTCGAAGGACCTGTCATCATCGCAACTGGCACTTCTGCTTTCGAAGTACGAGGACACATTTGGTCACTTGGCCGAGGCAAATATCATCAAGAACTTCAACAACAGTCTGATACTGCAACTCAAATTCAACCAGCAGGAAGACTTCACTTATGAGAACATGCACAACAACTTGATTCCACTGATATTGCACAACCTTAATGACTTCCTCAAGTATAACGATTTTATCAAGTTTGGCCGGTACAATTGGTACGTGAAGCGGACGATCCCCCTTGACCTGATCATCCTCATGTTTGTCATCATTGCGGTGAAGTTCAAGTATGAGTTTATGCAAATGGCGGAACTTTGTGTCTACGTGAAACTCATCAATAAGGCGCTTTTCATTCTCAACCGGAAATGGTTCAAGAACGAAAAGTACAAGCGGATGTTGCTGCTTACGAACTTGACGTGGGAGTACATTTTGAAGCGCTATCAAGTGTTGCCACTCATCCTGCAATTCAACGACACCCACAAGTTGGGTGATTTGAGTGAATACTATGATTTTAGTGTCACGAGCTATCTCAACTTAAACGAGTTGTTTGACGTCATGGATGTGCCTCAGCCGACATTACCACCAACATTTGGGTTTAATGGGTCAAAGTATGGCATGATCCAACTGGACCGTAACGTTGACCCCGAGAACTTAATGCCCGTGATGCAAGCGAACCAGCTTGCCCGAATCATCCCGTTGCTGCTAGACGTGAAGGCAGAATTGAGCCAGCTCAATGAGAAGATCTACTACGACTTGCGCAACAACTTTGTCGATATCAACGACTACTGTGCGTTCTACACCAGCTTAGAACACATTTTGCACGAATTGATGGATTACATAAATCTGTGACGAATGCCGTCGATTCAAACCGTGTGGTCATTTTTTGACCACCGCCCTATTTATTTTGTATCTATATACGAAAACATGTTACTTTTTATGTCCAGTATACAACGTCCCAAGGCTATTGTGGGGTGGCTCTTGGTGGTGGGTGTGTAGATCCGTACGATTCGAGGAAGCCCCCCTCATGAGGCTCGTAACCGAGTGATAGTACCACAAACACCAATTAGTAAGGGCGATAGCGCCAAGGGACCTGAAAATTGAGCAACTATATCGTTGGAACCAAACGTCGTTTTCAGATAGGCAACGATTAGTAATTGCCAACCCTTGCGACTCAATTGAAGCTTACGGGCGTCAATCTAGTGGCTCTAGATGGTCCCCTCTTTCTCAAAGTTCAGATTCGGAAACCCCGCGATCGCCAGGCCCCGACTCCGCGTTAATGTTGCTAAATGCAACTATGTTAAATAAGGCACACACCCCCCCACCAATCGCTAATGCCGGCAATCCCATATCCGAGGGGGAAGGTCCTAGTGTAATGGCAACTTAATTACAAATCGCTTACTCATTGTTATATAGGAGAGGGGGTCACCGTAATTGAGCCCGTGAAAAGCGGCTTTTCTCGAACGTCGCTAGCGTGTGAGGAGACCCACCTTCGGCGTTTACTAACACCAAGACCTGCACTGGTCACTGGGACAATTACGACTAAGTGGCATAAGCGATGAACCGTTACGGAGCTAATTGCCCTTTCAAGGGCGCAGCGGCGCAACTCGGTCGGTGGAACCGATTCCGTGCTTGCGAGGTCTCGGGCGGTTTACGTCACCGTGCAGAGGGCCGACTTTTGGGCCAAAATTATATAAGACCTGTTCATCACCATGCTTGTCGAAACATGACGCTTCAATCTATCACCAACAAGGACGTCGGCGCGTTGCCCGTGGCCAAGCCCGATCTCAGTGCTCCCATCCTCGATCGCTTCTCCCTCAAGGGTAAGGTGGCCACCGTCACTGGCTCGTCCAAGGGGATTGGCTACGCCGTCGCCGAAGCCTACGCCCAGGCTGGTGCTGATGTCGCCATCTGGTACAATCTGACTCCTGCCGACGACAAGGCCCAGGCGCTCGCCAGCAAGTACGGCGTGAGACTGAAGGCGTACCACTGCAACATCACCGACGACCAGCACGTCAAGCAAGTGACCGAGCAGATTGCCAAGGACTTCGGCACCATTGACATCTTTGTCGCCAACGCCGGGATCGCCTGGACCAAGGGGCCCTGCTGTGACTTGGCCGAAGGTGTTGCTGAGTGGAAGAAGGTGATCGACGCCGACTTGAACGCCGTCTACTACTGCGCTCGTGCGGTGGCGCCGATCTTCAAGCAACACAAGCAAGGACGCTTCATCATCACTGCGTCGATGCTGGGACACATTGTCAACGTGCCGCAATTGCAGGCTCCCTACAACGCCGCCAAAGCTGCCACCCACATGTTTGCGAAGTCGCTCGCGGTGGAATGGGCGGGGTTCGCCCGGGTGAACTCGGTGAGTCCTGGGTACGTCGACACCGAGCTCTCCAAGTTCGTCGACCCGGAAACCCACAACTTGTGGTTGCAATTGATCCCGCTTGGGCGTGAGTGTGACGTGCGTGAATTGGTCGGTGCCTACGTGTACTTGGCCCTGGATGCGTCGTCGTACACCACTGGTGCCGACATCCGCGTCGATGGCGCCTACACCTGTCCTTAACTGGTTTATCGACGGGAAACAACAATATACGTGCCTAAAATGTGAATTAATTAGTTGTAGTCTACAGGTAGAAATCGTCTCCATTTCCATTCCCTAACCTAAAGGTGATTATAAGCCAGATTCAACAGAGCGTCCCAGACCCGGCGCTTACTCGGCGTTGGACTTCTTGTATTCTTCGAAAGCGGTCAAAGCGTCTTCGAAGTGGTTGTTGAACAACTCTTCGTCTTCCAACAACGCCAAGATTTCTTGGTTGTCCAAGTCCAACATCATACCGGTGATCTTACCGGCGGCTTCGGGCTCTTGGGCTCTGCCGGTGGCAACGATCTTGGGGTACAATTCTTCACCCAAGACACGCTTTTGTTGGTCGGGCAACAAGTTGGCAATCACGGCAGCCAAGTCACGGGGACGTTGTTGGCCTTGGTTCTTGCCGCCACGGTTACCGCCGGGGCCGTAGTAGCCACGGGGACCTTGTTGCATGCCTTGAGGGGGGTAGCCAGGCATCATGTAGGGCATGGGTTGACCGTTAGGGCCAACGGGAGCACCACGGGGGCCCCAGCCTTGTTGGGCGGGGTCGAATTGACCGGGTTGGCCTTGAGGTCTACCGCCACGGCCACCTTGTTGACCCATCATCATTTGAGGAGGGAAGGGAGGTTGGCCGCCTTGGGGACCTTGGTTGCCACGGGGGCCACCAGGGAAGAAGCCACCTTGGCCGTAGAACATGGCGGGGGGCATGCCGAATTGACCGGGCAAAGCACCGGTGGCAGCAGCCGATTGCATGCGCATTTGGTTACGGGCAGCGATCTGTTGTTCGAGTTGCGAACGTCTGACGTCCTTGCGTTGGGCAAGAGCGACGTACAAAGGCTTGCCGAGAACCATTCTTTGGTTCATTTCGGTGATAGCCTTAGTAGCTTCTTCAGGAGACGAGAAGCACACGAAACCGAAACCCTTGGACTTGCCGGTGTCGTCAACCATGACCTTGGCCGAGGTGATGGTACCGAAAGGCTTGAATTCTTCTTCGAGCTTTTCCGAGTCGATCGAGTCGTCAAGGTTCTTGATGAACAAGTTGACACCTTGGTACTTCGACAACTTTTCGAGTCTGGTCAGCTCGTATTGCTTCTTGAGCTCTTCCATTCTTTCTCTCTTCTTCTGGGCACGACCGACGTAGATCTTTTGACCGTTGATTTCCTTGTCGTTCAATTCTTCAACAGCCTTCTTAGCCGATTCGTGTTGTTCGTAGTTGACGAAACCGAAACCCTTGGACTTGCCGGTTTCGTGGTCCTTTTCGAGGTGAGCCGAGGTGATTTGACCGAAGGGCTTGAACAATTCCTCAAGTTGTTCTTGAGTGAATTCAGCGTCCAAGTTCTTGACGTAGACGTTGGTGAAGTTAGCCTTCATTTCTTCAAACTTCGATTCACGGTCCTTCTTCGAGATGTGCTTACCGACGTACACTTCACGGTCGTTCAACAACATACCGTTAATGTTTTCGATGGCAGCTTGGGCGGCTTCAGGGGTGTCGTAGTGGACGAAACCAAAGCACTTGGAGTTGCCCATGTCGTCGGTGGCGACCTTGCACGACAAGATCTTACCGAACACCGAGAAGGTGTCGTGCAAAGCCTTGTTGTCGATGTCGGGGTGCAAGTTCTTGATGAAGATGTTCGATTCACCGTTTCTTCTCGACGAAGGGTCACGTTGCGACCACATGATCCGGCAGGGACGGCCTTCGATGGGGGTGTAGTTGAGCTCTTCAATAGCTCTTTCACCATCTTCGAACTTGTGGTAGTTGACGTAGGCGTAACCCAACGACTTCTTGGTCACGGCATCACGGCACACCCGGATCGACGAAACTTGACCGATGGGGGAGAAGATTTCGTAAAGGGTGGCTTCGTTGATGTTGAAGTTCAATTCACCCACGTACAACGACGCCGACGAGTCGTTCACCGACGAAGATTCTTCGGCAGCAGGCGACTCGGTTTGTTCCTTGGTGTCCTTGACATCCTTGGATTCGTCCTTGACGGACAACTTTTCAAATTGTTGAGTAACGTCAGCCATGGTTTAAATGGAAACGGTGTTGATTTTTTTTGACTTTTTCAATAAGCGGGAAGGATGGAGGGAAGGGTTTTCCTTTTTTTTGGGGTTTTTTGGTGTAGAGCTGTACTGAACACTGAGTGTTTGTACGAGCAGGTCTTAGGGGTGGGTTAGAAAGCAAATTTTTCCAGCAGGTCTCAAGTAGGTCTCCGACCTGTATAGAAGCGCGATGAGGGGAGAGGTTGCAGATGACGCATGATGCCAAAACTGTGATCTACGGGTATCTGGCAACGTCGCTTACTATCAATTGATACCAGAAATTCAAACAAGCACCTTCATTTTTGACGATCTCGTCCAAATAACTGGATTTGTAGGTCGTAACCCTAAGCTTTCTTGGCTTGGTCACGTGACGAGCGCGATGCCCGCCCCCCGTCACTGTCTTTCTCGGGGTAGGGGGTTCAGTGGTTACTAAGGGGATATTACAATGGAGACTGTTAGTCATTCGATTTTTCCATTGATATTGGATGTATTTATTGTTCAATCATTTGATAAACACGTCCTTTGTGTAGTTGCGAACAGTTACTATGGGGCCATTTTTCATGTTGAGGAAGTCACACAAAATGCGTACAATTGGATTGACGCACTCGGTGGCAATTGTATCCATGCTAGTTACCTCCCAAAACGTAAATTTTACAGCAACTACGACCCAAATTTATTCAACCTTAGACGTAATTGTTCCCATTAATTGAATTGACTCATTAGTGATCATAATTTTTGGTATTTTCCACCTATATTTTCATCTATGAAAATTACTGTATTACTGTTCGTATGCTCGCGAAAGGTTGGCTAACATGAACCGTTAGGAGATTTTAAAGTGCCTTTAAATTTTGCGTATAGGATGTTTAAAGATGACTTTTTCACACCACTTCTCAGCGGTCAAATATTATCAGCTTGTCGTCATTTCTCTGGAGCCAACGCCTCGGATGATTTTGGATCTGATCATTGGCTACACTACTCGAAATTTCAACGGAAGCATACCACTTGACAAAACTCACCTTAACAATCAACATGTTTCCAATAAATCTAATATATTGCGTTATGTACCAAAGTACGGATCTCCATTTTCGAAATCAGTTTCGACGCTTTATTGAGGGGATCGCGCGATTTTGCCGTTCAAGACTTTCAGATGTTCAGAATTGGAATCCGGAGATTTGCTACTACCAACGTCCTCAGAAGCACGGTTGTGGAGACTCCTGCGGGTACCTCCGTCACCCTCAACTGGGTGGAGTACTTGAAAATGAAGAAGCAACTCCACCGCATCAACACCGGGGTGTCGATTCTCACTGGGTTCACCGGTGCGTTTGCTACCCTCACTTATCTTGGTAACGTCGAAATCGACGTTGAAAAGACGATCTTTGGTTTCGACCCCATGATGGTGATGGCGGCGGCGGTGTTGCTTGGTGGTGGTGTCGGCTACTTGTTGGGTGGTTTCATTGGCAGACCCGTGTTCAACATGATCAACCGCACCAAGATCCAACAATTCAAAGTCAAGGACCGCCAGTTCCTTGAGCGCATCAAGGCTAACCGGGCTGACCCTCTGAGATCGCTGGTGGCCAACCCTGTTCCCGACTACTACGGGGAAAAGATCTACACGTTAAACGACTACAAGCAGTGGTTGCGTGACTGTAACGCGTTCAAGCGTAAGGCGACCGAGTTTTTGTAACTGTAAATAGGATAACTCGAAGTATGCCCCCAATATAAATTCTTGACAATTTTCAAAACCATTAATCCCACGTGTAATCAACAGTGGAAGGTTGACCATTCTTGCTAAGCGGTGCGCGCTCGAAGCATCTCCACAGAAACACCCTAGCAGCAGCCACAACTACCCACGCCCGCCATGTCCGAGGATACCCCGCTATTACTGGATAATCCGATGACTCAATCGGAGGCGTTGCCAAAACCGCAGGCGCCGGCTAAACCGAAAGCGCCCACCCAGGCCAACCGGCTGCTGAAGATTGCCCAACTGCCTAAAATCGGGTTGCAGCGGACCCTGAGAACAACCCAGAAGCTCAAGTTACTTCCCGAGGACCCTAATAACTTAGGTGAAGATGATGATGATGATGATGATGACGATGATGATCTGGGGGTGGTAGCTCCTCCTAAAGTGTATTCCCAGGCGAAGAAGATTACCAACACAAGTGCTCGTAAAGACGCCATGACCTTGAGCAAAGCTCACCGTGACATGTTACCACGGGTTACTGCTTACTGTACATGCGGGCTGTATAAGATGAAGGACTTATTCCGGTGGCTTAAAGATCGTAAGCGCATTCACAACACGTCGCCAAAATTGTTCGATGAATGCTTATATTCGACATTTACTTATAAGGACTGGAGAGGGCTGCATTTAGATGAGAGTCTGCATAAGATCATCAGACTTGCTGACGACGGTGGTGAAATTGATGTTGGCAAGAAGAACGAAATCTTCATTTTTGAATATGGCGTCATTGTCATGTGGGGCTACACTGTACGCGAGGAGCAGGCATTTAGAGAAGACTTAGCCCGTTTTGAGAACGAGAAGTTGGCTCCTGAAGACGTCCAGGTGGATGAGTTCAACTACTACATTACCAAACTGTACCAACCCCGGATTTACAACGATTTCATTACCCTCCGTGATGATAACAACTACATGCTTAAGTTGCTGATTTCCCATGCGTTGGCCCAATCGGTAAAGATCTCTCTTTTCGAAGAGTTGGTCGACAATACTATTGAGGACACGCAAGATATCCCGCAACAGATCGCGCAAACGGGTAAAGTGGAAATGAGCAGAGAGGAGATTATGAAGCTGATCGGTGAGCTTTTCATTTTACGTATCAATATCAATTTGCATGGCCTGGTGCTTGACCTGCCAGAGCTCATGTGGGCTGAACCCCATTTGGAGCCCATTTATCAAGCCACTCGTGGCTACTTGGAAATCAACCAACGTGTCGAGTTATTAAATCAGCGGTTGGAAGTAATTTCCGATTTATTGTCGATGCTCAAAGAACAGTTGGGACATTCTCATGAGGAAAATCTTGAATTCATCGTGGTTGTTTTGGTGGGGGTGCAAGCAGTGGTAAGTATCATCAACATCATAGTTGATGTGTTGACTTACAAAAAGTGAGCTGGTCTCGATCAATGCATTATTTAATTACTTAATATATTTGTGTATCAAAACATCAAATCGTCCTCTCCCGCGTCATCATCCGCCGAACGTTTGCGGTCGTGCAACTCTTCTTTGTACAAGTTCGTGACAAACTTGCCGAAGTAAGCCACATATGGTTTGAGCAGCGTCGCATCCCAAGCATCAGAACTACTACTCTTGTTGTTCTCGGCTTCCTGTTGAATCTCGGCTAATTTGGGGGACGTCACCGGGTCAAACCCATAATCGGTTGGATCTTCGTCGAGTAAACTGTGGAAGGGGTCAAAGGGGACACACACATTACCCGTGGCTGGGTGGATGCAGAAAGGAGACTTCAACAAGTGATTCAATTGACGTGAGACGTTAACATCAAGGCGCGGGTACAAGTATCGAATAATGATATCTTTTTTGGCATCGATCACACTGGTAAGCTTAAACTTATTTTTGCCGAAAAGCTCAGCTGCAACTTTGTTGATGTCCTTCCATTTGTCTAACAGCGACAGTGGTGTTTTATCCCATTTCGCCTTCAATGCATCGCGAAGTTCTTTCTCAGGCATGAACTCTAGAAGCTCTTCAACGTTCGCATCAATATGCGGTGTGGCTTTGGTCTTCGTGTTCCATGGGTCTTGCTCATGGAGAATGATCTCGTCGAACTCCAACTTGCAAATTTCGAAAGCCCGTTCTAATGCAGGGTGGTAAGGTTTTTTGATTCTCTTCTCGCCACCCAATACATCGAAATAAGCAATCAAGGCTTGACGAGATAGATCATCAAGATTTCTGGCACGGGCGTCACTGACCCAACAATGGGCCCCGCGTCGACCCAGGAACACCCACAAGATATGTTTAAATCCAAAGTCATCACGCAACGCCGTGTCAATGATATTAGAGGCCACCTTGATGAATTTCCAACACTTTCTGCAGATGGCTTTGTCTTGACAACACGTCCGGATGGGATCGTAATCTGTCAAATCGATATCGAAGTTCAACTCCTTCGCTACCGGCTTAAGTGCCAGCTTCGGTAAAACCTTGCGGTCTTTGGGAAATACATTGTAAATGGCCCCAATTTCAAACCGCAAAGGGTTCGATTTTTCAACTGCTTGCTTGAATTCTTTCTCAGAACCATATGATTGGTACCGTTGGTAGATATCACCCCGAAGTTCATAGGCAATCTCCCGCTTAGTAAAGTCGGTAGTCACTTTAGGGGAATGCAGAAGCCATTGGAATAAATATCGGAACGGAAGAAACCGCCGATAGTAATCCTCCATGTCAGCATCTGACGGGCCTGAGGGAGTCGTCATTGTCAAATAAATATGTAAGACGCGTCGCGCGCGTTCCGATGAATGTGGACCCTCTCGAGAGCTCGGTGTGGAAACACAATTTGTATCTAAAAACGTTCAAAGATTGATTATCTAGTGATTTTCTGCTTCGAACTCTCTCGAGACTAAGTTTAACCTAACACCTAATATTCATGACATGTAATTCTAAGTCCACCAAAAGGGATAAACTTTCTCTGAATTATTTGTATATTGTAGTCGTCTACTTTTAGTCGTCTATTGTCATTATTCGTTATCGGAGGCAGCCGATACGGCGAATGAGTATGTCAGAACGCCATCCATATCATTGGCATCGTCCAGGCCCTCGGTGATTTCCTTCCACAGGGCGTACGTAAGTAACAAGAACCCGATGATGATCAAGAAGTCACCAAGTAACTGTTGTGAGCTCAATGCATTGTCGAATAACACCCACTCCACCACACCGATGATGAAAATTGTCACCAACGAACTGACTGATGACAACACCGGCAGCGTCAAAGCCATCAATAGGAGGAATGATCCAGAGAAGAGTAAGTTACCTGCAATCAGTCCGATCACAAGTGACCACACACGGGTATTATTCTCACCATAATAAAATTTAAAGCGGTGAATGCCGGTTAATTCCAGAATTAACATGCACAGTGTCAAGATGATGAATGTGTAAACACCGAAAAGCGCCATGACAAAGTTTGCAAATGACAGTTGGCGTCTAGGAGAAATGTAACGGGCAAGATGGTTGGGAATGCAGCAGTACTTTTTGTAGAGACACTCGTAGTACCCGTATAATACTGCACCAAATAAAATGAGTAAGTTCCCCCAAAGGCGGTAAGGGTATTCGGTATTGGCATCATCACTCAGTCCACTGTAGGACACGATAAACACCCCAGTGATGGCGATGAACACCAGCAGCACTTTGAGCCATGAGAATTTCTCGTGAAGCATAGGGATAGCGAAGGCGTAGGCCGTGAACGCCAGACAGTTATAGATGGCAGTGACATCGCTGGCAAAGGTGAGAGCCATGGCAGCGTACCATGTGCATCCAGCCAACGTGAGTACCACGGTAATGTAAAATGAATACTTCAACAAGTATTTGATTGCTGGGGTTGTTATCATCAGTCGAGCGCAATCTAGCACCAGACTCAGCAGCAGAAGCTTAGGGTTTCTTTCAATTAATTTATTGAGTTCCTCTGTCAGAGTGTCCCCATTGACGTTCGCCTCGTAAATGACGACAGCGGTGTGGTAAATGTTATGAAGTTGCTTTACAATACACTTCTTGAAGTAACTGTACAACCTCAACTTTTGCTTCATCACCACTGCATGGGGATCTTCGAGGTCTAGCGGGTCGCTCGAGTTTATCGGCAACCGCTCGTAGTGGGCGGAACTCAGAGCGGCTCCTCTTCCCACCACCACTACTGGCGCAGTTGACGACCTCCACTTGTTGAATGTCCGATACAGCGCAGCAGATATTGCCTGTATGGGCCAGAGAATCCACCACATGCCGTGGGTGATCCATAGGAGTACGAGCGGCTCTGAGAAGCCAATCTTGTACACTTGGGAGGTAAACTCGGTTTGTACAACAAACAGCGTGAGCAGCACGAGAAAGGCGCCGCCGATGAACGCCATCTTGGTTCGGGAGACCCCCTCCAGCGGGTTTTCCGTCGATATCATGTGGACCATGTCGAGATTTTCTCAGTCGTGTTTGGCAAGTTACACCTGTGTGTAGTTGTCGTGACTACGTCAGCGTGCAGAAGGAAAACTTGTGGGGAATGAAGAACAGGGTCCAAACATTAGATAACAATGACCCGGTTTTAGGATAGTTGGTTATCTGAGTTTTAGAGTTACACAGGAGGTCAAGTTGTACTTGACCAGATAGTCATGCACCATAGTATAATCAAATCACTTCCAAGAAACTCGAAAACAGTACAAAGACTTACACGTAGTAAAGATTGGAGCTTGGCGAGAAAACTTTGATTTTACGATTCTATTTAAAAGTTTACGATGACGCGACATTCAAGTTTTCAATCAAGACTTTGTGTTACGAGTTGGCTTGAGAACATCGTTTAGTCTGAGGGTCACAAAACGATTTCTGAATGAAGTCTCCCAACATGATAAAATTGAACCTACAATTGTGTCTATAGAAAATACCGTGTATCATTAGTCATACTACTTAGTAGCGCTTGTTCAAGAAAGTTTGGTTCTTGAAATCCCACGAGTCGTCGGAGATTCTCCCTCTCAACACGGGGATTTCCGAGCCGGGCACGTACACATCTTCGAAGAGAATTTGGAACGAGGCATCGGGAGGAGCGTCGGCTTCAGCCAACTTAACTTGTTCGTCGACGTAAGCACGAGCCTTCTTGTCATAGGCCTTGATTTCGTCTTCGTTGGCGATACCCTTTTCGATCATGGTGGCCTTAAGACCGGCAATGGGGTCATTGCGCAGTCTCATGTGTTGGACTTCTTCTCTGGTACGGTAAGTGGTACCGGGGTCGGACATGGAGTGACCACCGTAACGGTAGGTTTCGTATTCCAATACCAAGGGACCTCTACCCGACGAGGCCCAGTCCTTAGCGAACTTGGAGGCTTGGTAACAAGCCAACACATCCATACCGTTCACCTTAAGACCGGGGATGTATTGGGCACGCTTGAAGTATTCGGTGGAGGCCGACGATCTCAGGGCCGAGGTACCCATACCGTACTTGTTGTTTTCACAGCAGAAAACAACCGGCAAGTCCCACAACTTGGCCATGTTGTACAGTTCGAACACTTGACCTTGGTTCAGGGCACCGTCACCATAAAGAGCGAAAGTGGCGCAGTTGTCGTTACGGTACTTGTGGGCGAAAGCCAACCCAGCACCAAGGGGCACTTGAGCACCGACGATACCGTTACCACCGTAGAAGTTAGGACCGTACATGTGCATCGAACCACCCTTACCACGAGACACACCAGTGCGTCTCCCCATCAATTCGGCGAGAATCGATCTGACGGAGTCACCACGCACGTAGGAGATACCGTGGCACCGGTACGAAGTAATGACGGTGTCCTTCTTGGTGATGGCGCTTTCCAAACCCACAGCAACGGCTTCTTGACCAATGGAAAGATGGCAGAAACCTCTGATCTTCTTGGCCTTGTAAAGAGCGTCAGCGGCCATTTCCATACGTCTGATAATGATCATCTCCTTGTACATTTCCAAGAGAGTCTCCTTCTCAGTTTCGAAGTTGAGCGAAGGGCTCTCGTCCAACTTGTAGGTCTCGAACAGTTCCGGGTTCAATTCGATTTGGACCAAGTCCGACGAGTCGGTGGTGGTGGCCATGGTACGCGCGAGACGCGGGGCCGCCACTCTGGCTCTGGTGAGGGATCTGAGCATGGTAATAGCTTGAAGTTTTCTGGCAGGCAGCTGTCTTTTTAAGTATGCCGGGAGATAGACGTCCATGGTGCGTAAGGAAAAGCCCGCGTCACGTGTGCACGGTAATGCCCGGGTGAAAATTGGCCTCTAGAAGCGATGATTCGACCAAACAAAGGGAAGGAAGCATTTGTAAACGAATATGAGATCGATTCCACTTCAACTACCAAAATTTTCCCGCTAAATTAGCGTGTTTGAGCCATTTGCTGTCATCATCGCTACCATCTCCCGAAGGGAATTAAAGTCCGCACCAGAGTGGGGAACGCTCAACGTTCGCGGACGGCTCTAAGTGGAGGCGCCCCGGGCTAGTACGGAGCGCGGTGGATCTTCTGCAACTATGCTTCCGAAAAGTCGGCAGTTAACTACCATCAAAAGCTCAACTTAGGGCCAATGGCGTTCATCTATTTGGCCTTTCTATGATTACATCTCGAACTCAAAGTAGATTAGGCGATAAAAGGGCCAATTCGCGTGGAAATGTGAATCAACACTAGCTGCCAAATTCAGTCTATTTTCTCGAAGGTCCTACATCTAGATTTGTTTGTTACGCAAACTCAATTAGCCCTACCAAGCCCTCTCACTTTGTGGCCTGGTCACGTGACAATCTAGTACGGTTGCAAAATTGTTTCACAACAATTCGTGAGGTACACCCTCCTCGATGGTAGCGTGAAAAATAACTTTGGGATCTAGGCTCTTTTTTCTTTGAGACACCAAGAACATTTTGAAAGAAGGGTGACTTTGTCAAGCAAATGTCGTAACGAGTGGCACCCTTAAGGTCCTCCGGAATATGAACTTGATCGAAAGCTTTTGGGTTTGACCTTCTAGACCCACGGGTACAAAGATACTTTCAATTACAATGAGCACGGACGACCGTGATATCAGTGTAAACAAAAGGAGTCTTAATTACCTTCGGATTCCAATCATGTCACTCAGGCTTTGTGATAAGCCAATCTATGATTTTGGGACACAATCAAATTATCACTGGCTTGCAATTCTGGGCATTATCAGCAGTACATGGTTTTTCGTTGGTGGTAAAGGCGGCAGCGTTTATGCATAAATCTCTTTGGTGCATGATAATTTCAGACCCCATCTAGACAATCAGGGGTGCCATTAACCTCAAATCAATGTCTATTTGACCCTCTTGGAAACCTTTAACATATCTAACACCACAATCGAGGACTTTATACCACCTTTCTCTGGGCAACCCTCTGTGTATTTCATGTTGTCCATGCATGCGTCTGGTGATGCTATGTACGAAGTTTACATGGTGGGAGTGGGAGCTTTATAGGTGGCGGAAAATTCCAGTACTCCACAAATTTCTTCACTACTCCCTTTGAACGTTGAAAGAGATGTTTCGTCGATCGAAATCCCAGCCGGTCGCAACTCGGCCAGCTCCCCCGCCGCCGTACGTCTTATCAAAAGCTGCAGCTCCCGAAAAAACTACGAAAAGCCTGGTTTCGATTTGTTGGTTGTGCCAAATTATTTTGACCACCCGTCTTGTTAATGAACTGTACGTTGAGCTTGAATGTGGAGCCCTTGTTCATGAGGCCTGCTTCAACTTACGAATGGAACATCAACAGAGAAAGTTGGCCAAAGATGATTCTGAGTTGAACCCCGCTCAGATCCGTAAGCGTCTTTTCCCTCAATGTGAGTGTGGCTGTGATAAGACGGCCATTCCCAAAGATGAAGCCTTGATTGACGGCTATATGACTCGAGCCCTTGAAATGCAAACCCCTAGTCCCAAATATAACCGGAACCTCGCTCCGTTTGCCCGTACGTTTTCAATCAGCAACTCCGAGATTAGTGTGGAGACCCCGTTGACCCTGGTGACCACCAGTAGCATATCAAAACGAGTATCGAGTCTTAGAGGTCTGAAATTACCGCCGCCTCCGATATTACTGCGGGTGCTGAGCCTGGAGTCATTACTAGAGGCTCTGATAGCTCCTTCTATCGTGCTGGTGGATCCCAGTACACCTCAATTGCAGCAATATGAGAACGTTACCTACGACAATTTACTCACGGCATTTTTGACCCACATCATGGTTCGCTTCCCTCTGCTTAGCATGGGCAACTTGTTCCAGATGGGGAAACTTCGGCTTGCCGACATGTTGTCGGTGTCGTTTGATGAGGGTGTACTGTGGCGTCCAAGTCTTGTCTACTTGTTTGAACACACCTTAGTGCTTGAATGGCAACCACAAATTCCCATGGTGATCAAAGTGGCTACCTACCGGGCTCGAGGGTTAAACTTCCCCGGAGCAGTAGAATTGAGTTCATTTGAAGAAGGAGAAGAGAAGACGCGGGTCTGGTTCAAACTGGACCCGATTCTGGTGGTCGAAAAATGGCAGTGTGCGTTCCTTGAGCCTGGTCTCGAATTCCCCACCCAATTTTTGCTGCTGACCATCAACTTAGACTTGCCTCCCCTGACCCCCAGTTTCTCCGAAGCGCTGGTAGCTCTGGACGATTCTACAAGTGTGGCGAGTTCACTCAAACTACCACAAAATAGTTTGCAATCGCCATTCAGTCTCGAGCTCCCATTGCGACAACAATCACTTACTGGAAACGACACTGAAATAACGTCACCGCTTCAACTAAAGCGAGTGTCGAAACAATTGGAAACAATCAATGAAATTGATCTGACCCCGAGACTGCTGGCGCCAGCGACAATACCTAAAAGTTTGGATCCCAAGGGCCATCAGTGGCAACCAGGGAAAGAAACCCAGCCATTTTCTGCCAATATAACACTAGTCAACGATAGCGATTATAGTGACGACGATGACGACGTGGACCTGGATCAAGAGTTGATTAGTGCCAGTGTTGCCGCGCGCATCGAAAAGGAATGGACTAGTTTGATTGCCGAAGTTGATGAGGCTATCATGAGTGGCTGACGATTAATATATAGTTAATGCGATGTTATTGTAATGGTTAAATCGAGTAATCATCAGGCTGGTTGTTATTGTTTCAAGCTGACTATTCTTTTGAACCCACCGCATGATGTGGGAGGCTCACCTGAAAATTTATGCGCATTAATGCTGCAGCCTTTGGAGGAACGGCGATGAGGTGTGCAAGGGTAAGGAAATGACCAATTAAAAAAAAATGCAATGCACAGATTGATGCAAAAAGACAAACCCACGGCGGGATTCGAACCCACAATCGCTCGATTAGAAGTCGAGCGCCTTAACCATTGGGCCACGCGGGCGGCTGTTAGCGCATTAAGCTTTTGGTTTGACAAATCGACCTAGGTAGAAAGCCGATTCACAAAATCGTGTAAAGAGAGTTTGGACACATTCATAGACAAGCTTTAGAGCAATCACAACAAATCAAACTAGCATTCGACTGTTTCATCAAGTTTTGAAGGCTTGTAAAGTAGATATTTTCAATACCTTCAGTACAAATTAATCTTGAGTGTGATAAAATTTGAAAATTTGAGCAAGAGAGGATTACCTAACAATATTACAACCAAGCTATCTAATTATGGTGTTGCCACTAGATTTCCTCTCCATTATTCCTTGTTTGTATTTGCTCTCACCCCAGCGTGGTGAGCACCTGTGATCCTGTGTGTGCGCGCCATCTCATCGCAAGCGAAATTTTCAACCTCGCCTTTTCCATCCTCTCTAGGTAATATCCACCAAAGATGGCGTTCGTGTTGGCTGAAACCGCCGCTGGGTATGCCCTTCTCAAGGCTGCGGACAAAAAGATCCACAAGAGCACCTCGCTTGTCTCCGACTTGGCGACGCCTGAACAAGTAATCCAAGCCTTCAAGGTCCACCGCTTCCAAAAGTTCGAGCTGGCGGCTGATGCTTTGGCGCAGGCCAACGCTGTCATTGAAGGTCAGTGTTCGCTGGAGCTTCAAAAGTTTCTCGAAGAAGCCAAGCCCGACAAGAAGGCGACTTTGATTGTGTCGGAAGCCAAGCTTGGTAACGCCATCAACAAGTTGGGGCTCAACTTTTCCGTTGTTGCCGACGCTGCTTGCCAAGACGTCCACCGGGCCATCAAGGAATTTTTGCCCGAATTGTTGCCTGGTTTGGACGGCTCCACCCTCAACCAGATGTCGCTTGGTTTGGCCCACTCGATGGGCCGTCACAAGCTCAAGTTCTCCGCCGACAAGGTCGACGTGATGATTGTGCAAGCGATCGCTCTCTTGGACGACTTGGACAAGGAACTTAACACCTACGCCATGCGGATGAAGGAATGGTACGGGTGGCACTTCCCGGAGTTGGCGAAGCTCATCGTCGACTCGTCCGCCTACGCCAAGATCATCTTGACCATGGGGTACAGATCCAACGCCGCCGACACCGATCTCTCGGAGATCTTGCCCGAAGAACAAGAAGAACAAGTCAAGACCGCCGCCGAGGTGTCGATGGGTACCGAAATCACCCCTGAGGACTTGGCGCTGATCCAAGAGTTGGCGACTCAGGTCGTCGACTTTGCCGCCTACAGAGAACAATTGTCGAACTACTTGCTGTCGAGAATGAAGGCCATCGCCCCCAACCTCACGATGTTGGTGGGTGAGCTTGTCGGTGCCCGTCTTATCGCCCACGCTGGTTCGCTTACCTCGCTCGCCAAGGCCCCCGCCTCCACCATCCAGATCTTGGGTGCGGAAAAGGCGTTGTTCAGAGCGCTTAAGACCAAGCACGACACTCCTAAATACGGTATCCTCTACCACGCCCTGTTGGTGGGTCAAGCCTCGGGCAAGAACAAGGGGAGAATTGCGCGTGTCCTCGCCGCCAAGGCCGCCTGTGGTGTCCGTTACGACTCGTTCGCTGAAGAACGTGACGACTCCGGTGACTTTGGTGTTGACTTGAGAGGCAAGGTGGAACTGAGATTGTCGGCTCTTGAAGGCAAGGACTTGAGAACCGTCAAGACGTCGAGACAACAGCAAAAGATCGAGATCTCCGAGGCCAGAGCTTACAACGCCGACGCCGACGCCGCCATGGACTCCGACGACGAAGAAGAACCCAAGAAGGAAGTGTCGAAGAAGAGAGCTCGTGACGACAGCGAAGACGACGAAGAAGAAGAAAAGACCGTCAAGAAGGAGAAGAAGGAAAAGAAGGAGAAGAAGGACAAGAAGGAAAAGAAGGAAAAGAAGGACAAGAAGGAAAAGAAGGAAAAGAAGGACAAGAAGGAAAAGAAAGAGAAGAAGGAAAAGAAGGACAAGAAGAACAAGGATTAGATGATCCTCCTCATTTCAGACCCCCATGTATAGTAGTCATAATCATAAAGTTACGGAAAAGACGGCAAATGTAGAGTTTGATGAATATTATAAGATTCAATCAAATATGAGACTTTAACCTTATAGCAGAGAACTGTATAACAAATTGATCTCTGAATGCTTTAATCCAAGTGTATGCCTGATAAGGTCTTGCGGATGGCTCAGCTCATCTCGGAGACGTCACCTGGCATCTACCTGCTTTTACGCCTGCAATACCACTGAACTCCGCAGGGTCCTTAGATCCAGGGATCGGTGCCCGCCTTGTCATCCCATTTGCATTTTAAAAAATCGAGCCACGAAGCAGCATGATCATCCCGCCATCTTTCCCTTTTCTAGAATTTTAGGCGGCTTCCCCGGATGGTTACTTTGTTCGGGAACCAAAAAGAAAAGTCGTGAGAATTTGTAATCATCAAGTTGCCCTCACTAGTGTGTGTTTGTGAGGATGGAATTTTGTAAGATACGGGTCGTCACAGCCCTCCTGAGATAAAATCTGTCTCTCAGCTTATATTTTGTCCTAATTGGGGATGGTGCGAGTATGTTCACGGAACATCCTCCGGTGAAGTTTTTCCGCTGAGGTAACGTGCGTCCTGCGGCGATTTCTCGTCTACCCCTCTTCAAGTCACTACAGACCAAAGTGCGTATACGCGGCATTTGATTTTTGTGGCCTTCGGAAAAACATGACTTTCCCAAAAACAACAAAGCCGTGCTGAGGGGCGGACTCAACAAATTTCCCCGAGGCGCCAGGGCTACGTGAACATTAACGAACCAGTGTCTAGTATACCAATTGTAATCTATTAATTATCCTTATCCCAACCTGTTCCCTAGTCTATAAAATCCTATTACGCCAAATTCTTAATAAAGTTGTTGAAGCTGTTCACGCGCTTCAAGTATTCGCGGCCAAATTTCTCCTCGTAGCTGTCCTTAAACTTCGTCATCAACGCCATAAATTTCGGGTTGAGGTGGTCGAACCGGTTGAGGTCAAACACCTCGCCGCCGTTCTGGTAGTCGATGTACAAGTCGATGGGGTAGTTGACCAACTCGCGGGGAGTGATGGGCTCGTACATGTGGATGTAGTGGAGCGACCGCTGCTTGAAGTCGTTGATGGCCTCCTCGTAGTCACGCTCAGCGTAATCGGCATTCTTCGTCTTGCACGCGATGTTGAAATTGACCAACTCCGGCTGGTTGCACTGGATGTTCATCACGACGATCTTGGGGTTGTCCACTTCGTCGACGAGCTTGTGGACCATGCGCTTGCGGCGCATGATCGTGGTGTTGGTGGCGTCCAAAAACCCGATCTGGATGTCGCCGCTATTGAGATCGCGCACCAAGTTGTTCACGGTGATGTCGGCAAAGTGTTCCCGCTCACGTTGGCCAGCAGCGTTGTTAGGATCGAAAAAATCGGAGTTCTCAAACGACACGAGCTGGCGGCGGACGTCGCCGGCGTTGTAGATCCCCAGAGTAAAATGGTGCTTGTTGAAGTAGCGGTTGAGCTGCTTGCAGATCGTCAGCTTGCCCAGCGCCGGTAATCCCACAAGCATGAAGATGATTTTCGCCGCCGCGTCTTCGTCGTCGGCGCTGGGGGCGCTGCTGTCCAGGTCTTCCAGCGTGTACGCCAGGTCCTGGTGGAAGCGCATACGCTCGATCTTGGTATTGAGGCGGTCGTGGATCTCGCGTTCTTTAACGAGCTTCAGCGTGATATCCAGCACCTCCAAAGGGACCGCCTCCGTCAACACGGGGGGGCCTGGTTCGTAGAGCGAGTACATCAGCACCGCCAGGTCGCAGTTCAGCATGATTGTCGGCGTCATTCCTCCCGGCTCCGCGTGGCACGGAGGGATCGTCTTATTCATAATAATTAAAGAGTGTTTGACGTTTGCCGTCGGAGTGGGGGGCGGTCGATTATTATAAATTTCTCGATGAGTCAAGCGGCAGGTGTATGCGCGTGTCATCGACGCTGTTAATGTGTACAAAAAAGAAATTCCAAGAAATTACCCAATACCACATACGGACCTGATTAGAAATCCATGCGATGAGCGGGCACGTTGGTGATAAGAGAGGAGAGTTTGTATTCACAATTTTCCGCCGTTATTGGGGCCTACCGGGGATGGCGGTTCGTCGGTGTTTGATGGTTGTTTGCGTGGTTATGAAGGCGGGGCCTTGCTACTGTGTAGTGGTTGGGTGCGTAGGCCTAGCGGATTCGGTAGTGCGGCCTCATGCGCACGAGAAGAGTCCGCCCGCGCGCCCAGCCAATGACCGCGAGCGATAAGTGGGCTATCGCACGGGGCCTGGGCGAGCGGAAATTGATGTGGCGTGCCGCAACCTACATAAGCTACCACCGTCGGGCGAAGGGAGGTTTCCCGTGGGCCCCCGCCCAGAACGACGACGACAAGCAAATCGCCACCAACTACTAAAACATCGCTAAAGTGGTAACAATAACGTGCCGTGGGTCACGCTCAGGGTAAAGGTTATAAGCGCATCATCGAGGGGTCCGTCCCCGCTCGGTCACGAGCACCCCGAAAACGACCCCGCCCGCCGTTATCCGATTAAATAGCTGTTTGACGCGGCTGAGAGGCATATGCACTCCAGAGCCCGGCGCTGGGCGATCGGAGCTCGCCCTCCTTGCTAAACGAGGAAATGTTTACTATATACACGCCGCTAACCTACTCGCTAACTGTGAATCCTCATTCTCGCGGGACGTACTCGATCTCTTCGCGGTCCTTATCACGCCACGCCGCTTCCCGCTGCTTGCCTATGAGCTCGAACGCCTTGAGCTCGGCGTCCATCTTACCGACGAGCCCCCGCCAGAAAAACGGCGTCGTGAACTCCGCCACCATCTGGCTTTTGAGACTTTCCAAGTCGTCAGCAGTGGTGGCGTGAGGCACGCGCGAAAGCTTGTAGTCGATTGTCCACGGCTGGTCACCCAGCTGCGGCATCACCAGGAACCACCCGGGGTACTTGCGTTCGCCGAGCGTCGACGCCAATATCTCGAGCTCGTAGTTGTGCACCTGGGACATCGTGGCCGGAGTGACCAAGTTGCGGTTGTACTCGGCCAAGTCCCGCTCGTGCTGGCCCCGACGGAGATAAAACTCCTCCTTCAGGAGCTTCTCGCGATACAGCGTTTTGTAGGCCCGGGGGAAGTGATTGAGCTCGGTGATTTGCTCTGGGGTTACCGGCACTGCCATGATCTTGAGCACGTTTTTCGGTTTCTTCCCGTGCGGGACACGTTGCCGCCTTATCAGTAAGCGGAACAGCTGCTTTGGCGGTAAGTCCTCAATCACCTGCTTGAGGATCGTCTCCCAAAGCTTGATCAGCTGTTTGAACTGGGTTTGCGCCATGTACAGCGGGAGCAGCTCGCTTTCGTTGGCGGGCAACCGCTTTTGGGCGCTACCATTGTAGAAGATCTCGTCGAGCACTTCGAGGGGGAGGTACTGGAACCCGAAGAATTGCAGGAGATTATGGTAGGCTAAGAAGATGCCGTCCATCTGGCCGATTCTCGCTTGAAACATGTACTTGAGAAACCCACCGGTACGAATCAAATCGGTGTATTCGCGTTGAAACAGTTCAAAGTCGCCCTCGGTCTTAAACACTTGGTACGCCAGATCTTGGTCGTGGCGAGTAGGGTTGTAACGGTAAGGGACCGCCACGCGGGTTTTAAGGTCAAACGTGCCGTTACCAGGTAATCTGTCGTCATAACAATCGAGCTGGGAGCGCATCATAAACTCCAGATACGTCAGGTAGTTATATACCGAATGCTCTTTCTCCATGGGCATCTCGGTATCATTGACGATGAACTTATCAGCAAACTCCTGGGGTGGGGTAGTAAGAAATGCTTCGAGACAATGACCCATTGCCAGTAATAGAGAAGTCATGCTGGTACTCTTATCCGAGTCAATCAGGTAAACGGGTTTCTCTTTGGAGAATTCAGGACGGTACTGAACCGTCACAGTAGCCGGTCGTTTCTGGAGCAGTTTGCTTAACCTCGGGAACTCAAACCGCTGCTCTAGCTCGGGATCATAATTATTGAGGAATAGGTAGAAATGGGTCAATGTCTGGGTCATCAGCGACGTACTCAGATAGAACTGCTTTTTAGCACGCACTGCTGCTTCGCCAAGACTGGGGTCTTTGCCTGGAGCTTGAAACAGATCGATGGCGTTGAAATTAAACGTTTCCACCTTGGGTATCGTCTTTAAGTATGGTGGGAAATTATAGATGCGGGTTCGCGGATCCTGGTACCACTGGACGCCTGGACTAAACAATGCTCGGTCCAATCGATGATGGAGTTCAGGGATGTTTTGTTTCTCTAGCTTTTGCGCCAGTTCTTGTTCGTCATTCACCAATATCAGTCCGCGACACACTTCGAGCGCTTTCCATGGAGACGGCGCAGCTTTAGCTCTGCGGGCACTTCTCTTGGTAGAATTCAGCGATATCCGCTTGAATTTGGGGGCGGGTTTAGTCTTTTTGGCGTTGACTTCGTCTTTACTCACCGCCCACTTCTCCTTCTTAGACATCACTTGGTTGCGTAGCTCCTGGCGGTAGCCCTTGTTGACTTTAGTGGGTGGCTGGGGGGCATGCTCCTCGCTCAAATTCGCCTCTAGCTTCTTGAATGTTTCGGATATCCTCAGCAGGAGGGAATAGCATCGTAAGCTAATCACCCTCTGGGAGACAGTCATGCTCGCGATGAGTGATGATCGGCATTATGGGGTGCATACCAGCCAAGTCTAACTCCGATACGCCGATGTATAACATATTCAAGTGTATTGAGCATGGAAGTGAACTGTCTATGTGCAATGAATTTAAGTAATGGTTTGAGTCTGAAACGTGAGCATTCGTGATTGCCAATTTATGAGCAGATTAAGTTGGTGAGACTCATAATGAGTTCGAGTCTTAATCGTTAATAATGCTCCGAAAAGATTTGTGTTTGTGATGATCACTGCTATTGTCAATTGTTTGCAAAACTGAATATTGCTAAGTTTACGGGATTTTGTAAGGATTTTGAGTAAGCCTAATCAAAATAAAGATTAGTAAAATTGCTGCAACGTAACAGATTTGTTACCATCTAGTTTGACTGGCAACAGACCTTGATTGTAAGATCCATGAACTGTCCTTCCTCTTTGTTCCTGATATTGCAACAATCATTAGCCCTCTATTCACACGGTTGTCTATACTGTCTACCCAAGTTCGATTCCGGGGTAATTCACTCTTCAACCCTACAAAGTCGCGTTACAATCCGTGCGAACGTGAACCAGGGTTGCAACCCTAGAAAAAACCCCACAGACAATAAAACCCATCGCGCAACCGAACATTTCTCTCTTTAGTTCACTTTTTACCAGGTTAAATCATGCGTGACAAGTGGCGTAAGAAGAGAGTCAGAAGACTCAAGAGAAAGAGACGGAAGGTTAGAGCCAGATCTAAGTAAGTCTCTTTCATCCATTGATTCTACAAACACACCTGTATAAACAATATATGAAAGTCTTATAAAATCTATTACATTGTAGTCACCCCAACTAAAGCTTGGGCCACGTCAAACGAACCATAAGGGAGTTGACAATTGTCGTCAATTGGCAATTGTCGGTGACTCAATGGTGACGTGGTGTCTGTTGATTCAAGTGTCAATCATGCCTAGGCTGTTTTGGTTTTGGTCTGGTGGCGTCGCCTGATGTGATCTGCTTAGTCTGGATCTAGAAGTACAAAAGACACCGTCAAATGGGGGTGCAATCGCTACACCATGTCCTCTCTGCACCCACAACTTCAGGAAAACTCTGACACTTCCTCTACTTTCACGCCACTCCCCTCTCGTCCTCTACCAACGGCCAAACCGTGGGGTTCACCGAGAAGGACTATTCGCACGCGAACCCCTACTCTTCAAGGCTCGGACCTTCCTACTTCACGGAAGACGTCATCAATTGAAAAGAAGAGCTTTGATAACTCCGTGCAAGAGCGCTACTACAACGTTCCACCAGATTTTGAAAACAATAGCCTGTGGTGGTCGCTCGTGTGGTGCTGGTTCACCTGTGACCACCATCACCCTGATGAGTAAGGGGGCAGCGCGGGGTGGGGTCACGCTGGCTACATTTCATATCCCAATAGTATTTTTCGTATGACGTTATAAAAACAAAAGAACTGTTTACAATTACTCAGCGGCTTCGGCAAACTTGTCCGAAATTTTGGTCAACAATTCGTTGAACTTAGCCCGACCGGCCTCTTCACCTTCGGAAGGTTCAACGAACTTCGCCAGCGACACCGCATGCTTGACGTCTCTGGTGGCGTCGGCAAGCTTCAGCCATTGAGCACCATTAGCAATGGCCTTTTGTGCTTCGTCATGGTACAACATAAACGCCCGCATCATGTCAAACGTCTTCCAAACAGGACAGAACTGGTCATAGGTAGAGTAACCGTTTTGTTGCAAGAAGTCTTCCTTAAGCAAAGTAGACACGTCAAGCGTGATCTTGTCGGAGTCACTCAAAGCCGACTTACCCACCAATTGCACCACTTGTTCCAATTCTTCGGCGTTGGACAAGATCTCTCTGATCTTGGTTCTCAAAGTGGGGAATTCAGGGTAGTTAGCGTCGTAGAACTTGTTCAACACGTTAAGGTACTTCGAGTATGACACCGAGGTGTTCACCGAAGGGAAGTGCTTACGTTGGGCAAGCTTCTTGTCCAAACCCCAGAACACTTGGGTGATACCCAAGGTGGCGGTGGTAACGGGATCGGAGAAGTCACCACCAGCAGGAGACACAGCGGCAACAATCGACACCGACCCTTCACGGTCAGGCAGACCAAGCGCAGTGGCCTTACCGGCACGCTCGTAGAACGAGGCCAACTTGGCACCAAGGTAGGCGGGGAAACCCTGATCGGCGGGCATTTCACCCAACCGACCCGAGATTTCACGAAGGGCTTCGGCCCACCGCGACGAAGAGTCGGCAATCATCGACACGTTCTTACCTTGATCTCTGAAGTATTCGGCGATAGTCACACCGGTGTAAATAGACGCTTCTCTAGCAGCCACAGGCATGTTAGAGGTGTTGGCCACCAACGTGGTACGCTTCATAATCGGTTCCTTACGGCCGGAGATCTCGGTGAAAAGCTCAGGGAATTCCATAAGCACTTCGGCCATTTCGTTACCTCTTTCACCGCACCCAACGTAAACAATGACGTCGGAGTTCGAGAACTTGGAAAGCGATTGCGAAATAACGGTCTTACCACAACCGAAGGCACCGGGGATACAGGTGGTACCACCCTGGACACAAGGGAACAACGAGTCCAACACTCTTTGACCGGTAAGCAAAGGGTAGTCGGCGGTCAACTTCTCGGCCACAGGACGCGGGACCCGCACCGGCCAGTTGTGCATCATCGAGTATTCGTATTTCTTGCCCTCGAATTCGACTTCGAGGATGTTTTCATCCACGGTGTATGAGCCCAGTTCGGAGATTCTGGTGATGGTACCTCTGGCCTTGGGCGGCAACAAGATCTTGTGGTCGTCCATCAAGGAGTTTTCGAACACCGACCCGAAGATGTCACCACCAGTGATGTGGTCGCCGACCTTGAGCTTACCGGGAGTAAAGTCGTATTTGATGTCACGGTTCAACGCGGGGACCTCGATACCTCTGGGAATGTAGATCGACGACGACAAGTCGGAAATGGATTTAAGCGGACGCTGGATCCCATCGTAGATCGTTTCCATCAACCCGGGACCCAATTCCACCGACAACGGCTTCTTGGTACGCTCGACGGGGTCACCAATGGAAAGGCCCGACGTCTCTTCGTAACACTGAATCACCGCCTTGTCGGCGTTGATTCTAATGACTTCACCCAAGAGCCCCAAGTGGCCCACCTTCAACAATTCGTACATCTGGACACCTCTCAACCCTTCGGCGGTGACGACGGGACCGGAGACCTGGTAGATGGCGCCGAACCTCAGCTCGTCGTCGTGGTCCTCAAGCGACAACCGCTTGATATCCTTGCGTGCGTTCTCGATTGCCCCAGCCTAAAACGTGTTAGTATACAATTATGCGACCACACGACACCGCCGCGTGTTTCAAGCCAAACCCAAGGTTCAGTGGCAATCGGGGGGTACGTACCATTTGATGAGACGAGTGTCAATAGCAAATTTGGTTGGGCGCTTGACGATAATTACGTTCGGTGGTGCGAACGTGTGGCAATGCGCGGTGCCCATAACCCATCAACATCAGTGAGTGTAGTTAAACTAAGTTTTCTACACAAACGTGAAATGTCAGGAAAGGCTGTTACTCAGAGTTATGAGTATATCAGCCTATGATGACTATATTTACAATTTAAAACGGTTTGAGGTGTAAGCCTCAGGGACAATAGAAAGTCGATGAATCACTTGACACTGATTATATCACAAAAACAATTACCTCTAATACGTTTCAAATCCGTTTTATTTTCCTTCATTACAAAGACACTTCCAAATTCAAAATCCTTTATCCCCCAAAGTTAGCCTTGTGACCTAAATGTACTGCATGTAACCGAGGCAACCCCCCCTACCCTGAGTTTTGCCACCACTCACTCCGTACCCAGAGCGCAAGTTTTCCACGACTAATTGAAGCAATGCAAGTGTTTATTCTTGGAGCCACGGGGCTTGTCGGGGGACACGCGTTTCAAAAGTCCCTTGCTAAGGGCTGGCAAGTGTCCACCGTCACCCGTAAACCGTTGGAGGGCGGCAAAAATACTGTGGAGGCGGACTTAGAAAAATGGCCCTCGATCATTGAGACCGAGGCAAAGGGGTACGACGCGTTCATCACCGCCTTTGGCACCACCCGGGCCAAGGCTGGCGGCATGGACGGGTTCAGAAAGATCGACTACGGCACTAATTACGAGGCGGCCAAAGCCGCGAAGGCGGCTGGGGTCAGTACTTTTGTATTGGTATCGCTGGCGGGAGCGCTGCAAGGGTCGCTTTTCCCCTACTTGGACTCCAAGGGGAAGCTTGAAGACGATATCATCGCCCTCAAGTTCCCCAAGACGGTGATTTTGCGTCCCGGGGCTCTCGTGGGTGAGCGCAAGGACTCACACGGCTGGGCCAACGATATCGCGATGCGGTTTGGTGCGTGGACCCACAACACGCCACTTAATTGTTTGACCTACGGGATCCCCGGTGCCGACGTGGCTACGGTGGCCGTGTACGAAGCCGCCAATGCTAAGGACGGGGTGACGATCATCAGCCCCGGCGACTTGATTAAGAAGGCCAACGAGTTGAACCAGCAAGCGCTGTCGTAATAATAAGTGTATGGTTAATGAATTGAGCTACGTTAAAACAGATTGAAAAAGGGTTAGATTAATAAGCGTGATATTAGACGAGATATATACTCTAAGCACTCGCTTACTTTCTGTATCTCCACAACTTGAGGGTGTTGTGCTTCTTCCAGGTCTTGTTCTTGCCAGCTCTGGTGTTGTTGTACAAGTGACCCTTGTTGATACCTCTCGACTTCTTGCCGGTCGAGGTGAGGCCTCTGGCTTCTCTTCTCTTGTGGACGGCGTTGACGATCCAGTTAATCTTGGGGTCTCTTCTGATGGCCTTGTGCGAGGGGTCGACGAGGATGACTTCGAAGTACTTGTAGGTCGAGTCTTGGTTAACCCAGTACGAGTTCAACACTCTCAAGTTACCGCATCTTCTGCCGACTCTTTCTTCAGCGGTCGAGCGGAGCGATCTTTGGTACTTCAAGTGGTTGACACCCTGGTTGGTGGGCTTACCGTAAGTGGCACCCTTAGGGACGGGTCTCTTTCTGCCACCTCTTCTGACTCTGATTCTGTAGATGACGAAACCTTGCTTGGCCTTGTAACCGAGTCTTCTAGCCTTGTCGGGTCTCGAGGGTCTCGAGGCACGGTGGATGACGTTCTTTTGTCTGTATTCCCAGCATCTGATTCTGTACAAGAATCTCATGACATCGGATTGCTTTTGTCTCGCCAATTCGGCGACGTACTTGTAGGCACCCATTGTGTGTGTACTTTCGGTATAGGTAGACGGTCTCGAAAAGATTTTTCAGTTGGTGCTGCCACCGCGAGCGCGATGGCTAGGTGTGTAACCCTAAGCACGTGATGCTTAGGTAAGCGACACACACACACACACACATATTGAAGCTTTTAAACCAAGCTTAAGTAAAAGCAGTATGGCAGGTCTAATTAATGATAGACTTCTCTAAATAACTCTTCGTTCACATTTAGCATCTGATTTCGCAGTACGAGTTACATGCTTTCCAATTCGAGGGAGTGAGCACAGTTTTAGCCATAAATCCTACTATTCGGACGCTAAACCTTTGATAAAGCTCTGAGCTTCTGGCTTGTTGGTAATTTTCTGATTCACATTTGCTTGTATCAGATTTGATCGACTATGCCACGTCTGTATTCTTTGCAATAGTTGTATACTTTGAAAACAACTCAAACGAATTAAGACTCAATCCATTAACTATGAGTGTTTCTTAGTCCTCGAATTGAATCAACTTTAACCCATAATCATTAGGCTATCTCATGTACAATTATCTAGAGTCACATAAACTCACATCGTAATCCCCATCGCCCTGATGGTCGTAATTAACTACCTCTTCGATTGGTAATACATTACCAATAGAGCTTCTATCATTAGTACACAAAACATCAGTGACAACGACAAGAAAACCGTATACTACCGCGACCACCGATTTTGTAAATATTTTTCTTAGTGTCAATGTACGATTGTCACCATTGACTGTTAGAAGCACCCCAGGTTTTTTTCCCGATTAGGTTGACTAAAGCCACTCTGCCAATCTTCACTACATATAGGACAATCGCCATGACGGAGAATGATCTTAGACAAAACTTAAAGCTGAATATCAACGAAATGGATGTTTTTTGTTCTACCTTCTTCAAAGGTAGTTTAGCAGGGCTCATTTTCTTGCTGCGGTTGTGGAAACTCCAGATTCCACCGGTCGGCTATGCTCGACGGCTTAACATTCCAAGTCGTATAGTCACCACCATAATTCAGGGTTCTTCCCTACATGGCTAAGCCCTTCGTGTTCGTCAAGAGTACATTCCCAAGAACTTAGGGTTGCATGAAAATCTTGAGGTCGCCAAAAATTCCCCTGGCTGCTTGAGGTAACAATAACGGCATCATGCACGTCATCAAGTGGCGCCATCAAGCGAGACCCAAGATACTGTCGATAGCAACGAGTTCAAAAGCAGACAATTGAACCACTGGCTAAACCGTCGGTAGCTCCCGCCTAAAATCGCCTATACATCACATTTGTGATGGGATGCATGCACAGTGCCCCCAACCATGCATATAATTGTTAGGTGTCATTCGTCGCAAACGAGGCTTGCCGGCGACAGCCAGGGACAATTCCACAGTGGCTGCCAAACGGTTTGCTTTCTTCGACCGACCAGTTCGTCGCAACTTTTGTCGTTATCGCTGCTAGCGAGAGCTAGATCCTGCACTTGATCGTATTTTTAAGGTTCCATGCATCGTAGCCAACAGAAATACACACCAAGTTACCCGTAACAATTGCTTTCAAAAAAAATCAGCCAACCCCCTCTGAAGCGGCAAATACTAGACGCTGTGCCCAACATCCCTTGCGGAGCCCTACGCATCCGTTTTAGGGTAAGGCTTGGGGAGTGCCGCGAAACTCACCGGGAAAAAACAAAAACCCATACCCTCCAGACGTTGGCGCCCGTGGCGAAGTACTACAATGGACGGACGAGCACTGGACGATATACCCACTGACACCCTGAGAGTCGTTCCGGAAGACGCTTCTGTGGACGTTCCGGTGGTGCCTGCTCCCGATGCCGCGGCTGGTGCCGATGATGTGGACCCCGCCCAACCAGCGGCGCTGGAGGCGGCCACGGCTACTTCTGTGCCGCAACAACCATCGGCTCCGTCGGCGGAACAGGCCACTGCCACGACCGAACTGAACTCAGATGCACCGGAGAACGGTAACTTGCCTAACGGAGAAGACCACAAAATGAACGGACCAGCAGCTGCACCCGGAAGCAGTGTCCCCGAGTCCGAAATGCAGGCACCAGTGGAACAATCAGCCGTCGCCAATGACGTGGAGGATAAACCGACGCAGCCTCAGGAAACGCAAGAGGTGGAATCCGAGGCGACTCTGGCACCGACTCAACCTGAGCCTGAGAAGACGCAACCATCGGCGTCTGAATCTAACCAAACTGCAATTGAAGATGCTGCAGGTGAAGAGAAACCTCAATTGCCTCAGGAACAGCCCCAAGAGCAGCCCCAGGAGCAGCCTCAAGCTGAACCTCAAGAACAAGTGAAGGAACAACTCGACAAACAACCTCAGGAACCCACGCTCACCGCTGACGATGCTCAACAAGAGCAAACCCCTGAACAAACCCAAGCTCCGATAGCCGAGCAACCTCAAGAACAGGTTCAGAATCAGCCGGACTCCGTGGCCTCGGAACAGGTCACCGAGGAAGCCTCGGAACAGCCTCAGAATACGGAAGCGAAACTGGAACAATCTGCTGCTGTTGAAGATGTGCCCCAAGAGCAACCTGAATTGACACCGACGGCTCCGGCAACCCAATCGGAGCCTGCCTCTTCGGCACCTCAAGAACCGGCAGCTATTGCGACCGACGAACCTGTACAACCGACCCCAACAAACCAACCAGAACAAACCTTAGCTCAAGATGTCCCGCAACCCGAAATTAAGGCTGATCCGACGCCTGCGGCAAGCTTACAATCTCAATCTGTTGAGACTACGCAACCTGTTAAGCAAGAAGCTCAACCGAGTGCGCCGTCACATATTGAAGCTGCTCCCGAAGTGAAGCAAGAACAGCCACAACCCACCGAAAATGTTGACTTGGCCAACTTCGCCACTGGGGGTAGACTGCGTCGTGCGGCCACAAAGAATGTTACATACGGGACGGGTGATCTGTCTCTGCTGGAGGAAGAGTTTTCTGAAGTTGAACCTGATAACGATGATGATGACGACTACATTCAAGACGACCACGGTGACCCCGAAGAAGACGACGGTGGTGTTGGTCCTATTTTGTCGAAGAATGAAATCTCAAACGAACCTGCATACGTTCTTCCTGACGACTACTTCATTCCTGACAATTCTGCTATTGAGAAGTTGGGGACTGTTGTAAGTGTTGTGGAAGGACTGGTGGTTATTAAGGCTTCAATTTCGGGTGAGTTCCGCGTCTTGAAGGAGCGCCTGGTGCTTTGTTTCGAGGATCGGACGCTTATAGGGCCTCTCTTTGAAACCTTTGGTCGTCTTCAACATCCTTTATACCGTGTCAAGTTCAACTCCCCTGAAGAGCTTCTACCTTTTATGGACAAAAAGGGCAAGGACGTTTACTACGTGGTCTCGGATCTGGAATGGGTTCAAACCGACGGTCTCAAGATTAAAGGTACCGATGCCCTGAATTGCAATGATGAAGAACTTCCTCCCGAAGAACAAGAATTCAGTGACGACGAACTTGAAGCGGAAGCGCGTCGGAATAGAAAGAACAAGAAGAGAAAGCAAGGCAAGGTACCGGATTTGGTACCTCCTCCCCAAAAGCGTTTCCAACCTATGGGTTATGGCTACGCCCAGCAACAGATGCCCCAGCACCCGCAAGCTCAAGCTCAGGTGCAAGCGCAAGCTCAGGCTCAGGCTCAAGCTCAAGCTCAAGCTCAAGCCCAGGCTCAACAATACTACGCGAAGCCTCCTCAGCAATGGCAACAACAACAACCCCAACAGCAATACTACGGTATGCCCTATCAACAAGGGTATCCTCAACAGCCTCAAGCCTACCCTCAACAACAACCACAACAGCCGCAGCAATACTACGGTAACCAACGGGCGCCTTACAATTACTACCCTCAACCCCAAGCCGCTCAGCAGCAATACTACGGTATCCCTCAACCAACAATGCAGGGAGCATACGCTAATCCCATGGCTCAACAGATGTCGCCAGAGCAAATGCAGCAATACCAATTGCACTTACAGCAACAGCAGCTACAACAACAGCAGCTACAACAACAACAGCAACAACATCAACAACCACACATTCATCAACAACATCCTCAACATCCTCAACAACATCAACCGCCTCATCTGCAGGGATACTATCCTCCCCGTTAATTGCATTGTTGGTTTTGACGCCTATTATCAGTAATTGAGTATATAATATTCATGCCTATCTGAGTTTCACGAGTATGTTATGACTGACGGTAAAAATATATTATTCATTATGAACTTTGTGCAAGTAGTTTTTCACCCAATGCTTCCGCGCTTCAATGCCAACTTGGAAAGGGCATCTTCAGCGATATCTAGGGCCTTCTTCGGGAAACCTGCTTGTTTAGCAACCTCCAAAGCCCCTGAATGAGGACTTATACCTGATTCCAATTGATGATCAATCTTTCTGGTCTTAAGCCACCTTAAATTATTTTGATTGACATTGAACCCGTCCAACAACTCTTTGAGCTCAGGGCCGAAATGAGTAGCGAAAAGCGTTCGACATTTCGACTGCGTCAATAAGTATACAAGAGTGGCGTAAGCGATGGAAAGGCCTTCCTTTCCTGACGTGCCTCTGCCGATCTCATCAACAACAGCCAATGAATTAGGAGTAGCATTTGTCAAGATTGAAGCAGTCTCAACCATCTCAACCATGAATGTCAGAAGATTGCTGAATAAGTCGTCCAGAGCACCGATTCGAGTGAAAATGCGATCGACCACCAGCATCAGAGCCTTCGAAGCGGGGACGTAACACCCAATCTGAGCAAGGATCACCGCCAAAGCGTTTTGTCTCAAAAAAGTTGACTTCCCGCCCATGTTTGGCCCTGAGACTACCCACGTCAACCCGTCAGCTTTTCCCATTTTGGTAGTATTGGCATGAAATAACCTCCCGACTTGCAGAAGGGCCGATTCCACAACCAAATGACGGCCATCTTCAATATACAACTTGGTGGCTTTGGTAAACTTGGGGCGAATTAAATTATGATGATGAGCCAGTACGGCAAACGAGGCTGTAACATCAATATAGTCCGCAAGACGAGCAACCTCGCGAATAATTGCAACGTTCTTCAGGACTGAAAGACGGAGTTCGTTCAAAATCTTTTGTTCCTTGATAACAATCGCCTCAGTGGTTTCGTCAACAAGCTTTTGCAATTCAGCCCACTTCGGAGGTTTGATGAGCAACGAAGTTTTGCGTTTCTCTCGAATCTCGCCGGACTCAAACATGTCTTCAATGAGTGACAAATGCTTCACTTTCGTTGCGATGTAAATGACGTTGGAATGGCGCCCCAGGACATCACGTTTGGTAATGCTAACTTTGGGATCAATGCTAGTTAAGGTCTCAGTCATATCTTCGAGATATTTGTCACCCTGACGCTTAAGCTCGTCAAGACGGCCATGGAGTGCGATAAGTTCATCATCAAAGTCGGCACGGACTGAAAACTCAAACTTAGGCGCTTCATCGACTCTACGATACTTTTCAAATATCGCGTTGGAGTACAGCCCGGAGCTTGTATCCTCGAGATGACTTTCCTCTTCCTCGATGTCGCTAGGTTCAGCAACTGCTTCAACGTGAAGGGTATTTAAAATCTCTTCAGCGAGATCGATTGGAACCGTCATTGCAGCAGCCAATTTTCGATGAGCCTTAGACTCACTGGATGCGACGAGTTTCTGGACTTCGTTGAGCTGCACTAACGCGTCAGCAATGCTAATTAAGTTTGGAGCCACATCATTAGGGCGTACCACCAATTTTTGTACAAGTCTCATGACGTCGCCAATTCCCACAAGCTGAGCCCGTACTCGCCGATGAAGTGATGGATTATCGAGCCACGCCTGAACGTGATCCTGGCGTTGTGTGATTTCATTGACATCGGTGACTGGCGAGTTAAGCCATTGGTTCAACATCCGTGAGCCAGACACTGTCACTGTCTCCTTGATAACATTAAGAAGCAGACCCACCACCGAGTGTTTACTGCCAATCAGGCGATGCGTCAACTCCAAAGCGTCACGAGTACGAGGATCCATCTGGAGGTACTTTGATGAGTAGTACTGGTGTGGCATATCAAGCTCAAGGGCTATCTCGGGCAAATTGACGTTGACGTAAGACAATGCCAAATTCATCGCTGCCAGTTCCCTGACACTGAACAGTTCCAAATGCTTGCGTAATCGCTGTTGGTCCTGGGTAAATGCTAGTTTTAGGTCTCGGTATTGAGAGTTATGGTACCGAACAAAGTATTGATTGAGCCCTGACAACGAGTCCCACCATTGAGCAAGGCCTTCGATGCCGGCTTTTTCAAGATCACCGCTCAAGATCACTTCTGCCGGAGAAATGCGAGCGATGTCGCCCATGACGTCGCCCAAGGTTGTATGCTGGACGTGGAATTCGCCCACACTAACATCGGTCCACGCCAACCCCACCGGAGTGCTGGCCTCAGCTACTGGCTGATTCGGGGCGAACGAGATCGCCAATAAGTAATTATTATCAGAGTAATTGATAAACGACTCTTCAACTAAGGTACCGGGACTGACAATGCGGCTGATCTTACGATGGATCTTGTTCAGAGCAGCGTCGAAGATTTGATCGACAATGGCAACATTGGTTTGGTGATCATGAACAAGAATCTTGACGAACTTCTGGAGTTGGTAAACGGGAAATCCCGACATGGGAATATTGAAGTCAGCGGTTTGTTTTGTTGCCACCTTGATGCCAAGTTTTGGACCATACTCAGTTGCCTGTTCGAAGTAGAGCTCGTAGAATGATCCCACTTGGATCAAACACACGCAGCCAGGGTTGTTCTTGATCTGCTCCCGAATGGAAGCGTAGAGAGGCGGGAAGCTATTTTTCCCCGTCCGACCGCCTCGATCCCACTCCCCCATAGTTTTACTCATTGGCCTTGTGAAGGATAGTGAGCGGATCAAAGCAGGGCTCGCGGTGCGGGGGGGCCAAGCGATACGGATCGCCCTTAGCATCATCATGGTGGTGGAGAGAATGCTCTCAGGCGATGACGAAGACCCTTAGATGAAAATTCACACCTGTGGGGTTAGCGTTTCGAAGACGCGTGTATGTCGACACCACCCACGTTGACAAATCGAGATGAGTTTTGGCTTCCCAGAGAAAAATATAAGAGAATTAATCTGTAGCCTGATGAGGACCTCGCACGATGTCTTTGCTGGAGTTGCTTGGGCTGCGCTTGCTATGTAATCAAGCGACGCGGTTAACTTTACTATAACTTTAAGTGCGCGTTTGATGAGATGCGACAAAGAGGCAGTAGTCCAGTGTATGTATTATTTGTTTCATTAACGTTACGTAGTCCTGGCTAGCAGCGATTACTTATTTCTGGTCGAGCGGCGAGGCGTGGATCGGGTTGCGGCGCGTTTAGGAGCAGCTTTGCGGGTAGCTTTAGCCCTAGGCTTAGGCTTAGTCTTAACCTCCTTCTCTTCCTCTTCTTCATCAGCGTCATCCTCATCGTCATCTTCCAGCTCGGACAGACTGCTTTCAGGCTCAGGCTCCACAGGTCTATTTTTAGGTGGACGACCAGGGCCCTTTCTCGGTGGGTCTTTGCGTGCCCGTTTGGTTGCCGGTGTAGCGTCCTTAACTGGCGCACCCCTCGTCCGTTTCCGAGGAGTGGTGGTCTCCTTAGCTGTCGCTGCTGTTCTGGTGGCCCGAGTACGAGTCAGCTTACGCGTCTTAGGCTTCGCCGCTGGCTCTTCCTCTTGTTGTTCTTCAGGTTCGGCGGTGGCGTCGTCGTCGCCGTCTTCCGCGTCTTCCGAGGCCGTTTCCGGCGCGGGAGTAGACTTTGGCGTCGCTTCAACTTCCTCCTCGTCGTCCAGACCCTCTATCTCGTCCACTCGTTGCATGTCCCAGTACTGGCTGAGCTTATCCTCGACGTCCTGCGTCACCAATGGCTCCGGGCGGTGTTCATTGAGCTTCGTCACGATGATCTCAAGGTTGGCCGCCTTGTTTTTCCCCGCGGGTTTGTGGTCACAGATGAGATTGAAGAAGAGGATCTCGTCGTCCTCGCTCCACACCGGCGCCATGGGACACTTCGCACGCACTAACAAAACAATTTCCCCTAGCGAGGGCATCATCTTCAAGAGTGCACTCAATGGCTAGAAAAAAATTGCCGAATTCACTACAACTGTAAATTTATGCTACCTGATAACCCTAGTAGATTTAATTTAGTTAAATTCTCCTGTTTCGCCACCGCTGGTACCAGACATCCCCCACAGTGGGTGGCTCTTCTAAGTGCGGTGCGAAAATTTTCAACCGATTTCTGGTAGCTAGAGCATGCCGAGAAAGGCCCAAAACATCAACTCGTTGGCCCGGGGACGGGTCCGGGCCTCTATGAACAAGTACAACTTGTTCAACCTTTACAAAAAAGCCCGGTTCCTGTATCTGGGGCAGACGCTTTACCAGCAAAAGTGGATGGCGAAGCAGGAAACCCGTGCCTACCATGGGGAACACCTTCCAGAAGGGAGATGGAAGACTTTGTTCACGCCGTCGCTCCAGTCGGTGGCCCAAATGGACGCCACCTTAAAGGGGAAGCAGGTCGCCGACACCCCGATGACCCTCCAGACCTACGCCGTGCTTGAGAAGCGGCTAGAGTTCGCCTTGTTCCGGGCGATGTTTGCTCTGTCGATCAGACAGGCGCGGCAGTTCATTCTTGGCGGTCACGTCCAGGTCAACGGTGTCACTATCAAGCACCCGTCGTTCCCGTTACAGGCGGGTGACATCTTCCACGTGAACCCGGAGAAGGTTTTGCTTGCCATGGGGCGGGCGAAGCCGTCGCTCGAACAAGCGATCAAGGTCGACAACAAGCAGATCACCGTGTGGAACAAGCACGTGGCCCAGGCCATCGCTAACCCTAAGGAAACTTGGGAACTCAAACAGGCTAAGCCCAAGTCGCTCAACACTTTGATCCCTGAAAAGGATGTGGAAGCGTTGAAGCAAAAGGCCATCAACAACATGAAGAAGCAACAACAGCAAATTACCAGAGAACTGATCTTGCTCGACATCGTCAAGACCGCCCAAGGTAAGGAACAAGTCAACGACACCACCTTCTCCAAATTCGGCAAGAACGCCCACAAGGCGTTGGCGGTGTTCCAAAAGTTGGACAACGCTAAGCACTCGCTTTTGCAATCCGCTCTGGAGGCTGACGCCGACAAGTTGGTCAACACCAGAAAGCCCGACTTTGAATCCGACAGCGAGCGCCACTTGGCTACTGAAGTGAAGCAATTGCTTGGTGAAATCCGTAACGACACCTGGGAAACCTTGCGTGCTCAGGCTCTGGAAAATCAAGACATCTCGTCGCCTCCGTACTCGCCCGACTACACCAAGAAGCTCAAATTCCACGACAAGTTAAACAAGGATGCTGTGCTTGAAGACGAGCTGGTAGCCCAAGTTAACTTGCCCTGGCAACAAGGCTTGTTTGGCCGTCAAGACCCCACCAAGAAGTACTTCACTCCCTGGACTCCGCGGGCCTTTATTGGGGCGTTTGCCATCTTGCCTGCCCACATTGAAATCAACTTCGCCACCTGTCATGCCGTGTACATGCGGGACCCTATTGCCCGGCCTGGCCACTCGGAAGTGATCACTCCTTTCCCTGAACACTTGCACCAACGGGCGTACATGTACTACGCCAGAAAAGGTATGTAAATAGTTTTGTAAATAATGACCCCGCACTCATAGAGATAATAAAGATTGGTACAATCAGCTGAAGTTTCGTGTATCGTTAGTCTATAAGTACTATCTATGCTGTCATTGTCTATTCATGATCATCTTCACCGCTCCCGTTTCCAAAGCGCGGTTCAACTCGAGTCTCCCTTGCACCATTTCCCGTAACAACCAGTTGGTATTGCTCCAAACTTTGTGCTGTTTGGCCAACTTCAACAAGTGTCCGGTGATGAAATTGATCTCTGTGTTTCGGAGATGAAGAATGTCTTCTCGCATCGATGATGAGTTATTGGCGGTGGTCTCACATACTTGTCGAACCGTTTGGATAAGTTTGTGAGGGTGGAGAACGGTCTGAGCCTCAGGGATATTGGCAAGCTCGGGGTACCCTTTCTCAATGATTGCACACAGCTCGACAACAATTTTATCCATCATGCGTTTGATTTGTGAAGACTTGAGAAGATCACCATTACGACAATCATGGATAGCGGTGAGTGGATTGATCACGGCATTTACCACGAGTTTTTCGAGCTGAGCCACGAGAAGCTGTGAGTATGGCAAGTAGGACGTGTTCAACACGCTGGATTCCATCATGAGCTGGATAAACTCGGGCGGGGTATCCATTTGGTGCTTTATCGGAGCCACTCTGATGGCACCATTGCCCAAATGAGTCACCATATGAGGGTTAACCCGCACTGCCCCATGAGTAGTGATACCCTGGAAGAACCGGGGCCTGGTGGCAGGATCCTGGAAATATCTCTCCACAAGCATGTCATACACCCCCATACCATTTTGTAGTATCAAGATATTGGAAGCTGGTGTGAGTTTGGGGACGTATTTCTGTAATGCAGCCGCTGAGCAGTGGGCTTTGGTCAGGAGGATCAAGTTCTCGATGGGCCCGTCAAACTGTCGCGGACTGCAATACGCCTGGAGATGCTGGTAGCGTTTGTGGACGATGCCATCGTAGTCAGTGGAGGACACCCCCACGCGAGACTTGTAATTTTTAATATAGGCGCCGAGGGCCTGGGGGCTTCTCATGAGCAAAATCGGGTTGACACGGGTGCCGAGAGCCAGCACAAGTTCATGGCCCACCAACTGGCCGATGGCCCCCGCCCCCAAGATGTGGATGTTGATGGGCATCGAATGGGGTCGGTTTTGGTTTGATCGGTGCCGCACAAAAAAATGGGGAAGTCGCCTGGACCGAGACACAGCATCTAGAAGAGGTGTATGCATTATGATGAAAGTTAGTAAAAATATGTATAGAATCGTTCTAGCTTTTGTTTAGACTTGGAGTATTCGCTGGTGGGAGCCAACGCTTCCGCTAATGTCGTCTTGTATATGGTGCGGAATCGGAACGGAATATATTGGGGCAGCCGGCGTAATAACCACGCCTTGTGTACCATATCTTCTCCAGGGGTACCAGCGTTTTGTTCAACGCATTCGACCAGTAAGAGGCACCGAACTTTACCTCTTTGGCGAACCTGGTGTCGCTGTTGCCGCCAATTGTATGTCGTTACTGCCACTGCCACGGTTAATGCAAGGTAGACAAACCAGTGACGGTAACCTAAGACAAATAGAACAATGGCTGCCACCACAAGTAACTGGATAATGCGTAATTGAGGGTTTCGGGGAGCGGTATTGGTCACGGTATTTGTGATCATCTCCTGGATAACGGCATAATCGGAAGGGAATCTGCCTTGGTTCAAGTCGTCGATAAGCTTGACGTTATTTTCAAGCTGACAAGCAATCATGTCCACCATCGACTTCAGCAACAATGGGTCATCGTGTCGCGATAGACGGTACTGCCAGTAGTCTTGATGGGCCATGAGCACCACCGATGACTCGACGAGAAGCTTGCAAAACCGGACTGACGCTCGCTTCTTGTTACTGCTAGCTTTGCGCATGGATATGTCGGCTGTCAAGCAAATGATGGGATGTGACGATCTCGCCGCGTGTGGGGGGCACTATGAATGTCTGTCATCGCGTCTGTAAACCTAAAAACTGGCACACACATACTGGGACCATCATTGAAGTGTTTCATCGTATAATCCATCTTGAGGAGTTGTCAAAAGATCTTTGATGAAAGGGGTGTTTGGTAAACATGATGTGTGCAGTTTGCTATGACCAGGTTCCCCTATTTGTGGGTCTGGACTAGAGAATAAACCCGGAGGCAAATCTCCCGGTACCTCCGTTAATTATTCTGATAAAAATATTATCTGTGTCCAATTGCCATGACTGGGGGCATTAAGGCCATTCCTGTATCATCGGTTATCGTGGAATATCGGAGAATCGCTCTGCGGTCGTCAGGAGGATCCGACCCGGCAACCGAGTTTATGTCTGAGGCGGGTGGAAAATACGATATATAGAGACGGCTAGCGACGGTTCAGCCAGCGCCATTTTAGTCGGTGAGATGATAGAAATAAGCTTTGGTGGTTTTACTGGCGTGGAAGACAATTGTACAAATGTTTAGGGGGGTGGCAGTGGTTGTCAATAGCACAGCATCACCGTATTGTTAGCGCTGCGTGTGAGGCTCTTAACCAAAATATTGGCAGACGACAATAATACAATTTCACCGTCGACTAGGGGAACCACGGCAAAGGGACCCCTCTATTTGAAAGATGTTGTGTATGTGACGTAGTTCATGGGTACAAGTATCGCTTTAACCTATCTTCTCCGACTTCTCTAGCCCCGGGGAATGTCGTATTCATGGCTGGCTCTCTGGTGTACCCACTCGCCCCAGTTGTCCTCGAGACGAGAGACACAGAGGAGCATGCGGGGGCGGGCGACGACTACTTAAACAAGACACCATTTCTCGCCGCCGCTCTTTTCCCTCGCCATCGGTGGCTAATGACATTCTACGTGATCGAAGGGGGAGTGCCGGGGATCTACACCGAGATCGACGAACGACATCAGGGTGTGATCCGCAAGTTTGCCACCCTCGGAGCGGCCCAGCTATTCCTTGACTATCGTAGCGGGCGTAAGGGCTCGATTGCCATCGAGCGTGTTTATATCTCCGCCACCATGTACGGCGATCCCACCCACTTTGTGCCATGTTGTGGGTTCAGCGTGTTTTTCGGCACCAACAACCCCAACAATATCGCCGCTGCCATTGACGAGGTGGATAACGTCGAGCTCCACTTGCCCAGTCCGCTACGAGCCTATTTGTGGTCGGTGCTATACTGCTTAAAAGTGATCCATGAGCGGTTAGTGTACAAGCGATACCGGGGCAAAACAGTCGTATACGTGCTGCTGCCTCTGGTGGTTGATATTATGACAAATAAGATATGGAAGTGGAGCGGGCCCCTGCTGGTGGCGAACGCTGATCTTACTCGCGAGATCCAGGCGATCTCGGCTAACATCAATACCCATTACCTCCGTCTAGGATGGGGGGAGATCGAGTTTAAATACATTCCGAAAAACCAGGGGCATCAGGTGGTGGAGATGGCCGATCGAATGGCCCACTCGGGTGCTGCCCGCATGGGCTTATATGAGATAAGATACGACTAGCAGAAATGATATGATAATAATAGTAATGCGATACAGATATACATAAGCTTGGCTTTTTGAAAACTCACACATCATGTACTCCTAATAGCTCTCCCGCGTCCCTCGGCTGTGTTGCCCTTATTGAAAACCGCGCCATGGTAGCATCTGGTGGCATCTCGTGTTTTGCCGTCGCGGAGGCATCTCTATAAGCAGGTCCCAAACATGTTTGAGTCATGTCGACGCGGGGCGGTAAAAATTTACCCCCCATCCAACGTGGTCAGCGATTATGTCCGTGATCGTCGTTGTTTCAGAGAGTGTGACGATAAGATGCACATTGCGTGGTCGCGAGGAATGTGTTAAACGGGAAAAATGGCCGACAACTCCCCTCGCAGTACTGGCTACATCTGCTGCCAGGGCATATGCCTAACCGTTGTTCATACCAACCCCCAAAGGGAAAGGTCACGCCCTTTCCCTCGTAACCACCTTGGGGGTGAGGAGAAACACGGTCGCCCTCGAGACTCCCCCTTTGTAGATGGCGACACCATTGTTGCTGCCCACCCCTATGTCCTTGTCCCCGTACGACGTGACCCCTCAATCGACAAGCAGCGTGAAAATATTGAGCAAAAAAACACCATTTGTCGCAAACGCGTGTGGGTGCGGTATTGATGACGTCGCCACGCATGGTGCGGTCAACCCGGTGTCGAATTTGGGCTCGCGGGCTCACTGTGGCCGAGCCAGTGTGGTGGCGGCAATGGTCGTGATTGACGTGGATAGTTGTCGTTAAGCTAATGTTTACTGTGGTTTTTTCCCCTGTGGCTAATGCTTGGGTAATCGTCGGTTCGCAACTCGGGAATGGCACGCCAATTTGGGAAGGTCCCGACATCCCGGACGCTGGCGAGAGAGGGGGGAAGGAATCGAGTCGACCATGCATGATACATTTAGGTATTTAAAACCACGCCCTACCCCACATTTGTCATAAGCTACCCCCTCCAGTAACGATGGCCTCCAACTGTGGTAAACCTTGCAAGTGTTCGCTGTTGCAATACACTTTCGCCAACAAGTGTAAGTGTGGCCTGGCGGCATTCAAATGTGCCGTGTGTGGGCAGGTGCTGTGTTTTTTCAACAGATGACGGAAGTGCCCCCAGACGGGGATGCCACCGGTTTGGCCTTTTTGGGGTTTAACCGATGGGTTCCCGTCGCTTTTTGGTGATGCTGCCTATGTTTTTTAAGAGTTATGACATGCTTGACTTTTTACCAGGTGTTACGATTATGGTTTGAATTTTTTGGGACGAATAAGATTGCGTATTCATGTGTATATTTAGGCGAATCAATATGGCCACTTTTTCACTAAACCAATTTGGTGTGTAGTTGTTCTACTCCGTTCTACGGGATTGTCCACAACGCGAGCGCTTCTAGCCTCCTCAATTCTGCAATAAACCAAGAGGCAGGCAATTCGCAGATTCGTAGTTGTCAATATATAACTCCGACAATCCTATTGTAGCTGTTGTAGCTGTAGATTATGTTGTTCTCTTACCAGAGTTTTTTTACCGGTATGAGGTGAGTGAGGGGATACGACAATTCAAATGGAACTTCAAAGCCGCGACCCCACTAGACCCGAAATAATCTGAAACAATTGTTTATTGTGAGAAGATATTAAAGCGTTGACTTGGCCACTTATCGTTGCACAGGTGGCGAAAACTATTCCCTATGGAGATATCGATAAAACGCTAAAAATCAAGTTTACTGCATAACATAACTAATCATAAAATACAACCACACTTAATTGGTGGTGGAAGAGTACTTGGTGACGGCTCTGGTACCTTCAGACACAGCGTGCTTGGCCAATTCACCAGGCAAGATCAATCTGACGGCGGTCTGGATCTCTCTGGCCGAGATGGTCGACTTCTTGTTGTAGGCAGCCAACTTCGAGGCTTCCGAGGCGATTCTTTCGAAGATGTCGTTGACGAACGAGTTCATGATCGACATGGCCTTTTGCGAGATACCAGTGTCAGGGTGAGTTTGCTTCAACACCTTGTAGATGTACGACGACCAAGTCTCTTTTCTGGTCTTACCTCTCTTTTTACTATCATGAGACGCGGACGAGGTCTTCTTGGCAGCAGGCTTCTTCTCAGCAGGTGCCTTGGAGGCAGGCTTCTTCTCAGCGGGGGCCATGATGTGGTATAGACGCTGTTGCTGTGATTAGTAGGGGGGGCGGGATTAGATTTGTTCGCCTGAACGCGTCGATTTCCCAGTGCGACCTTTAGTGCAGGCATGAGTTGACAACGCCACCAAAATCACAATTAAGGGGTGAGAAATTTCCCCATGGCAAGTGTAGGTAAAAGGCAGAATTCTGCTTGATTGAAGCAATTGACCATCCGTTCATCGGAGCAAATTTCGGGAGAATCGGATGAAGTGTCGGCCGACTGCGACGATAATCACCCTTGTCAACAAGGGGTTTGGAGTATCAAGCCATTTATATGAAAGCCAACGTAGACGTCTCTAACGTATAGAAGACATTCATGGTGATCACTAGTTAACCTAGCCTATATTGATCACTAAATTGTGACCATCTTTTAATTTTGTTAGAAACCTGTAAAACTCGAACTTGGAGTCAATCAACTAACAACCACAAGGGGGTGAGGTCATTCAAAATTTGTGTGTGCGGGAGTGGGTGGCAAATTTCTCTGGAGTATGGCAGCGATAACTGCTACCAAAAAATGGAGTTGAGGGTGAACCAATTTGAGAGACCATGGTTCATATCCGGTCACGCTTGCTCGCTCTAACAAACAATGGATAGGGTGGTGAGAACTACAGTTATTTCCATCATACAATCCATTCATTACCTTAATATACACTTGATATAATACATTACCCTTACAATTCTTGCGAAGGCTTGCCCTTTTCAGGCTTACCCGTCTTGGCGGGCAACAACGATTGGTGAATGTTGGGCAAGACACCACCTTGGGCGATGGTGACGTGACCAAGCAACTTGTTCAATTCTTCATCGTTTCTGATAGCCAATTGCAAGTGTCTGGGGATAATTCTCGACTTCTTGTTGTCTCTGGCAGCGTTACCGGCCAATTCCAAGATTTCGGCAGTCAAGTATTCCAAGACCGAAGTCAAGTAAACGGGAGCACCGGAACCAACTCTTTGGGCGTAGTTACCCTTTCTCAACAATCTGTGGACACGACCAACGGGGAAAGTCAACCCAGCCTTAGCCGATCTCGAAGTGGAGGCCTTTTCGGAAGAACCTGCTTTACCCTTACCGCCGGACATTATGTGATATTATTCTTTGAAAAAAAAGTGAAGAACCACTTAGCAAGGCGACAGGATTATATATATGAAAGCTCCACGCGCCTGGAGCAAGAAGCGCGTCTGGAGGAGAATGATTTTTCGCGGAGAGCCACCGCTTGTGTGCCGGAGAGGATGCTCAGATCTGCGGGTGTAGAATGTGGTCCGCACACCGAGCACCGATATATGGCTACACCAACGCCAGAACGACGGGATAACTTAGGCTACCATAACAATTGCGCCTGAATAACCCCATGATACCATCGGATTGGTCGAGAAACCACGACTTTGGTGACGGTGCCAGCCGCCCGCCGGCGGTAGCCGCGGCGCGAGGAAAGCGCGCGGACGTCCTCACGATTCTCCAGGCGATCTTCGTGCCATACACGCACTCGCGCTCCCTGCACAATAGCTCGCAAGCTTTCATATATATATTGACTGCCGACCTCCGACTGTCTTCATAGTTTAATTTTTACTACTTGTTCATAATGGCCGGTCCTAAAGCTGAAAAGAAGCCCGCTTCCAAGGCTCCCGCTGAAAAGAAGCCCGCTGCTAAGAAGACTTCCTCTTCTCACGAAGCCAACAAGAAGAGAGGTAAGTCGAGAAAGGAAACTTACTCGTCGTACATCTACAAGGTGTTGAAGCAAACTCACCCCGACACTGGTATCTCGCAAAAGGCCATGTCGATCATGAACTCGTTCGTCAACGACATCTTCGAAAGAATCGCCTCGGAAGCCTCGAAGTTGGCTGCTTACAACAAGAAGTCGACCATCTCGGCCAGAGAGATCCAGACCGCCGTCAGATTGATCTTGCCTGGTGAATTGGCCAAGCACGCTGTGTCTGAAGGTACCAGAGCTGTCACCAAGTACTCGTCGAACTCGAACTAATCGACGTTGGGTTAATGTGTATTATGTGTATATTAGGAATGAATGGAATAACGAAGAACCAATTACCCCTTACTAGCAACCGTAGCTTGCGCCAATCTATGGCGTTTGTGCCATGTTCTCGCTACTGATAAACGTGGCGTACTTTTGTTGTGATAAAAGAAATTGTGCGAGTCCGATGGCCGTCGGATTCGAACTCATCGATTGTTTTGTTTATTTCTGGTTTGTCTCCAATATTGCGAATTCGTGAACAAACTCCAAGTTTCTAAGAGGAGTATTGATCATGCATATCAACCTACTAAGTTCGACTTCACAATATAACAATTAATTCCTAGACGACACCCTTTCCATGACCAAGTTAACGTATCGTCATCGTTGTTGTCACCTCAATTTCCGAGTGGTCTCGTGACTACCTCTGATCACCCCCTATTCATCCTCGGTGCGATCACATGGGGTTGGCACCTACCTCGCCGATTTAGTAATCCCACCCAAAAAACCAACTACCATGGTGACGACTACCCGAAAACGGTTGGCGTGGCTGGGAGTGGCGGCGGCTACTATTGGGGCCTTGGTTCTCAGAACTTATCCCCATCTCCGTCAGGAAATCATCAACTGGCTCGAAGGGGTCCCCCAGCCTTCGGGGGACGAAGATGAAGTGAAGGATGACACCCGTCCATCAACACCAACTCGAGAAAAAATCACACTACTGAGTGCTACCGTGGAGAGAATCGTTCGGGAAAAGCCCGAGCACCCGGTGTTGGCTCCCACTGCCGTGGACGTGCCGGCTTCGTCTCGACAAGTTTTGTTACGCCAGGTAAGTTTCTATTTTCGTTGATATTGTCTATGTGGAAGAATAACTACTAACTTTTATGCAGAAGACGTGGCTCAATATGGCGATCATTGGCACCATAATCCCGTTGGTGGTCCACTTGCGGCGGTACCTTGAGTTCTCGCAGTGGCTCCTCCCCATGAGCATCTACCAGTACTTAGTCCTGGTCCTCATCACTTTGACCGAGTTGGTACGGTCTTAATCACGACGTCATGAATACACATACCACTAGGACCGTTCCCGTTGCGCCGCCGCCAATACTTTATTGGTTAAGCCATCGCGACAGTAGACGAAATGGACATTGATGTCTTCTACGTCCCGGTTACGAGACTCATCATCAAATAAAGCCACCTCTCCTTTCGCCAAAGCGTCCTCAAACCCTACTTCTTTCGCCGCTTGCTTGATATGCTTCTTTTTCAGGCCAGTGCCATACTGAACGCTATCGAAATATGAGCGTAGCGGTTTGCCCTTAACTGTAAATAAGTCAAGCAATTTCAGAGCCACCTTGGGAGTCATGGTCCGACTAGCAGCAACAAGGATATGGCCTTCATCTTTGAGCCGGGCAATTATATCCTCGACATCGGGGTAGAGTTGGAGCTGGTAGCCATACCTGTCGACAACAGTGTTTCCCGATTGTTTCTTGAACGGAGGCAGAACGTGAGTATCACACCAGCACGGCCAAAGCGTGTAATCCAAATCAAACACGTATACCGTCAACATTTGCCCACCAGCACCAACTTTTGAAAGATTGTTGCGCTTGTCAATACTCGCACCGGTCAACGGCGGCGTCAACTACGTCATTGCAGAGACGAAATTCACATGGTCCAAAAATCGATAGATTGATAAATTGAGTTAATACCAACATACTATCTACATTCTCTATTGAACGGTATTAATTTTCCGAAAATTCACGCTGGAGTTTTTCGGATGGTTTCGTAAGCCTCCCCCCCGCTAAATTGTGATCACGCATTCGCACTGGGAGCATGCTCCGAATAGCGGTATTGTTCTCAACGAGGATCGAGGAGAGATTGATGGATAGTGATTATATTTGTAAGACAACCACATCTAAAAATAAGATTGCCATAAGCGAGAATCATAAGAAAAGTATACGTCATCTCTCTTGGTGGTTTAGATCCCAGAACCGTTGAGAATTCTTTTATCGTCTAAAACATTTTCGACTGAGCCCTGGCCCCCCAAATTCGTCAGCAGCGGTCGCCACCGCTTTGCCTGGGATCATTACAGAAAGAGAAACCCACGCACCTTGGGGCTTATCTCCTGCACACGGTCACTGAGGGCCGCCGCCACCGTAAATAAGCAACAATAGTGTCACGATTGTACCGCTGATTTTGACTCTACTTGGCTTGAATTTATCACAATATCTTTAAGATCGCTTTGAGCTACCTCTACGATGTGTTTCATACCCTAAAATCCCGCCAAACAGGGGCAAATTGACGGCTAAACCACAGCGCTCTCGCAGTGGTGCTTCCTGCACTTAGACCATCCCTGCCAAATATATATAGTCTGCCACCCCCACATCCACTATCAACTGCGCTGGTGCAACCGTTACTATGAGTGGCTGTGGCACCAAACAACTGCCGAGACCGGCGAAACATGCCCCGGTGACGATCAAGGTGACGATCAACCGTTTAGGCGAGGCCACCCCTCAGTTCCAGGACGTGGAATTGCCCCTGGCCGAGGTGACGGCAATCGCCAACAAGAGCCGCTTTTTCAAGTTGTTGCGGGACCACGGCGTCGACATCGGCCCTAACGTCCACCTCGTGCTGTTCACGCGTCGCTCAAAGAAGTACAAGGAGTACGTGCTGTTGGAAACTACTGACGACTTCCGGCTGATGGCCCGCTCGTTACGGGTCAAAAACCATGTCAAATTGATGGTGGAGGACCTGAACCCTCGTGTGGCTGAGCCTGATGTATCGGGAGCCTCTCAATCGTCGGCTGCCGCCGACGAACCGGTGCCGCCTTACCTCCCCCCGTTCCCGCAATTTGACCCTCGTAACTTTAGCGAATTAGGCGACGAGATCATCGAACGGTTTAAGGAGCTTTTGAACGAGTTCCCGCGCCACTTTTTCGATGCGTTGGCCCCTGTCGACGTCCCGCTGGGCCCGTTGCACTTGGGAGTGTTTTGCGACGGGTGTGACCAGCAAGTGAGAGGCGTCCGCTATAAGTGCACCCAGTGCCACGACTACGACCTCTGCAGCGCCTGTGAGACCAAGGGCACCCACGACCGTACCCACACTATGTTTAAGATTGCTGAACCGTCGGCTGGTTGCCCCGCGTTTAACACGACTCTGGCTCCGGCTCCGGCTCCGGCGCCGGCTCCCGCGACGGCCAACCCTATTACCACCGTCCACCGTCGAATCCTGTGCGACCGCTGCACCCCTACCACGTCGCTGCCCATCGTTGGTGCTCGCTACAAGTGTCTTGAATGCGACAACTTTGACCTCTGTGAACCGTGTGTGCTTTTGAATGAAGACGTGGGTGCTCATAAGCTGACCCACCGCATGGAACGGTTCGTCGAACAGGCGCCTTACTCGCCTCCTCCTCGTCCTTCGGTGGGAGCCTACCACACCCTGGTGTCGTGTGACGAGTGCCTGGCCACTCCCATTGTCGGCATCCGCTACAAGTGTCTTGAGTGTGGTGACTACGATCTTTGTGAAAAGTGTGTTAGTAAAAACAAGAGCCTGGGCCCCCACTTCAGCACTCACCAGATGGTGCGCATGGTGGTTCCCGACCACTTGCGGTCGGCGGCGCGGGCGTCGGTGGACGGCACCGATGCTGTCTACGAGTTTGACTTGGACGACTGTCCTGCAGAAGCTCAAGCTCAAATTGACGAGATGATCCGTCTGGGCGGCATGGCTGGTTTCGTGGCTGGTGTCACCAAGTTCATCAAGGACCTGAACCGCTACGGTGAATTGCTTAAGCAATTGGGTGAAGACGACCCCGAGCTTGGCTACGCCATGCTCATGCTGTTGGTGGCGTCGCACTTGGACCTGGCTTCTGAACCTAAGCACGAAGAACAACCCGACGTGGTTATGAAGGAGGAGGAAGAAGAAGAAGAAGAAGAAGAAGAAGAAGAAGAACAAGAAGTCAAGAAGGAAGCGGCCACCCCCGAAGTCGACGCTACTTGCGAAGTAGACGCGCTGTTGATTGACGATGGCGACACTTTCGATGTCACTTCCTTGGGCCCTGATGTTGTTGGTCACGTTGTTCTCCGTCCTCGCTCGTTTGGCCTCAACGCCAAGGCGGTGCTGGTGATGCTTGTGAACATGCTGGCTTACGAAATCAAGAGCGGCGACCTCGAATTCGACTTTATCCACCCGGAAACGGGCAAGCACCACGTGGTGACTGTGCGCAAGGCCAGTGCCATCAAGCCTGAACACGCTCGCCACTACAACTTGAACCTTGACGACAACGCCACTACTTTTGATGGCTACAACCTTGTCATCACTGCTTCTGACTATGTTATGGAAGGGGTGTACCATGCCTCTGAAGAGTCGAAGCTTTTGGTGCGCAGCCGGGAATCTGCCATGGACGTCGATGACGTGCCTTCTGAACGTCTTGGTGCCATGGACGAAGTGGTGGCGACGGTGGTGCCCAAGTCGCATTGGCTTGTGCAAGTGATGCTCCACAACAAGAGCGAGAAGGTCATCGACTCCTCTCGCCTTGTGCTTTCGGTGGTGGACAACTTTCACCAATTTAAATCGCTGGCGACGATTAAGAAGACCCAAGGGATTAAGCCCGGTCAGTTGGCTAAGTTTAACCTCCCGTTGAAGGACTTGCAAGCGGAAACGGCGTTCAAGCTTGTGATTGAAACTGCTGGCAACAAGGGTGTTGTGGCCATGGACGCTAACTGTATGAGTGGTGTCGTCAACTGGAACGGTAGCATCCCGGAGGTGCAATCGCCGGTGCCCGCCACTGAAGACGAGCCCAAGTTGACTCACCTGATGGTGTTGCCGCTGTTGCCCAAGGAACTGCCGGCGACGCTGATAATCGTGCCTGAGCCCGAGTCCGCTACTGCATCCGAGGGAGAGACCCAGGAAGAAGATTACGACTTGGTGTCCGACGTGGACCTGGACTTTGAAGTCTTGAGTCCTGTAATGAGTAACGAACATGAATGAACTAAGGAATAGGACTTGTGGAAAATTTTTTGTATAGCAAATGAATTGAGAACTTAAATCACAAGAGGAGCAACAAAATCAAACTGACTGTAACAGGAACTTTGAGCGATTCTTTTTCTATTACATTTTGGATGTTAATGAACTTTCGGTATTGGAAATAAGTTTAACATTATATTTCTTATCAGTCTGAATCTCGAGATGCGATTGCCAAGCGTAAACTGGCTTCTCCAGCAAATACTAATTTTCCTGACTTGTAAAGTGTTTATAATAGAATCCACCATTGCCGAATTAAGTCACGACGAGGTGACTGGTTATTTGACTGCTAGTTTCGAGCACAAGGTGTTGCACGATTTGGCAAAATATATAGCGATGCATTAATATAGCGATTAATTTAGCTTCCAGTCAAGAATTGGGAGAATTGAAATATCCTTCGGAAAATTAAAGTGATGAGCAGTTGCGCAATGCACACGTACACAACAGCTTGTTTGGCAAGAACGATGTTCTGTAGGTGACCATGTTGACTTGATTTCCAAAGTTACACAATAAATGTGATTGAGGGTATCATTATTAATTAGGGGAAACTTGGCATTAACAAAATTTGAGCAACTTTGACAATTCTCTACCTTACTCCCAAGTGTTGCTCACGTTTTCGTCGAAGGCTTTCATCAGGGTACCCACCGTAGTTAAGCCATCATTGATCTCAGCAATGTAGCCGTGCATGTCTTCAAAGTTCTGGCGACGGTAAATAGTTTCCACTGTAGTTTGTTTCAGGTCGTCAAAGAATTCATCGATCATCTGTTGCCGTTGAGACTCATCTTGAGCCCCACGCCGGAATAAGTCCTTTTGGTGATCGCTAAGCTTGACATTCGAATGATGTTGCTTCCACATTGACTCTAAAAGACGGTTTTGCGCCAATTTGACTTCAGCAAGCTCTTGAGAGAAAGAGTCATTGAAGAACAGGCCTCGCTGGCGAACGTCATCTGACATTTGTTTCACATCGTCCAACACGTCGATCTGAGTCCAAAGTTTATCCGCATTGGTGACTGCTGGCTTAGCAGTAGCAATGTGGTCGATGGTACGAAGACTGGCGGCATCAGGATTGGTGAACTCAGAGTTCTGGGTGGTCTGAGTGGTGAGTTTGTTGAAACTGGAATAGGAGCGGGTATGGCCTCGCATCTGCTGGGAAAGAAATGGCGGTAGACTCAGTGACAGCACCAGCGGCTGCAGAGCGTGTCGTATTGCTGTAGCGTCCCGGGGTGTGCCGCCAGAGGAGTTCATGACTCAAAAACGGCTGCGATAATTACACCCTCATGGTGCGCATGTCAGATAGACTGTTATTGTGGTCGATGACGTCACGGGAACCGGTCACCTTTTCACAAAATAGCGTTGACTAAAATACACAATTGAAGTAGCCAATCGTCTAATGATTTGATTTCTTCGTTCTTTCAGTTTATCAAGTAGTCACATTGTTTGAAATATTTTCACCATTTGATTCGTGTAGTTACCTTCATCACCATAGCCGAGTACACTTTGGCGCGCACCATGGACGATGCCACCGATGCTCCCTTCCATCTAAAGGTAGCGTCGCCACTGCCATCTCCCTACGTTGTGCAGCCATGGAAGAAGCTCCTATACCTCCGCCAAGCATATCCCGATAACTATACCGATCCGCTGTTCCTTTCCCAGCTCAAGCGGAACACCACGGTTGCCAAATACCGCTACTCCAACGTCGTCGGCGACTTCCTGCTCATCGTGCTCCACATTCTGGCGTTGATACTTGTGGTGCTTATGTTCAGTGGCATCTACTTGTTTCATTGGGATATCCGGTGGCCAACAGCAGCGACGACCTTGGTGTCATTGGTGGGGCTATTTGGGTTTCATCGCCATCAGATCAAGTCGTACGTGATCACGCTGATGCTCTTACTTGTGCTTAGTCCCGTGCTTCGACTGTTGACCCGGCTGACGGCGCTGGACCTGATCTGGGCGCTATCATTCTGCTTAGTGATCGCCAACACGATATTCCACGATTACGCGTTTGGCGGCGATCCTCATGACTACCATCCCATCATTTCCACTAATATATCACTTACCAATGCCATTGTGCTTGCGCTGAGACTCAATACTCACGCACTGGTGTTTACGTTTTTGATGTTTGCCATCGAGGTGCTGATCCTCTGGCCGCTATTTGATGTGAGCATGCGCCACTGGCATTGGCACAAGTTACACCGCACGTTGTTTGCCTCGTTGTTCGGCATTGATTGCTGGTTGATCTGGCGGATCATGGGGGGCAAATACGTCGGGTTTTGGATCGTGGGATGTGGCGCCATCATGTTTGGCTTACCCGCATACTTTTTGTTTTTGCAAAAGTACAAGAACGAAATGATGGGCCCATGGGACCCGGCAAAGCCCAAGCTCAACCGGGTACAATGACCCAACCACAGGTTGTCCTCGTGATCGTGCTATTGTCGCATAGACCCGACAGCCACGACATACGATAAGTGCATGGCACGTGCATCTACATCTTCGGGCATGGTTCCGACTCATACATATTCTGCAATTCTGATTTTAATAGACAGTTAATGGTGATACCTATCATTCGTTATATCCTGCGTTGTCAGCTGTTAAAGAAATCAATTGAAAATTTCATTTTAGGAGGAAATAAAGTAATAGGCCATCTTCAGAAATTTCGTATAGACTTATCATTGCGGTTGTCTTAAGTCACGTTTTACACTATTGTGTGTGAGTGTTTTAACGTGGTTCGCGTGGGGGGCTGAATTCGGTTGCGAACCCTTGACGACGATTTCTCGGTAACGCTCTCGTCAAACGATGGTAGACAAGCCGTCCCCCACGCTCTACCTCAGCGAGCGGGTGTTCTACCTCCAATTGGCGATATGCTCGGTGATCGGCTTGCTGCTGTTCCTCCTTTTCTGTTTTCTCCGGCGGCGCTGGCCCCACATCTACGCGGTACGCGTCCTCCGCAACGATGGTGACCACCGGCCCCTCCCTAAGCTCCCACCAACTCTATTCGGCTGGGTGAGCAAAGTGTTGAGAATTACCGACGAAGAGGTGTTGGGATGTCTGGGGCTTGATGCCTACGTGTTTCTCACGTACTTCAGAATGGCGATCGCCATCTTTGCCACGATCGGCGTGTTTGCCGTGGCGGTGCTAGCTCCGCTACGATACTACTATGGAGGCCTGGATATGGTTGAAGACCCTGAACACAAAAAGGGCCACAATTCTCAGCTTCTGCCCTGGCTTAGCAAGTTGGTATACCCCGTGGCCACATACTTGTTCAGTGGCATTGTCTATTTTTACTTGTACCACTACACCCAGCGAGTGCTCCGTACCCGGCAAAAGTATCTTGCGAGCCAGGATTCGATTACTGACCGTACCATTCGTATTGACAATGTACCACTGCGGTTTCTCCGATCGCCCACAACATTAACCAAGTTTATTGGGGATTTAGGGATTGGTAAGGTTACCGATGTGAAATTCATCTACGACTGGACGCCTATGGAACGGCTTTTCGATCGCAGAAAGGAGTACCTTCGCAAGTTGGAAGACAGCTATGCCACCCACTACGAATTGAGTATCGATATCTATAACACCCGCACTCCCATGGTGGTGCCCAAGGTGTTAATTGACCCAGGTTTGGTCAACCACGTTGATCGTAAAGACGAATTCCATCAGGAGATCCGTCTGCTTGCAAGCGAGCTTGATCACGTAAACGCCCAAATCCGCGATATTCAACACAATGGATACAATCTGCAGACGCTGATGATGGTGGGTAATGTCCCTCCCTTCCGTCAAATTCGTCTGGCATTTGTCACCATGGATCTGGTGGCGCTGGCACAAATGGCGGCGCAAACGGTACTTGACCCTCGTGTGTACACGCTTCTGGTGAACCTTGCTCCTGCTCCCATGGACATCTTGTGGGGAAACTACAGATACCTGTGGAAAGAGCGAATCGTGCGCGGCTATTTGGTGACCTTCGTCATTGTCTTATCGTATCTGGTGATTTCGTTTTTGGCCTCGCAGTTAGCGGTGCTTCTTAGTGAAACTAAGATTGATAAGCAATGGCCGTGGTTGGGACGCATTTTGGATGACCATGACTGGCTTAAGCTTGTTGTCACCGGTATCTTACCGCCCTTTTTATTTCTGATGCTCAATTTGCTGATGCTCTATTTTTACCGGTATCTTACTCAAAAACAGGGCTATCTTCTGAACCTGGATGTTGAACTTAGTACATTGCTGAAAAACTTCTTCTATGTGTTCTTTATTTGGTTTTTGGTGTTTGTCGCAAGTAACACCATCACTGACTATTTGAATTACATCAAAGACACCACAAAGATTGCTCAAGAACTTGCCAAATCTTTGCGAGGGTTTGCTGGGTTTTACGTCAATTTGATCTTGCTTCAAGGGCTTGCCCAGTTTCCCGTAAAATTGCTTCAAATTGGCGATTTCGTCATCCTCAACGTCCTTGCACGTTTGTTTTTGTTCAAAGACTACTTGCTTAAGACTCCCCGGGATTATCGTGCCTACTACTACACCCCGCAAGTGTTTGACTTTGGCATCAACATGCCGCAGCACTTGTTTATCTTCATTGTCATTTTGATCTACCTGGTGGTGTCGACAAAGATTGTTACTCTGGGGTTGTTATACTTCGGTCTTGGCTACTTGGTGTACAAGTACCAGTTAATCTATAACTTCGTTCACCCGCCTCACTCGACGGGTAAAGTGTGGGTGATGATTTTCCGGCGGATTGTGTTGGCGTTAGTGATCTTCCAATTGTTCATGTGCGGGACGTTGGCGTTATCCAATGCTTACTGGGCACTGGTGGTGTGTGTGCCATTAGTGTTTGGTTCGTTGTTTGTTCTCTGGAACTTTGAGCGGTACTACACCCCCTTGGTGGACTTTATTGCCCTCCGAGCCATTTTACTGCCATTTGACTACGACTCTCAATTTGCCAGCGACGATGAGGAACGCCCCTTGGATGTGTGCCTGGAGCTCGAAGACAACGAGGAGGCAATTGAAAGCACCAGCCGGGCGCCGCTGGTGGCACCCCCGCGCCGCCGTCGCCTGACGATTGAAGAAGAACGCGAGCAAAACACTGACTACACCTACCCACGGTTGGTGGACCCCTTGGATGGCCCATGGGTAGGGTTTGAAGGTGATTACATTTCCATGGTGGAGTATCACTTGCCACTGGCGGGCGAGCTTGATGATCCCGACCTTCTGATCATCCTGACCACCGAGTCGGAGATGATCATCAAAAAGCGTTTACGGGTACCCGAATGGGAATGAATGATTGCTTTAAAAGAAAAAGAAAACGCATATTGTTTATCATGCTAATTACACCTTAATTCTTGACTATTGTAGATTAGTTCAACTTGTAGAGTGCGATGTGGAATTCACTAAAAGTGCACTCAGTTACTCTGTACAGATTCAGAAGCTTATTAAGAAGTGTTGAGGGTTGAGAGTTGAATAAAGACTTAAGTCAGCTATCATTTAGCCTCACTGATGGAAAATTTCAAAAGTATAGTGGTGTCTTTGACCTTATGGGTACTCGCGGCACGCGCGAAAATGAAAACCTACAGAAAGTTGAGGAACGCAAAAACTAAAAGAAGTCAGATATGGATGGAGAATCATAGTAGTTGACTACTTCGGGATCTGTACGTCGGCAGCTGGGTTGCTAGGGGGGAAGGGGACATTCAGGGGGGCCGTTCCTGGGGTGCCTGGTACCTGATGCATATGCATTTACCGGAAGGGGAAGGCGGCGGCACGATGTAGGGGCTCAGGGCCAAAGCCCAAGCGACGATCTGACGCTTGATAAGCTGGACCTACAGTATAAACAGAGACTTTCACATAGTCTTAACTAACTTACTTCTCAAAAAACGACCTAAAAACTAACCAATATGAGCACAGAAACAAAAAAAATTAGAGAAACCAATCACAACTCGTGAATGTTAGAAGTAGCCTTGAACCGGGTCTACCGCCACGTCGGTATAGGGAGCGGGTTCTTTACGCTTCGGTTTCGCCGGCGTTTGCAGTTGCTTTTGCTTGCGGAGCGCGGATATGCTGGTTAACTTCTCCCTACGCAATTCCTTATCGGTGACGTAGTCGGGCTTTTCCGACAGATAGTCACAGTCGATACCGAAACGGGCACACAGCGAGCACAGCGGGCGCAACTCGTCGCACTTCAAGTGCTTGATGCGGCAGATCCAACACCCGTTCTTCAGACGGGGCAAAAGCCGCCGGCGCGTGTGTTTCTTCGTCTTGCCCCCCGACGACATGATCGCCTGGTTAACCGCGGCGCCAAGGTCCAGTCCCGTCAGACCGTTGGAGAGGACCAGCGACAGCGAGTTGTTGGCGTGCATCATGATGGGCGGCGGCGCTGCTGGCGCCGTGGGCGTCATTACTAACGAAGAAGCAGTTACCGGTGCCGGGTTAGGGTTTGCACCCATGGGCGCTGGCGGTACGGGGATCAGCGGCGGCAACGACGAGGGGCCTAACATGCCGACACTTTCCTGTTGCTTGCGACTAAGATTCTTCACCTTTTGCGCCAGCACTTCCGATAGCGACAGGAACTTGCGCCGGGGTGGCGTCAGCGTCAGCGGCGGCGTCATCGCCCCAGAAGCCTGGGCTACGCCCTGGGTCGCCAGCAGGTCGTAGTACAGTCCTGCAGCCAGCAGCAAGCTCAGTTCCAGGTCCTGGCGGAACACGTTCATCGGCGGCATCATGCCACCAAGCTGTTGCGGCGGCATCGGTGGCGCCTCATACAGCGACGCTACGCTCAGCGCGTTCAGCACCAGGTGGAGCCCCGTGAGCGACGGTTGCAGCGGAAGTTGTTGCTGGTGGATGTCAAGCCCACGGTACTTGTTGCACAACGGCGACACGCCAAACCCCGGCAGCAGTTCCGTCGACAACGGCGTCAGCGTCGATACCACGAGGTTTTTCTTGGTAGAAAGCACGTTAAGCCGCAGACTGGAGTGCTTTTTGGAAATGCGTTGCGACGGCGGCGTGGTGTGGGCGCCCCGTGGAGGTGGCGGGTTCACCGGCAATGGCTGGTGGTGAGTAAACGTCCCCTGAGGCGGCGCGTTCGGAGGAATTTCCTGCTCAGTTTGAAGAGGAGGTTGTTGATGTTGATGATGATGATGATGTTGATGATAATGCTGGGCGTGATGTTCATGAGGGAAAGGGTGAGCGCCGAACTCGTAGTCGTTAACCGTGGGCGTAAACGGAGGCAACTCGCCCGCGGGCATGAGCTGGCCTTCTGGGTGGTTCATCTGATAGTCGGCAGCAGCTTGGTGAACGTATAACGGATGAGTGAAATGGGACTCAACGAGCAGAGGGGCGGAGGCCGCTTGCGACATTTGCAGCAACAGCTGAGGCGGCGGCGCCGGCACCAGGGGCAACAGCTCCACCAGCGCCGTCAACTCGTAGTCGTGGATCTGGTATATGAGATCGCCCAGGGGCACTGGGTTCATCAGGTACTCGTGGACCAAGTCCGTCAGCAGCTGGTCGTCCAACTGGTACATCGAGTGGTTCAACGACCCCGCCAGGTTCATCGCCACCTGGTTGGAGAAGATCAGGTAGTGCAGCGAGTTTTGCATGCTGTAGTCGTGCATGGGGTCCACCGCTCCCGGCGGCGGCGGCACCGCCGACAGTTGCGCGGGCAGCGTCGTCGTCAGCGGCTGGTTCGACTGCTGGCGCCCCTGGATGGGGCGGGGCGGCATCGGGTTGAACGGCATCGAGTTCTCGTACTGGTAGCACTGGTCGTTGAACGGGAGGTTGAGCTTGAGGGTGTTGTCGTCGTCAAACGACGGCGGCGAGTTCATCACCAATCGGAGTTAGCGAGCGATAAAGGAGGTAGACAACGAAGGAATCGATGTAACGGTGTATTGTACACTTGTTAAGGGTATCTGGGGGTGGTTTCGATCACTTTTTTCAATGGATATCAGTGTATTCCAGTAGCTTTTCAAAGGGTTTCAATGGCTTTTTCAAGGGTTTTCAGTAGGCTGTGGTATGGGGACAGACGGCTCCTAAATTGTCGGGGTATTAATTAGAAGCGAAGGCTGGGCTGTGGGCAAAAGAGTGAAAAACGGTGGGTAAACGAACGCCGCCTTGGGTGGGACAGGTGAAAGGGCTTGAGGCCTGGGGATGGAGGAAAAGATAAAAGCGCCGGTGTGGCCACGCGGGACCTTCAATTTGCGGAAAAATACCTGGGGGTGAGGCGCGCCTAGCGGTCGGCGCGGGGCTCGTGGTCAGGGCGCACCAGCGAGCCAAGATGCATGATGTGGGTGTCGCTTACTGCTCATGTGGGTAATAAACGAACCGCACCGGCAGAGGCGACGATGGCAGCCAAGACCGGGGCCAGGGGAGCTAGAGTAATTACTGGTGCGTTGAGGTAGTTGGTTTGCGGGATATTAGTCACGCGCTGAGTTTGTGGCTGGGACCCGGAGGGGTGCGGTGGCGTTACTTGTGCCCCCCTATATCCCTTTGCTCTCCCCAGGGCCAATTTTGGTGCGAAATCATAAACTCTGGAGTCGATGCGCGCTGAGCTAATAATGGCGCGGCCACTGAAGAAAAATGCCATCGGGCGAAGACGGGGCCCGCAGTGGCGCCCGAAGAGGCTGAGAGTAAACATGCTGTAGGAGCCAGAGACGATGACGTAGGGACCCCAATTATGCCGCCAATAAAGCATCCGACGGCGTAACGGGTTCATTAATCTGTATCAAGCTGCTGTAGAGGCTGTAGCGCACGCTAGCAATCGCCAATCGCCGCCGTCGCTGAGGGTAGGTTGAAGCGATAAAAGATAAAAATCTCGAGACGCCGAACGCCCCGCCGCAGGGCAGAGGAGAACGGCAGAATGGCCACCAATGAGCGGGGTACAGCAGCATTTAGGGCTGTGGAATGTGCACGGAAGGCGTCCATTGTCACCTGAGGCGGGTGCCATTATGCGACTGACGATGCTAGGGCCCAGCGCCAGATCCAGTGCGGCACAATTTGAGTACCCTTGATTAACGTTTGGCGGTGGTGGCTACGAAAGCCTGTGCGGGCGCGTGGTGTGCGATGTGCCTGCACTTTCTGCAAAAGCAGGCCCAGGATGCTGCTCCGCGGGTGTTTTTTTTTTTNGGGGGGGTTTTTTTTTTTTTTTTTGAATGAGCGAGATAAAGGAGGGGAATTAAATTTTTGGGAGGGGGCATGGAGACGACGCCAGCGAGCGAATTTACGAGGAGTGCATTCGCTATCGAAGGTGGCGTTCATGCGGAGGGGAAGCGGCCGTGAGCAGTGCCGGAGCGTTGATTCTGCACTGGCGATGGACTGGGGCTATTGTGTGTACGCGGAGCCGTCGCGGTGTCTGGTTACTCGCCCCGGAGTTGTGGGTGCGGACACGACCCTTGTTCTGTCTGTTGGGGGCACAAGGCTTTTCGAGACAATAACCGTTTTCGTCTGCGGACACTTCACGATCGCCGCTGCGGCGATCGGGTTTGTCAATTTTTTTTCTGGGGCCGGGGAGGCCGTGTAGGGAGGATAATATTTACGGGGCTTATCCCCATTGTTCTGAAGAATGTACTTATGATGCCCAGAAAAAAAACAAAACACGGGTGTTTACGGAGGCTGAGGGGATGACAGCCCCCAGATGGCATCCCCTAACCCGTTGATTGTCCCTAGACACACTCCCATATTCGTGAGAGCACGACCACACGAGGGTGTGCGTGTGGGGTAGGATCTCGAGTTCGAATCCTGAGCACACCCTATAATAAATACCAACTGTAAACGGGTTAAACCTTATCACAAATCACTTAAATTAAACCATTACCTCACACCAGTCGCCGTGTATACCCATCATCCCCACACAGCCGTCGTCGTTTCCGACCCGGCGCCGAGGGGTGCCAGTGCGAGCCGCACACCGATGACGAGGATTTTTCCAACCATCACACCCTCAGTGACCATCTCGTGCCTACGCGATCGGGCAATGCCATGGACCGAGATATTCAGCAACCAAATGCCATGGACCCAGACAAATCGCAACCTGATGCCTTGAACCGGGACAAGACGCAATTAGACCAGTTCTTGGCTAACCCGCTCGAGCTGCTGTGGCTCCTCGGTTTCTTCAACCAGTTCCACGCCCGCCACTCCGCCACCGTGCTCGAAAACGTTGCCAACGAGGTCGAAGGGGCGGCGGTGGTGAAAACGGCTACTCCCAAGCTTGTGGACCAGCTCTGGCTCCAGTTCCACTACCCAGTGATCAAATACTATAAGTATGCCGTGGCGCAAGTGTTTATCGACTGCCGGGAACAGTTTGAGCTCACCAAGCATTTCCGTCCTCGGGCGATCGAAGCCCGCAAGATCTACCAAGAGTTTGTCAAGCTTAGCAAGTTGGTGAAGCGGTTTTACTTGGAGTTGGCGCAACAGCTCTTAAGGCTGTACTCGGTGGATATCGTGCCCCACCGCATTCAAATGAGATTAGCTGGACCTACCACGCTGCTGGCGACGGAAAAATTATCTGAACCATTACTGCAAGTGCTTGGTTTGACCATTCACCGTCTCATTGTCGCGTTGGCGGATATTGAACGTCACTTGGTGTCGGTGGACCACACCTATGTGCGTCCGTGTTTATCTTATAAAGAGTGGCGTCAAAGCCGTGATGCTAAGGGGATGGAGAAGCTGGCTCGCTTAATCAATGACTACGGTCCTGCTTTGGATTACTACCACGACTGTATGAGAATTATGCCCACCGTGGGTGAACCTTATAACCATATAGGGATGATCTATAACTCGATCGACGACCGGTTCACCGCATTATACTGGTTTATCCGCTCTCAGTTTACGCGTACGGCCCAAGTCGACGTTGCCCAAAAGAATTTCCACGCGTTAATGGCGAAAGGTTGGTTCATCAACCAATTGAGTAAAGTGAGCCTTGTTGACGTCAATGTCGTCGGCGGCGTGGCTGATTTGAATAACATGTTGGTGCTGCTATGTGGGTTTGTCTACATGCCTGAAGTATACGTTAAAGGGCGTGCTGCTCAAGGCGCTACTCAGTTCATCAATGGTATCCCTCATCTGAAGATGGAAGCATCGTTCTTTACGGTGTTGGCACGTGACGTTGATGCCATCTGTACCCAATTGCCTGACTTGTTCATCCAGCATTTATCGGTATTATTTGGGTTTTGCCGGATCATTGGCAATACTCGTAAACAGGTGGCGATGAAGGCGATTAAGCGGTTGACTTACCGTTATATTGATACCTTATTTGACATGATTGCCACCTATAAAGGTGATGTGTTGCCGCTGGCGTTGCTTGTAGCCATGCGTTTAGTATTGGCGTGGTTAAAGGAAGATTCCACTGCTCTTAGTGGCTTCCATGAACGCGACCAGCTGGTGATGGCATTGGCTAAAGTCCTCAACCGTTTGGGAGTCAAGGGGTGGCCCACTACTCGTCCTGTCAGAGCCTACTATTTCCACGAAGATGTTGATTTACGTGATTTCAGCTTGATCAATAACCGTTTCCGCGACTGTGACGATGATGCCGTGTTTGATTCCGTCGACTTCATGGCGGGTGACTTCCTGGCGTTGATTGATCCTACCAGAGGCCCGATGTTTTTGCCTCCTGGTTGCACGCTGGTGCCGCAATATGAAGATGCCTTGCGGACAGCGGCGATCTTGGTGGTTGGCGATAGCGTGCTTGAGTTTAACCGGGCTGGTTTTGATAAGACTGACCGCGGTTACGTGTACGATGCCAAGAAGCGGAAAGCCTCAAAAGAGCCTAAACCGAAGAAGAAGAACAAGAAGAATGCGGATCACGGTAATGCCAATAGCAATGGTAATGGTAACGGCAATGCCAATAATGACGGCAGTTACGCAGCCGTAGTGTCAAAGCCTCCCGCCGCTCAACAAGCCCCACCGAACGTGGCTCCTTCGCTTTCAGTCCTGGCCTCGATTGGACCGCTGGTGGGACCCGCTGACTCGTTGGAACACCTCCAAACGCAAATGATGAACCACATTCAAAATACGCTTAAAGCCGCAGAGACTTCTCCCGCTGCTGAGACTGACTCTCAAGCCTCTTCTGTCGGAGTAGCGTCGGAAGAAGTGGCTGAGGTAGCTGAGATCCAGTCGCGTCAGCAATCATTACAACCGGAAGAGGCTAATTCACGAGTACTTGAGCTGATGGTGGACTCGTTAGTGGAAGACGTAGCGCGAGTGACCGTCGACCAATCGACTGAGCCAGTCCATCAAGTTCCCACTTTGGCGACCCCCTTGGCTCCCACTGCTCCTACCAATCCTGCACCAGTTCACGTGTCCGCTCCCGCTCCCCTTCCTGTATCCTCTGCTCCCACCTTGCCAATGCCTAGTGTGCAAGCTACCCCTACCTATACCGCTCCTCAGCCACCACTCATGCCTCAGGCGTACCCTCAATACCAAGCTGCCGGCGCTTACGCCCCCTCGGCGTCGATCTGGGGGCCTCAGTACATGTCGCAGTACCCTCAGTACCAGACGCCGATGTTTTCTGGGGGTATGGCGCCGTCGATGCCGTCAGCTCCAGGGTACCCTCAAGTGTATGGCGAGCACAAGGACGACCCCTCTCAATGGCAATTCCTCCAGTGAAGTAAATAGCTACTTTGCAATGACAAAATTGTCTCATTGCGATAGTTATCGCAAACAAGCCTCTCTCGACAAATGCTCAGCAACTGTTTGAAGACTGATTCCTTCTCAGTTTTGAGACTATCGAACAAGACGGCTATTCTATATAGTTTCCCATCTATCATGTACCTAATTTGTCTAGAGATCTTCCGTAGCGACGGTTTGCGCTTATAGTTGCCAAAACAATTGTTCGGATTGAGGAACGGACTTCCGATGAGCTTATCTGCTCTTTACAAAGTTTAAAAAGAAGGTTAGGGCGGGTGGCAATCAGACCATTTCAAGCCCATTATTTGGCTTTAGGTTCGTCGTTAGTGCTTTTTCCCACTCTACCCCTCCCCATTAAGTGCCAAATATGGCGTTCTGCGGCGGCAACCCCTACTCTTACCCGATTCGGTGTTTGTGGCCCAAATCGTCAATATTTCAATTCGTCGACGGAGAACGACACTCCCACAATTTCGCGCGCTGGTAATAAATAGAGGAGAGAGAGCGCATAAATACAAGGCCCGTGGCGACAGAGAGCAGGTGCCGGCGATGAGGCTAGTAGCAGGTGGTGATGACCATATACGAAGCTATTTGAGTTCATGGGGGGCGTGGTTTGGCGGTTTGGGGGGCACTGCGACGCAAAAGCTTATTTGGCTTATTTACTGTAGCAGAGCGTAGTAGTGCCTATGGGAGGGCAGCTCCAGCCAGAGGGTGCGCACCCCATTAGTGAGTGAGACAAGAGAAAAGCATTAAACGGGGGAACAAATACTAGTAGCAATTTGCCCCCTAAAATGCTTACCCCTCAACACTTTGCCACTGGTGACCAATTTCCGACCATCCCTAGAGTTTTACTTGACGACGGGTTCGGGGAATTTTTCCCGATTGGGTCTGTTGAAGCGTGATGAGCGTAGGAGGAAGGGCAGCGTTTTTTTTGTTACGGGGGTGTAACTAGGTGCCGTCACTGGGTGGCGAGCCCCTATCTCATCTGGCGCCACCGCCGCGTACACTGGAACGCGCGCAGCCAAACCTCCCGAGGAAAGACAAAGGGGGGGACCAAAAGTAGCTCCCTTCCAGGTAAGCAGAGAATCATGGTAGGATAAGTCTATCTCTGAGTTGATACTGGCAAATCAGTAGTTGTTTGCAGCGAGTGCTATTTTATTAGTCTCTCATAGTGCCAAATTTACCGGTGGTTTTGCCGGCGCGCTGCCGCCGCCGGAGACGCTCTGTGTATGAGGATGCGCACCAAATCAAGGCCCCCATCCTACACCACCAGGGATGATCGAGATCCCCGATTTAGACGATGTTGTCCCGCACCCGGGAGCAGCGACGTCCCGGGCGCTCCAGGGGGGCTACCGGTACCCGATAGCCACTGACTTTGTCGACAAAGTGGCGGCGCTCGACCTCAGTGACGATGAGGAGGGCGACACCACCGCCGACACCCTACCCCAGATGCCAGCGGCGCTCCCACCGGCGCCGCTAAGCCCGCTGATGGCTCACTTCACTCAGCTACCTCCTCAGGGCTCTAGTGCTAGTGCCAGTGCTGACGTCGATATCACCCCGGTGGAACTCAATAACCTGACGCTCAGTTCAGGCCCCAGCGAAGTCGTGGACACGCTGACGGTGCTTCCACGAGTGATAGAGATGCCTGAGCTTGACCAGGAGCTGGTGGGGGTGCGTATCCCATCAGCACCGGTGGAGTTTACTTTTGGCGGCGCCGGCGACGCCGACAACGACCTCCTCCCCACCACGACGCCGTTACCGTTCCACGACCAGCGCCAGGCGCTCGTCACCGACTACAAAACCCCCACCGAATACACCTTGCACATCATCTTCACCCAGTTTGTCCGCATCGCCGAGATTAAGCTCTCCCAGTGCGCTGACCACCCCCTCCATGAAGACGCTCCTGTCGCCGATACTCTACGAGCCGGGGCTGATCCTGCGTTTGATAAAGTGGTGGCGCTGCTTGGGTTTATCGCTAAGAATAAGCCGAAACCAGTTATAGACCTGGTGATGTTCTGGCGCAAGCTGAAGCTGGAAATGGCAGCGATGGCAGCAGTGGACCTTGAGCGGGTGATGGCGCGCCAGCAGCTGATACTGCCGAACCCGCTGCAACCTGGTATCGCTAAACGACTGGTATCGTCCCAGGCGACGCTGCCGGCACTGACAGCGCCGCTGCTAGGGCTGAGGGCTAAACGGCTGTTGTCACTTATGCGTACTAAGTCGTTCCCTAAGTTTGGCGCTGGCGGCGCTCACCGGCGCAACCAGCTGACACTGGCGCTCGCCGTCACACCGCCACTGGCGCTGGGCGACGCTCACCATGGCGACGACTACTTCACACCGCCAGTGGCCAACCAACAGGTGTCCCACGCCCGCCACCAGGCCATCGTCGCCGAGCGCAAGCTGTTGGCGCTGATTTATATACTATGCCGTGTCCTCATCGAGATCGTGCGCCAGCTGACGCTGATGGGCCCCGAATTGCGAGATAAACTTGAGGAAATCGTCTACTCCCAGTTGAAGACTACCGACCCGGTGGCGACGCTGCAACTGTTGACGCGGTTAGCCAACTGGACGCTCTTCTGCGAGCTCTTGGGCCACATGAGTCACGACCATTTTGTGTCAGTATCTGACCGGTTTATTGCCGATCTTGAGCGCTATGGCCACGGAGAACTGATCCCCGTACACGATGAGCCTCGTTTGCATTTACTTATTCACGGCATGAGATTTTTAGAATTGCGCAATTACCCTCCGGAAGACTTTGAGGAAACGTCAGAATTTGTGTGTCTGCTAGCTCGGTTCTTCGCCGCGCTGACAAATGAGACTGTCACTTTCGCTTACTGTGAAGTTATTGGCAATATGTTACTCCCTTTGGCCCATCAATTGACGGCAGAAGTGAACCACCCGGTGTGGATGGAGGCGATGGAAATCTTGTACGAGAAAGCTAGTAAGCTCTGGCAAGCGCTGCTTTCAGTGGCCGATGACGGTGGCGGTGGCGCCCAGGCATGGCTGTACCTGGTCCACTTGATGACGGCAGTATTGGCCTGTCTGAGACGGGAATTGTTCTCCAATACCTGGTTTGAGATGCTCCAACGCAATAGCTTTAAGCTCAGGGCCAAAGTTGACGTTGAGGACAGAATCACCTACGTGGTGTGTGCGGCTCGCTTGATGTGGGTGTATTTGTACCGGTTACCTGATACCCTCAACAACACGCTTAAAAAGCTTGACCAGGCGGTGGAAATGCTTTTGCTTCAACCGACAAAGAAGAACGGCCAATGGCTTACTAATGACCAGTACCTTGTCGGTGCCCTGGTGGAATTTTTGCGGGTAGCGGGCTACAGTCACCTTAATCACATGCTTGAAAACGTGTTCATTCCTGCGTTCAATTCAAGCTTTAATGGGAATCTGTTAGAGGGGATGTGTCCGGAAAAACTTGTGGTTCTCATCCGGGCTTATTTGGTGATATTAGAAGACTATGAAGTGGGTCAAAAGCCTAAGTTCCCTCTGGACGAAGTGCTTAGTCAACGGCTCAAAGGACCCTTTGGCAGACCACTCGCTGCAACCCTGCTGCCCTCTACCACCAGACTGCCGATTGCCGAGTTCCTGTTTGCCGCTCGCACGTCGACCAACCGTGCTCTGCATGACGAAATCTGTCGCATTTTAGCCAACTTATTGCGTGTATTAGACACTCAATATGGCGCTCATCCTGATCCCGTGGTGCTGGAAACTGCTCCCACACAGGCATCACAGAAGTTCTACTCCCATTTCGGGCTTGATTTCTCGTTCCAACAGACTAAGGAGCTCCATTTGGAAGTGTTCGTGACATTGCTTGAAGCCGTACCCTGGGCATTAGCTCTGGGGGCCGAAGTGGTTCCCTATAAGCTGGTGGTGGAGTTATTAACTCGTAATGTTGTCCATGAGAATAGAGAGGTGGCGATGGCACTGATGACTGCCCTTCAAAAGATGGCGCTGCGGCGTAACGCTCTGGTGGTGGTTACCCATTTTGCCAAGTATGCGTTCAATTTAAGCGATAAGCCAGCTCCATACAACCAGGCATTTTTAACACTGGCTCAATTTAAACGGCTCTTGAAGCTTTATGTTGAATTACTCAATTGCTGGGTGACGCTGTTCCAACAAACAAGAAAGCCAGCGAAAAAGGGCCACCCTCTCAACCAGGACGACGAGAGAATGCTGCAGGACGTGCTCAACGACTTATACCAGGTTACTTACTCCGTCGGTGACGGCACTACCAATAAACCCCAGCACCAGCTGCTGCCCTCCGATGAGCTTGAGTGGAAAGCCATTATTACCGTGATTGAGGAAATTGAAGGTAACGGTTTATACTTTGTTTGTCTGAACGATAACAAAGTGCGCCACTACGGGTTTGCCATCTTGAAATTAGTGGAGTTGTTTGACCGCGCTATGACCTCAGCCGACGAAGAGAGTAACCCTAGCGCCGTGCACCTGCGCAGCTCGCTGAAGTTCGCTGCCGACGCCGGTACTCGTTTGATCCACATCTTGGAAAAGCTTGATTTGTTTGAGCTTGTAGCTCCGTTGATGGATGAATTGACCCAACCGGAAAGGGCGAGAATTGCCAAATTACGCCATAAACCGGTGGCGAGAATGCTCATTAAGATTGCCGAAAGCGACTACGGTCTTGATGTTACCCTCTGGCAACGGCTTTTCGCGAAAGTGGTAGCCATTTGCTTTGAGAAGTGTCCCATGCCTGTGGCCATTTGCCGCCTGGTGGTGTGCACGCGGTTGGTGCAAATGCACGATCTTGTCGTTGATTACAGCAACCAGGGCTCAGACGGTGCCAACAAGACGTTCAGTGGTTTGTTCAAGCCTGTGGGCCACGCCCCGCCTGAGCTCTTAGTGGAACAGTGGAAGCTCTATTTGATCTTCGCCTGCTGCTTACTCACGTCCACCAGCGAGCAAAAGCTTTCATTCCCTACAAACACTCCCACAACAACCACGGGAGGCCGTAAGAAGCTGAACAGCGGCAGCAGTGGCGGCGTCTATATCCAGCACCAGACCATCACTCTGGCGAAGCTGGTATTCCGCATGGTGCTCCCTCTCCTCAAATCATCGCAGACGATGGTTCGTGATGCTGCTCGCCAAGGTCTCAGTTGTCTTAACATCAATGTTTTCCGCTCGTTTTTGGAGTCGTTACCCACCAATGCCACTGAATGGAGCGCTTCGTCTACCTCCACCAATGGATCCAACAACACCGCAGTTCCCGCGGTGCCTGCTCGGGACGTCGCTGGCGATCGTGCCCGGGTGGAAATCGTCCACATTTTGGCAGTGGTGATGTCGCGGTTTGTTGATGAAGCCGTCATTTTTGATGACGAATGGATTGTCGCTAACTTGGTTAGCTTAGTCAAGAGTGTCAAGACGTTTTTACTGCGTCTGGAAGTGCAAACGGCGTGGGAGTACCAACGGCTTAGACGGTTCTGGTGTCAATTTCTCCACCCCGTGCTCCAGGGGTTACAAAAGCACCGCAGCGACATCGACCGGTGGATGCCGTTTGAAGCACGTATCGGCTGTTTCCGGTGGTTGACGGAGTGGTGTGGCTACGGCCTGAACAAGGATATCGAGTTTGAACGGTATCTGGCGATGTACAAGGCCATCGGCCACCCCAATCACCGCGATGCCGCTCAAGTGGCGGCGAAACTCGAAGTGGAACGCATGGCGTTACAGGCAGCGGCACTTGAAGCAATGGCGACAATCGTGGCTCTGCCCACAGTGTGTGATGTTCCCGTGGGAGAACACACGATTACCATGCTGTTTGACATCCCCAACACCATGGCGTGGATCAAGTTGTTGATGGTATACCACGAGAATGATGACCGTCGCTGGTTGAAAGTGGGTGAACGGGCATTTGCCAATATTGTCCTGAGTCTGTTGGCTCAGTGTCGTCCTATGAGCGACGAGATTATCAAGGAGCTTTTCTCCAGCGATGTTGCCCAATTGACCGAGGTCTATTTCACTGGTTACGTGCGTGAGTTTGTCAAACACGACCCGAAACTGTTTGGCGACGACTTGACCCATCAAGTGATGTGTTTGGCGACGTTTTTGGTTGGTCACCACCAGCAACTGGTGCGGTCGGTGGCGCTTGAAGTGATGGCGTTTTTGGAACCCCACATCGTGCCTGACCGTGCTCCTGACCAGCTCCGTATCGCTCTGTTTAGAGAACTGGTGATGCTGCAACTGAAAGTGGTGTACAAGAAGGCCCTCTTTGACATTCTGACCCACTTGGCGCTGGCTGACTCTCAGGGGACGTTGCCGCGGATTCTGTACATGACCAAGTACTTTTCCGTGGTACTGGCGCTGGGGAGACGGGACCTTTTGGCGTGTCTCTTACCGTGGATGCTGGCGGTGATCTTAGCTTACGATGAGACTGAACCGGTGGGCGATGTTCTGAAACCATTGACTCAAGGACGCCTCAACACGGGCCTGCTTATGGTGCTCAATAACTTGTTCGAAATCACGCTTTTGTTTGCCGACACCATCTCCAACGAGGTCGAGGCGCTCTGGGTAGCGTTGGGCCTGACCCACGGAAACTTCGATAAGATCTTGGACTTCATCCTCTCGTTGTGCTTGGAAAGAAAACATCCGGAATTCGTCGTCCACCTGAAGCAGATTGTCGACTACTTGGCGTTCAACAACTCGCAAAACCAACAGGACTTCTACTACATTGTTGACAAGTTCTTGGACAACTTGCACCCGCGGCTGATGGTGCCCCCGCAACCGAAACGGTTTACTACGGATGTTATTGACCCTCACAACTTCCTGTACGTGGCCGACGTGTCGCTTTTGATCCCCTATAATGATAAGGACCCGCTGTTCTCTTTAGGGCAGCTCAGTTTAACGTTTATGGTTGATTTGTTTACGATTGGTCTGCCTCAGTTTGCCGATAAAGTGGCCATGCTCGTGCACGTGCTGATTGTCCTCTTGGACCATTACCTCCCCTTGATCCAAGACCAGGCGCTGGAGATGTTGATTCATTTGTTGCACCATCTGGACCCTCAAGGGGAACACGCGGAATTAGTTGAAGAAACCAGTGATATGCTTCGCCAGGGAAGACTTTGGGCCTATGATGATCTCAACAATGATGATGTCAAGAGAGGGGCTCGTACTCCCATTCCGATGGACCGTTTGGTGCGCAACGTATTGAAAGTGGTGCCTCATCTCCAAGTGCAGTGGCTGAGAGTAGCCCTCCATTGGGCCACTACCTGTGCCGTACGCCACATTGCTTGTCGCCTGTTCCAAGTGTTCCGTCTGCTCCTCCTGTTCTTGGACCAGCTGATGCTTCGCGACATGCTCCACCGGTTGCTGAACACCATTGCCGATGACACCGACGACATCCAGGGTTTTGCCATGCAGATTCTCATGACGTTGAATGCAATTGTCGCCGAGCTTTCGCTGGAAAAGCTCATCGACTTCCCGCAGTTGTTCTGGCTGGCAGTGGCGTGTTTGTACACAGTACACGAGCCGGAGTACATCGAGCTGTTGCTGACGATGGCGAAGTTCGTGCTGAAGATCGACTTGGCGGCGCCCGATACCATTCTGTGCCTTATTCTGACGTTCCCGCCGAAATGGGAGGGCCGGTTTGCTGGACTCCACCAAGTGATCCTTGCGGGTACGAGACTGGGGAGACTGTGGGACTCGACCATTAAGCTTATGGATAAGCTTTTGGTGTTGCCTGATTCCGAGGTGATTGGTGTCGGTTCTCACCGGCTTTTGATGGCTTTCTTGCCCAACATTCCCCGGTTCTTACACGCGTTACTGCTTCATAAGATCCCCTCCGACGTCGCCACATGTGCCCTGAACCTTGCCGCTTTGGCCACTGCTCACAACCGCCCTCACGTCGCCCGTATCTTGGTGCTGATCTCGAAGAACAGGTTTAGACTGAAAGACGACTTCATCGTGCTGTGTGTCCACACGTTGGAGCGCGAGTTCTTCCCGCGATATGAGGCGCAACTGGTGGTGCTTTTGATGGGGATGTTAGCCAACCTGATCGACTGGGTTAAGCTTGAAACGCTTGCTTTCTTGCGTCACTTGCTCCCCGTGATTAACTTATCGAAGCCTGAATACAGCGGTGTCGGTGCTGACTTGATCAGCCCGCTTTTGCGGTTGTTATTGACGGAACACGCCGAGAGTGCCCTTCGGGTGTTGGATGAAGTGGAACACATCCTGGGGTCTCAGTTAGACCGTGAGGTATTGCGTATGGCTCTTGGTACCACTGGAGCCGCGGCTCGCGAGTCTCAGGACAACGTCACTGCCCTCTTCGGTATCCCTCAAGAACTGGGCTGGAGTGTGCCTACACCGTCGTTGGCGGCTGCCAATACCCGCAACAACGTCCATGCCGTCTACCTCACGTGTACCCCTACCGTGGTCGAGGAAGACGGCCTGGATGACGACACTATTGAGTTCCACCGCGAATTACCAGGTCAAACACCCGCGTACTCGCCTCAAGAGGCTGATGCCGATGAAGTATCGATGGCGGTTACTGACGACCACGAGGCGCTGTTGCTGAACGTGTGGGCCGCTTTGGACGATCTCGACTCCTTCTTCACTAAGGAGCAACCCGAAGCCGGCATGGCTCTCCCCGCGCTGGAACTGGTGCCTCAGGTGTACGAGAACGACGTGCTGTTCATTCTCAACCGGCTGTTGGCCCGCACCCAGCTGAACATCCTGTTCCGTACGGGTTTGGCCGATACTCCCATGGTGAACCTGCCGCCACCAGTACTGCCGCAGATGGGGTACCACTCGCTGGCGATTGCCCCCCGCCGTCTGTACATCCCCTTCCGGCTGAAGCGGGCTGATACTACGCCGAGAATCGATAACCACCAGTTTGAGGCTACTACTCCTACTACGCTGTCGCCCTACGCCAACGGCAACTCCAACTCGGTATCGACCATCATCACTGAAGGAAATCTGCCCACGGAAAACCCGCCCCCGCACCACTCACCACTCAATTTGCACCACTTGCCCCTGACGCGGTTTGAGGGTATCTTGGGTGGGTCATCGCGTAAACGGCTGCGCAAATCACTAGTGCTGCCTCCGGTACTGGTGGTGCAACTTCCAGAGAATCCTACCGTGGCTACGGCTAATATTTTGAATCAACCCATCTCGTCGCCGGTGCACAATCGACCTAAGCGATAATTTTAGCAAATATAGTACTCAGTCTAGAGTAAATACAAACGAATTAGATTATAACAAATTGTAGCACAATCGGGCATATCTTTCTCTGTCAGTTGAGGTGTAAGGACAAATTTGTGACGTGTCAAAACCAACGAGGAGTTGGCTCAACGGCTTGGTTTGGAGGTTGAGGAATTGAAGCATGGGAAGCTTTTTCACTGCCAGCGCTTAATAAGCTGATTGGAGTTAACTTAATGATTTACAGGATATATCATAAATCTTTTTATGTCTTCAATATATATACAAGCTATGTAGGCACTATTCAATGCAGTTATTTGGGTTCGGACAGTCAATGTGGTGCTACGTTCTCCGGGCACGGCACTATCCACTGCGCTTGAGGTGATAAGATCAACCTCATTTGCTGGGGTGCGGACACTCAACCGGGGGCCTTAGTGGGAATCCATGGGTGATGGAGAAATATACAAGTTCAAGAGCAGAATAGCGCCTCTTATACCTCTGCCCTGTATATAGCAAGTCATTACACTTAGTATGATTTGTTACCCCGCCATTGTTATTGTCGTGATCATCATCGCAACCCCACGCATGATTTAGTAAAAGATGCGATCAAAAATTTAGTCGAAGATCACAGATCCTCCCACCTTTGTGAACAAATCGGCGAGGATTCATTTGCCAATGCCATTCTCTGCTAACTTCGCTGGTTTTAACAGTCCCCGAATCTCGATATCTCTTGATCGGGTCGAAAGTACGGGTCATTGTCTGTAACGATGAGGGAGTTTTGAAGCCCCGTACCATCAGCCAGCCTTCTTTTGTCAAAATCGTCAACAAGGTGAGCAATTTAACAATAGTAGGCCAAAGTGACTCGCGGATAACTTGTACAATCTGAGACCACAATCATGCCTCGAATGGTGATGCAATCTCAGGGTCATGCTCTTCAATCTCAGTTGGTCAGAGTCTTAGTTGTTGCCGACGTTGTCTCACTGTTTACAAAAATTGCTCGTCAATGCAGCCAAGCAGCGACAAGAAAATGGCCTCCCTGGAAAGTAAATGAGTGTCCCAGGAGTAGCCAACAGTGACTCCCCTGGGTAGGTATCGAGTTGTTTTTAGCGGCGGTGGGTGAAAGTTCTCAACCAATGGTGGACATCGAGAGTATGTTGGCATCACCATTATCGCTAATGAACTCCTCCCGCGTACCAAACGACATTACATGAATGTCTGCGGTGAACCCTCAATGAAAGCATTGGTAGGGTGGAGATGATAATACCGTGCCCCGTCACAACCAACGCCATGCGACCACGGTTGCACTCGGCTTGAATGCGACGTCGCTGAACGAGAACGTGCCCCAGGTGTAAACTAGACATCGAAAGAAATCAACGCCTCGAGTTCAAACACCATAAAGCTCCGAGGTAGAGCCAAACTGGGTGAGGTATAACTTCATCAGGGCCTGTCAAATTGCGACTTTGTCTTAGTGCGCGGCTATCGCAATGCGGCCAAGCCTGGTTCCAAAACCATCAAGCGTTGAGTGATTATTGTCGATAATCACATAGACACCAGACTCTTTATGCAGAATGCCAACTCCACACATTGAGTAGAGGACCGCTAGGAACGAAGGATGTCTTGTACCGATAGTGAGCCCTTTCCCCAAGCTCACACACATTTCTCTCTCTGTGAGTCACGGACAGATTCTCTCCTAGTGACTCATCGTGAAACTCACAAAAGAGCTCCTAACAATACGAAGACAATGGCAGTACTCACAAAAAACATGCGAATGGTGTGACTCGAACACACGCCCTCTCAGATCCTGGTTCCGTAGTCTGAATTTTCTCAATTCAGCTTCGGCCGGCTTCTGGCGCTCTTCCCAGCTGAGCTACATCCGCTAGTTATTAATTACGTGTTTTACGCCATATTTTAACATGTTTCTTATAGTAAAACCTCATCGTTTGTGGGCATGCGGTCGAAGTAATCCAATCACACTTTCCATTCAATCGAAGTGGAACTCCAACGCTTGCAAACATTCATTTTAAGTGTCACTCTTACGCTAGTTTTCTCCTACCGATCTAATATCAGTTTGACGGTCTGGATATGCCAACAATAACGTTGCAGGTACTACGCGCGGCTTTATTTCCTCCACCTCCGATGGTTCGCACTATAAATAGGGCCATCTGAAAAAATCTTCTCTTCATCATCAGTTCATCCTTGGGGCGTCACTGGTTCGTAATCGTGGGATCGGTTCGATAGCCCTTTGACAGTAAAGCATAGCTTTCTGTAAACAGTGGACTGTAAAGCAAAGTCAAGGGCGTATCTCCGGCAATTGAGTGTCACATCGACGGGATTTTATCGGTCATGTTCCCTTCAACATTTGAACTAATCTCAACGTAATCATACACTGATACAAATAACAATTCACATTATTAAACTATCCTAAATGTTCACCGAGACTATTCGTTCACCATTCCCCGAACATGGTGTATAATGGGGCAAGTGTCTTCAATGCCTTACCCTGCTCAGAATCGTCAGTGGTACCCTTCACTACCGTCACAAAAGTGGTTTGCTTGCCATCAATCTCAGTGGTAACGGCACTAGGAATGTAAACTAAGCCTTCTCCATCAGCCTTGGTAGGGGTTTTGGAGTTTTCCTCTGGCTTCTCTGGCTTTCTGTCCTCAGTGTGAGTTGAAACGGGGTTCATACCGTCGTTCTGTCCCACTGATTGTTGGGTATTCGTGGTAGTGGTTTTTGTGGGTTTAGAGGGTTCATCATGGCTATCTTCTGAAGGTACCCCAGTACTTTCTCCATCAGAGGTAGCATCATTAATAGGTACCTTGCCAGGGGTGAGCTCTTCGTCTTGAGATCCATCTAATCCTGATCCCAAGATGACTTTGCCATCGGAGTCCACGGCAATTGCGTAATTGTACTTGTTTCTGGAGCATTCCAACTCGTTGGCGTCGCTGACGATTTGAAGATCGCCTAAAAGAGGAATCTCCCGATCAACATCTTTAGTGACGTAACGAATCTCGGAGAATAAACTCTTTGCCTTACCAGGGCAATTCTCCGCATCGACGTTGTTTTGTAACACCTCAAAGCTGGTCAATTGACCAATGCCATTGATTGTTGCGGTGAAACTTTCCCCAGCGGTGTCATTAACCTGAATACCTGCCAGCAACTTCAAATCGTTGTCACCATTTTGGACAACGCCAAAACTTATTACATCACCGAACTTCCAAGGGAAGTCATCGCCTGATGCTAAGGAACACTTTCCACCAGGAGTATGACATCCAGAACCCTTGACGAAAGACGTGCGACCATTATCGAATTTGACGCCAAATGTGTAGTCAGTGGAATCAGCAAGAGGAACCTTGATTCCGAAAAAGTACTTGCCTTTAGCTTCTTGGACAACTAAGTCGGTTGAGACTTCATGATAGTTATCGTTCTTGAGATGCGGAGGCACCAAATATTGTTGCGATGAAGCGAGAGTTGTGCAGACAAGGAAGGCAAGCGAGGCAATCTTCATAATTGAATAGCGAGTTCCTAGAGAGATTTCGCCGAGTTATAAGCCTCAGCAGTGTTGACTACTGCACCGGCCTTCATAAATGCTCGCCGCCACCTACCTTCCCTAATCAGGTTGTGCGTACCCGAATCTAGTCCATTTAGTTTGCCTATGAACCTAAAATCTTGAACAGGGTAGATGAATCAGCGATGTAGTAAACACACCAAAGTTTTCGTGACCATCAAGATCATGAGGAGGTGTAGGGTTTATGTTTGGCAGTCTCTCGACTGAATCTTTTTCCTTTCTATTACGAAGATTTTCGCCCAGGGGTACATGCAGCCGGTAGTCACTATACAAATTGAATGGGGCACACTGGTGCATACGAGTATGTCAACTGATGAGTGAAATAGGATTGCTTGATATTGAGCACTCGGCTAGAGAATAGGTTCAACCCAGTGAGGTACACCACTTCACTTGGTCTTAGATCGGTGAAGTACAAGGTGCAATTGTTTGATTGTAGATTGTGTGCCACGATTGTCATCTTGAGAGATTGAACCAAGATAACGAAATAATCCAACCAGTTGTCCCGACGTAAATGTTAGTCTGTGCGGGATTTGCGGCTTAAGCTTGATCAACGCAAATCACTTGCATCCGTAACGGGTATAAGTAAACACAAGATGCGATACACAACTGGAATAAGGCTCAGCAACACAGCGAAGGAGACTGAGTACTCCTGGATGAACCTAATCATGAAGAGCAACTTGTACACTTACCTGCTGTGAATTGTAATCTGAAATAGGTCAATGCAGACCGCCTAAGAGCATTCATTTTGTATGATACTGTGATGGTGGTCTATGCTACGCAAAAGTTGATACCCATTACATTCTTAACATTGTGGTACAATCCGAAAGTGTCAAACTATTCCGAAGTTGACGTCTTATCGGAATTCGGTGACTATCAAGGCGGTGCGGCTCTAGTAATGTGCGCGCGACCATGCTTGACACCCAAGACCTCCAAGGTGCATTCAAATTAGCCAATTTAACAGTGGCGGGGCTTGCCGTGCTCACCGGCGTTTTCCAGTTGTTTAGTGGCCTTCAGCCGTTTATACATGGGCTTTTCATCATCGCGTTTGGCTTGCTCATCGGGTTACTTGAATTCCGTATCCCGGCCGAGGTTGCCACCTATGCCAGTTTCATGTTTCTGTTTATTGGCCGTGGGGTGTTCTACATCTTGATTGCCCTGTTGGTGAACGGGGGACTGTTCCTCCGGGTGGTGTCGCTGATGCTCATCTTCTTGGTGGGTCTTGTGTACGTGGGGTTGGAGGCAGTGCCGCTGATTACGCCCCCCGAGAACATGAGCACCGACGGGGTGACTTTGGAAACCGAGGATATTGTATAATTACACAACGACTACAACCGTATATATATCTAATCCTTCTGGAACAAGTGGTGTTTCTCGTGGTCCTTGTGGTCCTTGTGGTGGTGGTGAAGGTGGTGGTGGTGAGCCTCATCAAACTCCTTGTGTTCCTCGATCACGTCCTCTTGCGCGGCTTTGGGAGCAGGCGCGCCCTCGAGGAACGTCGTCTGGCCAAGCCCTTCCAGCGGCTGACCGTACACGGGGTTGTAGTCCATGCCGTCCTCGGTGTCAAACACGTCGAACTTCTCCTTAGGCACGTTCACTTCGCCTTGAACCTCACGCGAGAACGCCGCCATCGGCGCCGTGGCCCGGTTGCGGTTTTCCGAGGGCATGGCAGCATCGTAGGGCCCGTCGTGGTGCAACCCCATGCTCACGGGGTCCAACGAGTCAATTTTGTCGACGCCAGCGTCCTCGGGGCGGGGTTTCGAGTCCTGGTTGTTGGGATTATGAAATTTGGGAAGAACCATAGTAGCGAGTGAAATTAATTCGTCGTTTGAAACGGGTGAAGGTTGGTTGCTGTGAGTTGTCGGTGCCGTATGCACAACACCTCGGAGCTACCGGATTTCGGTTACGCGTAAGAACGCGCCGCCGACGCGCTCCCTCGCATGGATTAGGGTTCTACTCAGAAGGCGGCACTGGTGATATCGAGTAGAAAGACTCAGAATATTGATTAACTGGCATCGTATATCGATTTGGGTTACTTATGACTTCGACTTACTCAATTCTTTCGCCAATAATCACCGGTCCACCTACTTTCATTCGTAAATGTTAATATGAGACAAGTCATAGAAAAAAGCTCCTCGACGTGTAGTGATGTAATCGTTGTTAAATTTCTTAACGGGTGAAAGATGATCGTAAATTGAACAGTTTTTGTGATCGTACGAACATAGTTACAGTCTGTAATATAAGAGACTCGTCGCTGGAATTGCACCAGCACAGAGAAAGAGTGTTTACATAATTCGATGAGACTTCCGCAAATAGACACGTAAAGGAAAGCTTAATGAAAGTCAGGAGCTTTTCAAAACTAAACAGAACCGGTTTTTTTCATTACAATTTCATCCAGAGGTGAAATTGAAATGTTTAATCATCTGAATTGTCAAGCATCCACATGATTGTTGTGAAGTCGAGGCGATGGGAGCATCAACACATCGCTCAACAAGCTTCGATGAGATCTATGACACCGTAGGGAGATGAAGTATAGCCCCTCTATACCCTCCCCCAGTTTATACCTTCCCTCACGTCGTCAAAATCTTTTTTCGCAGTCGCACTCGTCTCAGTCGCACTGATATTTTGACGAAGTTACCCTCACAGTATCTCCCCCTCGTTACCCTCATGTCGCTGGTTCAACGGCTCATAGAAGATCCGTTGTTAGCAGATGTTCTTGTGAGCACTGCCCACGACACTCCTGCGGAAGCTGCTGAGGCCTCTCGACTTGAGAATCTTCAAGCCCTCGTGCGGGACCCACAGCGGCTTCGAGAAGTCATTGCCGCTAATATCGAGAAACAGCTATGGCATCCGGGGCAGAGAAAGCGGAAGCACGAAGAGGTAGAAGGTGTTGAGGAAGAAGAGTACCCTAAGTACCAGGTGGTGGCTGTCCCTGACGGCTACCCCACCCATCCTCAGGAAGTGAAGCTGTTAGCCGAGTTATACTACTTGACGCAAACTCTACCACTTACCAAGTTGCTCCCCAGCAGCCACAAGGTGCTCATGACGGATAACTTTGAGCTGGCGTTGCTTGAAGGCAAGATCGCGGTGCTATACCTGCGGATAGAGGAGTTGAAGCGTCAAGGCAAGTGGTCGTTGCGCCAGCCTCAACGCCACTACGACCCTTTTACCTACGTTAAGAAGAATAAGAAGAAAGAGTTCCACTGGGACTGGGTGGTGAGAGAAGGCGAGTGGATGGCTGAGGACTTCAAGCAAGGGGTACGCTGGAAGAAAGCATGCTGTGTGGAGATTGCCCGAGCGATTAAGGCTTACCATCGCGGTGAAGATGTCACTATCAAGACCCGTAAGCCCGCCCTGGTGTTGAAAGAGTCCAGCCGGAACCCGGTGCTTTACCTTGACCCGGAAACCGACTTGTCTAAGAATGACTCCACGGTGTTGCGCAGTTTACCCAAGTACACATCGTTCTGTCAAGACTCGAGTGCGTATCTGCTTCTTAAGCACATGGAACTGCCCTTGGTGCCGGTACTGCGGCTTATCCACCCCACGGAAGAGAATAATGACTGGTTCAACCTCTACACTCGCACCGAGGAGGAAGATGACTTGGAGACCCTCAACATCGAAGCCAAGGAAGCTAAGATGATGTGCAAGGGGTCTCCGTTCGGCAACGTGCGCCGGTTCACCCCTCTCAAACCGCCAAAGCCTCCTCTTGTCAAGAATATCGAGTTCCGTACTCCGACCATCTGGCTCCCCCAAGACGACAAGCTTCTCATTCACTACATTGCTGAGTTTGGGTTCAACTGGGATCTTATCCTGGAGCATTTGCAAGGTGCCACTCTGACGGCGCTGTTGAAGCTGTACCAAGCGAACATTGAACGTAGAACCCCGTGGCAATGTTTTGAGCGCTACATTCAGCTTAACGAAAACTTCCAATTCCTTGACATGAAGGGTATGTACAACTACCACGCTCAACAATGGCTTGAGCAAGCGCATAAGCAACAGCTTACAACGAAACGGCGCATCTCACCACTTGGGGTCGGTCTGGAGCTGATCCAACGGGGCCACCGGCGTTTGCGGTGGGCGCTGATGTTTGATGCCATGCGCAAGCTGATCAAGAAGCGGGAAGATACCGCTAGGGACCGGTTAAACCTGCAGCGCAAAGCCAGTGAAGTGACGGCGCAGCAAGCCAACAAGAAACAGCTGACTAATGATAGGGTGGCCACCCCGGCGGAGCTTTCCAAACTCAAGTATGAAAACGACAAAAGCATCCGCAAGGCCTACATTGACCAACGCGCAACGCGCAATGAAATGGCGGCGGCCGTTAAAGGTGGCGGCAATGGCCCTACTGCGGCTGGTCCCCCAGCTACTGTTTCTACTACTGGCACCAACCCTCAACTGAGTGCACCGCCGTCAGCTCAGCCTAGTGGCGCTAACACTCCCCGAGCGCAATCGCAACCACCACAACAAGGGATGACTCCAGTTCCTCAGCAAACTCCGCTGAGAGTACCTCCAGGGTACACACCGGAGCAGTTCCAACAAATGATTGCCCTGAGACGCAAGAACACGCCAACGCCGAGTCTGACTCCTGTCCCCACCGCGGGCATGGCTGGAGCGATGCCGGCTTCGGCCCTGGTGCAGCAAACGCCGACGAAGCGGCTCCAATTCGCTCCGGCGCAGGTGACTGCTATCATCAACCTGATTCAGCAAAAGCATCCTAACTTGTCTAAGGAACAGGTGACGAAGTACGCGGCCCAATATTTGGCTACGCTCCAGCAGCAGCAATCGAACCGGGCGGTGGCTCAGGCGCAGTCCCACGTGATGGCCCCGAGCCAGTCAACGCTGCAAGCAGCTATGGCTCAGGGTGCCTCGCCGCGAGTGATCGATCCGGGAGCTACTCCCACGCCGCAGCAATTGATCCAGCAGCAACAACGCCAACAACGGGCTCGCCAACAGGCAGCCGTGGCCGCTCAGCAACAGCAGAGCCAACGCCAACAAATGCTGCCTCACGAGCGCCAGGTGATGATGCAAATGCAAATGCAGATGCGCCAACACCAACAATTGATGGGGATGCCCCCGCAATCTCCGTATGACGACAAGACGGAATGAGATTATAATGTAACGAGTGAACGAAATACCAGAGAGATACGATGTAATTAATTGAACGCATCCAGAGAGAATAAACTGTAGGTTAATGACTTGACTGATGATTGAGACGGCCAATGATTTAGCAACCCATAGTGATGATCATATTCATAATAGCAAGATGAGTCAACCTAGATGACAGGTAAATTATACTACGTTTTTTACTAACTATGGTAAACTCACCACATTGCTCATCATTGGTTTGACGTGTTTACTACGGCGTGTATTCTTTCTGGGGTCATCCGGGGTTAGCCATCGTGTGCGCTCATCGAGGTGGTGCAAAATTCATCCAAGGATAATTGTAGTCTCGCCAACAAAGCCCACCAAATCGTCATGATTTCTGTAAACACCGATTTCTCAAATTCACTTCCCCAAATTTCAATTTTGATTGTCCTATTTTGTCTCCCTCATCGCCTCTATTTTCGGGCATGTTTTTCACTGGGCTCGCACGGGGGGCATCGCGGCTCATCGATAAACTTTTTTCAGCTCACCTCATCACCATCGCCATGGCCGACTATACCATTAAGCCCGAGAGCGTGAAGCCGCTGAACGACACGCTGGACTGGCCGTTGTTGTTGAAGAACTACGACAAGTTGTTGGTGAGACTGGGGCACTACACCCCGATCCCCGCCGGGCTGACCCCGTACAAGCGCGACCTCCAGTCGTACGTGCTGCTGGGGGTGATTAACTTGGACAAGCCCTCCAACCCCTCCTCGCACGAAGTCGTCGCCTGGATCAAGCGTATCTTGCGTGTGGAAAAGACCGGTCACTCGGGTACTTTGGACCCCAAGGTCACTGGGTGTCTTATCGTGTGTATCGACCGGGCCACTCGTTTGGTCAAGTCGCAACAGGGTGCCGGTAAGGAGTACGTGTGCATTGTCAGATTGCACGAGCTGTTGGACGATGCCAAGGACATGGGGCGTGCCCTTGAAAACTTGACTGGTGCTCTTTTCCAGAGACCTCCTTTGATTTCGGCCGTCAAGAGACAGTTGCGTGTCAGAACCATCTACGACTCCAAGTTGATTGAATTCGACAACGAGCGGGGCTTGGGTGTCTTCTGGGCCCTGTGTGAAGCCGGTACCTACATGAGAACCCTCTGTGTCCACTTGGGGATGTTGTTGGGTGTCGGTGGCCACATGCAAGAACTTAGACGTGTTAGACTGGGGGCCATGGACGAAAACGACAACTTGGTCACCTTGCACGACGTGTTGGACGCTCAGTACGTCTACGACAACACCCGTGACGAACTGTACCTTAGAAAGATCATCCAGCCTTTGGAATCGTTGCTTGTCGGCTACAAGCGGGTGGTGGTTAAGGACCTGGCGGTCAACTCGGTGTGCTACGGGGCCAAGCTCATGATCCCCGGTTTGCTCCGTTACGAAGACGGCATCGAATTGTACGACGAAGTGGTGTTGATGACCACCAAGGGTGAAGCCATCGCCATTGGTATTGCCCAAATGACCACGGTTGACTTGCAATCGTGCGACCACGGTGTTGTCGCTAAGGTCAAGCGTTGCATTATGGAAAGAGACACTTACCCCAGAAGATGGGGCTTGGGTCCCGTCGCTCAAAAGAAGAAGCAAATGAAGGCTGACGGCAAGCTCGACAAGTACGGGCGCACCAACGAAAACACCCCGGCCTCGTGGAAGCAAGAATACAAGGACTTGGACGACGAACCCGCCCCTCCTGTCCCTGCTGACAAGTTGGCTGCCCCCGAGGTCCAATTGCCCAAAAAGACTTTGATCGAGGAAGTTGACGTTGACGTCGAAAAGAAGGACAAGAAGAGAAAGCGTGACGAAGACAACGACGACGACGAAGAGAAGGTCCTGAAAAAGGAAAAGAAGGAAAAGAAGGAAAAGAAAGAAAAGAAGGAGAAGAAGGAAAAGAAGGAGAAGAAAGAAAAGAAGGAGAAGAAGGAAAAGAAGTAACTTCTTAGCTGATGATGTTTCGTTTGTATAATATGCCCTTCGCGGCCCAATAGGATATAACATGGTAAACGTACCTTTAGACATTGTATTAGCGCGCCGCACCCCATGGCGCATTTTGTCTTCGCGCATCTATCCGCACCAAATATGGCTTCGCCCGCCGAATGGCTTGTGCCAATGTCTCGCGCGTTACTTGTGATCTCAATGGTACCACCGATGGTTTTGTCTGCTCTCTTCAATCTCTACTTCCGGCTTTTCTTCATTTTCTCCGTGGTGGCTACGACTTACGTGCGCGATCAACTTATTGTGACGCCTCGAGCGCCAGCAGTGTGGGAAGACGGCTGGTCCGATCAGGTGGTCCAGGCTGTAGCTAAGGTGATTGTTGCACCATTGCGGGCTCTGTACATTGTTGACCGCTATATTTTTGCCAAAAATCCCGAAGTGTATTGGTATTATGGGGTACCTCTTTCTCGCAGGCAAGGGTTTTTCGATTATTTGGAGATGGTCAAAGTGAGACGTCAGGTCTCACAACCAATACGCTTCGTTGACCATACTGAGTCCAATGAGGCTGACGAAGGTGACAATGCCAGTATTGTACTGTCACTGAGCGATGGTCGTCGAGCCCGAATCTTCTCTGGATTCACATCGAAATCTTAATCAAGCCGCCTCGTAGAAAGGTGACGATGTAGTATCGCGTAACTTTACTAGTAATAAGTGAGGAAGCATCGTCCTTAATCAATGCCTTCTTTTTCATCTTGCAATGAATTACGTTTTCATGTACCTAGACGAACGAAGGGGTTGCAAGAGCCACATGATTTCTTGTGTACTGCATACACCAACTAATCCTGCATGCAATGTAGATAGAGTGTCGCTGCTCCAAATACTCCAATTTTTCCATCAACTCACCCAAATAAATATATTCTATGATTTATGTGCCAAGAATAATTATAAAGCATTGAGTTTGATGTTCTCAATATTCTTCAGTCCTTTTTCATCGACATAACTATAACTACTTCAAATTCAAAATCAACTCGCCCAAATATTTATCTATTATACTTCTAGTGCCAACAAAATTTATGAAGCAAAGAGTTTGATTTTTTCAATTTTCCCTGATTTTATATTACACTTTGTAGTTTTTTTCCAAAAAAAATCAAGGAGATCCTGATTGCTGCTGTAGATACTATTTTCACAGTATACACTATAGTGGTGTTTTTAGTTTTTCTTTGAAGTGTCATTTACATGATGTAAAACCTCATTGAAAACCTATGAATGATATGCAAATGCAACGTTTGTGTGCAGGTTGTGAAATTTCAAAGTACGATAACCGTGTCAGCAAAAGTGTTAACATCTACCTAAACCCTTTAAACCAAATATACATGCTCCAAAATGACAGTGATGCAAACAAAAATGAGATAGTCACTCTGTAAATGTGTGATACAACTCACTTGGTTATGTCTTGCATCTTTTTGATGCACCTGCATATAGGCGTGATATATAGACGAGGTATTACGCCTATCTTTTCATTGCTACAAACATTGCAAGCCAATTTCAATGCTCACTAGATGTAATAAACTATGAGACTGACTTATATCGTGCAAAAAAAAATTTGCAACAAAAAAAAAGTTTTTTTTTTGTACTTGAATCTTATAAAAACTCACTTAGATACACCAATTTGGAAGTGAACTTTCCCAAAAATTTCTCAAACCTACGTCCAGTGCCAAAGAATTTTATGAAGCAAACAGATTGATTTTATTGACTTTTTCTGATTTTATATCACAATTTTTAGGTTTTTCAGTGAGAAATTCAGAAATCTTTACTTGTTGTCAGAAATATTATTCGGTCCCTATACATCGCAATGATGTTGTTCATCTTTTCCTAGGTTGTCTTGACATTGAAAATGTAAGTCAAGCAGGTTAATCACATGGTACATGCACCATCTACTGTATGCAGGGTTATTGTTCAAATGCAGGACGCGACTGAGTTCGTGTGTATCTCTACTCGCTACAGCTTTGACTAACTAAAAGTATACGAAATCATTTGCTTGTGACCTCAACTTCATAAGAGTTTGAAACTGTGTCTTGAATCGTGGCTTATTAGTGATTATCACTTTATCAATGTGAAAGTTCTTAGGTCATAGAAAGTTCCTTCAATGGAGTTTTGACTCGATGCAAGAAACCTTATGCGTTTGACTACTTTGGTTGCTGATTGATACGGTTTATGCTTCAACGTAAGTATTATTATTGAATGAAAAACGGTGTTTTACCAGTTTTCCAGGAGGATCGCTTTGAAAACCCTGGGTTCGAATTATGGTATTGGCATTTTGAATTTAACGCAATATCCGTTGTTTATCAAGTGGAGGATAAAACAATGTGACTGAAACCGATGTGGGGTAGGTCGTATTTATAGTTTATGCGTAATGGATGCGACGTTTGGTAGTTGTGGCGGTGACGACTGATAGTGAAGCCACTAATGCACCATTGAGGCAAAGCACCATACCCTTTCATTGCATTGACAGAAATTCTATGGCCTGCTGAACTTGAAAGCTACAATTTTAGTTCATGAAAACTCGAAGGCTATGGTAAAGCAGGTTGACAACTTGTTTTATGCACAAACCCATACTAACCGGGAAGTCCTTTGAACTGTGCAAACCCCGTTTCCATCCGCCTTAGTTCGACCATGTCATCAATGATAATGGGCTGATAATCATGACTGGTCACTTCTTTAATTTCTATTTATGGATGACCGCCCCACGGGGCTGACTTTATGACCGCGGCTTTCGCGGGTAAGACCCACCCGCACCGCCATCGTTACCGCCCCTATACTGGCTACCCATCCCTACTTTGTGAGCATAGCAATGATGGCTATTTCAGCGGTTCACCTAAGTCCGGAGTCAACCTCAAAAATTGGGATTTTAGTATGGCTGATCATCACCACGTGAAAAAAGCAACGTTAAATTTTTAGTGATCGCTCTAGACTCCGGTCCGGGGTTTAATACCAGCCGCAGTCGCACCGATCGTTCTCGCTAACCACACTTGGACCATAGCCATGGCGTCACTTGATATCCCCCGTCTCGAGGACTACGGCGTGTTCCCGAGCACTGGGTTTCTTCCTAGCGAGCTTCCCCTCGAGCGGTTGCCTCAGGACTACTATGAGCCGTGGGAAGTGCTTGTCAACAACCTTCCAGCGCTTATTTTAACCAAGACTATCCGGGCGAAAATTGATGCCTTGCCTCAACTCAGCACTGAAAAACTTGAAGACGAGCGCCAGTGGCGTCGGGCTTACCAGGTATTGTCGTTTTTGGCCCATGCCTACGTGTGGACTGGCCACCAGCCATCGCAACACCTTCCTAAGCAGATCGCCGACCCTTGGGTTGCTACTAGTGAAAAATTGGGGTTACCCCCCGTAGCTACCTACGCTGGTTTGTGTCTTTGGAACTTCAAGCAGATTGTGCCTAACCCCGACAACTTGTGGGACCTCGACAACTTGACGACAATCAACACCTACACCGGGTCCATTGACGAAAGCTGGTTCTATCTTGTTAGTGTGTACTTTGAGTACAAGGGTGCTTACAGTATCCGTGCTGGTCTCGAAGCTATCAAGCAGGCCGATCGCGGAAACGTTAAAGGCGTCGTCGCTGCCCTTCAAGCGCTCGCCGAGCTGATTGACCACTTGGGGTCGGTTCTCATGCGTATGGAGGAAAACTGTGATCCTCACGTGTTCTACTACCGTATGAGACCGTACTTGGCTGGCTGGCGCAACATGGCTGAAGTGGGGCTCGACAAAGGCGGGGTATTTTACGGTGACGAAGTGAAGCCAAGAGCCTACGCTGGTGGCTCTAATGCTCAGCTGTCGTTGATCCAATTCTTGGACGTTTTACTCGGCATCAAGCACTACCTGACGGGTGAACGCCCGTTACCTCATGCTTCGGAACCGCCCAAGGCGGAAGCTTCGGACAATGCCTTCATGGACGAAATGAAGGACTACATGCCCGGAAACCACCGTGAGTTCCTCTTCCACTTGCAAAGAATCACCAACATCCGGCTGTTTGTGCTCAGCCAGGACAATGGCGAGCTTACTCTTGCCTACGATGCTTGTCTTGCCATGATGAAGGCCTTTCGTGACAAACACATCCGCATCGTCACTCGTTACATTGTGTTACAAGCGAAAAAGGCCCCCAAGTTGGGGTCAACTTCAACCCACCGGCTGGGCTTAGCGAAACAAAAGAAAGAGGAGCGGGGTACCGGCGGTACCTCGTTGTTGCCGTTCCTCAAACAGTGTCGTGACGAGACGGGCGACCCCGCCGCGGGCTCCTGGGGTCAGCGTATTTTGAGCGATGGGGTGATGAGACTCTCATTGTCCACGCCCAACCCCATCAACGAGGACTAAGTATATTCCTAGTTTCTCTCGTCATGAGTCACGATTATATATTTGATAATTTATTTACATAGGTCATTTAATAGAATTCACTCCGGCCTTCAGAAATACCGTTATCTCGTTGATCATATCTTCTTTTACGAATTTATCCTTAATCGGGGCATTTGTCTCATCAGCTCACAAAATCCTGTTTCAGGGGTGAGGCTCAGCGAATAGAGCCTACAATCGCAAAATACATAAGTTTCACTTAAAATTACTATTTTCCATTGATTTTCAAACATCATCTTCATCTACCAGATGTTGCCAAGCGCCGAATTAGTCTCGATCTGGCTGTAACGGCTTCTCCGCCTTCGGCACGTTGCTAGGGTGATTGCACAGCAGCCCGGGTTCCCGAATCGCGCGTTTTTCTAGACTCGGTACCTTAGGTATTTAGCTGCCGGTGAAATCTAAGAGAAAGTCTTCCACCCCCACGTTCCGATGACCACCATAAAACACCGGACAAACAATACCGACTACGGGGTAGAGGCTCCGCCCGCGGATGCTCCACTTACCACGCTTAACGATTACTACTGGACCAAAGATCAGGAAGCCCACGGCATTCGCAGAAAGCTCATCCTCAAAAAGTACCCCGAGGTGACCAAGCTCACCGGCTACGAGCCAGTAACCAAGTACTGGGTGTTGCTTGTGCTTGCCATCCAGTTCACCTGTGCCTACTTGCTTCGAAACACTCCCGTGCTCCTGGCTCGTTTCATCGCTACCGCTTATGTGGTCGGTGCCACCGCCAACCAGGCGGTGTTCCTCGCCATCCACGAACTCAGCCACAACTTGTTGTTCAAGAAACCTGTACACAACAAGTTGTTTGCCATCTTCACCAACATGCCGATCGGGATCCCCTACCTGGCATCGTTCCAGCCTTACCACCAGCTCCACCATAAGTTCTTGGGTGATGAGCACTTGGACACCGACTTGCCGACACGGTTTGAGCTGATGGTGTTGTCTAACGTGCTTGGCAAAGTGTTCTTTGCTACGTTCCAGATCTTTTTCTATGCTCTTCGGCCAATGTTCATCACTCAAATTAACTTCACTAAGTTCCACCTTATCAACATCGTGTGGGTGTTCCTTGTTGATTACGTCATGGTATCGGCGTGGGGCATCAACTCACTCTGGTACTTTATCATGTCGTCGTTTTTGGCAGGATCGTTACACCCGTGTGCCGGCCACTTTATTGCTGAGCACTACGTGCTTAACGACAACAATAAGCCGCGTCAAGCGGTCAAGGACGCTGAGGGTAACAACATCGACTTGCCCCCGCTTGAGACTTACTCGTACTACGGCATTTTGAACCTTGTTACCTGGAATGTCGGCTATCACAACGAACATCACGACTTCCCCTATATCGCGTGGACGAAGCTCCCCGAGCTCCGTCGCATTGCTGCTGACTTCTACGACCCGTTGCCGCAAGTGACGCTGTGGACAGGCGTGTTGTGGTGGTTCTGCACCCGTGATATCAACACGTTGTGGAACCGGATTAAGCGTCATGGCAAAGTGACGCTGGGGAGAAAAGTTGGGGTGCGGTTGGATGTAAACTAGGATATAATTATAACGTTTTTTATTTGGGACATTACTACATTATGTACACGGCTTACAACCCCTTGATCAAGCGGGTGACGTCGTTCAACCCGTCCTGGTTGAGCTCGCCCAACTTGCCCTTGACGTAGTCGACAAGGTTGTCGACGGCCACTTCATCACCTTCCGACAGTTCCCCTTGGTTAAGCACCTTCACCCGCACCTTACCTTCAGGGTATTCTTCCTTACCGAGAATGACGGCAATCAGAGCCCCCAGCTTGTCGGCAGCAGTAAATTGCTTCGGGGCGTTGGCCTTGTTCTTAAACATGTACTCGACTTCGAGGCCGGCCTGGCGCAATTGGTGGGCCACCGCCATTCTTTCCTTCAAGAACCCGGTCCAGCCGTCACCGCCACCGAGAGCCATGACGAACACTTGAGTGTTGGAGGGAGCCACCTTCTCGATTTCCTTACCGGCACGAGCCTTGATGATGGAAAAGATTCTCTCAATACCGAAGGAAATCCCCACACAGGGGATCGACTTGCCGTTGGAGAACATACCCACAAGCCCGTCGTATCTACCACCGGCGGCGATGGAACCGACCCCGACATATTCCGAGGCGTCGTCGTCGTCCTTCTTCTTCTTTTTCTTGTCCTTTTGCGCCTTTTCCTTGAGTTCGGCGGCGTTTTCGGGAGCAGCGGAGTCCTTGGTCACCACTTCGTAGATCAAACCAGTGTAGTAGTCCAACCCACGGGCAAGCGAGAGGTCAAACGAGAGGTAGGCTTCAATGCCGAAGGCTTCGATGTAGTCAGCAAGAATCTTCATGTCGGCAACACCTTGTTGGATCAGCTCGTTGTCCTTCACCGGCGACGATTCGAGGAAAGTGCAGATGTCACGAATAGTACCCTTGTTCATCACCAATTCACCGATCTTGTCGGCGACTTCCTCGGGCTGGTTCTTTTCCACCACCATCTCCTTCTTCACCGCTTCCCACGGCAGCTTGTCGAGCTTGTCGACCGCTGACGACACCTTGCGCACGTCTTCTTCCTTAACACCACAGGCCTGGAAGATCCCGTCCAAGATCTTCCGGTGGTTCAACTTGATGGTGAAGTCGTTGATGCCAAGCCCCGACATCCCTTCGACCAAAAGCGACAACACTTCGGCGTCAGGCACCATGGCGTCGTACTGGCCGGCGATGTCGAAGTCGCACTGGTAGAACTCTCTCATCCGCCCCTTAGTCATCGCCGGCTGGTCACGACGGTACACCTTGGCGATGTGGTAACGCTTGATCGCCTGGATATTGTTGCAAGCAACAAATCTGGCAAAGGGGACGGTCAAGTCGTATCTCAACGAGGTCAACTCACCCCCTTGGTCTTCCAAGTTGTAGATGAGCTTAGAGTCTTCACCGTACTTGCCGGTCAAGATCTCTCTCAATTCGAACACGGGGGTATCGATGGTGACCCCACCATGGCGCTTGAACGTCAGGATGAGGTGGGCGAAGATCGCTTCCCGCAACACCATGTCGGACCCCAGCCAGTCCTTGGTCCCCTTCGGGGTTTTGAGGTGGAACTGGGCGTTCTTGTCCTTCTTGCCCTTACCTTGTTGCCCCGCGGGAGCAGCAGCAGCTTTGGGCACGCTTGTGGCAGCAGTTTCGGTCGACATTCGGCGTAGATTACGGAGCACTAGCCGTGTGAACATAAAACTTTTTCGCACCCACTGCCCCCGGCAGCTGAGTTAGAGCCAAGTGAATAAATTGTAGGAGAAGTAAATACGAGATTGAGTGGTGGTTGTGATGGGTTTGAACTGGATTATTCAATGTTTTGAAGAGTTTAAGTAATTATTGGGGGTGTATAGGGTGGTTTTTTTAGGTGTACGATGGCGATGCGAAATACTGGTGATAGTGATGGTTACAAAAAATATAGTCTGCTTCAAGCAATTTGCAAGTGAAACTTTAAGTTCTTACATATTCTGATTTCGTTTATTTGATGAATGACGTGAAATACATTGAAGTAATGGGGTCCAATACCCGCGGGAAACCGGTGCCGGCACAGGTCTCCAATGGCAGCAGAGAAAACACAAAAGCTTAGAACGCTTGGCGGTACTTGGTGTTCTCGTCGTTGGGGTACATCGGCTCGTACCCTTGGCTCTGGTTGAAGTAGTTGTAGCCAGCACCTGGGTTGTTGTGGCGCTCCTGTTGGTATTGGGGCGGGTACATCGGCGGCTGTTGCGCCGGGTACATGTTGGGGTTGGCGTACACCAGCGTTGCCGGCTTCTCGTAGTATTGCGGGGGGTAGTTGTCTTGGGAGCGCTTATTCAGACCACAGCAGCAGCAGCACGCGCAGCACGCGTCACCACAGGCCAACCCGTAGTAGAAACAACGGAAAATGGTGCCCAACACCCAGATGACAATGATACTCCCAATAACAATCAACACAATCGCCACCACCTTGCACGCGGTGTCGTTCATACACGAGTCCCACAGCCGCCACAGGCCGCTGACGTCGCTCTTGCCGCCGGTGGCATCATCAATGATGTTGCGTCCCACAAGATAGAGGGCGTTGATCACTTCGTTAGGGATCGGAGACATGATGCTTTGGTGTGATGGAAAAAAACAGGAGATGTGTTTTGTTAAATCAAAGGTGACGCTGCAGCAGACCACGCCCTTTTTATTCCTAGCGGAAAGGGGGCTTCGCGTCGCTGCGCCCTCTTAGTGTCAGAAAAAAAAACGAGGTGATCAGGGGCTGTACCTGCCATTTGTGGAGCAGAGCAACAGACAGAGATAAGGGTGTTGGGGTTTCTTGAAATTGCTGGACTATTTGTGTTGGTATATGCTAGTAGTGTAGGGTGTGTACCTCAGAAATATGGCCAAATCGCGGTGGGTAGTGATTGGTGTTAATGGAGAATGTCGCGTGGCTAGGCTTCGCGTCGAGGCTGTAAACAGTAATTTCGCGCATACACACTGACAGCGATGGGTTTGGTAGCTGCACGCCCAGCCCCCATTGCCAACCCTCTGAAGGCTCAGCCTTAAGGTAGCGGGCTCGGCACCCGTGACCGTTATAGCTAAAATTAGATCTAGGGGAGTTTGCGGTCAAGCAGGCCCGTAGTCCCGGACTGTACAACAGAGACCGTTGCCGAAGACATGGATATTTTCTCCCAGAAACGGTGCTGTTGGTGGCACCACATATTGCTTAGGATTGTTCCCGTAATAAAGTAACTCATGATCCTCCCACGGTAATGTGACTGAGTCCTGATACCGACGTCTCACTTGTTGGCGTTGCATTGATGCCAGTAACAGGGGAAGCTCAACGGCGTTATGAATGGAGATATGGGTATTATCTGGTGGTCCCACTATATTCTCTTCTCGACCACCAATAATTACTTGAGACCAACGTCTTCGTCGTTGCTGGCGCCAGCCCACACAATACTTACAGAAACACAGCAGATAGGACTCGTTAAAGTGTGAGCGGTAGAGTTTTGCTGTAGCGGTGAACCCTCCGTCAAGACGGGCTGACTCGACTTTGTCATCATGGTCAACGACACACCCCGAGCCAGCATGCATGCAATCCTCGAAATAGAACGCCATCAGGAGCTGGTGGGTGTGCCATACCAAATCAATATCGAGCGTTGGTACTAGAATTTGTTGCTGGTCATAGTGAGTGATTAAAGAGAAGAAGCGGGCATAGCGCTTGATCAGCTCTTTTAACCCATGCGATATTTGGTCCTGATGAAGCCAGTCGATATCGTTCATTGCCTGGGTGAATCTCTCTTGACGTAGTACTGCGCCCACCAAATCTTCCCATACTTCAAAACCTTCTCCTGGTATTGTACAATGTATGGGGTTCATCAAGAGATAATTGCGGAGAAGAAGGTTAAGCTTGTGGCCTTGACGCAGCGAATTGAGACTTTCAACGAATTCTGTGAGCAGCATCCGCTTTAACTTTGCTAGCTTCCGCCTTAAAGTTTCTTTCAAATTGTCGTTGATGGCGTTGACGTCACGGTGGCGGAACTCACGAGGACTGATGATGCTGGAGAAATACTTATAACTACCAGCTAATGCGGTAGTTCGATGAATGTCGGCGTAGAGCTGTCGTCGTCGTAACAAATCGTGGTTAACGATTTTTTCAGTGGGGAAACACTTGCAATAAGATAGGCTGATGGCATGGACAAATCCCAGGTCACAGAAACCTGTGTTATCATTCAGAGTCCAGGAAACGTTTTCCACAAGTATCTCGTGACATACAGGGCAGAACACATCCACCAATTGCTGGCATTGGTCAAGTTTATCGATATGGTAAATGAGATCGCGATAATTGTCGGTATAGCTCAGCACCACGGTATGATACGTTTGTTTGAAATGGATGGCAGGGTCGTAAATGAACGTATCGTTATCGATGGCATTGCTGATGAGCCTTAGTGGTAAAGGAAACATGGCAAATTGCGTAAACTGACTACGCATGAAATGATCATACATCGTTCGGGGCATAAGGAGAAAGGCATGCCACACCATCACTACGTCCAATGGAGGTAGAATGGCCACCATGCGGTTCATGAAGTTGCGATCTTTTCGGATACCTTCCCTAAACCTCAGCTCCTCATCGTCTTCTAAAAACCAGCGAACATGATCTTTGGCGGAAAACTTGTGGACAGCCCTGACAAATACGGTAAACCGGCGTACAGCGTTCAGCACATAGATCTGCCACCGTTTATCTCGGGTTAGCTCATCGCTGTCGTCGGCGCCAAGTACCGTTTTCTTGCACACGTCAAAAGCCCGAAGGAGCCTCAAATGACATACAAGGTCAGCCACCAGCGGCATATGATTTTTGTGAGGTTTTCGTAGTGATGGTTGGCGGGTGCCACTGCTATTGACATAATTGGCGACAGCGTTAGTCAGCTTCAGCGACAGTTGTGGTGGTGGTGGTGGTTCCCATGGCCATGGGGAGGGATCACCGTCAAAGTACCGGTGGATCAGATGGTCCCGCTTGCGAGCCAGGGCTAGCACTTGCCGGAAGTCCATTCACCACACTCTCCGATGAGCAATGGGCGTCGTTATTTACCAGCTGAGAATTACACCATCGGCATGAGCCCATACCGTGGTGAAACTGAAGAAAATAGGTCGATCATGCAATCTTTAGAGGCACCACCGTGCGTCATGATTTGCCTCCTCAAAGACGATATGATCCTGTCAGCTTTAACAGCGTCATCGTCCATCATTACGCAGAGATGCCTCCAACCGAGAACCCCTGCGTTCATCAGATTGACAATAAATTTCAATCGTGGAAGTGCAGGTCGTCTCGGAGTCATAGTAATCGTGTTCCTCGATGATTGGCGAGCGTATTTACTAGTTAACGGCTTTAAACTTTGTGTTGCTTAGGCATTACATTGTCGAGCAAAATGCATGACAGTGTTTATCGGGCGGTTACGCATCAATGGTATGGTTCGCATATATATGAACTCGGCACTAAATTGACACATAAACCGAGTTAAAATAAACTCACAAAGTCATTTGTTTTGCGACTAGAAAACCATATTTAGCGTAAGTAGTAATAGACCCTCTCAGCGAAGATCGAGAGGGGTTAATCGCGATCGATGCCGACAGTCGCCGTTCAGCTCGTCCCTGTGCAGTGATGGTCAAGAATCCTCGATATTACGGTGATTGGCACCGTATGGTTAAGAGTATATCAATGGACTACGAAAAAGTTGATATTGATAAAAATTCGGCGTAGGGCGATGGGCCTCTACATTGTTCTTTTTTATATATTCTTTATATTGCATATTTACAACACCACATTTTTTTGCATTAAGCGTAAGCTTCCGGCGGGAGCGGGCCCAGCGCCTTGAAGTTGATTGCACACTGGTCGAAGTTCCAATTACTCTGTTGACAGAGCATGAGTGCGTATTGAAGATTGAGCTTGGTCTCGAGCATCACTTTGACCACAAGCTCTTGTTGCACCGGGCTCAACTGCGCCCGGATTTCTGCCGGTAACGACTCTACCCCTGGTTGACCCGGTTGTGGGGTAGCTCCCGGAGTCGGCACCTGTGACGGAACCTGGGACGGTACTTGCGATGGCACCGCCGTTGCCAGCTGTATGCTAAACGCCAGCGCATCAGTATAAGGGCGGAGGGCAAGCATGTCGCTGGCCACTACCATTTGTCCCCCTGGTAAGAGCACGAGTACGAACGTGCGGTCGAAACTGCGGCGCTCAAGTTTAGGCTTCTTATGGTTGTGGCCGTGATTGCGGTGGAAGCCACCCTTTTTCCCGACGTTTTCGGTGTTTTTGGGAGCCTCAATCTCCTCAAACGAACCATGGAGAGTAATGACGATGCCGTTAATCGGCAGATGGGGCAATTTCCACGCTTCCATAGCAAAGTCTTGCGGTCGCGTACCCAAAGCGTGGCGGGTGCCGGGGATCTGAAGGAACAGCTTATAGATGGCTTCGGGCCCCGTACTGAGACGACTGGCCCGCACCTGGTCGGCCAGCACCCGGGCGAGGTTGCGACTCATGTACATGTAGTAGCTCCAGTCGATATTGCTGTTGTCGTTGCTGAGCACCACCGGGTGGGACATATCCATCAGCAACGAGAACTGCGACTCCGCTTGGTATAGTTGCATGAGCCCTTCGCGGTTGGTATCCCACAAGTTGATGTAATTGGTGATGAACATGGTGGCGGTGCTATTGGTGTCTTCGAGGTCAGAAAACATTTGTGTGGGCAGGGGGAAGCCAAATCGGAGGTTTTTGGTGATGACCTCTTCGTTGCGTACCGCTTTGTTGTCTAATAAGACGAGACGAGGGAACGTTTTCATCAAGTCACTCTGGATGCGGTTGGCGTCGTGCTCGCTACGACAGTTGGTGATGAACGGGTTACCCATGACGAGGAGCTCACGTAAGTATTTGAACTTATTGCGCCAGGTGTCGAACACTTTGGAGGTCTTAATCTGGTTATTCATCAACAGCAAGTTCAACAAGTTAGGGAACGCCTGCGACAATGTGGTGACGTTGGTGAGGTCAGGCAACTGGTTGTTCAGCAAGTTGATCAGCACCACGTCCAACTTCAAGTTTTCCGCCACCTTCATGAGGGCGGGGAAGAACTTCGACGACGTCAGCGCTTTAGAGAAGAACCCCGTTTGCAGCAAGCCGGGGTCGGCGGCGACGGCACTGAGATCCAACATCTTGATCTCTGGCTGGTAGCGTGACCGCAAAAAGTGTTGGAGCGACTCAATCGTGTTCGGGGGCCCGCCAGTGGCCGCGGGGTTGGCGAACTGGCCCATCCCCGTGCCTTTGCGGAACTCCAAGCTCTGCTGGGCGAAGCGCAACCCTTTGTATTCGAGCAACCGGTTAGCCTCCTTATCGTTGATGACGTAGCCTTGCAATATACCCGTGTTGGGGTCGACCAGGTAGTTCAGCACCCTGATCTTGGTTTTGCGCAAGATGAACGACACGGCCTCGTCGGCGGAGGCGCCATTCCAGTTGGCGATTTCCACGGGGACGGAGTTGGCCTGCACCGCCTGCTCCATTTGCTGGAAGCTCGGCCGGTTGTTGTTGTATCCGCCTCCTCGGCCGCGGCCACGATAACTCATGGGGGTGACTGAGCGATGATGGGGGAGACGCTATGTTAATCGTTTTTCAGTCTGTTGGGAGCCCCGGGTCGGGGCGCGCGCGAGCACTCCCCAAGGGAAAAAACTAAAGGTAAGAAAAAGACACGAGCACTCACAGAAGGTATACACAACAAATATACGACGGTGGTGTATTTTGTGTGATAAAGATAAGAGAATAGTGAAAATTTAATTACAATTCCGTTTAGGGCTTAATATCTCACTACATCAATTTTTTAAATCATCGTACAATCAAAAGGTGGTATATATCTATATGGTACATCTATTCGGTTAGATCAACGCCAACGCAGCAAAACCAGCAGCAAGCGCCGAGTCGATCAAGCCCGGCTTGATGTTGTTGGCGGCGTTCTTCTTCGACGACAGCTCCGAGGCGCTGTTGGCGGAGTCACTGCCGCTGCCACCGTTGTCCAGCGAGCTCCCCGAGGCCGAGCTTGAGCCCGACGAAGAACCCGACGAAGAGCTCGAGCCCGACAGCAGCGAGCCCGACGACGAGCCCAGCAGCAGCGCCAGGTCGGAGTCGTCGACGTCGTTACCCTTTTCATAGCACTTCCACTGAGTTTCGGCGTCAAACCCGTTACCTTCAGGAGTGGCCTTGTTGTTGATCCATTTAAGTGCCCCCTTAGGAGTGTCGGGGATGTCGTTGGTAGCGTTCCAGTGGCTGGAGATCGGGGGGCAGTCGTTGGGAGGTAAGTCGGAGTGGTAGCCACCGTCGCCTTCGGGGTTCTTAGTCTTTTCAAACTCGGACTTAAGGTTGTCGAAGTCGGCGAGCTTAGTCACCGAGTCGCCGTCGAGCTTGACCAACCCGTAGTTGTTGGCTTCTTCCGAGTACTCGTACACTAAACCACCGGAGAACACGCTGGTCATGTCGGTGGAGTAGATCGACTCCACTTCGGTGAACGGCCGCGGTCTCGCCTTGTTGCACCCGTATTCCGACAAGAACAACGGTCTCGAGAAATTGCTGTATTGTTCGACTTTTTGGTCGTAGCCCGAGGTTTTGAACGACGACTTACCGCACCACGAGTAGTCGTTAAACCCAAACATGTCGACACGGGCCATTTCGTCGTCGCCACAGTTGAAGTAGTGGGCCGATTCCAACCGGTTCAGTTCGACGTCGGCAGCCGAGTACCCCACGGGGACCTGTCTCATCCCCCGGTTCTTCAAGAACGTCTTCATGTCACGCACGGTGGCCTTGACGTACAACGCTGCAGCCGTGGTCAGGTCGTCGTTGATCACTTCGTTCGCGGCAAAGAACCCCAACGTGTTGTCGTATTTCTCCATGGCGATCATGGTGGCAAACACCTCTTGGAGGTAGGCGGTGTTGTACGAGCATTCGGCCTGGTCGTCTCTGGCGATCAGCGCCTTGGGGACGTTGACGTCCAAGATGACGTAAATGCCGGCGTCGGCAAGCGCGTCCATGCAGTGCTTGTGGTCCTTAGTGTTATCGATCGAATACACACGGATGGTGTTGATCCCTAACTCCTTAAAGTACTCAATGTCACGATCACAGGTTTTGTCGTCGGCCAACGGGTCAGTAAGCTTCAGCGAGCCACCGGGCTGGTAGTCGACGCCGCGGATGTAGAACCGGTCATTGCCGACGAAGAAGGCGTTGCCTTTGACGGTGACGGGTTCAATAGCAGCGACGGCAGCGATAAGCGAAAGTAATTGGACGAGCATCGGGCACGGAGGTGAACTAGCGCCCTGAGTTCGGCAATGGCGATTTATTTATAGTTTGGGTTTTTGTTGACGGTATGGCGCGCTCTACCTGCAGCTAGGCGAGTCCCGGTGCAGGTCGAGCCCTCGGGCACTACGGCGGAATGCCCTTCTCCTGCCGGCGCTAGCGCACGGCTTTGAGCAACGCTAGCCCCCCAGCTGAGGGGTAGCAGAAGGTAGAGCTAGGGGGAATAGTCAGCGATGGACGCTAATGGTAGTTTCGCTGACATCGACGATTTTGTCGTGGTAGTGGCGTCGCGTCGTGCGCCAGCGTGCCACAGCCCGCTCGCAAGACTTGGCTTAATTCCACCTGCTGCTGTTTGGATTGATTGTTTGTGAATGTTTGCGAGCGCGGGGTTCATAGTACCTTGCTGTAGCCAAAAGCTGTAGGAGAGGGCCCGGAAAAAAAAAACAGCCTTCGAGAGAGAAAAAACGAGATCACAGGGATGAGGGGGTGTAGTAGGAGCTCGGGGCCCGTTAGGGCTAAGGACAATCCATAAGGGGGGTCGGGTGCCAAGTGGTGAAGGGGAGCAACGCGACCCGAGCCAAGAGCCAAGACCTGGTACCGTGAATTGAAGGGCGATAGCTGGGCGTGGCGGAGTCGATGTCGGTTTGTCGAGTAAGCCGTATCCCCCACGACACGAGATAGCGTAGTAATACTATTGCAGTGTTGATCCAGTGACTTACGACGATGAAACTAATCATTGATCCGGCAACATTTTGTGAAAAATGGTGTAATTTTTCGATGCCACACGAAATCAAGCTGATTATGATGTAATGACTATGTTTTTTTCAATACATCAGAATTACATTCCAAGCCTAACAAAAAACTACATGTCAAAGTGAAAATCATGATCTGAAAATCAATTATTGATTTCGATTACTTGAAGAAAAAGTACTATACAGACATCATACTACTTCTAGTGGGTAGTAATATCTCAGTTTTCTTTTCTGTCAGTTACTAGTTGGTGGCAGATTTTCATTAGCCTCTCGCACGATCGCGCTCCATCGTGGGTACAACGCTCCACGCGATCTCCAAGTCGCACTCACCCTCCCACACGTCGACATGGCGAGCCAGATCCATTTTCTCGACATCAAGGGCAAGCCGTTGTTGTCGCGAGATTACAAAGGGGACATCCCCGGGAACACGATTGAGCAGTTCCCCTTGCTCTTGATGGAGCTCGACAACGCCGACGACGGGTACAAGCCGTTTGTGTGGCACCAAGGCATCAACTACGTGTACATCCAGCACAACAACTTGTACATCTGCGCCCTTACCCGCCACAATGAGAACGTCATGGCTATCGTCATCTTCCTCTCAAAACTTATCGAGGTGTTACAGCTGTACTTCAAGCTGCTTGAAGAGGAACTGATCCGCGATAATTTCGTCATCATCTACGAGTTATTGGACGAGATGATGGACTTTGGCGTGCCCCAAACTACCGATACCAAAATCTTGAAAGAGTACATCACTCAGGACTACTATAAGCTCATTCGCCATACCACCAACCGCATGGTGCAACCGCCTAACGCCGTCACCAACGCTGTGTCGTGGCGGAAGGACGGCATTTTCTACAAGAAGAATGAGGCGTTCTTGGACGTGGTGGAGTCGATCAACATGTTGATCACGGCGCTGGGACAAGTGCTCAGCCTGGAGATTTTAGGGGAAATTAAGATTAAATCCCATTTGCTGGGGATGCCCGACTTAAGATTAGGGCTTAACGATAAAGGGATTTTTACCGGACAAAGTGATTCAGGGGCTACTGCGGAAGGGAAAGTGGAGATGGAGGACATTAAGTTCCACCAGTGTGTCAGATTACTGAAATTTGAGAACGAAAAGATTATCACGTTCATCCCTCCCGATGGTGAGTTTGTCCTCATGAGCTACCGGTTACTGCTGGCCAACTTCTTGATGAAACCGGTGATTTTAGTCAACTGTAAGCTGAAGGTCCACAAACACTCGCGAATCGAGATCTTGTGCACGGTGCGGGCGCAGATTAAGAAGAAGCTGACTGCCAATAACGTCGAGGTAAGAATCCCGATTCCCCCTGACGCCGATACCCCTAAATTCCAGCCCGAGTACGGGTCGTGTAAGTGGCTACCGCAGGAGCTGTGCATCGTGTGGAAGCTCAAGACGTTCCCGGGGGGCAAGCAGTACCACTTGCGGGCGGAGCTTGGTCTCCCCGCCGTCGACGACGTCGAAGACATGACGATGAAAAAGCCGATAAAGGTGAAATTCTCCATCCCTTACTTTACCACCAGTGGCATCCAGGTGCGCTACTTGCGCATCAACGAGCCCAAGTTGCAATACCAGAGCTACCCCTGGGTGCGCTACATCACCCAGTCGGGCGAAGACTATACCGTCCGTCTGAGCTAAATAAGTTTTATGCCTTCCAATTTTTTTAGTTTATATCTATAGATCACGTGAATAGACCTGATACCATTTTCTCTACTCGCACCGTTATCTGCCTAATACCTGGTGATGTCATTTGTGGAACAGAGTCTCCATGCGGTAATTAAAGGCAATAACCGACAAAAGTACCCGAAGCTCGTTCGCCACAATCAGGCAGCACTCATTCAACGTATCAGCGGTGACCCTGAGCTTAAGGCGCGGTACAAGGAGCTCTATAACCATCGCGAGTACTATACTAAAAAGCTAGCGTTATTCCTTGAAGAATTGGTTGATGATCCCCCAAATGATGACTACCAAGGCCCTGAAGATGCTACGACCATTGCCAATCGCCACCACGCTCTAAAGTACTGTCGCCACCGGTTATCGCCTCTGCGACGGCAATTGATTAAAGACAAGATGCTGAGCCACTGGGACCTCCAGCACCTGTGGCACCAACAGAGACAACAAATAAGTGATGAGGGACAACGCGAGATTGCTGAGCTTGAAGGTAAACTGGGCAATTGTGACGGTAAGCTGCTGTGTGGCCAAATGAAACTTGCCGGTTTCCGCGACCAACAACTTAATATGAAACGAAAACAGCTACAAGATAAGCTTAATAGGTTTGATGAAAATATTTTAAAAGAGTGTGGTCGGTTGGCTGAGGCGAACACTGAGTTTCTACGAGAATCGCGTATACCCTTTTTCTGTCTACAACCATCATTAAAATACCCGGAACTTGATGACGATAAAGCGTGGATGATCCAACAACTCCAACAATTGCTCGGTGATTGAAGAATTTTGTGTATTAGACCAATTCGACTGGTGATGCACTAATAATAAGAATAATCGTAAACGTTAAGTTTTATTGTTTTGGAGAGAATGGAATGTCTAATCGAACTTGTCGGTGACACACCCTTCGGAGGCGTCTCTCACCAACTTGGCGTACTTGGCCAAAGTACCACGGGGGTAACGGGGCGCCGGCTGCGTCCACAGTTCCTTTCTCTTGGCCAACTCGGCTTCGTCGACGTTCAAGTCGATGATGTTGTTTTCGGCGTCGATGACGATTTCGTCACCGTTTTGGACAAGGGCAATGGGACCCCCTTCGAAGGCTTCGGGGACCACGTGACCAATCAAGAACCCGTGGGAACCACCCAGGAATCTACCATCAGTGATTAACGCGACGTCCTTACCTAAGCCAGCACCCATAAGCGCCGACGACGGCTTCAACATTTCGGGCATACCGGGACCACCCTTGGGCCCTTCGTAGCGAATGACACACACCGTCTTTTCCCCCTTCTTGATTTCACCCTTTTCGAGGGAGTGGATAAACGCCTCTTCGTCGTCGTAAACTCTGGCAGTACCTTTGAAATAGGTACCTTCCTTACCGGTGATCTTAGCCACGGCCGAGCCGGGAGCCAACGTCCCCTTTAAGATCTGGATGTGGCCTTCGGGCTTGATCGGGTTCAGCACCGAGTGGATGATATCTTGCTTTTCAGGCAACCCCGGCAATTTCTCGAGGTTTTCCTTCATCGTCTTACCCGTGACGGTCATTTGCGACCCGTCCAAGATCCCTTCGGCCAACAAGTACTTCATCACCGCGGGGGTACCGCCGAAGTTCTGTAAGTCGGCCATGACGTATTTACCCGAGGGTTTGAAGTCAGCCAACAAGGGGACGTTGTTGGAGATGTGCTGGATGTCGTCGACAGTAATGGTGATGTCACACGACAGCGCCATGGCGATGATGTGCAACACGGCGTTGGTCGAACCACCGGTAGCAATAATATAGGCGACGGCGTTTTCAAACGCTTTACGGGTCATGATATCACGGGGCTTCAAATCCAATTGCAAAAGCGTCTTCAAGTGTTCACCAACCGAGGCACACTCAGCGGCTTTTTCCTTGGACACGGCGGGAGCCAGCGACGAGTAAGGCAACAGCATCCCCAACACTTCGGCGGCAGAGGCCATGGTGTTGGCAGTGTACATACCGCCACAGGCACCAGGACCGGGGCATGCGTGTTTGACGATATCGTCACGTTCATCGGCAGTAATCTCCTTCAGCAAGTACTGGCCGTACAGCTGGAAAGCGGAGATGATATCGATCTTTTCCGGGATCTTAGGGTTACCACAAGTCGGCAGACCGGGTAAGATAGTACCCCCATAGACCATAATCGAGGGGCGGTTGTGACGGGCCATCGCCATCAACACACCAGGCATGTTCTTGTCACACAGCGGGATGGAGACGTTTGCGTCGTACATCTGGGCCATCATCATCGTTTCAAACGAGTCGGCAATGATTTCTCTCAGTTGCAACGAGTATCTCATCCCTTCGGTCCCGTTGGTGATGCCATCGGAAACACCAATAGAGTTAAATTGCATCCCCTTGAGCCCCGCCTTGTTCACTGAAGCAGTGCAGGCGTCGTTCAAGTCCATCAAGTGCATGTTACAGGGGTTACCCGACCACCAGACGGAGCCGACCCCGACTTGGGCCTTGGAGAAGTCGGCGTCGGAGAAACCAGTGGCATAGAGCATGGCGTGGGAGCCGCCCTGGCCGGCGTCCTCGGTGACGATCGACGAGTACTTGTTGAGCTTTTTAGCCAAGTGGCGGGTGCTGGTCAGAAATTGACGGCACTTCAACATCGTGGTGTGGTGGGTGGTTGAAAGTGGAGAGATCACTTAAGGGTGGAGATTTTTCACTGCTCGTAGTGAGAGCGGCCCGTTGGGCGCCCTGGCGTGCGAAAGCGGCGTGAGTCACCCGCCAGCGAATCACCGGGGAATTATTTGTCAGGCTAGGGAAAAATAGGGACAGGATTGTAGAGATTAGACTAGACAGAAAGGGTACGGTAATAATGAAGTAGCTTCATTTAGTGTAGAGAGAAAATATTAATAGTTTTACCAGGCCAATATCCATAGATTGTCTTATACTTCTTTGTTAAGGCCGCTACCGGCCCGCTTTGATAACGCACCAATTGCCAAAACCCCCATGGGGCAATTCTCAATATCATGTGGTAATAGTCACATGATTTACTCGTTTGGTTCACGTGATTTTAATTGCCGGATGATTTTATTTTACACATGGATAGTTTCCTGCATATAGCCACCTAAACACCATCGGCAACGTCTCCGTACCCCTCCCCTCTCAGCCACGACTCGTGTCAGCGGTATTTCCGGCACTGGCAGCAAACAAAACGAAATGTGGGGATCGCCCGAATCAAAACACTCGTTTGCGGTTGCCATCAGCCCCGTTTGCGGTTTGTGCCGTCCACAGATTCCAGTGGGTCTCCTAATCGTTCCCCACTCCATTTCTTTCTTGTCCCTATACTCTAGAGTTTATTTTGTTTAGCCCTTTCTCCTATCTAAATGAAAACGATGAACGATGACCTTCCCGGCAAACGGCGCTGGCGCAGTGTCGGAGGAGTCAGTGGCTGCTGTCACACCCCCCTCTGTTGCCTCCGCACTCCGAAGCCGCTAGTAAAGAAAAAAAAAGTCTCTCCTCGGAAACGGCCCCCGACAACACTAAAAGAAATAGGCTAAGCCGGTCGCCGAAGCCGAAAATGCCTCCCAAACCTGAACTAAAAAATTATCTTTCTCTTATTTATTCTATTCATGAACTCCCCCACGAGAGCCAGGGGCTGGTGCCTGAAATACTTCACCTGTCATTCTTTGCTATCGCTGGCCCTCGGCTAACCCCACGCTTCCGAAACGGTTTTTTTTTTTTCCACATGCAAATCGACGTTCATGCATGACCCCACTGGGATGCCGAGGGTATATATACCGACACCGATAACTCATCGAAACCACTGACAACACCGAGTTTGACACATACTGAAACCATGGCTGACAGAAGACTTATGAAGGAGTACTCGGCGTTGATGAAGAACGGCCCGCTGAACCCGCAGATCGTTCTGCTTGGCCCCGTCGACCCCGAGGTGATGACGTCGTGGGAAGCGGTGATTGCCAAGCCCACTAAGGACGACCTGCCCTATTACTATAATGGCCAATGGAAGCTTAAGATTGAGGTGGGAGCCGACTATCCCAGACTGCCTCCCAAAATCAAATTTGTCACTCCCATCGTCCATCCTAACATCAACTATGACCTGGGGGAAATTTGCCTTGATATCTTAAAGCTGGAGGCATGGTCTCCCGCTTGGGACTTGCAACACCTTATCGGGGCGATTTTGATGTTGTTGGACGACCCTGAGCCCGATTCGCCGTTGAACGTTGATGCTCTGAACCTTTTCAGAGTGGACAAGACCGGATTTGAGCTGGTGGTGCAGTACCACATTTGGAAGCACAATGCGTTCTATGGCGGCACCCAACGCCGCAACCTGGGGGCGAAAGTAGTGGTCGATGTACCCGAAGCGATTGCCGTTTAAACAAACATGAAGGAAAGAGGACCTGTTCATAGACTAACGAAGTAACGAGAAATATCACGATAATCATCATGAAACAACTGCAGTAGAATTTTAGCCTATAACCAAATTAAAATCGATTTGGAATGTGGTGCTTGTTGGTCTTTGTTTATGATTTTACAGAAATTCGCAGTGAACACAAACTTATAAGCTGGAGTTGAGAATAATCTGGACACAATCCCAAGTTCGACTCTGTGGTGAATTGTACTTTATCACACCACAAAATCGACGCTTTACTGCTTGCATTAATTACCCTGAGTGTGTCTAATAATGATGAAGTTCTTGATACTTCATTACAAAGATCAACTAAAAAACTTCACTACACATCACATTCAATTCACTATAATTTACACTAGCAATTTAATTTCATTTAGTTAGCTAACACTACGTATTTGTTCCGTCACTGGCCACATTCCGGTGTTGGGGAAGTCGCGTTCGCGTCGCAGAATTTGTTTGTTCACACTCCCACACACCGCGGGCCTACCCAAAACTTCCCCATTGATTAAAAGCACCGTGTCGTCTCCGTAAACCATGCCGGGTGCGTCGCGTTCAGAGTTGTTGCGATGGCTCACCGAGTTGCTCGACATGAAGGTGGACCTGGTCGAGCTGTGCGGCACCGGCGCCGTGTTCTGCCAGCTCCTAGACTACATCTACCGGGACATCCCCATGCACAGAGTCAAGTTCGACACCACCAACGACTTCGATTACCGTACTAATTGGAAGATATTACAGATGCTGTTTAACAAGCATAATATCACCAAAGTGATCGACGTGGAAAGATTACTCAAATGTCGGTTACAGGATAACTTGGAGTTACTCCAGTGGTTTAAGAAAACTGTTGACGAACGAGGTCCGTTTGAACCCTATGACGCCGCGGCGCGGCGAGCAATGGCGCCGCCAGCTCCCGGGGCCGGGTCAGGGCGCTCTCTGGTGGCGGCGCTGGCGACGGGGAGACGGGTACTGAGTGGTACTACTCCACAACGGAGGCCACCGTCACAGCTGCTGGTGGGACCCCACCCTACTCCCGTGCGCCACCCGACGCCGCCGCTGGGCGCTAACGGTGCGGCTACCGGTGCCGGCACCGGGGCCAGTGCCCGAGAAGTGGCCGACTTACGGGAGCAGTTGGAGCTGGCGACTAAGGAATCGGCCGAGCTCCGCAAGCTGTGTGACTCGCTCGAGACTGAGCGTAACTTCTACTTCAATAAGCTCCGCAACATTGAGATCCTCACCCAGAATATCCTCGAGACCCCCGCCGACGTCGACACTTCTTCCGTCGCCAGTCTCACGGTGGCCGAGGTGATGAAACAGGTGCAGCTGATCTTATACCGGGTCGACGACGGGTTCCAGTTGAACGAGGTCGACGACGAGTCGTTCTGAGCGTACCTATACGTATACGTGTAGTAACGTGGAACCTATGCGTGAAACCTATACGTGTAGTAACCTATGTACATGATTAAATAATCGTTATTCCGTTGACTTAAAGTTAGTTAATTGAAGTTCATTATTTTTGGTCTAGCTGGGGGGTGGGGGCTTCATCACCCCGGATAATCTCATCGGATAACGGCTGGATCTTAATGAGCTTATCGCGCAACTCCATCTGTTCGCGGTGTTCGGCCTCGTTGGCGACCATCTTCTGGGTCCGTTTCGCTTCCATGCGGGCGGCGTCCTTGATGGGGCCCTGGCGAAGCGCCTGACGTTCAAGCCCTTGCGACCAGTTGATGAACAAAAACAGCCCCGCGGCAAACACAAGCAGCCCGGCAAACGTCACTTTCAGCGCTGTACTCATAATGGGGTTTGAGCTTTGGAAAGTAGTTACGGGATTCGAATCGATACTTCGCACTGATATTTCGGTTGCGAGCCCGTATTATAGGAGTACATCAGTGCTGCAAACACCGGTGCTGCACTCGCTCTCGGGTGGCGCCATTCACCGAAATTACATCTAAGTCCACTTGCCGCTACAGGCGCACCAAACGGTGGCCGGGCGTCGCGCACCACACGCGATGAGAAAAAACAAATACCATAGGGGCCCCCGTGGGCCCCCGTACATGTATTGATGCATTGCCAATATACAGTTAATTTCCATCAATGCTAATTGGTAGTGGCTCTAGATCTAGTTACCACAATTGTTTGTTGCCCTTTAACGGCAGTCACGAGCCCCGGAATGGGCACACCCGAAATCTATGGATGTATAGTCCCCCACCCTCAAATACCCGAATATCCGAGCCCCCATAGCCACCACCACTACACCACAACAACCACAACAAACACCACTCAATCGAATACCACTAAATCCCCTCTAAATCCCCATTTACCCTCGCTTTACTAATATTCTCCCTTGGCGCTGGCAGGGCCCATCTCCTCCGAAGCGCCCCGTGCGAGCGTGCGAACATCTTTGACCCGGACGCTGCCGCCTTTGCCATACACCGCCGAACGCCCTCATTGCGATGCTGTCGAGGCCCATCAGCAACCTCACGAGAAACCTCCAGGGCCAAGGCTACGACGAGCCCGGCTCGCAACCGGGGCTGCTCCCGCTGCCAAGCCACATCGCCCAGCCGCTGCTGGTGCCGACACGGCTGTATTTGGACCACCCGCAATTCGAGCCCCAGCCGGTCGAGCGCCTCTCCCACTACCATAGCATGTATAACCTGGTGAGTCTGGTCCCGCGACCACAGCCGCCGCCGCTGTTTTCCATCCCCATCCCTATACCGACGACGACGGTGCTGTTTGACTCGGCGCTGTCGCTCCCGGTGAATTTGTCCGAGTGGCGGCCGGCGCTGGTCTCCAATTCGGTGACGCTGGCAGCGCTGAGACCGCCCGAAGTGCCCCAAGTGCCTTCAGTACCCCTGGCACCGCTGGCGCCGTCAGCGCCGGCGCCGCCGCAGTCACGCCTGGTGGCGCTGGCGCCCGACCACTACATGAACTACGCCGAGTTCCTCGAAAACCTCAGCCACGACGGCGAAGACCACCTCAACATCGTCGGGTTCCCCGTGAACGATTTAATCCTCATGCTCTCGTGTCTTTTGAGCAAGATCATCGACGCCAACGACAAGTTGCACCCGAACCACTTCGACAACACCATCGCCGTGCGCCAGCGGCTAAAAGAGGAGCGCCGCCGCAAGCGCCGCCACTCGCTGGAAGTCCACGTACAACAGGTCGCGTCAAACCGACTACGGGACGTCGACGTGCGCGTCGAAGAGCGTCCGCTGGACGACGAGGACGACGATGACGATTACGACGGCGACCACGACGATGAGATGAAGAATAAGTACTTGGCCAACGTGCTTGCGTTTCATGGCACTAATGTCCCCGGAATCTCGCTCCAGGCGTACTTGGCGCGGGTGCTCAAATACTGTCCCGTGACCAACGAAGTGTTTCTCTCGCTCCTTGTCTACTTTGACCGCATCGCCAAGAAGGCTAACAACTTCAAACGCAAGGACGAAGACCACCAGTTGTTCGTGATGGACCTGTATAATATCCACCGGCTCATCATTCTGGGGATCACGGTGCTGCTGAAGTTTTTCTCCGACATCTTCTACAAGAACCTCCGCTACGCCAAGGTCGGCGGGTTGCCCTTGGAGGAGCTCAACTACCTCGAGCTCCAGTTCTTGCTCTTGCTCGACTTCAAGCTCATGATCTCTGTCGAAGACTTGCAAAACTACGCCGACTTGTTGCTCCGCTTCTGGAAACGCGAACAGTTGGCCCACGACCTCAAAGAGTGACCTTATAGACTATAGATTAATGAATTGACACGACTCCGACGAATACGAGACGGTAGCCAAGAATTAACTGAGCCTTTTTCAATTCTCTATCGTGTATAGCACTTTCGATCAGGCCTGGTCGTTTTCGTAAACCAGCATCATTATCGCAAAAATCAATAACTTCAAACAGACCATCTTTGGTCGTGTAACCCCTGGCCGTTTCAGCCTCGTGGCTAGTTGATTCTTGTTTTCTTCGTTTACACACTCTAAATCTTATTTGGTGAGGGCTAGCAACGATTGCTGGGCGATGGCGTCACTGCGCCCCCCCCCCCCCCCCCCCCCCCCCCCCCC